TTTTTTATAGCCAATTACCCTTTAATTAGTTTATTAAATATAATTGAGGTTTCTTCCTTTGACCCCACAAACAGCCTTTGTTGCGTGTTGATATGGTCCTGAGTTTTTTTTTTTTTTTTTTTTTTTTATAAAAAAAATACTAAATATGTATATTTATTATATATTAGAAATTAAAAGAAGTGATAATAATTGGGCTTTTATCTATTATTACGAACAACTTCTTATAAAAAATAAAATAAAACAATAAAGAGTAAATTTATTTAAATACTACACCGTCCAAAGTGAATTATTTATATTTAATTTTGAAATGACGATTGATAAATAATACTCCCTTCATAGTATTACATAATATAATTTAAAAATTAATTGATGTGCCGAAGAGTAAAATATATATATATATATATTTATTTGAATGATACGATGAAATAAATATTAAGTATCGAAAAGAAATTGATTTGGTGATAATTTATAAAGATAACTTTACCATAGCTAATAAGGGATTAATACAAGAGAAATCAATCAAACTAGATTAACATAAATATATGGAATGTTTGATTTGTAATTGTGCTTTGTATTTATTATATTCTATTTAAAAAATAATTTGATATGGTATTTTACAAAATATATATATATATATAGTATATTTTTATAGAATATCTGATAATTATATAATAGAAACAAAAAAATTACAAACAGACTCAAAGATAATATAAATCATATTGATCCATACTCCTCAAATACAATCTTACATTTTTATTTGTTTTGCTAAGTCTATTTCCAACTCATCAACTCTATTTATCCAATTTTAACTCTAAATATGTAATTACTACAGTAATTTTACTCTAACTATAACTCTATTTTTCACTATTATTCTTCAAATATTCAATTTTTCCTATTATTTTAAATAATTTTTTTATTTTTATAATTAATTTTTAAAAAAAATTTAATAAAAAATAAATTTAAAAGTTAAAATAAAAAATTTATTTTTATTTTTTTTAAAAAAATAAGAGCAAAGCCCAATTTTGGTTCCAACCAACACCAAATCTACAGACTCAACGCCATTAATGACACTGGATTGAAGATAGCCTAGCCAATAGTTTCTATTTCACTTTCAAAGATTTGTATAGTTTTGATTTAAAATTTATATTTAAATTATAATTTAGATAATATTTTGTTATATATATATATATATACTATTATATTTTTTAATACCGAATAGTAAACCCCAACTCTGGCGTCCACCCTCATGACTATTTGTTTGCTCCTTTTTAGATAATCAATATTTTAGCAACACTCATATATAACAAAAATTCATTATTATTATTATCAAAAAGTAAACGGGACTTTAATAATTATAACTAGTTAACAGGTAACCAATTTTGGAAAGATTATTAATAATTGCATAATCAACATCCAAGTCTATTGCAATATATAAATCATATCATATTTAAAAATATATACACATTTTCAATTTTATTTTTTACACTATTCATATTAAAATAAAACCCTTTAAAAAATTCCTTTGAACACTGAACTTCTACATTAAAATATCATACAAACTTCACTATACATATAAAACCGGAGGGGATCACCAGCCTCAAAATTTCCCAGTCCCACCCTACCCAATCAAATATTTTATGTATACATAATGTATGTATATATATATTTAATGTCATATATACATACATATTTTGTATATATATATCACTTTTGGGTGAGGGGCAGGATGGAGCTGAGCAATGTTGGGGCTGGTGATCCGGTGCCATATAAAACATAACGTCCAACAACGCCTACCTACTTTACCTCCCATTCAAAAAACTTCAAATCCAAAACACAGACAAGCACACGGCATATAATCCTTACGGGGTGGGGCGCGAACAAAATAATACATAAAAAATTAAAAAAAAAATCGCCGAGCTGTCTAAGCTAACTGAAAAAACAAAACTGCCAAACGACGCCTTTGTGTGTCGTATTTACAAATGGTAAGAGCCATAAGTGTAAGCACCAAATTAAATCACATTGAAGAATGCCTATGGTTGCATAAGAAACAACAGAGACAGAAGAGGATGCAGTGGGGCATCTTCAACTGTGTCACATTTCAATCACTAACTGTCTTTTGCACACAAATGGACAGACACCATTCTTAATTATACCTAACTCATCAACACAAATGTTCTGTTAATCAACCACCAATTTGCCAAATCTAACGCCATCTCATCGTTTTGTCCTCATTTTTTTTTCTTCAGAATGTTCAAGCAATGCATACAGAAACCAACCGAAACATGCAGCAGGAATAAGAACAGTAATGATCCCAAAAATCTAGGTTCGAAAATCTGGTCAGAGTATAGGTAAATACTAAGTAGCTGATTCAAAGACAAGTTTATTCAGGTTGAAGCATCAATCTTGTTTAATTGCTTTTGTTTTATTACAAGTAAAACTACGGAGAACAATATCTAAACTAGTGAAAGGTTTTAATGATACTTGTCTCTTCTTCATAGAAAGCCTATTCTAAAATGAAAATATACAGCGCTTTGACGAGTCAGGGTGATTATTCTTTAGCTAAAATCAACCGCAGAACACTTGGACATTACAACAGGCAAAACAATGATGAGTCATAATCAAAATTCGAGCAAGAATACTAGTGTACATTAAATGCTTGAGGTAACTCTTACAATATTTATCAGTATCTGCCAATACAAATATGAACTTTGTTCAAAAAAACAAAAAAGGATAATACCACAGGCTCAACAAAATCATGATACGTTAAAATTCTACCTCCTACTAAGGTGAAGAAGCTAAACCACGCATGTCCTGATACAGGGGTAAGACAATTCTTACTACCCTGCCAACCATACGTGTACGGGTCTATAATAGTTTGAATATAGTATTGCAGAAGATAAAGGTAAGGATAACTTGGCCATACCTTTGAATATTGCGCTTCTAGACTTGTAGCCATGTATAGATCAAGAAAATCTTACCATTCAGCTAACAAAACCTTTATGCACAACAAAGCAAATAACAAAAATATTATCTTTTGGTTAAAACAAATCGTGGGCAAATTGACAACGAGAAGAGTAGAACTTTCATATCTCTGAAGAAGAAAGATAGCATACGGCATTCCAGCTAAATATCAATAAGCATAGAATACAAATGCTCTCAACTTGGGCTTGCCAGACCATATAGAATGGATGGGCATATCTTTCCTTCATTTATGTAAAATTGGTATATAACCAAATGCATCAAGGCCTGATGGACACAACAGTTTCCTAAGCCTTTAAAAAATGGCCAATTTTAACTCTGAAATGTCCTAAAGTACTAATTCTGAATCCAGACCTTCAGATGCAAAACTGCTAATATGGAACAGATAACACACACACACACTGAGACTTCTAACATTATGTTCACTTCTAGTTATATTAGAAGAAAACCTACAGGATAGTGAGAATTCTGACTAGCATTACCGGTAGAAAATAGACATAGAGGCAACCTCTGAGGGCATCCCTCGAGCAATTAAGAAACATTTTGAAACTATATAGATCTCCAAAACATGTCTAGCAAAGCCTTTTTCCGAAAGCTCCAATCTATTTGAAACAAGTTTGACTCATTAATCTGTAAATTTTAGCCAGAATAATAATAAAACAACACCCTTTACCTCTTCCTTGTTAAACCATATGATTTTTCCCTTTCAAGGTCACAATGCTATATATTTTTTCATAGCCAGTTATCCCTTTTTCCATTAGGTGAGCCCTCTACTAGTAATCCATGGTTCCTCTTTACGACTGACAACGCAATCCAAATGAGACCATTCCACTTGGATCTCTTTTGTGCCCTATCAAGGATCTGCTCAAGCCAACTCCTCAACCGGTTGCTTCTCTTGCTCGCTGTGGTAATCCTACTGTTTTCATACGTTAATATGCATCCATTAGTCCCTGGATACTATATTCCCGAGCTTCCAAACATATTTAGGATGATACTTTTTTATTTCTTCTCTATTGTCTGTAAGCGTGTTCATCTAACTTCCATGGAGCTAATAGCTCTAAGGCTCCAACTGTTCCATTAGAAATGTTCAACCTTTACTCAACCTTTACCCCATGTTACTATAGTTTCAGCTTTATATGTTCCAATTGTCGTTTTAATACGCTTCATATGTGTTTACTACCCACAATTTACATAATCTTCTTAGTTTACCCTTCAAGTTAGGAAGTTACCAACAGTCGTAAATCAACCTTTATGCTCCATATTGTCCTCTTAGGGATGCTTACTTCCCTCGGATTCATTAATCTTTATATTGTGTGGTAGTTGAGTGAAAAACACTCCATTAATCATGATTCCAAGCATCAACTAATCTCGTTTCACTGACTAAAACTTATGTTAGGACAACAGTTCATCTTCCAAATTACTGAAAACATAAAGGCTTTAAGATATTACCAATCATGCATTCTCCATTCAGCAGACACAACACACTATACACCGGAATTGCTAGAGACCCCAAAACGTGATAATTCAAATATTTAAACAACGAAATTATCAGAAAATTGTAACACGATACTCAATTTAAATGAATTAAAAATTAGGGGGAAAAACATGCACAGTAGCGAGAATGCGGGTTCTCTCCGCAGATTGACGTCAATGCTAAATTCGCAGAACCAGAACTCCCAACTGCACGCCACTCCACAGAAAAGTTCCGCCGAATTGAGACGACGATCGACGGAAAGTTTGGACGACATTTCAGCAGCGCATTTCAGTGCCACTGCCAGTCTTTGCTTCATGGGTTATAAATACGGGCCACCCGACCCAACAATATGGATAATTGCATTTTTTCAGCCCAATTAATATACCGGGCCCAGACCCGTAAACCAACACGCTAAATCGGGTACGGGCGAAGCAGAAGAAACTGGTTCCCGGGTAACGATTCTGGGTTACTCATTTCATTCGGCCCTACCCGGTTCAAGAATCCGATTCTACTATTTTACGGCTGACAGTCGAAGAGATTACTCGCTTAAAATCCACGTCTCTTCCACTTTCCCTCTCCTCCCGACTCCACTGAAGCAAACCTGTCAAAGGCAGCTCCATCTTCGATCCAGGCATTGGGAAATCGTTAAGCGATGTCGTATGAGGAGGACGAGGAGACCTTCGAGCATACCCTGCTCGTGGTCCGTGAAGTGGCTGTGTACAAGATCCCTCCTCGTCCAACCAGCGGCGGCTACAAGTGCGGTGAGTGGCTCCAGTCCGACAAGATCTGGTCCGGCCGCCTCCGGGTGGTCTCGTGCGACACAAGGTGCGAGATCCGCCTCGAGGACCCGAATTCCGGCGAGCTATTCGCCGCCTGCTTCGTGAACCCTGGCCAGAGAGAGGCCGCCGTCGAATCGGTGCTGGATTCGTCGAGGTACTTCGTGTTGAGGATCGAGGACGGTAGGGGGAAGCACGCGTTCGTCGGTTTGGGATTTAATGAGCGGAATGAAGCGTTTGATTTCAACGTGGCGTTGTCGGATCACGAGAAGTATGTCAAGCGGGAGGTGGAGAAGGACGCCGTAAGTGGCGGCGGCGCCGACGGTGCGGAAGAGGGGCATATCGATATACACCCTGCTGTCAATCACAGATTGAAGGTGACTTCACTCTGTATTCGTTTCTTCCTGAACTTGAATTTAGATTCGAAGCTTTAATTTGCTGTTTTAGGTTTAATGATGGCCAAATTTAAGAAGAAACACCGCTTTTCATTCCTAGGGTTTTGTAGATACCAACTCATGATGAACAATAAATCTCAAATAAGGGATGCTGTTGCATAACACTTACTGATCTAAATTTGGCAGAAATTGCGCTTCATTGCTTAAGTATCACAAAGTTCCGGAGATCGAATAATGAATTGATTTGTTCTTCTGGGAAGAAGTAGAATTTTGAGCTCATGAAAACTTGTGTGTATTTTTGGGCTATTCTTTGTTAAAGTAAGTAGTTATATGCAATTACTGTTCGCCGTGATTCAAGATGCTATATTTGACAAGTTAGTCCTACATTGCCTCGAAATTCGATGTCCATCTGTAAATGCGCCAGTAGTTGTGGCTTAGTTCCTTTTTGTTCTTTTTGTTGCAAGAATGTAGACTGGATTTGCAATATATATCCCCATTTTCTGCTATCCTAGTAAACGCAATTGTATTAAGATTTACTTAATGCTTAGTATTTCGATCATTTGTCATTTATACGTAGGATTGGATCTAACTGTACTTTTGGGTCTTTAGGAAGGGGAAACGATTAGAATAAATGTAAAGAATAAACAGTCAAGCGGGACAGGCATGCTGTCTGCTGCCGGATTGTCTGGAGGTTCTGGAACCGTAAAACCTAAAATTTTGGGACTTGCTCCCCCACCCGGTGGGGCAGTGAAAATCAGGTCGCCACTTCCGCCTCCACCAAATGACGGTGCTGCTGTTAGGATGACTTCTTCTGCCAATACTGGTACTGCCCCGGCAGTGGCTAAGGAGAACTCAAGGAATTCAGCTGATGCTCTTTCAGATCTCTCCCAACTTGAGGTATGCTTTGGTATTTCTTCGTGGAATAAATGTTTTCTTGATATTTCTTATGTTGCGAATATCTTCAAGATTCTGTTGCCGGGATTTTCTCTTTATAGTATTTTCACATGCTACTTAAAAGCTATAATAGGATTGATTCGCTATTCTGTTGGCCTGATATTTTATTGCTTGCAATGCCGTCTAGATGAAAAAACAGTATTGTTATTTCCTCTTCTTTCTTTGTTAAATTTGTGTCACTTTATGCCAAGCTTGATAGTTGTATATTTCGTTTTCCATTGTTGATTCATTGGTTCCAGGAAAATTGTGTTATACCCAAGTCTAAGGTTTCAAGCTGAAAATCAGCAAAACTAAGATGGAATTCGTAATATCTTAACACGATGAGAATCTTTACTTAATATCTGAAATGGCATTGCATGAAAACTGATTCATTGTCTACCTTAGCCGGTCTTTCAGTGCTCGCCTGAAAGTGGTAATCTGTCTCCGAGCATGTTGACACACCTTTGATTTCCACCATGCTTATTTCTTTCTGTACAGATGAAGGATTTAATTATTATTATTATTTTTTTTTACATTAATCTAGTGGAATATTTTCCACAAAATTGTCTCCCTGTCACTGATCTTATGTTCAAATCTGCAGAAGAACCTTCCATCCGGCGAGGAATCAGGGCCGACCAAATCTCCTGCGGGAGGCTGGGCGGCGTTTTGAAGGTTTGACAACAATTTTTGGTGCCTTTATGTCCATGTTGTACTAAGAAAAAAATGAGGGGTATATCAATGAGAAGGGGAAAAGGGGGAAAGAAAGAAAATGAGGATTTGTGTGTTTCTTGGAGTTCCAATTGTGTATCAAAATGTTTCATTTACTACTTATGTGAAAGAAATAGATTAAAATGTGTTCTTTTTTCCCTTATTATTACAAATCTGATTCATCAATTCTTGCAAGAAGGTAAAGAAAGAGACACATGAGTTCTTGTGTCATGGCCATTGATGATCTTCTTGAACACCCTCCATACTTTATTTTTTTTCTGTAATTTTTTTAATGGCCATTAACCCATATCTGCAATAATTTATTACACCCTTTGAACACAAGCTTCTGTAAGTGCCCATAATGCCTTTTTTTGCACCACAAGTTATTTGAATATTTAATCATCTTCTTGTAGTTGTAGGTGGTGAGTTATTGAGTGGGATTGATGGCTGCAATCACACCTAAAAGAGATTTCTTTACATCTTTATTGCCCCACAATATTTTTATGGGAATAGTTACGGTGTTGATTTAGGTAAATCGGTATTACAGTGGTATTTTTGGCTTTTATTTGATATCTTCTTTCTACTCAAAGTCTTGGTTGGGGTTGGGTTTGAGACAACCTCAATCTTATCTAATCTATGTGTCGTTTTGTGTTTGTTCATGTATTAGCAGGACACCATTACAGACATGTTTTAGGCACCTACCATTATTGTTCTAAAATTCAAATAACAACTCTCATGGAATGGTGCCACGTGTCTCCAGACATTGCACCCACTACTACTACTATTTTTTATTTTTATTTTTTTCGATTTTCACCCAATGTTAGATAGATGCAAACAAAAGCATAGGCAACCAGAGTGATGTTGAGGTTTCAGCCATAGAAGAAGACAGTCTTCTCTCTCTCTCTCTCTGCTCTCTGTGTGTATTTTGATACTTTGATTGAACACATGAAAAGGCTTTTGTAAGAATTTGACTGTAATTAAAGAAACGGCTGCCATTATCTGCACCTCTTTACAATTACAGTTGGTGTGCTCTGAAGAAGACATTAATGGGAGAATTCATGGCGTCAAGGTATTTAAAGACCCCAAAGCTTCGATCTTTTCGATTGGAAAATTATTATTAGTTTGGATAAATATTTTTTTATTTGTCGTTAGTCTGTAAAGGCGACACGCAGAGTACTTGCAGAGAATCGAAGATCGTTGAAAATTCAACCAGACGAAGCTCTGTGTATAAATTGGGCAGAAGAACCAAAAACCACGAAGAATATTGCATGATTGCTGTTGCTTTTTCATTCTTTCCCCATTTACGATCATTCACCCATTTTCTAGAAATCTTCCTTCCGCCCGTCAATCTTCTCTCTCTCTCTCTCATATATATATATATATATATATATATGTGCGGTTGGGCTTTCTCTCTCCATCGCTTCAAGTTTGCAGGTAAGTCGATGGCTTTACCGATTGTTCTACTTTAATACTGTTCTACATATGCATTGATTATCAATTTCTGCCGCTCAATTTTTGGGGAACAGGAATTTCTGCGACTGGATTTTGAATTTTGGGGGATTTGAACGTTGACTTTGGGCGTGCGTTTTAAATTGGTCCTTGAGATTTTTCTGCGGTTCTGGAATTCAATAATTCCAATGGTCGTTCGGAGCTCTGCAGTTGCAGTAATCCCCCACGGTTTCATTTTTGTCTGTTCTGCAATTTATTGTGCTGTAAACCTGTAGGAATTATTGTTGGCAGTTAAAATTAGACGATTCATTCGGTTCCTTCCGTGTTCTTCGTCTTCTTCGTCTGCGTCGATTACGTCTGCAGCGATTTTCTTATTATAATTAAATTTTAATCGGTGTGTTTGCAATCATGCTTAAATTGAAGTTAACCTATGCTACGATTCATTCACTGTTCATGATTTATAGATTTTTTTTGCATTCTTCGGTAGGTTATGTATTTGAGCACTGATGCGAATGGTGTCAATGAACATTGATGACTCCATTGCCGAGCTATATTTAAATTGCGTGATTTGAGGAGAAGAGACGGATGGATTCAGCTAGGAATTGGTTGCAGAGGTTTCAACCTCGGGATCGATTAAGGCCTTCAATCAAGCGGGAGCCAGTGGGCAGCGAAAGAGAGGAAAGGAAGCCACTTACCCCCGAGGAAGCATCGAACCTTACGAAACAAAGAGTGGCTGCTGCCAAGCAGTACATTGAAAATCACTACAAGGAGCAGATGAAGAATCTTCAGGATCGAAGAGAACGGTACATTACATACATCGTTGGAGTTTCTTTCATTCGATCATATATAGATATATAGAATACATGTTGCAATCATTTCGAATTTGTTTGTTGACAGACGAAGTTTACTCGAAAAGAAGGTCGCCGATGCTGAGGTATCGGAGGAAGATCAGAACAACCTGTTTAAATTCTTGGAGAAGAGGGAAACTGAATACATGCGCCTCCAACGACACAAAATGGGCGTTGATAATTTCGAGCTTCTAACCATGATCGGGAAGGGTGCTTTCGGCGAGGTGAAAATATTACACAAATTTTCGTCGCAGCTGGTTTGTAACTTTTGATTGATTCTAATAATTGTCGACAGGTTAGGATTTGCCGGGAAAAAACATCCGGCTCTGTATATGCAATGAAAAAGCTTAAGAAATCAGAGATGCTTCGTAGAGGCCAGGTACCCGTATCATTTTTCGGGCGATGACTTGCTTGTTTTTACCATGTCAGTGGCCCCTTAAATCGAATGTCTGTAATTAGGTCGAACACGTGAGAGCGGAAAGGAATCTGCTAGCTGAAGTGGACAGCAATTGCATAGTCAAATTGTACTGCTCTTTCCAAGACGAAGAGTATTTGTATCTTGTTATGGAGTATCTTCCCGGCGGAGATATGATGACACTACTGATGAGAAGGGATACTTTGACTGAAGACGAGGCCAGATTTTACGTAGCAGAGACGGTTTTGGCGATTGAGTCTATCCATAAACACAATTACATACACAGGTTTACATATTGCTTGGTAGTTTGAGATTATGATTTCTCTTGTTGCTGCAATTGTGTCCTGAGTTTTTTTTTGTTCGTCTTTGCCGTTGGATTTCTGCAGAGACATTAAGCCTGATAATTTACTACTTGATCGACACGGCCATTTAAGATTATCGGATTTTGGTCTGTGCAAGCCTCTGGACTGCAGCATTATTGAAGAAGATTTCTCCATTGGAGATGGCAGCGGCGCTTCAAACTTTGATGGATTGTCGGCACCCAAACGCACACAGCAAGAGCAACTGAAACATTGGCAGAAAAATAGGAGAATGCTTGTAAGTTCCGAATTTTTAGAATACATAGAAAAGTTTATTTGATTTGATCTGATCCGATTTCGTATTGTGCAGGCTTATTCGACTGTTGGCACACCCGATTACATCGCTCCTGAAGTTCTGCTTAAGAAGGGTTACGGATTGGAATGCGACTGGTGGTCGCTTGGGGCTATCATGTATGAAATGCTTGTAGGGTATCCGCCTTTCTATTCCGATGATCAGATGTCAACATGTAGGAAGGTATGAAAAGGGCTTGAATCTAAAATTTTCGGTGTAAGGTTCAACAAAAGCATGACGCTGATCTTCGACTGTATGATTTTTTATACAGATAGTAAACTGGAAAGCATATTTAAGATTTCCGAAGGAAGTCAAACTTTCTTTCGAGGCGAAAGATCTGATAAGTAAGCTACTATGTAGCGTCGACCAGAGGCTCGGCTCAAAAGGCGCAAACCAAATTAAGGTGCCATTCAGTGCAAATATCTTCGATTACCTGCATTGATGTAAATTTATGTGAAATGTTTTCTCCTTGTTAGGCACATCCTTGGTTTAGGGGAATCGAATGGGACAACATATACCGAATGGAAGCTGCATTTGTACCAGAAGTTAATGACGAACTTGACACTCAAAATTTCGACAAGTTTGAAGAGGTATTGGTGTCTATTTGAGTTATGGCTTTCTAATTTCTGTCGATGACTTGTGAAGGAGATGTTGCGTTAAATAGTGACTAGAATTTCATGTGCTGCAGTCGGTGCACCACACGCAAACTTCGTCAAAATCAGGTGCTCGGAGTAAGGTACTCTTGCGGGATAGAGTTTTATAGCTTAGGAAGACGAGCTTTTCACTATTGCTTTGCGGATAATCCTGAAAAGATGAATCGTTGTTGTTCTCTTTCCATTTCCAGATGCTTTCGCCGAAAGACATCAATTTTGTTGGATACACGTACAAGAACTTTGAAATCGTGCATGACTACCAAGTTCCGGGAATGGGTATGGGAGAAACGCAACACACACTTATGCTTTTTGTTCATTTCAATGTTATTATACGTCTTGTCGCTTATGATCCTTATTTCTTCATGTACAGCTGAGCTAAAGAAGAAAAATTCCAAGCCGAAGAGGCCAACTATCAAATCACTTTTCGGTATGTCCATACATGTTCGATTTACTTTGTAGTACGTCGTCAATTTTGTCTTCACCATTCTTCTCTATTCATTTGTATTATCATAAATTGATTTTTTACAACAGAAGACGAATCCGAGACATCCTAGATCAGCAGCCAGTAAATCATCAGTTCCTTAATTGTCTTAACATCAAGTTGTGTGCCTCAGTCGATGACTTCTTCGACAGGTTAGCCTGTAATGAGCATCTTCGTAATCGCGGAAGAGATCCGACGGCTGGCTATCTGAAACTTGAATCATAGTTTACCTGATAGTAGTGTTTATTAGCTGATGTCTGTACTTACTTTGTCTGCCTGTTGGAAACATAATCGATCGATCGAATTTAACAGAGCTAATCTTGAGCTGAATCTGTGTGTCTGTTTATAAAAACGCCAAAATCTTTCGACGTGTTCTTGTCTGCTTGTGTTTATCTTCTTGTCTTTGTCTTATTATGCCGGCCGATGTCTTTCCCCTTAATTAAAATAACCTTAGAATTTCTCACGGCTTCTTTAAATACACATTTCTCACCATTGTTTTCTCTTCCCCTTTGTTTGGAGAATTTTTCTGTGATGCTGAATGCAGGTCTCGAATTGGCGCGGCCGGACTGCTCCGCAACCGAGCTCTCGCAGTGGGTCGAGCTCGTGACGAAGCAGCTTGTCAAAGACTCACCCGAAGCTGAAATCGAGTTGTCGTTCGATCACGAGGCTCTCGATGAATTCAGGCCGAGAAAGATCGCGAGGAAGAGCCCCGGCGTCTGCGACGAGCCAGTCGAAGCGGGGCTCGACCTGCTGACGATTCTCCTGGAATGCGCCGTCGCGATATCGGTCGACAACCTCGGCGAAGCCTACCGAATGCTGCTTGAGCTGACCCAGATGGCCTCCCCTTACGGCGCATCGTGCGCAGAGCGCGTTGTGGCGTACTTTGCCAGGGCAATGTCGAGCCGAGTGATCAATTCCTGGCTCGGCGCCTGCTCGCCTCTGATCGACGTCAAGGCCGCCCACGGCGCGTTCCACGTGTACAACAACGTCACCCCGTTTGTCAAGTTCGCGCACTTCACGTCGAACCAGGCGATCCTCGAAGCCGTGCATACCCAGAACACGGTCCACATCGTCGACCTCGACATAATGCAGGGCCTCCAGTGGCCGGCGCTGTTCCACATTCTGGCGACCAGAGCCGCCGGCCCTCCCCGGATCCGCCTGACGGGAATCGGGACGTCGCCGGAGCTCCTGTCAGAAACCGGCAAGAACCTGTCGGGCTTCGCCCGTCGCCTCGGGATGCACCTGGAGTTCCACGCGATCAATGGGAAGTTCAGCGACGTCCCCGATGTCTCCGCGCTCCAAATCCGGCAGGGCGAGGCCGTCGCCGTCCACTGGCTGCAGCACTCGCTGTACGATGCAACGGGACCCGACTGGAAAACGATGCGGCTCCTCCGACGGCTGCGGCCGCGGGTGATGACGTTAGTCGAGCCGGAGATCGGCCACGGCGGGTCGTTCCTCGACAGGTTCGTCAGCTCCCTCCACTACTACTCAACGGTGTTCGACTCTCTTGGCGCCGTCCTGCCGCCGGACGACTCGGGGCGGCACCAGGTGGAGCACGGCCTGCTCCACCGGGAGATCAACAATGTGCTGGCGGTCGGGGGCCCGGCCCGGAGCGGGGAGGAGAGGTTCCGGCATTGGAGGAGCGAGCTGTTGAGGAATGGGTTTGCGCAGGTCGCGATGAGCCGGAACTCGACGGCGCAGGCGCAGCTGATTCTGAATATGTTCCCGTTGGGCAACGGGTACACGCTCGGGCAGGGCGACGGGACTCTCCGGCTCGGCTGGAAGGGCACCGGCTTGTACACGGCGTCGGCCTGGACGGCGCCGGAGCCAGCGCCGGCGACGGTGCTTGACCTCAACCCGCTGATCGGATAAATACGTATAGATAATACGTACATACATTGATATATATATATATATGTGTGTGTGTGTATGTTGTTGCTGTCGTAATGAAAATCTTGGCTTTTAAGGTACCATTGTTTGCTAACTTTTGTTTCTCACCGATGATCAATTTTTTGCTTGAATGGAAAAGGGTTTGTGATGAAATTTATATACGGATATTATAGACCATATATGAAGGCTTTGTTTACTTTTTGACAAACTTTCACTCTTTGCTAATTTTTTATTTTTCAAAAAAATATTGTTTAAATACCATATTTATCTTATAAAATATCAAATTAAATAGTTTCTTTTACAACTTTGATAAAATTTTGGCTTGAATTTGATATTAAAATAATATATGATGGGATGTTTATGAGAGAATAAATTATATTTTTCTTTTCGAAAAATACAAAATCCAGCTAATAAAAACTTGATAAAGTATATATAGTTGTAACTTGTGGTAATAGTATATTTGAATTTGAATTGTTAAGTTGAATTCTATTTTAAATAGCATTTTAATATTTTCCATTGTCCTCATTTAAAGACTAATTAAGAATAAATACTTAAATTATTAATTTTTTTTTTTTTAAAAAAAAATTCTCTATTTTATTTTATCTTTTCTAAAATTATCTCTATGCATATTTATATACTCCCTTCGTTTATAAAATATATATTATTTTTTTATTTAATAATTGTACTAATTATATAACATAATTAATAGTTTTATAATTTTCAATATATTATTCAATTTAATAAAATATTTTTGTTTTTTTTAATTATAAATCAATATAATGTAAAACAAATAGTGTTGATTTTATGGGACTAATGTAATTTTTTTTAACTCTTAACATTTTATTTTTACCTTTTTATAAAATATTAATTCACAACATTACTTAACTTAGTTCAAAATTTTTAACCTACCCGATTCTTTAAAATATTATTTTGCGTGGATTCAACGTAATACTCTCTCCGTCCTATATACATTACAATACGGTATTTTAAGAGAAGTGTAATTAGTATATAATTAAAAATATATTAATAAAAATAAATTAAAAAGTTTAAATGAAATTAAAATGTGTAATTATTTTTAAAAAAAAATGACACGTGGGACAGAAAGAAACGGCAACGTGGACCTAATACGTGCGCGACGGAGGGAGTAATGAATTTGCATATTACTTGCTTACACCCAACAAAATTTACTATAAATAAAATAAATTTTAAAGAAATGTAATCAAATGTAAGAAAAATAGCTGTGATGATGATAATGCCATAATGGTGATGGATATTTTTATTATTATTATTTCTTAATTAATTTATTAATTAATCAAAAAAGGTATCTTAATTATAGCGGTTTTTAAAAATATACCTAAAAAAATTTATTTTATTTTCCAACGCTCAGTCCGTCTTCTCACAATCAATCATCGATCTTTTTGTCTGTCTCAAACCCGTTCAGCTTTTCTTTTCCTATTACAAAATCCAAATCCATTTTTTTCACTCGTTTTCTCTCCCCTTCTGTCATTTTTTGGGCCGTTGATTCCTCAATTTTCGCTCTCTTGTCTCCCCGCTGCACCGTTCTTCGCCATATTTATTTATATTTTTGTTTCCCCCCTTTGCTGTCGATTCGTTTGTTCAATTAATTTTGGTCACAGTGGTAATTGGGCGGACGAGCACCTGCTTGATACCCGTGTTTGACATGGCATGGGTATGTTGTTTCTAGGGCTCGATCAATTGGAGGAATGAGGGATCGTGTGCTCGTGGATTAGGTTTTCGGCTCAAGGATGTAGTTCGGGGAGATAAGAGAATTTCTCGATCGATTAATATTTAATTTATGTGATTTCTTGGATCTGCTGTGGGGTCCTGGATTTCATAATATTTTTGTGGTGGTTTTGGAGTCTTGAGCTTGTTTATTATCTGGAAATTTGTTTTCTTCTCGGATTAAGGCTGGATTGCTGAAAATTTTCTTTTGGATTTATTATTAATTTTGGAATTTGGGTTTGTTTGGTGTTCTTCGATTGCCATGGATCATATTGTTGGAGGAAAGTTTAAATTTGGGAGGAAAATTGGGGGCGGTTCATTTGGTGAACTCTTTTTAGGTAATGCCCTTATCTTATTATCGTTTGGTTGATTTGTGATTTTATTTTTTATTTTTGTGGATTACTATTAAAGTGTTTGTGAGTTTCTTTATTTAAGCTTTCTGTGTGATTTGTTTGTGCAGGTGTGAACATACAGAATGGAGAAGAAGTAGCCATTAAGCTGGTATATATATATATATATATGAATATGTGTATTGTTACTATGATGTTCCCTCTTATTTTTGTGTTCTTGTTTTTTTTTAATGAAGTTTGGAGCAAAGCCATTGTTGAGGTTAATTGTATATTTCTTTGGCACAGTTAATGTAAAAATGTCTTCTGATTTTGTTCTAGATTATGAATAGATTGTCTTTTGTTTGTGTCGCAATCAACTTCACATTATATGGATATTCTTCTTGAGATTCTATGAAGAAAGAGCCGATTTATGGAATGAAATAACTAAATGACGATTGCAGATGTATTAAATTAAACGAATTCACTTTTATCCCTTATGCCCATGAAATTTTACTCAAGTTTTATTAAGAGTGAGTTGTTTGTCATACTTTTGTATCACTTTTTTAAATATGTTTCAAACATTATCGTAGCTGCAAGCTATTTACCAGTTGATAGCCAATATATGTAGATTGTATATTATAGTGGTTTAAAATGACAGTCATCACCGTATTTGTTTTTGTTGCTGCTGCAATTATCAGGAACCCGTGAAGACCAAGCACCCTCAACTTCATTACGAGTCTAAAATCTATATGCTTCTACAAGGAGGAAGTAAGTTATTAATCTTTCCTAGTATACACATACAAGTTTTCAATTTTTCATGTTTAGTAATGTGTGAAAGTGTAACATTACTGGGTTAGGGATGAGTACGTGCATTATGCTTTGCCATTTTTTATTGAATTGGTGATTATTGTTGTAACACATCTCCAAAAACTCTATTGAAAGTGTTATGCCTCTTTTCTACGACGTTTGTTAGTTTTTTAATGTAGCTATGAAAATTATTTCGCTAGTGGGAAGGCTGTTAATCTTTTTTTCCGGCTGTATGATTTATGGAGACAATGATGCACACATTGAGACAATAATTTATGGACACATCACTCATCTGTAGGGAAATATTCTTTTCTTGTTTTTTTTTTTGTTTCACCAAAGTTGAGATGATTCTTTTGATTGAGTAAATAGGAGTTCATAATTTTGTCAAAATTGCTTTCTTTTGTATCATGAGGGCGATTAACTTATAATAATTTTTCCAGATGGGTTAAAGTTAAACTGCATGTTATTTTATCTTTATGTTTGTAGCTGGAATTCCCAACTTAAAATGGTTTGGAGTCGAGGGAGAATATAACATCATGGTGATCGACCTTCTGGGCCCAAGTCTTGAAGATCTCTTCAACTATTGTAACAGGAAGTTCTCCTTGAAAACAGTATTGATGCTTGCAGATCAACTGGTAATTTTGCTTCGATGCCTAAGCTATTCTGGTTTTGAATTGGAAATTAGTTATTATAACTAAGCTTTCATTGTAATTCAGATTAACAGAATCGAGTATGTCCATTCAAGAGGGTTTCTTCACCGTGACATAAAACCTGACAATTTCTTGATGGGCTTGGGTCGCAAAGCTAATCAGGTATATACCTTCCTATCATTCTTAGATTTTGTATTTGTGATTATATTATATGTATGTATTAGTTTTCTTTGTCTTGGCACTTACAAAGACTTCTTTTCACAGTTTCCTCATTTTACATGATTCTTTGTATAAAATTTACCTCTTTTCTGAGGCCAAATGACAGTCCATGCATTTATTTGTCGGAATCTGTCTATTTCCATATAGGGCAGTTCATTGGCAATGATTTTATACGGTCCACGCTGTTTTAATGTAATACTATATTTGTAGACTATTAGCGTACCGATTTTTAGATATATTCTTGTTCTCACGTGCACAATGATATCTGATATCATCAATGTCTGTGACCGACACTTTTGGAATGTCTTGCAGGTTTACATCATCGACTTTGGACTAGCCAAAAAGTATAGAGATCTTCAGACTCATAAGCACATACCATATAGGTACCCGTTCCCCTGCCTCCATCATTATTACATGCCCTTTACATGGTTGGTTGTTTTGTTCTGATATATCCTGTCAGATTGTATCTACCGATTTTCTATTTTTGAGTGTGATATACTTATCAAATATTCCTTCTTCGTATCTTAGGGAAAATAAGAATCTCACTGGTACAGCTCGGTATGCAAGTGTCAATACACACCTTGGAGTTGGTGAGTGATTTATCAACAAATCTCCAGTTTTTTTTTTTCTGTCGGGAATTGAATATAATTTCCTTTTTTCTGTTGTTGACAGAACAAAGCCGAAGGGATGATTTGGAGTCTCTCGGTTATGTCCTAATGTATTTTCTGAGAGGAAGGTTAGTTTTTTGTAATTCCCTGTTTAAATTCCTTTCAGTATATATTTTTTTGTTACTAGATATTTATTGCGTCTTGTCTACTCTGTCTTTTTGTCTTTTTCAGCCTACCTTGGCAGGGACTTAAAGCTGGCACGAAAAAGCAGAAATATGACAAGATAAGTGAGAAGAAAATGCTGACTCCTATAGAGGTATGTATGGATGTTCTCTATTTGCTTATGCCGACAATTTTAAATTCCTTGTTTCCAATTTATGTTGTCATGAGTCGCATCCCAGTTGATCTTTATGATTTTCACATTAAACTTGGTTTTTGAAACGGATTCTAGACACAATATCGATAAATTTTGGTCAAGAACTTTTTTTTTGTCCTAACTTGAGAATTTTTGCACACTTTCTATAATAAATTCATGGAAACGAAATGCTGCACATGTATAAAGTTTATCAGTCACTCTTTAATGTCTTGTATTTGGCGGGCTTAGTTGCAATTTACGATTGTTTCAGGTACTGTGCAAATCTTATCCATCGGAGTTCATATCTTATTTCCACTATTGCCGGTCGTTGAGATTTGAGGACAAGCCAGATTATTCATATTTGAAAAGGCTTTTCAGGGACTTATTCATTCGTGAAGGTGTATAGAACGATAAATGCTGTTTAGTTTCTTGATTCTTAACTTTTTTTATGTGCTTTAGAATTCATGTTATCTGATGTTTATTATTATGCTTTTGTAAACATGCAGGGTATCAATTTGACTATGTGTTCGATTGGACCGTACTGAAGTATCCTCAGACGGGCGCAAATTCCAGACCTAGAGTAGGCATTTACATATTCATATCTGTAGTTTTTAATCTCGTTTTCTTGATTTTTTAATTATGTAATAGTTTTGATTGCTTGATTACAGAATCCCACTGGCAATGCTATTGCTGGAACTTCTGGCGAGAGGCCGGGAAAGACATCAGGTATCTTTGACCAAAATGAGCTCCAATTATCCGATATAACTTCTAATTCGTTGTTTTGGGACAAATCGCAACAGATGTAACTCCTTTTTGTTGTTGTCTGAATTTTTTATTGCAGTGGGGCTGGGGCAAGATATCCGCGATAGATTTTCCGGCGCCGTCGAAGCTTTTTCTAGAAGAAACGCCTCAAGCTCTGGCCGGCATGGCGACTATTCCAGACGCAGGACATCAGAAGATGTACCTTCATCAAAAGACGTGGTATTTCTTCTAACACCCGAAAAATTTAGTTAATTAGTGTCATTACATTGTGTTTGCCTATTCCATACATTCTTGATGTCGGATCTTTGTCCTAACCTGGTTCATGAATTCTTACACAGCAACTCGACTCGGAAAAAGCCAGCACATCGCGGAACGGGAGCTCCTCAAAGAGGGCTGCCGTTTCGAACAGCAGACCTAGTTCATCAGGCGAGCCCTCCGACGGCCGGACTGCCAGGCTGGCCTCAAGCAGCGGCCGATTGTCCACAACCCAAAGAAACCAACCGGGCTTCGAGCTAAAGCCACCATTGTCGTATGCTCGCGCCGGAGCCACAAAAAGCTCCCGTGAGGACCCTCTTCGAAGCTTCGAGTTCCTGTCCATCAGGAAGTAACCTGGTATGGTCTTTGTAAACAGATAATGTCAAGGGCCATTAAGAAATTCGAAATTCCTGTGTGCGTGTCATGTAAAAATGACTTTGGTGTACTTGAAATACTCTGTTCTTGGATCCCTTTTCTCTTGTGGGGTTTTTGATATGATTTTCACTGTTGTAATGCTATATTTGTATGTATGTTCTCATCCAAGGTACTGATGAGTGAGTTACTGAATTGTATCTCTACTTTTACAAGACAAGCAAGCTTATTTACAGATGTTAGGTTACCAAATTCACAGAAAATTGGAATTCAAATGCGTGTAATTATGAAAACAAATGTAGGATGAATAGAATACCTGGTTTCATCAAGAATTGGAGTACTATTTGTATTTGAAATAGATTCAAGAACAGTCAAAAGGAATGGGCTATTCAAGATCCTAGAACAAACTCCTAAAAATACATAAGCATTCATGCCGCGCTCTCTTTCTTAAGTTTCGCAAGCTCTTGTCGAACAATGCCAGCCCTCTGCACATTCAAAATAACACGAATTCAATCTTCATTGGCACCAATGGTGGGAAACGAGTAAAAGAAAGAAACATCATTGGGTGCTTAAGGTAGTTCCAAGTGTAGTTGAAATCCAATCATATGGCACAACTAAAATCGAGATCAGAATTCAAAATAACACGAATTCAGTCTTCAACATCCACCAATGGTGATAATCCCCGAAAAAGAAATATAATTGGGTTCTTAAGGTAGTTCCAAGTGTAGTTGAAAATGAATCATATGGCACGACAATATGGAGATCAGAAAAATCATGCCATAGGAGAGCAAGTATTTTTTAAGTAATGCAAATTTGGGCTATAGAATCTTCAGTAGGTTACTAAGTCTAGAAAAAATTTGCATAATTATATTTTACCCTACTTGTTCCTTTTCATATACTATTAAGTAAAGATAAATAATTAACTATGATGGTTCTGAAAGTAACAAAATACCTTAATTTTTGCTAGCATCAACTTGAACCGATCAAAATCATTGAGGGCAGCCCTTCTTTTCTGGACAATCAACTTCCTTCCCCATGAGCTCTTTTCCCATTTGCCCTTAACATCTGCAAAAAAATGGAAAAATTAATTCATTAATAAGATACTATCCATTTTATAAATGAAGTTATGTGGAACAACTTTGGACACACACCAGCAGCTTCCATGGCAGCTACCAGAGCCTTCTTCTTGGGAACCCTTTTGATGTCGATCTTGATATCTGTCAGAGAAAGCCTCTTGAAGTTCATCTGGCCCCTAACCATATCAGGAGCATCCACAAGAGCCTGCCAATGAAAAATTCAAATACGAAACCATGTAAGAATGGTTAAACGAATTTTGCAACCGTCGTGCTCGTTCAAACTCATTGTACATTAGCATTACCGATCAACTGAATACCAGCTAATGCAGTAAAATTCCACTGCAAATTAGTATAACATTAAATTAGGGAGGGTTGAAATTCTTATCTCATGATTAGCTGACTATAATCAAACTTGAAATAAAAGTAGATACCATGGCATCATTGAGTTTCATAGTTCATAAACAAGACCAAACCCCGACGGCCCCAGCCATTTCATATAACACTGATTGCCTTTATTGATCATTAAATTACCAATTCAATATATAACAGCCAACAAAAAGATGGACTTTCATCATCCTAGGGAGAACAGTTTCAACACAAGAACTTAAGCGAACAAACATGATCTAAATCGAATATTAAGCAACGAAGTATAGGTAGTAACTAAATAATCACCTGCAAATACCAAAAAATTCGCTAATAGGTAATCTACGAGAATGAGAACTGGAAAAAAGGAAAACGAACACATACCCGGTTCTGGTCGATAACATCGACGATGACAACAAGCTTCCCATAGTCCTTGCCGTAATTGACAAGAGCCACCCTTCCGATCTCCACGTACCTCTTGAACGGCTAAAATAGATCAAAATTCAAATCAGTAACTCAATCCAAAACACTAAAAATAAATGCAAGCATTGCAAATATTGCTTCTCCAATGGCCTTACCATATTCGTCGACGATCTGTGAATTCAGCAAGTCCGCCGGCGAGTGGAGGGGCGGGGAAAGTGACGCTAGAGTTGTACAAGAATTTTTTAGAGTTAGGGTTTTTATTTGTCTGTTGGGCCTTGTAAATTGGGCCGGCCCATTTGTTGTTGGTCTCGAGGTCCCGGTACCTCCTGAGTTAATGCTGGAGCTCCTACATTTGAGGAGTTCGTTAATGCGCAAACAGGCAAAAGCATGCCATCGCCATTAATGGATGGTGAGAAGGAAATACGGAGCAGAGAATTACAAATAAGAGGAAGAGGCCGTTAATGCCGTGGGGACTTCCTTTCCACAATTTTGTTTGCTTTTGCATTTCTTCTCCCCAGCCATGGAGGTTGAAACCCTAAACATATTCGTTTCGCAATTTTCAATAATTTTTTAATCGCCTCCATTTCCGGTGTCGATCATCGTATCGGATATTTGTAGATAATCAGGTCTGCCAGCTTGTGCGATTTCCAGAAGCCTATTTTGCGAGGTGCAATTTCTTATGCCTGATTATCCTAGGGAGTGATGATTATGGATAGCTTTGTTCCAAAATTGTCTATTTGTGATTATTATGGATAACTTTGAAACGCAATTTTGGAACAGGATGTTTTTTAGCTCAGCTACCGAGGAATTGGATGCATACTATCCTATTAGACCTGAATGTCAAGCCGATGTTCCCGTAACACGCTTCAAAGCCAGGGTATGGGAATTTTTCCAGCTCTGAGTTTCCAAATTGATCGATTTGTTCCTTTTTCTTGAATTCAAATGTAATGATGCTTGTTGTGGAAGATATGTAAGATAACCTCCATACTTTGTCATCTGATTTTTATGAATTCAAATGCCATGGTTAAATTTTAGGTTACAGGTTGAGTTTGATTGAGGACATAAGTAAAACATGCCCGTTGATTTTGATTAAAAATATCCATTTTGGCCTGAGAAGTTCATAATCTTTTCAACTAATGGGAGCATTGCATTCATGATTACTCAGAACTATTTGTCAATAACTATGATCCTTGTATCCATGGAATACAACTGTAGCTGGTTTTCTTGTTTAAGATTCTTCTTCTTATTTATTTATTTCTCTGACTATATTCAAGGTGGGCAAAACTCTGAGTCCAAGAAGATGGAATGCAGCATTTTCTCAAGACGGCTGCGTGGATTTTGCTGGTGTTCTTAGAAGAATCCAGAAAGGGGTAAATTTGAATTACATTTTAAAAATTAATATATCCCATAAATGCCATGTTAGCTAAATGGATTGTTGGGTTAGATACTTCACGCCATTGTCTGCGCTTATTTTTTATATGTTACATGTATCCCTACTCCCGAAAAATAATGGAACTCACACATGTTGCTACTAATTGATGGGGACCACTTTTATGGCGATTGAACTTTGAAGTGGCGTGTCTCCATGGACGTATAAATGCTTCATAGAAAAGTTATGTTTGTCGGGACTCGGGAGATCATTTATTATGTGTCATTGAAGCAAAATTAATTAAATAACACAGCATAAATACCTTTGATTTAGCTGTACTATGTTTGTGTCTTAAATATTCTACCGTTTGTGAGTTGGATTTCCTACTTTGTCAATTGCATTAGGGGATCCACCCTACCATTAAAGGCGTAGTCTGGGAATTTTTGTTGGGTTGTTATGATCCCAACAGTACAAATGATGAAAGAAACGAAATCAGGGAACGCAGGAGGTATGCATGCCGTCTCATTTGTAGTATCTGATATATATATATATGTACATTGTATTATATTCATATTGACTATTTGACTATTTAGAGAATAGAGTCAATCTCCTCTTTATATTCACTACACATTGAAATGTAAAGGAAATAATAATTCTAGTTTGTTTATATATGGCAATTTAAGTCTTGGTGATTGAGTTGAGGTGAGTTGAGTTTAAACATAAATTGTTATTTGGCAAGCAGAAGGTGGGTTGCTCCTGAAAAAATGGACTTGATTCGAACTCAAATGTGCAGTTGCATAATATGATAAGCTACTTAAGTATGTGCAATTGCCCAACATATAAGAAAGTTCTTTTGTGAAAAACAACTCTAATAAATACTACTACCTCCATTTCTCAAATTTGTGCTCAAAATTTTTCGCCATGGGTTTTAATATGGGATTTTGATTGATACTTTTTGTTACTTCAATAAAAATATAAAAAGTGGTATAAATTTTTTTACTAAATAAAGCAATGAGAACATTTTTAAGAGACAAACTAAAATGGAAAATAAGCACAATTTTAGGAGACAGAGGGAGTATTATGTTGGCTTTTTATGGATCCATCTAAATGTGCTGCTTCAAAAGAGTGTTCTACAAACAATTAGCGTAACTTGGGAACTTGATGACTTGGCCTGGTCGTGCAATTTTATAATGCTATCTTACATGTAGACAAGTAAAAGAGTAGGTTTTGTGTTTTCAACCACTTTTGTAATACGGTAATTTGCTGCTGTGGTGCTGAATACTTTTCTGTTGCTGAAAGCTAATGAACCATAAATAACATGACCAGAAAGTTCAGTGCAAAATCCATGCTTTTGACTTCTTCCATATATTTGTCAGACTAATATTTTGAATGACAACTTGATTAAGGATATTTAACCACTGTGTATATCTTCAGGGAACAATATGCCGCTTGGAAAGCTGTGTGTCAAAAAATGGTACCTGCCATTGGCAGTGGAAAGCTTATCACAACACCTCTAAACAGTGAAGATGGCGAACCAGCACAAGATTCTTCTTCCGATGCTAGTGAACAGAATTGTAATGGTGCCATTCCGAATGAAAATGAGTCATTAGATCCAAGGGAAGCGCAATGGAAGCTTAACCTCCCTCAAATTGGTTTGTGCTTGGCCTTGATTACGTTTGTTCTATGCTTTCAATACATCAAAATTATATTGTGTTGTTCACAACATGATTGTGCATATTAATATTTTTCATCCATAATATAAGCTACAGTTTAATGGGTCCTCCTTAGGCTATTGTTCATAGGTCTGGTCATATTATACTTAATTCTGGTATCTGAGTAGATAATAACTTTATGCTCCAGGATTGGATGTTGTTCGAACTGATCGTACCCTTGTATTCTATGAGGAAGAAGCTAATCGTGCAAAACTTTGGGATGTTCTTTCTGTTTATGCATGGGTTGACAAAGACATTGGGTATGTTCAAGGTAAAAACTGGTGTTTTCCGAAGGAATCACACGACTCCCAGTGATATAATATCCGACCTGACTATCTAAAATAAATAAATAAATTCCCTTGAGCAGGAATGAATGATATATGCTCTCCAATGGTTATTCTTCTTGAACACGAGGCAGATGCCTTCTGGTGTTTTGAGCGTGCTATGCGTCGACTTGTAAGTTCCCATTTAGCAATCTGTAACTTGATAGAGTTATTCTTTCATCTTTCATTAGGACAGTTACAGTATAAACATTGTTCTCTAACGAATGAAGCTGACATGTGATTGTCTCGTTTTTATTAATTCTACTTTTTGAAATGAAAAACTTTCATATTTCTACAGTCATACTTGCATGTTTGTTCCGGTCCTTTCCTTGTTACCGACTGTGATAGCAGTAGTTTTTATTAGTACCACTATGCTATTTCCACTGAGATTTAGTCTGGATATACTTTGTTACTAAATGAAGGATTTTTTGCTTATCATCGTACACTGACGTGCCATTTTTGTTTCATGTTTGTGTAGAGAGACAATTTCAAGTGCACCACAAGTGCTATGGGAGTACAATCTCAGCTGGGTACTCTTTCCCAAGTCATCAAAGCTGTAGACCCAAAGCTTCATCAGCATCTCGGTACGACTATTTTTGTTGGTAGAACTTTTCGCTAGTAAATTCTGCATCTAGAAATGAAATAAAAATTGCCTATTCGGGATTGAGTTCTAGAATCTATTTCTGTTTCTAGTGACCAAGGCAATCGATAATATACGAGAGCTAATTCTTGTTGGGCGATAAATACAACCTTGTCGTTGACACAACATTTTTCTAATTTCCTGCATACTTATTAAAAAATTTATTGTCTTAAGCTTTGGTGTGTGTGGCTTACATTTAATCATATTTGACAGAGGATTTGGATGGCGGGGAGTATTTGTTTGCCATTCGTATGCTGATGGTTGTGTTTCGAAGAGAATTTTCATTTGTGGATGCTATGTATCTCTGGGAGGTAGGAAGTGCACTTTTGTTTGTATATTTAAATGCAACTGCCCTAATATATACCCAGTCGACAAAAACTCCCTGTTCAAATAGTTTTCTTGGATTTCAATTAGATCTTGTATCAAATATACGCTGACTTAAGTAAATTTCTGGTATATGCACATTTGATTCGGCGCTATATTATGTTGAAAAAACTATATTGGCATAGGTCATGTGGGCCATGGAGTACAATCCACATATCTTTGCACAATATGAGGAGTCGAGCGAGCTAACCTCTGCAAGTGGTAACAGAAATGATGGTAAAGTAAGTAGCAAGCAGCTCAAGCAATATGGAAAATTTGAGCGAGTAAACATGAAAACGGGAACCCAAGAACAACAAGGTGCTCTCGCTGTGTTCCTAGTTGCCGGCGTTCTTGAAAAAAGGAACAAACGACTCTTGAAAGAGGCTCAGGGCATGGATGATGTTGTTCAGGTACATAAAATCATCCCTGCTCTATCTCAATTTATTATGTATCTCTCTTTTCATTGTGTTTAACTCATGCCCGACTAGATCTTGGGTGAAATCACCGGAAATTTGGACGCGAAAAAGGCACTGAAAGAAGCACTCAAAGTTCACAAGAAATATTTGAGCAAGGCAAGCTAAGCTAAGCTTCGAATCTCTCTCCATTTTCGCCACTTTCTTCCTTCATTGCTAACTAACCGATTATTGCAGGCCAAGAAGCCGCAGTAGGATCATCTGCATCCCGGAACAAGCTAGTAAAAAGGTCGAGTTTGTGTTGTGCTATTTGTATCCTTTCTTTTGCAACAGGCCTCGAATTAGAGCGGCTCTTGCAATCATCGATAGCTTTCGTGTAAATTCAGATGGTGTTCATAGTTTATATTGATCCCTGTTTTGTGTTTTTGCATACGTTTTAGTAGGTAGTTGTTGGTTCTCTTTTGTAAATTTTGGGATGCATGCTTTAATGATCATGTAAAAATTGTATGTTGTGTACGGCAGTAATTGATTGAGTTAGATCGTTTGTTGTTTGTTTCTTTCTTTTTAGCTCTATCTTTTCTGATAAATTAAATTGGTGTAATAATATTATCCAAAATTGTGTTGTTTAGCTTTTTAGTTTTTGACGACTTTGTTGTAAATTTTAGATGAAGTCTTGAAGTCTGCAAAGAAAATTTTTATCTTGAAGTCTGCAAAGAAAATTTTTTTTTTATCAGTATTTGTAATATTTAAAATGGACCGGTTCTTTTACTATAAAAAAGACAAAAACTAAAAAATAATAATATTATTCATTTTTATTAGAATTTGTGTCTAAATATTTGAGGGTGTCTAAACATTTGGGCACTTCTGCATTGGGTCGGGTTGGTTCAAATTGAATTGAACTTTAAAATTTTTTATCGATTTTCGATTTATAAAAATTAAAATCGAAATTAAATCAAAATTTTTTAAAACAAAATAAATTGAAGTAAATTAGTTCAGTTTAGTTTAAAAATTTTTTATTTTTCAGTTTATCAAAATTAAAAATTAAAAATTATAACTGAATCAAAATCGAACCAAACTAATTAATTGAATTAAAACAATCTGAACTAAAAAAAATAAATCAACTTTTTCGATTTGAACAGACTAACGTTCACTTTGAGAGCACATAATTGAATAACGAAATTAATATATAAAATAATATATATACACACACCGTTAAGTAAAATAGAACTTTGTTTTGTTTTGATTTCAAAGAAAATTATTGGTATGTAATTTATATAATTTTTGTATATATACATATATCATTTTCATAAAAGAATATTAAACAAAAATATTATTTAAAATAAATTACAATTTTTGGTTTTAACACGAAATATTGTATACTCCAATCCGTTTCAATTCAAGTATATTTTTATTATTTCACTTCAAAATATATATTTTCTATATTAGAAATACTAAAATTATTTTAATTTTTACTTAAATTACGAACATAATATTGAACATATAATTATTTTACACATTAGTCAAATCAAAGGGGTAAAAATGTCAAAATTTCTTAAACATTTTCTAGACTAATAAAATACTATTATTTATTAATTTAATACAAAATTCCTTTTTTTTTTTTAAATGGATCGAAGGTAGTACTATTTTTAATAAAAATATATAATTTTTATAAAAATATTAAATAAAAATATTCTTTTAAAAAAACAAAATTCAAAGTTGTCATCTACACCAAACAATTCCGTGAAAAAAAAAAAAAAGTTTAATTAGACAGAACCGAGGACAATCAAAGGCCAACAAACAACCGAGAAAATATAATTCAAACAGGGAGGGGATCCTTAGCATTATCTCCTCCCTGCCTCTCCCTACCCCACACACATGTATAGATACATAAGTGTATATCAATAAAGTTATATTTTTGACATATTTGATGGTAGTATTCAATAAATTCTATTTTTAAAAAAAGAAAAGAAAAAGACGGTGACCGGGCGACCCGGTATGGCCAGCGTGGAAGCAGAACGAACCAATGAAGTACAGCCACGTCGTGGGTCTAGACTAGGTTAGACTGAGCTGAAACATTGGGCTCAGTGGGTCGGCCACATTGAACTGGGCTAGCCCGTAGCTCCTCTATATATATATAACGGGCTGTTCATTTGTGCCTCAATTGGGCCGGTCTCTATATGAAACGGGCCTTCTCAATGGTCTGGGCTTACCAGGTTCAGCAAGGCCCAAAATGTCATAGTTCGCTAGTGTGGGTCTGAAAAGGCCCGTATACAATTACTTGGGCCGGACATATTATTCTGGACTAGCCCGGCCCAATTATTCCAGCCAATTCCAGATCCAGATTCCATTAATTGGGGCCCACATCAGATCATTAAAGCCAGTGTGGCATGCCGAAGTTAGTTACAAGCCCAATCTTTTTCTTCTTTTAATTTATGTTTAAGAATTAATTTAATAATAGATGAAAATATTTCAAGGGACAAAAAAATAAAATAAAAATAGTAATTATATTAATTAAATGGTTCAAACAGAATTAACTAACTAACTAACTAACAAACTGCCAATTATTCATTCATTGCCTCTGAAAAACCAAAGGTTTTGGATTATCTCCATTGCTGCCTTTCTCTCTCTCTTTCTCTTTCTCTTTCTCTTTCTCCCTCCTCCTGCTGGGTTCATTATTATTTTTCTTTTCTTAATTTTGGATCATTCACTGTTTGTTTGTTTGTTTGTTTGTACCATAAAGAAAAAAAGAGAGGAAAGTGCAGCACACCACAATATATGATCATCGTCATCATCATCAATTAGCTAAGGTTGATGGTTGGATGCTTGGAATATTGATGATGATATGAGATCGATTGATTATAATGTTATTCTCATGATATTCAATCTTGATCATCATCATCTTCTTCTTCATCGTCATATGTGATTTTTTTGTCTGAGAATTCGATCCCAGAGGCACCCATTATAAATATATATATATATATATATGTAAAGATCCAAATATCAATCGATGATCGATGTAATGGAATGAATTGATCAAAAAAGAAAAGTGATCAGAGACCACAAAAGATATATATGATACGAGATGAAGGGCCTTTTCAAAGGACTCAGATATTTCTCCCATATGTTCGGTACCTACTCTCTCTCTCTCTCTCTATATATATATATATATATATACATATAATTAATTAAGAAATGAAATGCAGCAGAGGAAGAAAAGGAAGAAGAAATACAGATCGGATTGCCAACAGATGTGAAGCATGTTGCTCACATCGGAAACGATGGCCCTTCCACCGAAAACCCCAGTTGGGTATGACATTATATCTGTATCAACTAATTAATTAATTAATTTTAGGCAAAATTATTCATAATTTTCAATAGTTTCTAAACTGAAAGTAAATATCTCATATATTTTAAAAATTAAATTTTGTCTTTTTATATTTTAAAAATTATTGCATGAAACTCATGCAAAAATATAGATGATAGATAATTTTTTTATTACAAAAATATATATATATATATATAAAATTATGTAATATTTTTAAAGTATAAAGAAACCGTATACAATTTTTAAAATACTCGAAAATTTACAATTGAGTTTCGAAATCACAATTATGAGCAAATTTTAGTTTAATTTAATGAATATTATTGCATGATGACGTGCGTGCAGATGAAAGAGTTTAAGAAAGAGCAGGAAGAATCATCATCGCCACGCGCATCCCTTCCCCCACCAGCTCCTACTCCTACTCCTGCTCCAGATAATAATCCCGACAATACTATCACTCAAGGTATATATATATATATATATATATTCAGGAGGACGGATCTACATGGGATCAGGGTAGTTGAGAATATGTATTTTTTTAATATAAAAAATAATAAAATTATATATATTTTTTTAGTAATTTGTCTTTCTTATTTTTTTTATTTTATAATATAAAAAATCATAAAAATTTTCTTTGTTGATTTACATTTTAGCCTTTAAATTTTATTTTTTTATAGTAAAAAAATATTAGATTTTATGTAATTTTGTTAGAAATTATTTTTAAAAATATTTAAATATTTTCATTTTTTTTTTTACACTAGTGCACTATGAATTGAAAAAATAAAATATTGAATCGATAAAAGATATTGATATTTTTGCCTTTGAAACTTTTAGTGCTGGTTGCATGACCTATATATTAGTATTAATTTAAACCTGAATGAATTGTTTGTTTGATTAATATATATATATATATATAATTATACAGAGTCAAGGGGAGTGCGCAACAAGAAAGATCCATCGAATTCAAAAACCAGAAGATCCAGAAGGAACCCTTCAAGGGACTCCTCCGACGGCAGCCTCAACTCCGACGAACTGCCATCTACCGCCGCCGCCGCCGACCGGAGCCTCCCCGCCAAGACTAAGACGGCCACTCAGCGGAAGAAGAACACCAGATCATCAGAATCTGCTTCTGCTTCCGGCGGCGGCGCCGCTACTCGCTCCTCCAGATCATCGAAGCCCAAACTACCCCCCGCCGCCGAATGATATCTAATCTATCACTATACATACATACGTATATATCTATAATCGATTATATATGTGTATATATATATATGTATGTTGCAGTAATTATATTTTCATATGTGTGGTTTGATCTGCAGATGTTGACGACGACTTTAAATGTATTCATTGGCTAATTGCTTCACTTTGGATTCAGATTCATTCTTGTTTCTTGCAATTACATCGTTTTAATTAGGTATATATACACATATATATCTATATAGAGAGAGAGAAAGAGAGACAGTTGATGATATTATTCTACTGTGATTAAGATTGATTAAGATTATAATTGGTTCGGATCTCCTGTCCGCACATCTCCCAGTCGCTCCTGGCCATCCAATTGTGCTTCCTTACCTTTTTCTTTCTTAAAAAAATAAAAATTAAAATTTTATTATAATTTACAATTTTACCCCTTAATTTTAATAGCCATTTTATTTCTCTTTCAACCCTAAATATAATTTTTATTTTGTTTGAACGACGCAGCAATTCCATCGCCTTGCTCGCCCTAAATATAATTTTTATTTTGTTTGAATGACGCAGCAATTCCATCGCCTCGCTCGCCGCCGGTTGCCCACTAGGCCGTCGCCGCCGCTCTCTTCTTTCGGCCATCGTCGGAAAATTTCTCAAGACATTCTTACTGCACGCACTCTGATCTTTCACCGTAGTTACAGTTTCTTTCTCAACCTCTAATTACAAAAAAAATAGGTATATTATTATTATTATTATTATTATTATTATGCTAAACTATTTTTTTTAAATCATTTATTGCAATATAAATTTGAAGTTTCTGCTCGTTTGAAAATTCAATTTGAAATTTAGTTGTTGTGGGTTTATATATGTAGTTGTTGTATGTGCTTCAAAAGGGTAAGAATATGCCTTGAGAAATTTTCCGACGATGGCCGAAAGAAGAAAGCGGCGGCGACGGCCTATCGGCGACCGGCGGCAGGCGGCGAGCGAGGCGATGGAATTGCTGCGTCGTTCAAACAAAATAAAAATTATATTTAGGGTTAAAAAAGAAATAAAATGGCCATTAAAATTAAGGAGTAAAATTGTAAATTGTAATAAAAAATTAATTTTTATTTTAAAAAAAAAAGGTAAAGAAGCACATGTATTGGATGGACAGGAGCGACATGGAGATATGCCGGACAGGAGATCCGAACCAGATTATAATCCTTGTCCCGTCACAAATGATTTCATTTTTTTTGGTACGTTTTATAAAAGATGACCTCTTTTCATCTTTGGTAAGTTTATTAAGACCCATTGTAAACCCATTTATTTCTATCTCTCTCCTCAATTAACAGATATTTTTATCTACCATTAAAACTCCACATTTTTTATAAAACTAATTTATGATAATGATAAATAAATATATTTTTTTATTCATTTGTATTATATAAAATTTTATTGTCTACATAATTATATCCGTATTGCATATATTTTAAATAGCAACAATATTACACATATAAAAAATAATAAAATATTATTTTAACTTATTATTAATAATTTAATAACCCACTTTACCTAAAATATTGTGTCCCTAACAAAAAGGCTTCATCTTCCGGAGGACGGAGAGAGTATTTGCTTTCGGCATGAATATTAACAAATATTATATTTTAATGATAGTCTTATGGTATTTTAAGTTAAATGATAAATTTACTCTCCTAATTTTATTTATAATGTAATAGTAGTATTTGTGACAATAAACTGTAAATAAAAAGGTATTTGTAATAGGCAGTTGAATAATTAGTTACTAAAATAAATACTCTCTCCGTCCCGGTTCAAATGGACTGTTTGATGTCTTGTAATAGAATAATAAATAATAATATTTTATTAATAAATAAAAGTGTATAAGATATTTTGACATTTTTGTCATTGATTTTATGTAAAAAAATTTATACGTATATAATTTAAGTAAAAGTTAAAGGTATTTTGGTATTGATGTATGATTCATTTTACTAAAATATAAAAGAAATACTTTATAGAACATAAAAAAAATAATAATAAAAATAATACTTTGAGTTGAGACGAAAGAAATACAAATAAATGAACGATGAAAATAAAAAATATAATCCTTGTTGCTGAACTAAAAGAGTATTTAATAAGGGTGTGTTTGTTTGGGGGTTTGGATTTTGAATTGAGATTTGAATAGTAAAAATTTTGAATTTGAATAGTTGTATGATGTGATATAAATAGGTGTTGATGTGATGTTTTGAATGTTAAATTAATTTTTAGTATAATATAAAAAATGAAAAATAGGTGTTTAATTTGATGTTTTTGGGGGGAAAAAATTGAATGAATAATAGAATTTTGTTAAAATTCTACAAACGAACACACCCTAAGAAAAAAAGTTGATGGAAAAATGAAAGGCAATTTTTTTCTTTTTCTTTTTTTCTTTTTTCAAAAATACAAGATAATATTTTTAAAAAAATAAAATTGAAAGTAAGAAAATTATTTCCAATCATTTTGTAAAAATAAAGTAGGTAATAGTGAATTATATTTTGAAAAGAGACTAAATGCCAACATATTTATTGACAATAAGTTACTCCATTTTAGTATATATAATCAAAGCTGACTACTGGGGTCAAGTCAGCACTGTGTCGATTTGATTAAATTAGCAAATTAATTTGGAGTAATTTGTATTTTATTATAAGATAAAATAACATATACTTATTATGTTATGTCGTATTTCAAATTGAAATCGAGACCTAGCCTATACTCTAATACTATGTCGGATTCAAAATGACCATCTCACCTAAAAGTTTAAACTTTTAAACTTGATGGGACGAATGCTCGTAAAGTACGAATTATCCCCTTATGTGAATAGACAATACCCTTCCGTTCAGACTCAAATACTCAATGATCCGAACGTCTGATCACGATCTCCACCGTTTCATAATTTATTCTACGATGTCCCCAACAACATACTCAAATTCCAGTCTGATCCAACGGTTAGATTTTTCGATTCGATATCAACACTGAAACTGATCCGACAGAATTCGGGAGGGAATAGAGCTCTATGTTCGTGACTATATCAGAACCTGTGATATCTCCACTGGTCAGAATGTAGAAATATGAGTGACAAACCTTCTACGGAAATTTTTGGACGATCCGATGGTTGAATATTCGTAGATTGTCGTTTTACGGAGACTGCGCTGAGTAAGGTGGCAGCTGCAACTTTCTTAACCACTCTCAAATCCTAATCCATTCAATATCAAATTTATATCACATTGATTATCCATATGTGAAGTTACTGAAATATACTTCTACGTTACAGACAAAACTGTTAGGAAAACAACCCTTAATTATTTACTCCCTCCGTCCACACATAAAGTACACAATTATTTTTGGTGCAATGTTTAAGAAATAATTGTATTTTAATTATAGTTTGTAGTTAAAAGTAGTGTAATGATATTTTTGTCCTTACTTTTTGGTATAAAAGTAACGATGTAATGTAAAATAGGGAAATTTGTGGAAAAAAAGTAAGATATTTAATAAAATGTTTACTTTGTAATTTAACGTTCCAAAATAAAAATGTATATACTTTCTAGTTGAAGAAAGAGAATACTATTTATCTGTAAACGAAAGTCTCCAACAAAAGCCTTGACCATTTAGAATGAACGGAGGGATAGACCTTATATATATAAATATGTACTAATCCGGATAACTAGAACGATATTCAAAACCTAAATTTCAGTTGCAGCAAATCAGAATTCATTGGAGAGATGAACCTGTAACGACTCGAGCAGACACAACCGTTACGTAGACGTAATCTGATTATGGAACAGTGCATATGGAAATTGAGGATGTGGATCCCCTGCTCATTAATGGTGTAGATTAAATAAAGGTAATTTTGACTTTTTATGTAAAATATTTTATCTAATTCAGATTTTTTTTTGTCGTCTACATTATTGCTACCGTTGTCATCACCATTGTCCTAGCGGTGATCTCCATTCACCGGGAGTGTGTGTAGGCTTGGTTGATGGGTGAAAAGTCATTGGTGGTGGATGGTGGATCGTTGGTGTTGAACGATGCGATGGTTAGTGGTAATTTGCGTTCAAGTAGTATGAGATGATTGAGCGGAGGGCGGCGACGATGGTGGAAGAAGGTTAGTGATAGTGATCAGAAGAGTATTGAAAAGGTATGTGTCGACAACTGATACGGTGTAAAATGCTCTTTCATGAACACATAAATGCTGAAATTAATTAAACAAAATGCTGATTTACTTTAATTAACAATAGTCTGCGTATTTTTATGCAACAATAAATGAACAATTTTTTATGCATCTTAAACCTAACTATAAACTCCTATTATATGCACACGTACACTATAAATTGTAGGCAACATCTAGTTTTGTTAATTCCATTGCATGTCAATTAATTAATCATGTTTATATTAGATGCTATCAAACAATATGTTGTCTATTTAATAATAAAATATTGTCACACATTTTAGAAAATGTTGATTGTTATATCAAGCAATATATAACATAATATGAAATGTTTTCTCATTCACACACAAATGTTAAATTCAATTGAATAAGATGTTAATTTTTTATTTTTTTTAATTAACAATAATATAAGTAGTTTTATATAATAATGAATGCTGAAATTTTTCTGAATTTTAATCCAGACTAAAAATTCCTATTATGTGCATACTTATAATAAAAATTATAAAATTTTGTTAATTTTATTGTATGTCAATCAATTGATCATGTTTATATCAGGAAAAATGTCAAACAATATGTTATTTATTGAGTATTAAAATGTTGTCACATATTTTAAGGAATATTGAGTTTTATATCGAGTTGTATAATATAGTATGGAATGCTTCTTATGCATACGTAAATCTTCAATTCAAGATGCTAATTTATTTTAATTAACAGTGATTTATATATTTTGATATAATAACAATCGCTAAGGTATATTATTCAAATTTTTAATAGATGCAAACAAAATTTTGATATTTGTTTGTTATACAGATTTTGAAAAATTATGAAATAATCAAGTTGTTGAGCGAAGGAGATGAAATAAAATTTATTGAGGTTGGAATAATGACAAATAGGCTGTGTTCGTTTGTAAGATTTGTGCAAAATCTTACTATTCATCCAATTTTTTTTCCCCAAAAACATCAAATTAAACACCTATTTTTTATTTTTATATTATACTAAAAATCAATTTTACATTCAAAACATTACATCAACACCTATTTATATCACATCGTACAACTATTCAAATTCAAATTTTTTACTATTCAAATCCAAATTCAAAATCCAAACCCCCAGACAAACACACCCATAGATTTTTCTCGTCTTTATCGAACTTATTCAAAACTTTGTTGAAAGATTATGCTCTTTTTTTATGCGGAGTTAAAAATTATAAAAAATTAAAAAGAAATAGCAATAGAGGAAGAGGAAATGAGCAAGAAGAAGACAATTACATAAATTATTTATAAGTAAATTACGTCTATACCCCTAAATTAATATAAATTTTTAGGTTAACTTTTATAAATTGAACAATTAATTAACGGTAGAATCAACTAAAGTTACTTTCATTGGTCCACGTGGACACACATAAAACACACACACGCTAGGGTCTATAGTGGTCGTCAGTGGCGTATCATTTATTACATCATTTATGAATCACACAAACCAAGGCTTCAACTAGGCCTTACTTTAAGGGTGTGTTTGTATGGGAATTTTTCCCAAATTTTACTATTTATTTAATTTTTTTAAAAGAATTATTTAATTAAATTTTTTTTTTATATTATATTAAAAATAAATTTTATATTCAAAATATTGCATTAATATTGATTTATATTATATCATAAAATTATTTATATTCAAAATTTTTACTATTTAAATCTCAATCCAAAATTCATACTCCTAAACAAGCACACTCTAATTAGCTTCGCAATTCATATTATGGGATTTTACATCCAATAATTTTTTAGCAAATTTTTATAAATATTATATTTAATTATACAAAGTTAACAATTTAATATCCAATATTAATATTTTTATATTATCAATATAATTTATCATAACAAATATAATAAAAAAATTAAATTTAACTTTTATTTTTAAATAATATTTTAATATAATAATTAAAATAAAATAATTATATTTTTATTAGTTTGTTTATCATATAAAAAAATATTTAGTATTTTTTTTATACTCCCTCCGTCCCAATACAATAATTTTGTACCATTTTTGTTCGTCCCAAAATAATAGTCTCATTTTCATAAATAATCATATCACTATAAAACTGCATTTACTTTTTTATTATTATTACAAATCTTTTACCCGTACATTTTACTCATTATCAATATAATATCAATATTTCTTAAATCTCACGTCAAACACAACTCAAGACTATAGTTCTGGGACGGTCGGACGGAAAGAGTATTATAAAGCAAATACTCTATTCATCTCGAAATCATAGTTTTATTTTAGTTTAAAATTTAATAAATAAAAATATTATTTTGAAATTGAGTATAACTTAAATAATAAAAACTGAAAGTATAATTATAAGTGTATTTGGATAAAAATATATATATATAATATTTATATAATAACAATAAAATGAATATATTTATAAGAATAAAATTATTATATAGAGATAAACAAAAATAAAATTATTATTTTGAAATAGGAGAAATATAATATGTATCATCATCACATAAAATTATATTAAAATTTTAATGTTATTATTTTAAAAATTTCAGTATAATATTTTTTTCACAAAAATTATATATAAAATCTAAATAATAATAAAAAATGAGATAAAACTTTAAAAGAAACACACATTTGTCTCGAAGTTTCTTTTAGTTAATCAATTTACACGCAGAAGCCGCCGACAAAATTCATCCACCCACGATCAATGATCGATGAATCTATCTCACCACTGGCTGAATGATCCAGGCCGTTAATTCCAGCGCAACGAACGGTGCCGATCATCCAGGAGCTCCGATCCCCGGACTCGGTAATTAGCCCGCACCCACTTACCATAAAACCCTTCCGATAAAGACAAAACTTTTAGGTATCCACGATCGTCAATAGATTAGTTCCCACATTCCCATCGCTACAAATAATCAACCCTAAATACACAACCATTCCTTCAATGGAATCAAAATTCCAATCTGGAATTTCTCCGAGCAATCCAATAGGATAAAACTGACAGAAATCGACCAATGAAGACAGAAAAAGTTCATCCATTGCTGAAGGGAAGCAGCAGCAAGAAGGGGAAAGGGGAAGGGAAAAATGGATCTTCAAGCTACACTCATGGCCTCTCCCAATCTCAGATCGAATCACTGTCGGCCATTTATCAGGCCTTCATTCCTCGCCTCCCTTCCAATTCAGCCGACATCATCACCACTGACATTGAAGATTTCTCCCAACAGGTAGGAATCTAGGTTTTAATTAATACTGATTTTCCTTATTTGGGGTTGGGGGTGTTTGGTAATGGGGATTTTGTGTGTCCATAGGTGGCTGAATTGATGGCGGGGAGATGCGTACCCCAAGCAGTTTCTGTAGTTCGTTTAGTGCTGAAGCTTTTGTCGAGCAGAGTTGGAACATTGCTGGTTTGTGGGATGATTTGTTTCGACTGGAGATGGCCATTTTTGCATAGGTTTTGTGAGCTTCCTTTGCAGAAAAGGGAAGCTGTTCTTCAGAAATGGTCGAGGGAGACTTTCCTGTTGCCTCTCAGGATAACTTTCTTGATCCTCAAACTCATTGGGTTCTATGTGTTTTTCACTTTGGTAATACTTCTAAACCTTATAGTGATTAGTAGAAATCAGGAATTGAATTGAATGCTATTCTCGACTGAAGTTTTGTCGAATCTTGAATTTATTTGATATATGTATGTATATATATGTCGATTATGAAGAGCATTTTGGATGTGCTGCAGACTGATGAAAACTCAAGTAATCCAGCTTGGGAAGCGATTGGATACAATGTCGAGCCGATCGAGAGAGAGGCGAAACCGGAAAAGGGAAGACCATTAGAGAAAGGTATAGTCGAGCTCATGTACGAAAACACATTATCCTTAAAACAATGCCTCGTCGAAAAGGGACTTTCTGTGGCTGAGGATTCGAGCGAAAGCATGTACAGAATCAAATGCGATGTTGTGATCGTCGGATCAGGCTGTGGGGGAGGAGTCGCCGCAGCTGTTCTTGCTGAATCGGGCAAGAAAGTCGTGGTCCTCGAGAAAGGTCATTACTTCGTCGCGGAAGATTACTCGGGTATCGAAGGGCATTCGATGTCCAAACTTTACGAATCAGGCGGGATCCTAACGACACAAGACGGGAAAATCATGATCCTTGCCGGGACAGCCGTCGGCGGGGGATCAGCCGTAAACTGGTCTGCCTGCATTCGAACGCCGCAGCACGTCCTCAAAGAATGGTCAGACGAGATCCCTCTATTCGGCAGCCCAGAATATCAGTCTGCTATGGATACCGTCTGCGACAGGCTCGGCGTCAACGACGCTTGCGACAAGGAAGGGTTCCAGAATCAAGTTCTCCGAAAAGGTTGCGAAAATCTCGGTATTGAAGTCGATCCTGTCCCTAGAAACTCATCTGCAGATCATTACTGTGGTTCTTGCTGCTATGGCTGCAGAAGAGGAGATAAAAAGGGGACCGAGACGACTTGGCTCGTCGATGCTGTCAACAACGGCGCAGTGATTGTATCCGGGTGTAAAGCCGAACGTTTCGTTCTGGAGGGGGACGGCGAAGGCGGGAAGCAATGCGTCGGAGTAATTGCCGCTGCCGAAAACGAGGGTATTACAAAGAAGCTGATCATCGAAGCACGGGCGACGATTTCTGCCTGTGGCGCTCTACTAACGCCGCCGTTGTTGGTGTCGAGCGGTTTGGAGAACAGAAACATCGGTAGGAACCTACATCTTCATCCGTCGACATTTGCATGGGGATACTTCCCGGAAACATCAACAGAATTCACCGGCAAGAACTTCGAGGGCGGAATCATCACATCCGTTCACAAGTTGCAGTCGGATCAGGATCAAGATCAAGAACCAAGTTTTCGAGCTATAGTCGAAGCTTCGTCGCTCGGGCCCGGAACATTCGCCGCAATGTGCCCATGGATGTCGACGCAAGACATGACCAATCGAATGCTGAAATACCCAAGAACCGTTGTTCTATTTGCGCTGGCCAGGGATCAAGGGTCGGGATACGTAAAGGAACGAGGCCGCGTAAAATACAGGCTAAGCAACGTCGACAAAGAGAATCTGAAAACCGGGCTGAGGCAGACGCTGCGGATTCTGATCGCAGCCGGGGCGGAGGAAGTGGGGACGTTCAGGAGCGATGGGCAGAGAATCCAGTGCAACGGGAGGAAGGCGGCGGAGGTGGAGGAGTTCCTCGACAGCGTGGCGGCGGAGTCGGGGCCGCGATCGAAATCGGAGTGTTGGACAATGTATGGGTCTGCACATCAGATGGGGAGCTGCAGGATGGGTAGGAACGAAGAAGATGGTGGTGTGGATGAGAATGGAGAGTGTTGGGAAGTTAAGGATTTGTATGTGTGTGATGGGAGTGTTCTTCCTAGTGCCATTGGGGTCAATCCAATGATCACTATTCAGTCGACTGCTTACTGCATTGCAAAGAGGCTAGCAAATAAAATCATGAATTGAAAAGAAAATCGTAATTTCTTGGCAATAATTTATATAATGTGTAATCTTACCAAGAAATGGGATGATTTTGCTCCTACAAAAATGTATTATTGATCGACCAATGCTGGAAACCCGTCGATTTACGGGTGAATCTCTGCGACAATGAATTGACAAGTGCGAAGAAATGTGTAATCAGTTTGCTGAGGCTTTCACTGCTTTCTCAGCCGCGTCGTCCAAATCCTCGGCGGTGATCAATGACATCCCGCTTTCCTGTGAAAAGAGTCGAGAGAAATGAATATTTGGCGCGATTTTGCTCGAAATTTGGTGAGTAGGGATTGTGATTTGGTGTTACCTTCAGAATTCTCTTTCCTTGATCTACGTTCGTGCCTTCGAGACGAACCACGACAGGTACTTTTAGTTGAACCTGAAGGCAAAATGATAACTACATGTAAAATACATATATAGGTATATAGATATATATGTATGAATATAAGATTTGTGAGTATACCTGCTTGGCAGCATTCACGATTCCGCTAGCTATTACATCACACTTCATGATTCCTCCGAAAATGTTCACGAGAATAGCCTTCACTTTCTCATCCGAAGTCAAAATTTTAAAAGCTTCGACAACCTGCACAATGAATTCCATTAAAGAGTTAAGAAGTGGTACACAAAAGCCCGACGATATTAATAAATAAGAGGTTGGTGGCCAAAGTGGGTAAGCCTATTCAGAAAATTCACAAGATCGATACACATTGTACCAAAAATATGAAAATAATTCAGAATTACCTGGCCCTCGGAAGCATTTCCGCCAACATCAAGAAAATTGGCCGGCGTGCCTCCATGTAACTTAATTATATCCATGGTAGCCATGGCCAACCCAGCACCATTCACCATGCAACCAATTTCTCCGTCTAAACCAATGTAATTCAAATCAGCTTTGGCAGCAGCAACCTGAAATCAGATTTTTGTTTTAATTTTAAAAAAAAGGTCTTTTTATATTCATTAGCTTCTTGGAATATAGTATGATTAATAGGACATACCTCGCGAGGATCTTCTTGAGTCGGATCTCTAAGAGCAAAAATATCTTTCTGACGGAAAGCAGCATTGTCATCAAAGTTGAGTTTTGCATCAGCAGCAACTAACTGTTTATCAGAAGTCTCAGCAATGGGATTGATCTGTCAAGAATAAATTGCTGATCAAAGTCAGACAAAACAGTCGACGCTTTATCCAACACCGATAAATAAGTTTTGGCGATAAAGTCAAATATGTCCACCTCCAGCAAAGTGCAGTCACATTTGCAAAAGAGTTCATATAACTTCTTCACTTGTTCGATTGAAGCATTTCTATCAGCCACTTGGGGAGATAACCCATCAACTACCTTGACAGCATCCTCATCAGTAATTCCTGTGAAAACATCAATCGGTACCTGGAAAGGGAAAGATTAGAATACTTTGCTATGAAAATAAGCATTTAAAACATAAAGCAAAATCTTAGAAAAATGGGAGAATTTACCTTTACAATCAGTTCTGGATGCTTCTCTGCAAGATCTTCGATACTAGTCCCTCCTTTCTTGCAGGCAATAATCAGCTGCAACATGTATATACAAAAACTCAGATATACCTCTGCTAAAAATGGCATGCACTAACGATGCAACCGAAATAACAACGTATACTATACAACAGAGGGCAGCCTTAAGAAAGTAAACTCATATGTCTAGTCATGGAAGCTATTTAAATATGAATTCATTGCCATCAGCAGATTTTTCAGTTTACTACAAAATATTCAAATTTAGTAGAAACATTCCTTTAATCTCCGTAATTACCAACAAAGTTACAGAAAAAAGGTTGCTTCTTAATTCAGTAGTAAGTTGATGATGGATAAGGTTAAAGCTCCAGAAAACAACATAATATCAGCAATGGACCTACAAACCAATTAATATTTGTACTCTCAATCAGGAATTTGAGCCTCAGGTCTAGAAGCAGCTTTGCAATTAGAGAGTAGTATTTCAAAGAAATATTTATCTAAAAGTAAGCAAACTTAACAAACAGTGAGAATGAATATCGAAGAATATTGATAAAGTTCTAAACTTACAGGACCAGCAGATTTACGATCTAAAGTGATTGCAAAGTACATCTCATTCACAAGAGATAACTTCTCAGCCAAGTATACCTGCAATAAAAAAACAATAATAAAATCCTTCTCTTTGTCATATAAGCACAAACAGATTTATGCATTACATAATGAATATGGCAATTTATTATGTGAACTTTGACTCATTAAAACACCAAATGGAAAAATGCAGAACCTTTATATATATTCACACGAGCAGCCACTAAGAGAAAGCAAATCCAAAAAACGTTAAATTTAATCATCATTACAATCCAATAGCTTAAATATCCAGATGTTCCATGACAAGAAGTTATTTATAATTTTAACTAGCTAAATAACCTATTACCAATTTTTATGTGAGCAATTCAATAGTTATATATTAAAACTCCAATAGCAATAAATTTAACAATATAATACATTAAGGGTGTGTTTGTTTGAAGGATTTTGGTGGATTTTCACTATTCATCCAATTTTTTCCCCCCAAAAATATCAAATCAAACACCTATTTTTCATTTTTTATATTATACTAAAAATCAATTTTACATTCAAAATATCACATCAAACCCTATTTATATCACATCATACAACTATTCAAATTCAAAATTTTTACTATTCAAATTCCAACTCAAAATCCAAACCCCCAAACAAACACACCCTAAAACCTCATCCTCACTATTATACAACTTATCAGAAACTGCGCGAAAGTAAAATAGAGAATTATCAATCATTATTAGACAATGCAAGAACATTAGTGGTTCGGACCACTGTTCTGGGTAACATTGTGTTTATGATAAGATTATTAGATAATCCTTTCCAAACCTTGCTGACAACTTTTCCTTGAGGTCCAGTTTGCTTTGTAACAAGTATTTGCCCAAGCATTTTTCCTACCATTGTGCAAATACAAGACGTTATAATTGGTCATCCTATGGATCAAAATTATGAAAGATGTAATGTAATGTAAATTCTGCCAAAACTTTCAGCAGCTTTGAAAAACTAATACATCTGTAATCTCCTTTCAGATAGTGCTCTCTTTTAAGTGAAACTGCTGAGTCAGTGAGTCTTAATGAATTTTGGACACTATATTAAAATTCTCAATTGAAATAAAATGCTAGCTTTTAAGAGCATGTAATGATGCCTGTGGAACTTTCATAGTAGAACTTCAAGTAATCTTTTTTTTTTTTTTTTATTCAGAAGTAAATGACACCACAAAATTATAAAACATCCATACATATCTTGAAAAACTTCATTCTTGCCATAAGGTAGACACTTAAATTCTGCATAGTTTTGATGATTTTGTAATGCTATGAAAATTCAAAATTGTTGTCCAGTAACATACCAGCAATATCCTCAACCTGTTCAGCCTTCACAATATGAACTCCTCCCTGGAGACCACTCTTAAATGTTCCCAACCCTCGGCCACCAGCAAGGATTTGAGACTTCACCACCACCTGCAATATTGAGGTTGTCTCCATATTAGTTAATTTTAGATTTCACCAAAACCATACTAAACCCCAGAATACAAATCGAAGAGCTATCGCTTAGAACTAATATTTAGCTCTACCTCACTATGATTGGGAAATATTTCTTGCAGAACTTTATTGACTTCACTAATAGAGCCAATTGCCACGCCTTTTGGGACATTGATTCCATGCTTGCTCATCAACTCAGCCCCCTGGGAAATGTTAAATTTTCAGTCAGGCCAATAATCACCACATGGCCAAAAAAGTCCAAGACCACCACCCTGTTCAATTCTCCAAGACTCATTTACATTTTACACATCAATCATTATCTACGCCCAAAATTCGCATCTACAAAACCTAAAATTCAAAATTACGCAATTTTCCTCCGAAATCAATATTAAAAGCACAATGAGCATAACAAAACATCAAATGTGATCGCCCTAAAACTTATTTCACAGACACCAAAACTAAAAGTATCCACACAACAAAATGCGTAATGGCTACGTCACTGCGGAGACCGAGAAAGAGCGAGAGGGAACGGAACAAATACCTGATACTCGTGGATGTTCAGGCGACGGAGTTGCTGCTGCTGCCATTTTCCGGCAACGGAGATAGATCGAGTGGCGAGCTTTCCCAGCAATCCTCTCACCATTTCGTAATAAATTCCTCTTCTCCTCTATTCAGATCCTTTTCGTCAAGATCGACTCGAGCACAGAAAAAAATAAAATAAAAAATTGGAGATCAATCAATCAACGGGGAAGTGAAACCCTAAATCAGAGACGCGGGAAAGCGGCGGCGCCGGCGGCAGAAAAAGCTGATCTTCGCTGGTGGAAGAAAGCAGAGCCTACCAACCCGTTCAGAGCTGTGCGATTTGCGGACTTTGACCCGTTAACACTTTATACAGTTAAATAAATAAATAAGTATTAAAATAACTGCTTAATTTAATTGAAATTACCGTTTTGACCTTGCAATAAAACTATACAGAATCTTCACGTCAGCTGCCGCCACTTGTTCTATCATTTCGTATTTCTTTTCTTTCCTTTTTTTTTAATTAATAATTAAATCAAGAAGACAGAAAGCTCATTTTAAAAAATAAAAATAAAATAAAATTATAGTAAATAGTTTGAATTTCTTACCAAAACAAGACCAATAAATCGTACATAAATTACAGTATACAGTAATATATAGTTACGCAATAATAAAAAAAAAATTAAAAATAGAAATAGAAACTGGCTTGGCTTTTAAGATTTACTATTCATCTAATTTTTTCATCCCAAAAACATCAAATCAAATAACTATTTTTTATTTTTTATATTATACTAAAAATAAATTTTACATTAAAAATGTCACATCAATACCTATTTATATCACATTGTACAACTATTTAAATTCACAATTTTTACAATTCAAATCCCAGCCAAACTCAAAATCCAAGCCCCCAAAACAAACACACCCTAAAAGTAATAAGTTTTCTTGGCTCAAACTCACATTATAAGTGATTTAAGCGATCTTTCCTTAACGGGTTTTCGAATTCTCTTTCTCCCATTTCCTCTATCTTCTTCTTCTACGACGTCGTTTTGAGCTTCATGTCTATTTAATAAACTCACTTCACGATAATCATGGCCATTCACAATCAAAGACGACGTCGTTTCGTTCCGTTCTGAAACAATGCCAGAATAATTCAAAACCCCGCCATTGTTGCTTCTGATCTTCTTGCTCCATCCAGGCCTGAATCCAAAATAATAATAAAATTCATTCGAATCCGACGAGGAGGAATTGGATTTGGAATAGTCCACCTTGTTGGTGGATCGTGTGCTGCGCCTGGGCTCCATTGCCCGTCCAGATTTCTTGGTGTGAGCAGAATTCTGGTAATTCTTCGAAAGGGATAAATGGTGCCCGCACAGTGAGCTCCCTTGAGCAGCCTCCCGCCGGCAATGCCAGCTCTTCCCGTCGTTCTTGCAGCACAAAATGACTTCGCCATTGTTGGTACTCTTCAGCAGCTCTTTTTCAAAGAGTTCATCCTTGTAACAGCCATTGGTTTCTATCATATCCCTGCGATTCGCCCTGGATTTTGGTGATTGCATCTTGAAAGAATGTAATATGCGTGTGCGTGAGAAAAATTATTAAACTAATAATTACTGTTTTTAAAAAAGGGAAAAATCGATGGGCGTCGGGGTATAAACCCTAGGTGAATGATTTGCGAAAAATCAGAGAAACAGAAATTAAAACTGAATATTGCTGGAAATTTTATGAACAGTAAATTGGTTACCTTTCAACTAGGGAATGATGGCGGTCCGAGCAACCATTTCCGCCGCACGAATCTTCTACACTGACCTGCTAAAAAACGAATCCCCAATCGAATCGATAATAGCCAGAAAAAGAGGGGAAAACAGCAATCCGATTCTGAGGAACGGTTAAGAGGCAAAATCGTGCAATTAACACTTTCTGTAGAACCCCTAGAGCTGTGACTGTAAAAAAAAAAACCCTAGAACAAACACCACAATTGCAACAGGAAAACAAATGCAGAAATTTCGAGCAGAAACAAGGCAACAGATCTGTGCATTTCAACGGAATGGAGTCGGATTGCGAGAAATCGAACACACCTGAGGCGGAGGCGGCGGGGATGGAGGCGGAGGAGACGAGGGAGGTGAGAAGCTCATAACGTCCCATGGAGATTGATTCAGTTGACAGTCGTAAGTTTGGAGAACTGTACCAGGCTGGAGCGACGATGGCGTATGGCCGGCGGAAGAATTTCTGGCGTGCTTGCGTATCCTCATGGCGGCTCCGCCGTGGCGCGGGACCGGACGCGGTGGTCCTCTTGATGGAGTGATCTGAACTTTTCTCCACCTGTGTTTTTTTTGCCTTTTTTAAATTTTTTAATTTTTAGGTCTGTTTCTCCATTTTTATATAGATTCAGATTATATATACAGAAAGTTGTATGTAAATATGCGCTTATATCTGCATTGGTTGCAAAAATTTATGGCGTGTTTGTTCGAGGGTTTGGATTTTGAGAATAGTAAAAATTTTGAATTTGAACGGTTGTATATAAATAGGTGTTGATGCGATATTTTGAATGTAAAATAGATTTTTAATATAATATAAAAAATAAAAAATAGGTGTTTGATTTGATATTTTTGAAAAAAAAAAAAAAAATGAACAGTGGAAATCTAATCCAATCCCCCAAACAAACACCTACATAAATTATAATAATCCTCGTTAATAATCTACTAAATTTTTTTATTTTAATGTATTATTTATATAACATTACAAATACTAATAAAATACCTTATAATTTATATTATAGAAATATTACAAATACCTTATAATTTATATTATAAAAATATCATTACATTTATATCACATAATATTAATAAAATTATTTTTATTATTTTTATTTTATTTTTACTACATATTAATATAATATTCCATCCGTCCCATGTAATATGAGTGTATTACCGTAGACACGGGAATTTAGGTAAAGTATAATTAGTAAGTAATTAAGAAGTGTATTAGTAAAAATAATTATAGATTAAAATTAAGATAAGTAAATAGTTTAATTAAAATAAAGAAAATTATAGAATTTAAAATTTAAAATGCGATTAAAGTGCATAATTATATTTCAAAAAATAGAAATGACAAGTTATATGGAACGGACGAAAATAGAAAATATGGACAAAATATGTAGACGGAGGAAGTACTAATCTTTTTAAAACTCTATATAAAAAATAAATTGATGCATAAATATGGGACCAGAGAGAATATTTTAATTATGACTTAAATTTTATAACTTATAATTTTATTAATTTTAATTAAATTATTTAATTATTTTAATTTTAATTTATAATTATTTAAATTATAAAATAAATATTTTTATTAATGTATTTTTTCGAATTGGAGGGGTAAATACTAATTATCAAATTTAATTAGGTCCCACACCCCTGAACTATGCTGAATATATTATTAGGCATATGCATCAAAATAAATCTACAGAAGTTTCTCTACATCTCAAGTTTGTTTGTTTGCGTTTCTGGTTCGAAGAAATATATATATATATATATGTAAATTATAAAAAAATTAGATAGATAATATCAAAATATAAATATATGTAAAATATTAAATTTTTAAATATATATATATATATTTGGTGTTTTTAAGCAAAAAAAAAATACATGGTTCATTTTTTCATCTCAGTAAAAATATTTATATATTATATTTATATGAAAAATATTTAGTTTTATAGTTAAATTTAAATAAAATATAGCAATATTTTTCATAACATAAATAATAAAATTTTATATAATATAAAAATAAAAAATAAATAAAATTATTATAAATATATTTTTAAATAAAATTTCTCTAAAAATGAGAATCTACCTATTTGGTGGTCTTAATAAAGTAAAATACTAATACGTCATCCGTCCAGTTATAAAGTATACACATTTCTATTTTGGAACGTCCAATTACAAAGTAAACATTTCATTAAATATTTCATTTTTTTCACAAATACTCTTATTTTACATCACATAATTACTTTTACATCAAAAAGCAAGAGCAAAAATATCATTACACTTACTTTTTAACTACCCACTATAATTAAAATACTATTATTTCTTAAACATCGCACCAAAAGTAAATATTTACTTTATACGTGGACGGAGTGAGTATTATATATATATATATTTGGTTAACATAAAAATCCGGAGTCGCTACTTACAAATATTTTTTGATACTATACACTATAAATTAATTCATCTAAAACCACTGGATAAATATAACTTGTATACGAAGTTTTTGTATTAAAGTGTTTGGTAAAATAGTTATTTAATATTAGTTATTTATATATAAATTAACAATTAAAGATATTTTTTATTTTATTTTTAAAATAATCAGCTGTGTTCTTTCAATGTGTAGAATTTTTTGAAAGTTTTTATTAAGTATTACTTATTATGAAAGTTCTATTAATTCTTTTTATTATTTTTAAAATATTTTTTTTAAAAAAAAAATCGTTGAAAAATATGAATATTTTTTTCATTAAGAAATGATTTTTTAAAAAATAATTTTTTTTATATGTATTTTTATGAAGTTAATTTTAAATTAAGTTAATTTTTTATTAAAATTTATATTTTTATATAATTTATTATAATATATTCATTAATAATAAAAAAATTATGTGACAAAAATATAATATATACAAATAAATTAATAATATTAATAATTTTTTGTTGCTTTTATTTAAACAAATTTAAAAATTTTACAAAAAAAAATAATATTATATAAAAAATACTCTTTCCGTCCGCCATATTTAGCCGGGTTCGGCACGGTTATTAAAAAAAATGAATATTTTTATTAAAAATGTAGAAAAAAAAAGTAGTTTGGAGTATTTTTAAAAATTTAGTTAGTAATTAAAGAGAATGTAATAAAATTAGTGATATTTTTTTTAAATAAATGTCAAATGCAAGGTAATAATTAAATATTAATTTTTTTAACTTTTTTAAATATAATAATGAGATGAATTTAACGGATGAACAATAAATTTGACGAAAGAAGAAAATAATAATTTAAACTAATATAATTTATAAAAATAATTTTATAAATTATTAAAAGAAAATATATTAAAATAATAAATAAATACTGCAATAAAAAAAATTAATGTGTAAAAAGATAAATTATTTTAAAAATAAATAAATAAAAAAAATTAAAGTAAAACATTTATTTTCATGCACATATAATGTTTCAAAAATTAATTTTTTGTAATAATAAATTATTTTCAAAAAATTAATTTTTTTATTGATAAAATAATTAAAAATTATTTAATAAACTAAAATTAATCCTTTTTTTTTTAAAGAAAGATAGTACGAGTATACTTTTTGTTAAACAAGCTAAAATGGTAACACTTGGAGTGGTGTAATAAATAAACTAAAAATACGTGTCATTACACAGTCACGTCGAGCAGATTGCAGGATTTTAGTTATAAGGTCCCGGAGTTCAGCTCCAGAAGGGAAAATCACACAATTGGAGGTAAGGAAACTGGAGCTCTGCTCCAAGGGGCTGCCATCATTTCTCATATATTGATGGCTTTCAGTGTGGGACCGGTGCATTTTGGCCCATTTTGTTTAGCTTATTATTTTGACGATTATTTTATAAAAGTTTTCAATAATAATAATAATAATAATTCGTAACAACTGAATAAAACAGGGTGCTTTGCAATCAGATACCGAACTATGCAGAGCCACGGCAGTTGACCCAAACCCCTAAATATAGCATTTATTTAGCCTAAGAAATAATAAAATTATGTAATTTTTATTATTTTGCCCCTTATTTTTCATTTTCTTTTTTACTTTTTTGTAGTTTTATTAATTTATAATTTTCAATTTTTTTTAAGTAGAAATTATTGGATTGTATTAAATTTTCTTAAATATTTTTCTAAAAATTTAATTTTTAATTTTTTTTTTTTCTGTTTTTTTGTTTATTCGGTTGCATCGAAAGAAAGAAATTAAAAATTAAATAAATAAAAATTCCCCCCCCCCCCCCACCAAACTAAATTTTAGAGCTGGTTCAGTCACTGTTTGCAATTAAGGGTTTCTTTTCAGATTTTTTTCAATTAAGGGTTTCTTTTCAAATTTTTTTTCACAAAATATTTCATTAAATATTAATTTAATATAAAATTTAAATTAAATCTTCCTAAACATAAATACACAGATATAATACATATTATACAAATAAACAATGTGCATAGGGCAACCCATTAATAAAATGAAGTAAGCCCAACTAAAGTCTAAATAACCTAGTCCACTGAGTCAAGGTCAATCCGACTTGTTAATTGTTCGACTCAACTCGTTTATATACGACTTCAAACTTGGGTCACAAGCATTTTGATTAAACTCTAGTAATGGTATATTTGTATCATTTATCCTATTAATATAATATAATTTTCTCATTCCGAAATTAGATACATATAATTAATTATATATCAAAAAATATATACTCTTTATAAAATTCAAGTCGAACTCCAACTTAAGGTCGAACATAATAAGCCACTCTCAATTGAACAACTATTTTAGCTCGAACTCTACCCAAGTTGAGTCGAGCATCTACCGATAGCATATTCGAGCCGAGTTCAAACAATAAAGACTCAATATCTCTCAGCTTGACTCGGCTCGGCTGGTTTAGGTGTTCTTAAGTGAGCTTTGGGTGCAACAAAAGCTTAAGTAAAAGTAAGCTGTGCATTTACCAAACTACCATATATGATCTGTGATCATTAATTAATGCTCAAGAACAAGCAATTACAGTTTAAGATCAAATCAATTTGCAAAATGTATATATATATATATATGTATGTATAATTTATCAGATTGCAAGAACTGAATTCAAGAACCAAAATCCATCATCTTCATTTCAGAGAAGTATAAGGTAAACTAAACGGACCTTTAGCAATGTCGAAATAGATCTGAACTTTCCTTACATCAGAGATGCAAGAGATCGCTCCTTGATTGGCTTTCGAACTCTTTTCTTCTTCGTCGCCGTCGTCGTCGATTTCGAAGACAAATTTCCTCCATTTTTGTTACCTTCGGGAACATAATTATCTTCAGAATCCAGTTCATGATGTTCATTTTGGGCCACTTGATCGTCGTCGAGTTCGGAATTTGCTCCAGATTCGTCGTTCTTGCTCGTAATTTGGGGTCTGATCTTCTTGCTCCACCCTGGTCGGAAACCTGAATAATAATAGAATTCATAAGAATTTTGCGGCGAATACGGCGGCTTGGTTCGGGTGCTCTGCCGCGTCGCCGCCGACGACGCCGCCGCCGCCGTCTTCTCCGGCGGAGCTGCAGCCTTTTGTTTGTGAGCCAAATTCTGATAATTTTTTATGAGGGACAAGTGGTGGTCGCATAACGAGCTGCCGGCGGCGGCCTCCCGCCGGCACCGCCAGCTCTTCCCGTCGGTCTTGCAACATTGCTCTTCCTTCACCTTCTTCTTCTTATTCGCCGCCGCGGCGGCGGCGGCGGCGGCGGCCGGAGTTTCTTTCATATTGCCATTGCTTTGAATTTCTTTACTGTTAGGAAAGTTTTTGGAGAACTTGAATTAATTGTTTTAAAGAACATTTAAAAATGTCGATGGAATTAACAGCTAACAACGAAAAGGGAGAAATCGAAAGTATATGTTGGCGCAAAACCCTAAATAAATTATTTCCAAAAGACGCCATTGATAGAGGAAAAAAACGCATATGATTCAAATTTTGATAAACAGTAAACGGATTACCTTTCAGGAACTGAAATAGGGCGTTCTGAAGCACCATTTCCGGCAGCAGCATCCGCCCCATTGACCTGCAACAAAACCATCCAAATTCGAGAAATGGGAACAACAATCCAGAAATTAAAGCAAAAAGAAGGATCAAATCCTGCTCAATCGTCAACCAAAGCACAAATCATGAGAATCAATAGCTTCTATACATCCTCGAGGTGAGCCTGAATTAGAAAACCCTAGAACAAACGCCAGAATAACCGCCGCGAAAATGCATAAAATTGGGGCTCCAAACAGCCAACAGATCTGTGCATCCAAACAAAATAGAAACGGATTGCGAGAAATTAAACAAACCTGAGACGACACCGGCGGAGGCGGCAGCGAAGCAGTCGACGATGGCGGCGAGAAGCTCATGACGTCCCAGGGAGACTGATTGAGTTGGCAGACATAAGTCTGGAGCAGACCACAGCTCCCGACCTTCCCCGACGACGTCGTATCGACATCCGTCTCTGAAATCCTGGCTCGCCGGCGTATCCTCATGGCGCCTGTTCCTGCTCGAGTCGGCGGAGATGGAAGTCGATGGGAGCCGTTGCTTGGACCAGATCGAAATATTAATTTTTAATTTAATTTTCCAGCTCTATTAATCGATATATATATATAGATACATCAGATGTATGTATATGCGTATATACGGTGATGTTTCCAATCACTGTATTGTTGTGGTTACAGTCGCTATTACTTTTCCCATACTAATTGGATGCACTGCACCGCCCTCACCGTAGAGCTCATCTGGGTCCCACATGTGGATTATATTTTCCGTTTCTGTTGTTTTTTTTATATTAGTTGAAGAAATAGATATTTTAAGCGAGGCTTAGGGCTGTTTGTTAGTGTCCTGATTTATTTATTTATTATTATTTTTTTTTTTTTCATATGAGTATAAGAATTGGGTTGAGAATAGAAAAATAAAATTTAATGTGAAAGTTGGTTTTTTTTTTTTAAAATAATAAGATACTATTTCTGTTCGATTATAAGAGTTTTATTTATTTTTTGGATGTTGATCTTTCAATATTAATTGTCATATCAAAACGTAGTATAAATTAAGGAAAAATTACAAAAATACTTTCTTTAGTATCTTATAATACTAATAGAATGACATTTGTAATTACACAAATATAAGAATATTTTTAATGTTAAATATAATGACGAAAAATGTAAATATGAACCTTGGAAGCGGACGTATAAAGTATATATTAACAATCCTGTTGAAAAAAAATTATGGACAAACAAATCTGATTTTGGTTTATTATTAAAGTAATACTCCTTCTGTTCTAAAACAATAGAGACATTCAGGATAATCACCGAAATTAAGGAATAATAGTATAAAAAATAGAAATGAGAATATTTTCTTTAGATAGATAAAAATGACAAAATCAAACTATTGTTTTGAGACGCACATAGTATTTAATATAATATTTTCTAATTTTTTTTGAAAAATAAAAAATTCAAATAGTAAATTTTTAAAATTTTGTCAAAAGAAACACTAACAGTGAATTTTTGTATGGAAATGGATATTATTATTAGTATTATATAAATAGATTTTTATGATATTTTTAATAATTATTTTATATCCTCTCAGTTTTGTAAAACGAATATTATTTATTTTTCGTATATTAATTTGTAATATAAAAATAAAAATATCTTAATTAATATTGTTTAATATAAAAATAATACTTCCTCATCAGTCCACACAATAAATATACATTTACTTTTCGCGCAGACTTTAAGAAATAATAGTATTTTAATTATAATAGGTAGGTAAAAGTAGTATAATGATATTTTTGCCCTTACTTTTTGGTATAAAAGTAATGATGTGATGTAAAGTAAATGTATTTTTGAAAAAAAATAGAATATTTAATGAAATAATTACTTTATAATTGAACGTTCCAAAATAGAAATATGTATACTTTGTAGCTGTACGGAGGGAGTATTTATCAATATAATGTAAATGGTAAAAATATTTAGTACTCCCTCCGTCCCAAATACCATGTCCACGTTGTCGTTTATGTCCGTCCCACATACCATGTCACTTTTCTTTTTTGAAAAAATGATTACGCATTTTAATTTCATTTTAAATTTTTTAATTTTTTTTTAATTTTAATTAAATTAATTAGTTATCTTAATCTTAATTTATAATTATTTATATTATAAAATAATTATTTTTACTAATATATTTTTAATTATCTACTAATTATGCATCTTCTAAAATACCGTGTCTACGATGTAGCGGACACGAGAGGGAGAGAGGATGTTATATGAAAAGCCTAAAAACCTTTAGTCCCTTAAGTTTCATATCACTTACAAAATTTAATACAAAAGGAAGAGACTGCCAGTTGAAAAAGAAAACTTGATAGCGTCAGTGGGACCGCATGCGCTACGCTACAACAATATAAATAATATCCCTCTGTCTCATATTTATGTATCTGTTTATCTTTTTACAAAGTTTTATAAATATTAATATTATATTAGAATATGATATGAATAAAATAAAAATAAATAAAATAATTTTATTAATATTGTGTGGTATAAATATAACGATATTTGTCTAATATATTGTAAGTTACGAGGGTATTTATAATATTATCTAATTAGTTAATTAGTTACTAAAAAATAAAATTGATAGTTCGCAATGACCAAAATAAATAATATATAATTTGTTAAAAAACGGAGAAAATACTACATTACTAAAAGCATCTTCAACAGGCTGCATTTTCTTCCTCTCCAACCATCAGCCAGGTTTGACACAAAAAATGGTGTATGTATGTACGTATTTTTTAAAAATTATTTTTATATTAATTCTTTTATTGTTTTATTATTTTTTTTAAAAAAAATTATATTAATTGTAGATATAAAAAATGGCTTAAAATAATACTCCCTCAATCCCATAACTATGTATCTATTTACTTTTTGCATGGAGTTTTAAAAATATTAGTATTATATTGGTACGTAAAAATAAAATAGAAATGACTAAAATAACTTTATTAGTATTATGTGATATCAAAGTAATGACATTTGTGTAATATATTGTAAATTGTAAAGGTATTTGTAATGTTAGGTAGACAGTACAATTACTAGAAAAGAAAATGGGTACTTTGTTGTGGGACGAATTATACAAAATAGAATATTTGAAAAATATTTTTTTTTTTTAGTAAAAAATATAATTGTGAATTTGAAGAAAAATAGTGTAGCAACTGTATTTTTAGAATTAAAACTCCATCAATAAAGTTTGTGGGATGGAGATGGCCTAAGATTTTATTCTCTCTATATTATTTTTTAATTATAATTTTTAATTTTTTTTTAAATAGTAATACTCTATCCACCAGTCCTAAATAAAGAATATTATATTGGTTAGTAAAAATATGTAAGAGTTATATATATATTTGATCTTATATATAAAATGATTGTATCTGTAACGATATATTATATTAGTGTATAATTATTTTTTTAAAAATTTAATACTTTACAATGGGATAAAAAAAAGGTAAAATTGCTTATAACTCCCCTGTGGTTTCGAAATTTAGCGTATTTCCATGTACTTTAAAAATTGCATGGTACCCCCTTATACTTTAAAAAACGTTGGATGAAACTCCATCACCATGAAACTTTCCTCGTGTGATAAGAAGATGATTTCCTATCTATATGTTTTGCATGGCAGAGGGGGTTTTATGCAATATTTTTGAAAGTATAAGTGAGCGTCATGCAATTTTTTCAAGTAAAATGAGGATTTATGCTGAGTTTCGAAACCACGAAGTGGTTGGTTTCATGCAACATTTTTTAAGGTATAAGGAGACGTCATGCAATTTTTAAAGTAGATGGGGAATTTACGCTGAGTTTCGAAACCACAAGGGGGTTATAGACAATTTTGCCTAAAAGAAAATAATATTCCCTTCGTTCCACGACAAAGTATCTAGCTTTCCATTTTAGTCCGTCCTATAACAGAGTATCAATTTCTTTTTTTAGTAACTGTACTATCTACTAACATTACAAATACCCTTACAACTTACAATGTATTACACAAATGTCATTACCTTTATATCACACGTACTAATAAGGTTCTTTTAGTAATTTTTATCTTATTTCTACTATATCACAATATAATACTAATATTTCTAAAACTACGTGCAAAAAGCAAATTAATACTTACTTCTGAGACGGGAGGAGTAAAAAAAATATTTTAAATTGAGACAGAAAAAATAATAAACAATAGTACAAAATATTTTTATAAAAATAAAAAAGTAAAATAATATCAAATATTTATTTAAAAAATTCAAATATTAATTTATAATAATAAATTTTACATTTTTTTGACATAATTTTCCGTATCACATACCCGAGAATCAATAAAAAAAAATACAGGAAAAGGCGCCATAATTAGTGGTGGTGTTGTAATAATTTCCAAATATTGTATACAACATTTTACATGTTAATAAACATATCTCCCTCGCATAACGGAGTTTATATAAAATTTATTCTAGTTTGTTTATTATAAGTAATACAGTACGCCCTCCGTCCAGCTAAAGTATACATGTTTATATTTTGGGACGTCCAATTACAAAGTAACCATTTCATTAAATACTTTATTTTTTTCACAAATACCCCTACTTTACATCACATCATTACTTTTATACCAAAAAAGTAAGGGCAAAAATGTCATTTCCCTACTTTTATCTGCCTACTATAATTAAAATACTATTATTCCTTAATCTCCGCGCCAAAAGTAAATGTATACTTATTTAGTGGACGGAGGGAATATTATTTTTAATAAATTTATCACTATTAAATATATTTTAAATATAAATTTTATTTAATTTAGTTAAAATATAGAATAACTCAAAATTTTTTTATTTTATTTCTATTTGATTAAATTTTTAATATTTTACACTTATGACTCATTTACAATATTTATATTTCTATTAATTAAACTTTTAAAATCTATTTAAAATCAATTTTATTTTTATAACTATTTTTAATAAATAAATATTTATATTTATATGTATATTTTTTATTTTTTTATAAAATTAATTTATATTAAATATAATAAATAAAAATATTTTTAATTATATTATATAAAGTTTTATGCTTTAAAAATAAATATTTTATTTATAAATATTTTATTAAAATAATAATATTTAAATTATTTAAATACATATTTTAATTTTTTTAATTATGTATATTAATTTTTATTTTAAAAAATATCAAAATACCAACATTACTATAAAAATAATATAATCATAATATACTATTGTTAACTTTTCAAATTATATATTTTTAAATATCATGTATCACTAATCAAACACAGCGTGGGCCAGAGGTATTATTAATATATGTATACACTCCCTTGGTCGTATTGTCATTTTTGGTTACTTTTTTTTAAAAAATTAATTACATATTTTAATTTTATTTTAAAATTTATATATATATATATTTTTTAATTTTAATTAAAATAATTAATTATTTTAATTTTAATTTATAATAATTTATATTATATATTAATTATTTTTATTAATATTTTAATTATTTACTAATTATATTTATTATAAATTCTCGTCTCTACGCAATCAAGACATCAATTTTTATTTATTGTTGAAAAGAAAAAAAAAAAAAATAAATAAAAATACTCCATATGGTTGGATCCATCGTGAGCAACGGCACACCCATTCTTATTTCTACATTTATTTATTTATTTTATTTTTCTTTGTCTGTTGTCCCTTTCGTCTTCTCCGATCGATCGAGCCACAGCTATGAGGATCCGCCGCCACGCCAAGATTTCGGAGCTGCTCGTCGACGCGGCGCCGTCTCGGAATCCGGTGAGCTGCCATCTAGAGACGTATATCTGCAAGCTCAACCAGTCTCCCTGGGACGTCATGACCTTTCCGGCGCCAACGACTTTATCGCCGCCGTCGTTCCAGGTCTGTTTAATTTCTACGAATCGACCTTTATTCAGTTCGAATGCACAGGTCTCTTACCCGATTTGACCTCTGATTATCTGCATTCCGGCGGTTATTCTCGCGCCCGTTCTAGGGTTTCTTATCCCCGCCGCTAGGGTTTGCTGGAACGGTTAATTTTCACAATTTATGCCTCTTAATCGCGATTGTGCGTCGAATTGCTCTTTCTTTCTCCGCTAATTGCTTGATTGTTGCCTCAATTTCTCGAAATTGGACGGTGTATTCCAGGTCGTTGGAGCTGATGCTTCCGGCGGAAATGGCGGTTCCGGCCGCCGTACTTCAGTTCCTGAAAGGTAATCAGTTACTCTCTGCCAAATTACCAATGATCTATTTCTTATTCCTCTCTCGGCAGCGTCCTTCACAACGAAAATTAATTTAGGGTTTTTAACCCGCCAAATATCGAAGATTCTTCCTTCTTCAATACAAAATTTTCAATCCACACTGGTAATTCAATTTTTTCCAAATTCGTTTATCGAACAGTAGGGAGATTGAAAACACAGCAGCGAAGAAGAAGGAGAGGAAAGCGCAGTGCTGCAAGACCGACGGCAAGAGGTGGAGATGCCGGAGGGAGGCCGCCGCCGGCAGCTCGCTGTGCGAGCACCACGTGAGAAATTATCAGAATTTGGATCGCCATGGTAGCGCCAATTGGAAGGTAGATTCGCCGGAGACTGTTCGGACAAGCTCTCGAGCAGCAAAGAAGGTACATTCCGATTCTTACGAACTGTACTGTTATTCTGGCTTCCGACGAGGTTGGAGCAAGAAGAAAGCACAGAGTACGGTGAAGAAGGACAGTTCTAGAATGTTCGATGAGAAACGTGATAATGAATTGGAATCGGAATTGGAAGAAGATGAGTATGGAGGAGATGGAGATATTAATGGAGTGAAGAAGAAGAAGAAGAAGAAGACTCTGCGGAAGCCAATCAAGGAGCGATCTCTTGCATCTCTCATGTAATGATCGATCGATGGGAAACCATTATATAGATATATATATATATATATGTATATGTATATATTTGTTCGGACATGGAAATTGTAAATTAAAAATATTGTATGGATCAGCTTAAGCTTCTGTGTAGTAGTGTGAACATTGAATTACTTAATGAGTAGTTTTTATAGTTTTAATGTCGTATGATACGGATAATTGTGAAACTATTATAGGGATCAGGGAATAATATTTATTTTGATTTTATTGACTTTTATTATGTTTATATATATATTTTAATAATTTTAAAAAAATAGTATAGGAATAAAATAATAAGTTAGAACACAATGTTTGATTTATATATGGATGTATTTGTGTTTGTATATCTTTGTGTTAATTTATGATTTTAAAGAAAAAGCAATATGTATATCTGAGTAGATTGTAGAAGAGGATCTCCTTCCATACATGTGTCACGACCAGTTCTGTTTAATCCCTCTTACTTTATGTTTCTTTTGCAGGATCCTCAAACATTATATGGATTTTGAGTTTTCAAAAAAAAAAAAAAAAAAAAAAAATTCTTTTTTAAAAATATCTTATTAAATATTATTTTAATATTAAATTCAAATATTTTTCTTTTCAAACTCAAATAAAAAAACAGAAAGTGTAGCCTAAGTGCCTAACCTGGCAATTAATCAAAAATTGCGGCTGAGCATTCATTAGTTAAATGCCACTTTTATACATACCAACGAGATAAAAAAGTAAATATATATGTAAGCTAAAATGAAAAGTAAATTTTGTATTATCATCTATGTATATATTTTTAAATAAAGTACCTCATACATTGAACTATTGATTATTGAAGCACCTAATATTTCTTTTTATCATTTCAAATATTTAAACTAAACTCATACTTTTAATGGAGTCAAACTTGTTTAATTACTGATAAGTTAACTCACGAAAGAAATTGTGAAGCATGTCCCATATTGGGCCGGCCCACAATAGCAAATGGTCAAGGTGCCTGCCTAGCCTAGTTGGGACGTGGCCCACATTCAGGTCCATTGGTCAGGCCCTCCATATAGATACACCCAAAGCTCCCAAGTCCCAACACTTCAAAAACAAACCATTACGTACCTCATCGAATATCGAGAATTCCATTTCTCGTGTATATGATGTAGATTGGGGACCTCCATTCAAAGTCTGGGTATGTTTCCAATTCTTCTCCTAACCCTTTTGTAAAACTCTCATGGTGCATAAGCGGCAAAACCATTAATATGCTAACTCACAAAGACACCAATTCTCTACTAAATAATATCTACAAGCTACACGCGTATGAGAAAACGACTTTCAAAATTTACAACCATTTTAAGGATATAATAAATCTCTCTTAACTAATTAAACAAATTATAAGAATAAATCATTATTGCAAGATCATGATTAGATATGGGTCGAAGCGTCCAGAATAATAAGGTTGAGGGTACCTGAAAGAAAGGCATGTAAGTTCCAAGAAGAATAGGAAGAAGTTGATATCACTGAGATGTCTAAACAAATGATCAATGCTAGAAATAATGCCAATATATACAGATTTATAACATAAAATTGATACCCTTTGTTTATACTAATAAGGTTTTGAAGTAAATTTGGGAAAAAAAGAGTGAATTGGGCTAACCTGGAAAGTGGCATCTTGGGGTTCATACATATTTCAATAACAGATCAGCAGAGGAGTTTTTTAGCCGGCAGCTTTGGCCTAAATGAACATCTCCGAAAAGGTATCTACATGGAAGATGTTTATAATGCTAATCAGTAGTGAGCACATAGTTTTAGAAAGTGGAGAAAGATGATGTTCGAGATGGAAGAAATGTGTACCTGTATTCACAGTGTTCTGGCCATGCACATCGAGCTTTTCCATAGTCCCAATAGCAATCGTCGTCCCTCAGAGGTCCACGAGTTGCTGTGTATAGGAAAAAGGGATGGTGACAAAATTAGACGGTGATTGTAAATTGTAATGATATTAGAGCAAAATAATATAAGCTGGTCCAACCTTTGGTGACAAATTTGGACTTTTTGTCGGGATGCATATCGTGCCACACCTCAAGCCATAGCTCCCGCATCAGCACTGATGATCTAACAATATTCCTGTGGTTTGCTGCAAAAGAGACAATTTGGCAAAAGAAAATGACAAAACAATCTATAACTACTTTAATCGGATGATTGTTACCTTTATCAAGCTCCCAAACCGCTGTTCGCTTCCCTGGCAAAGTTTTAGAGTCTTCATAATAAGTTATGTACTTCACTCTTGGAGATTTTTTCATATTAGAAATTATATCCATGTCAGGCTGGCGTTCGACATCTAACTGCACTTGAACATCGGAACCATCGTGTTCTGACTGCAATTATAGATATATGTAGCATTTTTCCTGGAGTTAGCTCAACCAGCAGTGTTAATGAGACGAGTATATTTACACTGAAAAGAAGCATCGGGTTTCAATGATCAGTTCTCTTTCTAGGTAGAAGTGTTTTAGGTTTATTGGCAATAATTTGAGAAAGAATTAACATGAACCCCGGAGTGACTGCTGCCTGAATTAATTTTATCAGCCAAGACATCAAAGCAGATTTGTAATAAACGGATGAGTGGTAACCATTATTTCCCCTTCAAATTTAAAAATATAAGCGCCATTGCAGTAAGAATCAATACGATGATTAAATAGGTTTGATAGAAATTAAAGACAGCCAGGTATATAGGATCTACTTCAAATATCATGTGTTTTACGGGAAATCATATCTTGTTACCTTTAAGATTACTGAAGCGGAAAGAATCAATCAGATTGGAAAGTAGCCTTTAACTAAATATTCGTTATAGAGAACTTTTAATAAACTAGGTTATAACAATAGAAGGAATTATGTAATTTTGGTCCAGTGAGTGGCACCTTATCATCTTGATTCTTTAAATAAACCTTGTATGTCGCTCGTCATCACTCTAATGTTCTGTATCTGCACGTGACATTCAAATATTCTTACGAAAGTGACACGTGGAGGGTACACAATGCATGCATGAATGTCACGTACAAATATAAGACCATTAGAGCAATGAAGAGGGAGATATAGGATATTTCCATATAGGTTCACTTAAAGACTAGAATGATAAGAAGTGACACTTATAGGACGTAAACTACTATTTTCTCTACAATAAGTGCCACATATATTTCATAGAGTTTCACTTATTAAAACCTGAGGAGCCCTTGTAATGTTCACTTCTGATCCTAGCCAGTTCTTGCACCAAGAGAGAGAATGGTATGGTACCTGCAGTAAGATGTCCGTCAGTAAAGTGAGCAGAAGCACGAGGTAATAAACATCAAAGTATATTGTAATATCAACTCTTCGGACATCTTTGTAGGACCAAAAAACTAAAAATCACAATTTAATCCTCCTCATACCGTTTCATCCCCACTTGTTGGACCAGGATTTCCTTCAACCAGATCTCCTGACCTAAAACACAGGAGTAACTGAAAACCATCACTTGTCTACCTATGCAGCGCTAGAAATCATAGCAAGTTAAGATGAAGGCATCATATAAATATATTAAAATTTTAAAAACAACAGTAGTAAAACAAGTTGAAGTAAAAACAATCACATTTGTCATATTTAGATGGATACCTTAGCAAACAGAAGGCATTTTTGATATTTCTCATGCCATTTCAGCTTCTCATTTATCACATAAAAACTCTAATATGACATGGAACAAAATAAAGGCAAGATCTTTCAATATTGATACACTTTCAAATATTATTTTATTAAAATTGTGTTATCCCCTACTGTAATGAACTTTCATCCTTGCATTTGCCACATTGAGAGAAGATTAATTATATCACGACAACCTAGTGGCTATTCAATCATTATACCATTTCAAAGGAAGGATTTCAATAACCTAGTAGAATTGATATGCATAACTGTCACCTGGAATATAAAGATCCTTCCATTTCATATATCACATCAGTTATTATCCAGTTATCCGGGTAAGGCTTTCCACTTGGTGCAAAATAATAACCAACCTGTTATTTTTTCCACATCAAGAAAATAATATATCAATAGAAAATATGGCAATACAATAATATCTGTCTTTACATCCATCCAAAAGACAAACCTCTGTTTTTGAATCTATTCCATAAATGCAAAAGATATTCTTTAGAGGTGGTCTCTCCCATGGAGTTAAAGGATTGAGAACTGGATCATTGTGATATGACCTGAAATTGAAACACAACAACACTTAGCTAACAGAGCAATTAAGTTCACTTAAAAAATGAAAAGATTCACTTTTGGTATGAAATTAAGTTCTCTTATCATACTTGCCTGGTGAAACCCTCTTGGTTCTATAACTTATCAAATATATTAACTGTGTTAACATTGTAGAGTACAGGAGCTCTTTAAATGCTCGGGATTCATATGTCAACAACATTAAAATGCATGGCTTATGTTAAGGGATCATGATAACAAGAAACTCTTTCTTTTGGAACAAATATCTTAAATGGAATTGGACAGTAGTGCAACACTTAGAAGGAACATAAAACATACTCTTCCAGTTGGTGCATAAGTCTTTGACTGTCAGGGTCATAATCAGCTATAGTTTTGAAGAAGGTCCCAGACGAAACTTCTCGAGCAGAAAAGGACAACTGAGTTGGAAATCCACATTCCAGGTCAGATGCATTAACATGTGCAGTTCCCATGAGTGAAGGATAAGCTTCATCTCCTGCCAAGGTAGTAAATAAAGCATGTCCGTATAATAGTATATATATTTCAAGAAGTTATTTAAGCTGGGGGAAATCGATAGTGCATAAAAGATTGATATCATACCTCGACTAGAAGGAATCTCAATATTGATTATGTTAGTTGGCCATCCAGAGTAGTCTGTTTGAAACTCAAGGTCATCACAGCTATAAGAAAAATGCTTCTTTCTGCCAGTCGATAAATGCCTCAAATATGCATTATCTGATCTACAGTGTTTGGAAAATGGCATCATCCATATTGAAGAGCCAAATGAGTTGAACATAAGTCGAGCTGTTCCCTGATGACTAGCCAAATTATTTACTGAATGGAGATTAATAAAGGAAACAAAGTAAAATTGGGAGTAAATAATGACCCTCAACTCCCGTTGATCAACGTCAAGAACAAAAATGTAGCCGGGGACATTTTAGTAATTTAGTTGAAAAAATTGCACTGCACTCAGACAACACAGATAATATACTCACAAAAAAAAAAAAAAAAAAACTTGTAATCTGTTCTCAATACACCGATCTGGGCCCAGATCGATTACGAAAGTTCAAATCAAACATACAAATCACAAATCATGCAACTCATATGACAGTGGGAAGAGAGTAAACGGGGATGGAATTGGGGCTCAACACTATATTCCTTTCACATTCCCACATACCAGCCAGTCAGACATGGCTTTAAAAATGTGTAATGTGTGGAACCAAAGCCACCTACTATGAATGCATTGGATTTCAAAGCTGAGATGAACACATACATATAAATTATCATCTAAGCCGTATCCACGCAAGGTGATTTGGGTCCTGAGAATGATAGAATACCTCAGAAACAGGAAGACCAAATGTAACTCCTGATAATGTTGCTTTAACAGTCTCAGTTGCTCCAAGAAGTGGAGCACCTGAAGAAAACCAAAAGAAGGATTATAAGAAAATGCCTTGTAAATATTAATATAGTAGTCAAACAAAATTCACATGCATACCAACAGCGAAATAAGTATGAATGTGTTCATCCAGCCATTTGACATACTCTTTAGGAGCAATTTCTAATTTCAACCATTCCAAGAAGTATCTGAATACATTATTGCCCATCGAATGAGCAAAAACTAATGCAGGCCCACCACGAAGCTTAAGAGCAGTTTCAAATGTAAACCTACAAAACCGAAGCACATCCAACCTTCATAATTCTCATAATTTTTTCTTGACAAGGCAAGCTACAAGAATTTAACATGGAAGGCAACAATTCTAAATGTATCAAACAATAGTGAGAGTATCAGGAGGCAGAACAGTTAAGTCTTTTCCTAATTCTTTTTATCATCTTGTCTAACAGCTGGTTTTATATATGACTGCAAATTTATGGCACAAGTAAATAGTTCAACATCCCAAAAAAGAGTAAGGTAATATACTACTATAAGTGTGTTGAAGAATACTTCAATTTATGAAAATAAAGATCCCTCTCCTCAAGTTTGGCAGGTGGCAGTCTCCAGTCATATGGAACTGCAATTATAGCATTTGCTTCAATACCAAATTCAATACACCACTTCACCCATTCTTTCCACACTGACGAGAGAGGCCCTGCAAAGTGGAGACAACCATAATGATGTCAACTTAATATTTTCAGTATAACAAATATGCAGAAGTACTCATTTTTAAATTATTTACCAAGAATGCCTTCAGGTTAAGATCAAAACGCTACATACATAATAATCAAAACTATACCAGTAATATAGCCTGGATCAAGCTCCGTAATAGCTGAAAGACCACTATCCGGGCGTGATTTGCACTCAGGATGATCTGTCTGGTTGTAAGGATCTAGTAACATACACTTCAGCCAACAATTTACAGCAGAAAGAAGCTGCAACACAACTAGTCCACCAGTCAGTGCCACAACATAGGATCAAAAAAGAACCATATAAAAATCTATACCAGTATATATATAAAAAAAGAAAAGGAGAATATGAGCACAGTATATCCTCAAGAGAGTTTCGGCAATATTATATATTCCAATACCAACCCTCAGCAGATAATTTTCTCAGATAGCTAAGCACCAAAATAATAAGCCAATCGTTCGGCCAACACTCAAAAGCGTTTGTTATCCAATTATAGCGTTAGTGCTGAATTTTACTATTCCAAAATCGCTCCTACGTAATACTTAGGCTACCTAAGCAGCAAAAATTCAAAAATGAAAAGAAAGCAGCCAATGCCGAAGCAAAATCCCAAGGTACAACCACTAAAATTACATAAAAACACATAGATAGCTACTACACACCTTGGTAGTGTCAAGCCAGACTAAATCGAGGGGATTGAAATCCAGAGGCGAGTACGGACAGTCCAAGATCGACCACGCCCGCAACTGAGTGGACGCGAAACCTGGAATGATAATCCCCGAGAGTTTCCGATGTCCTTCGCTGAACTCTCCGCCGCCACTTCTACCTCCTCCACCGCCATAAGCCGCCGGCGTCAGGAGGAGGAGAAACAAAGCCGCGAGGAGCATGACGCGGCCGCCTCCCATTCGCTAGACAAGGCTCCGTTTGAAGACTTATGTGGCGGGTGGACTTGGACGGTTTGGCTCTGAATTTGCCGCATATATTGAGAGCCCAAAGTCTGCATTGTGAAATTACCACTTTACCCTCCGACGTAACTTGATTATATTATCAATATCATTTTTATATATCATTATAGATATTTGATATTTCCAACGCCCCCCTTCCGGCCTTCTCCACCCCAAAATTTTCCTAATATTCAGAAACACCCTTCCCTCATTTCTGTAAACTATATTATCGCCGCTACTTTATCAATAAATTACACAAAATGATCAGAAACAGATTAAGACAACCCGGCCTGCAGACTCCATCATTCTCTCCCGGACAATCCAAAGCTTTTCACCAATATCAATGGCGGCACAAAACAACAAATCAGCCAATCTTCTTCAACCTCCAACAACTGTCCTAAACCAAACAGTCACTTCTCCATGGAGTCCGTGTCTCGATTTCGGTTCAGGAACCACAGCGAAGAAATTGGCGATGATGACTCAGCAGAAAGGCACACCAGTGCAGATTCCTCATCCATTACTAGCGAAGAAGATCCCGACCTCGAGTTCCAGTCCATGACAGCCAAGGTCAGTTATTACAACCTTTGTTTTCCCTAAATTTATCAGTTTAACCAACCATGGCTGCTTCCTTGTCTGAACAGGGCGTTCAGCATCTCTGCTCTGAACTCCTCGAGCTCAAGCGTGAATCAGATGAGGATTTTCAGAAGATAATCTCCTCAAACTACACCGCCTTCCTCGCGTAAGTTTGATTACCTGAAATCAATCTTCAGCCATTAAAGCAAGTGCAGAGAGATCTAATTGAACAATTATTACAGAATAGTGAAAGAGATAGACTGTCTCAAAAATGAAGCATTGAGATTAAAAAACCTGGCTTCTTCACAACGAAGAATCGTCGAAGACATTCGCGATGGAATCTCTTCATGCTTCCTGTCCGAACAGAATCTGAATTCTGTGCCTGAAGAGCCTTCACATGACCAGCCGTCGTCTCCGACCGTACTAGAGAAGCACACAGAAAGTGTTTCAGAAATATTAGATAACCTTCTCAGAGAACAAAGATTAGACGATGCCATAACTCTGTTAGACATGGAGGCTGAGTTTGTCCAAACTCTACAGTCCGGCGGAAGCCTTTCCTCCGACCAGCTAATGTCATACAACTCCACAATGTTAGAAAAGAAATCCATACTTTCCGATCGCCTTGTCTCCATGGCTAAACATCCGCGAATATCCGCGCCGGAGCTCCAGAAAGTTCTCATCGGATTGTGCCAGCTCGGCGACAATCGCCTCGCGACGCAGCTAATGCTTCGATACTATCGAATCCGCACTGCATCCCTAATAAGTGATCTGTCTTCGTCGAAAGAATTACCGCATGCGCATTACATTCGAGAAGTCGCGCGATTCGTATGCTCAACGATCTCGCAGGCTGCGACGAGTTTCGTCGCCTTAAATGGCGAAACTCGATCGTATACTTCGGAGCTAACTCAGTGGGCCTTCGAGGAAATCGATATGGTTGCGGATTGTTTCGGTAAGCACGTCAATGCCGTACCCGAAATCAGCGGGAGGCTCTCGGCGGCTGTCGACGCTACGAAGATCGTAACGTCGTATTGCTCGTTGCTGGAGGCGCAACGGATCTTCTTACAGCCACATTTGATAGAACAGATATACCCTTGCATAGAAGAGGTCTTGCAGCTCCATATAGACCATTTGAGTAGAGTTGTAAGTATTTTCACGTCGTCGGAGAGTTGGATTCTCGGAAGATATTACGTATCCGGAATCTTGACGGGACAGAGCTGCGTGATCGTCGATCAACAGCCGGAGTTTTTCTTTCTTACCAACAGTGGCAGGAAATTCGCGACATTGTTTCAGGTTTGTCATCTTCTTCGTTGTTCTTGCACATACTTGAAAATGTCGAGCAAAGGTAACTAACGATTTCGCAATCCGCAGTCCGTTGTGGAAGAGCTTTCGCCGTTGATCGGATTTCAAATGGAGAGCTTGGTTCTGAAAGGAATCGTCGACCTATTTGTATCATATGTCGACATACACGAAAGCGCCTTAACGGGGAAGACAGATGCAGCAGACCGAGGAAGTCCGAGAATCGGATTGTCGGAATTCCCAATTCAAGGAGTTTCAGTTCTAGCAAACATGTCGACATTGGCGCAATTCTTCTCCGGCATTGTCCGAAACGTCTTCAATGGCGTCGATCATTTAGACTCAGAGATTAACAATCACATAATCCTCACTCAGAACATTTACAGCAGACTAAAAGCCAGCTTTCTCGATCAATTTATAGCCAATATTTTCTCCTCGGATCCTGCTAATGAATCTGCTTCAGAAACTGACATGATTCCATCTGTTCCTTACTTGGTAATGTACATAACAGGTTCTTCAATTTTAATCTAGATAAATATGATGTATCGATCAAAATGTTTTTAACAGGAACTGTATTTGGAGCTAAAGAAGCTACAAAAACTCACAGAGGACGACTCCATTGACAGCAGCTGGCTGATGAGCTTATTAGTCGAGGCGATGAGCGAAGCGTTCCGCTGGATCTCGACGAAATCTGCTGTATGGAGAATCAGTGAAGAGAATTTAGCGAATCACAGTGCTGAGCTTATGCAGGTAAATTACATATGCTGGTGATGTTATCTATGAGTGATGTATAGTAATTTCACTAACCTTTCGTTTTTCCCCAAATCAGTTCACTCTGGATGTTCAGTTCCTTCTCGAAGTTTCTAGGCGCGACGGATACCTATCGGACGGCGTCGTAAACATCGCCGGCGATATTATGGCTCGAATCGAGACCGCCTTCCTCTCCGCCGGACAAAATCCTCTTAGGTAAATGAAGCTGAGCCTGTTGTTATCTCGATATAACTTTGAAATTGTGTGATTTCCTGCAGAATTGATATGCACGTATACCTAATTTGGCTGTGTTTTGTAGAGATCTGGAGGAAAGTGAGTGGCCAGCGGATGCAGCTAGTTTAGCCCTAGATAAGTTGCAGGAACTCCGTGAGAAGGAATTGCTTGAAGATGAGAATGCAAGAGAAGATGAGAATGTATATGGCGTCGATATTCCTTTGAACGATAGAGACGAGCCGGCGATCGGTGAAGCATCTGCAACCGCCATTGATGGTAATTAGAAAGGTGTAGTGAACTCGAGGCAGCCATATTACAATTCTTAAAGAAGGTTGATTTTATCAAATAAAATAATACTATATTCATATAAAAAATATGTATGAACTTTAAATTTGTAAATCATATTGGATTTGGATTTTTAATAATAAAATTAAATTTAAATAGTTGATATAAATAGAGATACGATACTTTAAAAGTAAAATAAATTTATAATACTCAATCCGTCCCAAAACTATAGTTTGAATTGTGTTCGGTACGAAATTTAAGAATTATTTATATTATATTGACAGTGGGTAAAAAGTACGGATAAAAAAATTTTTTGTCCTTGTAAATTTATTAGTGCAAAAAGTAATGACAATTGTGTAATAATAATGAAAAAATAATGATAATTTTACAGTGATACGATTATTTATGAAAATGAGACTATTATTTTAAAATAGACAAAAATCATAAACAAATACAATTGTATTGAGACTGAGGGAATATAATATTAAAAAAAGTTTAATTTGATTTTTTTTTAAAAAAAAATAATTTGAATAGTAAAACTTTATACTAAAATCTAAAAAAAACACAATCATGGTAACTTGTGAGGTTTTAGTTTTGAGTTTTGATTTTTAATAGTAAAATTTTAAATTGAAATAGTTGTTTAATGTGATATAAAAATATGTGTTGATGTAATATTTTGAATGTAAAATTAGATTTTAGTGTAATAAAATAAATAAAAATTGAATGTTTTGATTTGATATTTTTCGAAAAAAATAAAATAAAATAGTAAAATCAGGTGTAAAACCTGACAAGTAAACACATCTTATAAATCAATTATGATGGAAATATTACTACTTAAAAAAAAAAAAAAACGAACACCTCCAATAGGTTATTTATCCTACTTCTAGTCTACTATTCCCGCCAAGTACATTTACCTTTGAAATTATGATGAAATTCAATAGGTCGGTTGTATAAAGTATCCATCGCATGAGGGTTTATTTCTTTTTAATTCTAAACTTTTTAAAACAATTATTTAATGTAATATTTATAAGATAAAATATACATATTTTTATTAAAAATATAAAGATCGAAAATAAACCCAAAAAAAAAAAGGAATTAGATTGTATATTACTATAAAGATAAACAACAAAATTTGGGTGTATAATATTTTTTGGGTTATAAATTTGAACTTTTGAATAGTATTTTAATAAAATTGTTAATAGTAGAAAATTTAAAATAAAATAATAAAATATCGGTAGCAAATCAAAATTTATTTCTATAGTATGAAAAGGTGAAATCCATAAGCTATTGCAAAGTGCGTAAAAATAAATTATTCATTGCTTTCTATTTGATCAATGTCGTTTTGTTACACACATCAAGGGTGTGTTTGTTTGGAGATTTGGATTTTGAGTTGGGATTTGAATAGTAAAAATTTTGAATTTGAATAGTTGTATGACGTGATATAAATAGGTGTTGATGTGATGTTTTGGATGTAAAATTGATTTTTAATATAATATAAAAATTAGGAAATAAGTGTTTGATTTGATATTTTTGGGACAAAATTTTTGAATAAATAGTAGGATTTTGTCTAAATCCTACAAACGAACACACCCCGAGTCGAAATCGGCCACCGTAAACATTTGGCTTTGGGGCCGAAATTTGGATTAACCATTTGTTTTTTTTTTTTTATTTTTTTTTTTTTTTTTTGCAATCGAGGCGTTTAATATAAATATAATAAAAAAAATATATATATTTAATTTACTTTTTTAAAAAACAAAAATTAGATTTCAAAATTGAAAATTCTACGTGGACACAGTAAAATCATATATAAAAATTTCAAAATTGCAGACTCATGTACAAAAGAAATGTAGGTCGGCAAGTTATGTTTACTCAATGAACTCCAACACCATTTTAAATTATTTTGAGGAAATTTGCATTTTATTTAAATAATATTTGATGAGATATTTTATAAACTCCATCCGTCCCATGTAAATTGTAACACATTCCCATATAGTTTGTCATTTCGTTTTTTTTTTTTTAAAATATAATTATATATTTAATCACATTTTAAAATTTATATTTTGAGTGTGTTTGTTTAGGAGTTTGGATTTTGAGTTGAAAATTGAATACTAAAAATTTTGAATTGTAATAGTTCTATAATGCGATACAAATAAGTGTCGAGGTAATGTTTTAAATGTAAAATTAATGTTTAGTATAATATAAAAAATGAAAAAAAATGAAAAATAGGTATTTGATATGATATTTTTTGAAAAAAAAATTTGATAAATAGTAGATTTGGGGATTCCCCCAAACGAACACACCTCTTATTTTTTGTTTAAATTTTAATTATATTATTTAGTTTTTTAAATTTTAATTTATAATTATTTTTATTAATATATATTTTTAATTATTTACTAATTATATTTTATCTAAATTTTCATGTCTACATAACAATTTATCAAGAAATACCTTTTTTTGAAAATATAAAGTTCAAATAATAAATTTTTAAAAAAAATTTAATAAAGAAACACACACTTAAATTTTTACCATATATATATATATATTAAAATTTAAAAAATTCAAAATATTTAATATTAAAAGAGATTGTTAATAAATAATACTACTATCTAAAAAATTTAAAATATCTGTATAAAGTGAATTTATCTATTACTCTTACTGATTCAATGTATATTAAAAATATTTAAATTTTAAAATTTTAAAAAGTAAATAATAATAATAACTAATTTTCTTATATTAAAAATATAAAAAAATAATATATATATATATTTTTTTTATAAAAAATAGTAATAAAAAGCATTTGTTATTGTAAAAAAACAAAAATAGTTTAACATAAAGTATTAAATTGAATGAAATATAAACAACCGCGGCGGCGCCATAAATTTTAAAAAAAAACCCGCCCAGAAGGAAGGTGGCGCCATTTTCGAAAGTGCGCCGCTTTCTCCAAATCCAAATATAAATAGTAAAGCTGCACATAAGTGAAACGCAACGAAGCAAATTCATTACATTTACGCCCAAGAAGGAAAACACAGAAGCCAGATTCACGATGTCGAACGCACGCAACGCTGCTAGGTTGTTGAATCCATGCGTTTTTCATCTCCAGAAGCTCGGAATCGAGCTCAAATGCCCCAGCTGGTAAGATCTCAGGCCAGATCCTTTCATCCTGCCTTTTTTTTTCCTTTGTTTTGGATTAGATGCATGTTTCGCAAGGACTGTTGTTATTTCTGGTTTTCGTAAATCTTTCAGCCTGAACTTGCTAAACAAGCCAATGCTGCTTCCCTGTAATCACATCCTTTGCGAGTGAGTTCAACTCAATTTTTTTTTTCCTGATTCGTTTGAATTATTAATCGTTGATACGTGCGTCTTTCTCATCTTCATGGCTTCGTGTCTGAGTTTCCTGTGTTCTGAATATTTCATTAAACGCAGTTCTTGTGTCCCGAAATCTTCCAAACGTAGCACCCCGTGTCCGGCATGCCTGCAGCATTTTACAGATCGAGGTAATATAATCGACTATCTATCTATATAAATAATAATACCATTTTTTTTTTCCATCTAAATTGTTCGCATTTAAATGGAGATTTTCTCTCGTGTTGCAGAAATTAGATCTGCTTCTTACCTTGAGAACGTTGTTGGTATTTACAAAAGTCTGGATACTACCTTCAACGCTACCATCTTGCCACTTTTATCTACTTGTAAGTGCTAAAGAAACAAACGGGAAAACATAGATTTTTAGTCCATGTTTGTATAAGTTTTCAGAAATTCATCATATATGTTCTACTTATTTGTTGTGACAGGCACTGGAACTTGGATGTCAATGTCAACATCTCCTCATCAGTTGTGGAAGCCATCCAATGAAATGGCAATTGGTGGGAAAAATAATCACGTTGATGCTTCACCAGTCAGTGGTGCTAAGTTTAATAAGTCCCCTCAATTTGAAGAATTGGATGTGAAGCATGCTTCAGAAACATCACCTGGCAGTTCTCCTTCTGTTGCTGACACAGCAATTGCAGGCCACAGCGATCCTGACACTGGAAATAGGGTAAGATTGTGGGCTGTTTTTCCTAAAATTTAGAAGTGTGAACTTTTTTGTTATTATTGAAAATAAGTTGGTTCCGTTGCTTGTAATGTTGCTTCAGTTGAACACTATTACAATTAATGAGATAATTACTACCTTACAAATTAAAATTTGGTTGATTTACCATGGCATAAATAGAATTGCATGTGCATAGATGAATTTGCTAGCTTATATTTAGGTGTTTGATTATACTATGTCTGTAAATGAGCTTTTATATATATATTTTAATGACCTTTGGTGAAATCTGCTGAATTCAGTTGACCTCATATGATTCATTTAAGTTTGCATATTAACAACTGCAGAGTACAGAAAAGCAAGGAGCTGTGAAATCTGCTGGGGGCAACTCTGCTCACACTGCAGTTGAAGTGGATGATAGCAGCACATTTAACACAAGGGAACCTAAGAGGCAAAAAAAGTTGTCTTATGGGCCATCCAATGTGGTTTTGCAAAGCCATGAATGCAAGCCACAACTAGTTTTACATTCTGATGAAGCTGCTGTTTCATGTGAAGAGTACAGACACAAGGAGGATGTTTCTACGGCTTCAAAATTAATACCTTGTGATGCATCTTATCCTGATGGAAATGTTTGCGCATTTTGTTGCTCTTCTAAGACAACAGAAGTAAGTCTCTGCTGAATTTGTCTAACTTCTTTTACTTGCATTCAACTGTTGCTATTTACCTAAATTTTAATCTTCTTTTACAGGAAACTGGACAATTATTGCACTATGCAAATGGCAAGGCAGTAACACAGGATGAAATTGCTTTTTCCACTGCCATTCCTGTCCACATTAAATGCATAGAATGGTAAGATATTTCATATTTGTATAGTAATTGCCACTCCAACAAAAGGAAACAAAAGAATTTCAAAATCTTTACGTGGTTGAAGTAGTTATTTATGTTCATAGATATGTTTCATTATAAATAGGCTCAAGACCAAGTTTACATTGCAATTCTGAAAAGGGTTTTGTTGTCTATTTGTTTCAAAACACTAGATTTGTCATACAGAATTACATTTCTAGTTGAGTTTGAACTTTCAATGGCTACTTCCATTTAATTGATACATGTGGAACAAATGCAAATAATGCTTATAAATTCAAAACACTAGATTTGCCATACAGATTTTGATTTCTAGTTGAGTTTGAAGTTTCTATAACTTGTTTCATTTAATTGATACATGCGGAACAAATGCAAGTAATGCTTTATAAGTAGCTTATAAATTATAACTGCACTTTGATGGACTAATATGTGAAACTCATGGTTATTCGATTGCAGGACTCCTCAAGTTTATTTTTCAGGAGAAATGATTATGAACTTGGAGTCTGAATTGGCAAGAGCCTCCAAGCTTAAATGCAGCAGTTGTGGGTTAAAGGGGGCAGCACTTGGTTGCTTCGCAAAGTCCTGCAGGAGAACTTACCACATGCCCTGTGCCATGGAAATTGCAGGCTGCAGATGGGATTGTGTGAGTTTCCCAAATTATTCGTACCTTTCCTCCTTTACTAGTATCGTTTATTTTCAGTTCATTCATTCAAGCTTACTCCAATATTTTTCTGACTACATTTATTTGATATGCAGGAGGATTTTTTAATGCTGTGCCCATCTCACAAGTCTATTAAGTTTCCAAGTGAGAAATCAAAGTCTAGAAACCATCATAATGGTGAAAAGTGTTCCTTGTCCACTCAAGGGTATGTTAGAATGTTGCTTGCCATTACATTTCTATTTTCTGTCATTTGCATGCATAATAGAATTATTTTCCCTTTTCATATTTCCCTTTTAATTCCTTTTTTTCAGCCATAACTATCTATTACAGTAAATTTTGTGATTTCTCAGAACTTTCTTTAGTTGCTGCAATAAGTTGTGCTACTCAATATGTGATTCCGTGTTTAGATTTAGATTTAAATTTATAATCTAGATAGACTCCTATCTTGATATAGTTAGGATTATTATTATAAAACATTAGATTTTGTTTGTTAGATAGATTATTAGATTATCTGCTGAAAGTATGATAATGTCTATAAAAATTGATCTAGCCATCACTTTGTTACACATTAAAATTTGCAAACATGAACTGAAGAAAAGATATTGAGCCTGGTGCTTATTGGAAACAATATTAGTTGTCTTGAATGCAGTGCCTCTATACAACCAAGTTTTTGGGCAAGCTCCCCCAATGGGCGTTGTAATTGGGTTTTCTGTGGTTCTGCTCTGTCTCCACAAGACAAGGTTTGGTTCTGTCTCTATATATCACTACATCAGTAGTTTTTCAATGTCTTATTTAGCTGCTGTTATTTGGTAAATCTTCAATGTATATGAAGAAATTGATTTCATATTCTGAACTCTGCCCTCAGTCTGTTATGATCAAATTTGCTAAACTTTGCGGCGCCACCGTGTTCAAGTCTTGGAATCGTCATGTTACACATGTGATTGCTGCCACCGATTCAAATGGTGCTTGCAGTAGAACCCTGAAAGTTCTCATGGCAATCTTGAATGGGAGATGGGTCCTCACAATGGATTGTAAGTTTCACATTTTCAACTTTTTTAAATGGTCTTTGTTCACAAAGTGACTTATCAAAATAAGTTACAACATTTATCTTTATAACTATGGAGATGTATCTTTTCATAGGGATAAAAGCTTGCATTGAAGCACATGCTCCTGTCGACGAAGAGCCTTATGAAGTCAATATGGATAATCATGGTCTTCGCGATGGCCCCAAACTCGGCAGATTAAGATCTTCAAACAATGTAAGGAAACATATTTTTCATATGAATCCGAGACTTGTTATGACATATTTTCTTCGAATTCTTTCAAAGTTCATTTCTTGCCTCTCTTATTATGCAGGCTCCAAAGCTTTTCGAAGGCATGGGCTTTTATTTTAATGGAGATTTCATTCCATCCTTCAAGAATGATCTCTTAAATTTAGTGACTGATGGTGGGGGGACTGTCATTGAGAATATGGAGAAGATAATGACAGAAGAGCTCGATTCGCCAATGGCGACAACTTTCGTCGTTTATAATTATGATAGCTCGCAAGGATCATTGCCGGAAGCAAGTTCTTTTGCATCCATGGGATTAGCAGAAGCAGAAAGAATTGCCAGAAATTTTGATGCTGTGGTTATTCCCCATACATGGATCTTAGAATCTATAGCTTCTTGCAGTGTGTTGGCTCCCCATCTTCCATAGTCATGATCCACATGCTGTTTGTTCTTCTAATGTAGTCACAGGAAAGGGTCAATTTATTGATGTACTTCCATTTTAGATATTTGAATGATGAAAAATATACATACATATATATATATATATCATACTCTTTGGTTACTTTGTTATTATTGAATTTATTATTTTAAAAAAGGATATAGAAGAAATTTAACTGTAAAGTTTCTTAAAAGATGTAACTTTTGAATTTAAATTTTAATAGGTTTATTTTGAAGAAAATACTTTATATATGAGTGTTAACACTCATAGAGTCATAATCAAAGAAAACAAGGGTATGTTTGCTTAGAGGAGTTTGGGAAAAGTTGACTTTGAGTTTGGTTTTTATTTGAATTTTTGGATGAGTTTGGATATTCTTGTTTTTTTTGTATTTGGGTTTGGTTGGGGTTTGGGGAGTTTTGATGTGTATTGATTTGATGGATAATAAATACAATAATATAAATATGTATTAAATTTAATTGATAAAATTTATATTATATGATTTAATTATTAATTTATATTATACCCAATATATATATATTTAAATTTTTATTTATTTGTATTATAAAAAATTTTATTCTATAATAAAATGACATATATATTGTATATATATTTTTCATTTAATTGTAATAAATATTAAATACCATTTTAATTAAAAAAAAAAAGGAAAAAAAAAAGAAAAAAAAGAAAAACAAAAACAGAGATTTGGCCCCATTTTACTGTGCAGAGAAATATACCCCAAGTGTTTATTTGGAGGATTTTTTAAAATTTATTATTTATTTATTTTTTAAAAATATTAAATTAAACACTTATTTATATTATTATGTTATTATTTTAATTCAAAATTTCTATTATTTAAATCTTAATGTTATGAGAAAACGAGAAAGAAAGCAAATAAAGAACACAGAGGTTTTACGTGGTTCGATGACGGTGTGTCAACCTACGTCCACGGGCAGGAACCGGAGAGATTTTATTATACTGATTCAGAGATTTACAATGTGTCATCCGACTAAGAACCATAGTTGTCTATTTATAAGCACCCCAAAACACCCTAAACCCTAAGCCTATTTGTTATTAATTAGGATAAGCCCAAAAGGAACCCTGCCAATTGAAACAGCACTTTCGCTTTGGTTTAGGGTCGGGTAGACCGCTAAATCCAAGTCACGTTTCAACAATCTCCACCTTGACTTGGAGTTTCTCCAACCGCCAAATGTTCGTCAGTATCTCTCAGTCGTCTCCTTCCTGCCAGATGCCCCGAGAGGGCTTTACCTCCTACGAATATTCACCAAGTTCAAGCAGTGCTCAAACTTCTCCGTCGGTAGCGCCTTTGTCAACATATCAGTTGGATTGTGTTCTGTAGCTATTTTCTGAATAGAAAACTTGTCTTCCTCCAGAACATCACGGATAAAATTCAACCTTACATCAATATGTTTGGTTCTCTCATGATACACTGGATTTTTAGCCAAACTCAAAGCACTTTGACTATCACAGAATAACACCGGTTTTTCCACCTTCAGACCCAAACTCTGTACCAGACCATATAACCAGATACTCTCCTTAATACCTTCAGTCATTGACATGTATTCCGCCTCAGTCGTCGACAATGCAACCGTAGGTTGTAAAGTAGACTTCCAACTGACTGCACATCCAAACAGAGTGAAGATAAAACAAGTTAGTGATCTTCGTTTCACCAAGTCACCCCCGTAATCAGAGTCTGCATAGCCAACAAGACCATCACCATGGCCTTTATCATCATATACCAGACAAATATCAGACGCTCCTTTCAAATATCGCAAGATCCACTTTACAGCTCCCCAGTGAGCTTTACCCGGATTAGCCATAAACCTGCTCACCACACTAACCGCATAAGCGAGATCCGGTCTCGTACATACCATCGCATACATAAGACTTCCAACTGCACTTGAATATGGAACCGTCTTCATGTAATTAACCTCTTCATCTGTAGTCGGTATAGTGCTTCGATCAAGTTTAAAGTGTGCCGCCAAAGGAGTACTTACCGGTTTGGACTGATCAACAGAGAATGCCTGCAAAACTTTCTCAATATACTTTTCTTGAGAAACCCACAACCGTCTTGCTTCTCTATCACGCCAGATCTCCATACCAAGTATTTTCTTTGCCGCACCCAAATCCTTCATCTCAAACTCACCCTTTAGTAGAGCCTTCAAGTCATTAATTACAACCATGTTCTTAGCTGCAATTAACATATCATCCACATACAATAGCAGATACACAAAGGAATCAGTAGAAACTTTCTTCGAGTAAACACAGTTATCAAACTGATTACGAGTATAACCATTAGACACCATGAATGAGTCAAATCTCTTGTACCATTGCCTCGGAGACTGCTTCAAGCCATACAGAGATTTCTTTAACAAGCATACCTGGTCCCCTTTAGAACTGTAGAACCCCTCCGGTTGAGACATGTAAATCTGTTCTTCTAGATTACCATGAAGGAATGCTGTTTTTACATCAAGCTGCTCCAGCTCCAGATCAAAAGCACCCACCATTGCCAAAAGAACCCGAATGGTTTTGTGTTTCACCACAGGAGAAAAGACTTCATGGTAATCGATTCCTTCCTTCTGTGAAAACCCTTTTGCCACCAGTCTCGCCTTGAACCTAGCAGGTTCAACACCAGGAATTCCCTCCTTTCTTTTAAAGACCCACTTGCATCCCACTGGCTTCACCCCTTTTGGTAGTGCAACAAGATCCCAAGTCTTGTTCTTTTCAAGAGACTGCATCTCTTCATTTATTGCCATAATCCAGGTTTCTGCATCTTTACTCGCCACAGCTTCTTTATATGTCTTTGGCTCATCAGAGCCAAGATCATCACCAACCGCTAGTGCATAAGCAACAGAATCCATGTCACACGTATTGACACATCCTGCAAACCTAGCTGGTTTCTGAATATTTCTCTTTCCCTTTCTTGCTGCTATGGAATCTTCAACCCCCGTACCAGCGTCATCAGCTTCCCCCTCAACCGGTTTCCCTTGAGGTTTTGACTGATCTGGTTGATCGGATTGATCAGTAGTATTATCCTGCTGCTTTTCCTCTAACACAACTCTGTCAAGAGTCTCAAACTCCACCTTCTGGTTAGCACCACAATCTTTTGTACCTGCAATACTTTCACAACCTCTACTCTGATCAAGCATAGCAGATTCATCAAAGGTTACATCTCTGCTAATAAGAAATTTACCAGGATTTTTACCTTCTGTACACCACAGTCGATAACCTTTTACTCCTGTTGCATACCCTAGAAATATGCATTTTACCGCCCTCGGCTCCAGCTTACCATCATTCACATGAGCGTATGCAGGGCATCCAAATATTCTTAGATTAGAGTAATCAGAGGGTTTACCGGACCATACCTCTTGAGGAGTCTTTAAGTCAATTGCAGTTGATGGAGATCTATTAACCAGATAGCTAGCAGTGTTTACTGCTTCAGCCCAGAATTGCTTAGACAAGCCAGCAAATATGCGCATACACCTAGCACGCGCCATGAGGGTTTGATTCATTCGCTCTGCAACTGCAACTCCATTTTGCTGTGGTGTGTGTCGTACAGTGCGGTGCCTCACTATACCTTCTTTCTTGCAGAAATCATCAAATGGAGCGTTGCAGAACTCCAACCCATTATCAGTTCTTAGAGTCTTGACCTGTTTATTCGTCCGTTTTTCAACCATGGTCTTCCACTCCTTGAACTTCCCAAACACCTCATCTTTAGTCTTTAGAAAGTACAACCAGACTTTTCTCGAATAATCATCTATGAAAGTGACAAAGTAAGAACATCCACCCTGCGATTTCACCGGAGAGGGACCCCATAGATCTGAATGAACATACTCCAGAATTTCTTTTGAAGTGTGATGACCGGTACTAAACCTCACCCTGCGTTGCTTCCCTTTTACACAAGCCTCACAGAATTGAATTTTACCTATCACATCCCCACCAAATAAACCCTGCTTGCTCAAGACAGACAACCCTAGCTCACTCATGTGACCTAATCGCCGGTGCCACAAATTTGTCCTGTCATCATGTTTATCCAAGGACTGAGATACCGCCGCCGTTCCCATCACTGAACTGCCCTGTAGAAAATAAATTCCATGCTGCAGTTTTCCCTTCATCATTACCAGCGCACCTTTCAGGACTTTCACCCACTCACCTTCACCATGATATTTTAAACCATTCTTGGCTAAGGTCCCAAGAGAAATCAAATTCTTTCTGAGTTCAGGAACATACCAACAGTCAAATTTCCTGACAGTACCGTCATGCAATTTTATCTGCACTACCCCGCTCCCTTTTATGGCTAGAACCCCATCATCACCTAACTTCACCGTTCCATTCCACTCCTTAAAAGAAGTTAGTAGATCACGAGAGAACGTCATATGGTGAGAAGCACCGGTGTCCATAATCCAGGAATCAGCAGTACTAGCACTACACGCTGTCAGAACTTCACCAAAGTCCCCATCATCAGAACTGTCTTGTACCACAGTAGCACTGCTGCCACTGTTACTAGAATCAACTTTTGTATTTCCCTTCTTTTGTGGACAATCCCTTTTAACGTGCCCTTTCTCCTTGCAAAGATAACACTTAACTTTGCTAGAGGATTTTGATTTTGAACGCGACCTCCCATTCCCGCTACCCCTCTCATGTGGTCTTCCCCTACCTGCAAACAGACCTGAACCAGAACCCTCTTCCAGAGAAACCTTTCTTTTCAATTCTTTGGACATAAGGGCATCTTTCACATCATTAACAGAAATTGTAGTTCTACCATATAGCATAGTATCTACAAAATTCTCATATGAACCAGGTAGTGAACACAATAAAATTAGGGCTTGGTCTTCATCATCTACTTTAACCTCAACTCCTTGAAGATCAAGAATGATACGGTTAAAGGTATCAAGATGATCCTTTACCTGAGTACTTTCGGACATCCGGAGGGTGTAAAGACGTTGCTTCTGATATAGCCTGTTCGTGAGGGAGTTGTTTTGGTACTTCTCACACAGTTTATTCCATAACCCAAAAGCCGTTGTCTGATCTACAACCTCCCGTAACACCTCATCAGTAACTGACAGCAAGATCGCGGAATGAGCCCTTGCCAAAATCTCCTTATTTACCTCATCCTTCGTGTCTTTAGGAAACTTGTCTTCTCCCTCCAACGCAGCCGCACATCCTTGTTGAACCAGAAGTGCCCTCATCTTGACCTTCCAGAGCGTGAAGTCATTCGACCAATTAAACTTCTCCAGATCAAATTTATACGAGGACATTTTCAATCAATGAGATATGGCTCTGATACCACTTGTTATGAGAAAACGAGAAAGAAAGCAAATAAAGAACACAGAGGTTTTACGTGGTTCGGTGACGGTGTGTCAACCTACGTCCACGGGCAGGAACCGGAGAGATTTTATTATACTGATTCAGAGATTTACAATGTGTCATCCGACTAAGAACCATAGTTGTCTATTTATAAGCACCCCAAAACACCCTAAACCCTAAGCCTATTTGTTATTAATTAGGATAAGCCCAAAAGGAACCCTGCCAATTGAAACAGCCCTTTCGCTTTGGTTTAGGGTCGGGTAGACCGCTAAATCCAAGTCACGTTTCAACACTTAACTTAAAATTCAAATTCCAAACAAATACACCAAAACGTGAGAAATACATTTAACATTGATAATAAGAGATTGAATAGATAGAGTAAAAATACACAAATACTCCAAATTTATGGAAATTTTCATTTGCATACACAAATATGAATGTTAATTACGACTTAACAAAAATAATTATAAATTAATATTAAAATTACTAAATAATTTTAATTAAAATAATATAAAATTATAAATTATGAATTTTAAAATATGATTAAAGTGTATAATTATATTTAAAAAGAGAAAATGACAAATTACGTGAGATAATAGAAAGAATGAACAAATTAAGGAGGAGAGGGAATATGTATTTGAAATTTTACATAAATTTTGAGTATTATTTTGATATATCTTCGTACAATTTTGTAAAATCCAAAGTATTAATAAAGTCTAAATATCTATAACAAATACAAATTTATCCAACATTATGTTTATCCTTCGAAATTCAAATTTCTCCCTATTTTCCTAAATTTACCTAATGACATTGAATGCCTAAAAATCACATTGTTTGTTCTAACAGTTTGCTGATAACAGCGATAGCAGGTGAGCAATTTCACAGGACAAATCCACAAATTCTACTTCATTTCTTGAGAATTCCTTCTGTGCTTGTTCTGTCATCCAAAGAAACCTCTTCACTTTTCCTGTAATTCTCTCCATCATCTTCCTTCAATTTCTGCAACTCCATTTGTGTGCTCACCTCTGTGTTATACACAAACATCTTAGCAACAACCAGAAAGAAGATAAGGTTCAGAAAGCTGAGCACTGCATAGAAGGCATAGAAATAATCCAGGTGAGATATATTAAGGTTGTTCTTAATCCATCCGTCGCCGTATTTCTTCGTAACGTCAGCCACAGACGACAGCAGGCCGCTGCTCAAGAAGTGTCCGATTCCCAAGCTCGTCGTGAAGTAGGCCGTCCCGAGGCTCTTCATGCCTTCGGGAGCTTGATCGTAGAAGAACTCGATTTTCGCCACTTCCAAGAAGTTGTCTGCAATTCCCATGAGAGCAAACTGTGGGAGAAGGATGAAGATGGAGAGAGGAACCGTCTGGTCGGCGCGTCGAATCCCGTGTTCCCGCGCGACGCCGAGCCGTCTCCTCTCGGCGAAGAATGCGCCGGTCATGATGATAATGTGGAGCACGATGCCGATCCCCATCCTCTGCAGCAGAGTGATCCCTCTCGGATTCTTCGTGTATTTTCGGACGAAAGGGACGAAGTAGAGGTCGTAGATGACGATGGAGATCAGCATGAAGATCGTGACGAACGCCGTGAGACATGCCGGCGGGATCTTGAAATGGGGTCCGAGGTGGCGCTCTAGAGTCGCGCCTTGCTTGACGAAGAGCGTGGGTATCTGCGCCACCATCGTGCTCGGGATGAACGTTGCCAATAGTATCGGGATCATCTTGATCATCTGCTTCGTCTGCTCGACCTGCGTCACTGTGCATAGCATCCACGGCGACGCCGGACCGCTTCGCACGGCGGCTTTGTCGAGAACGCTACAAGAATAAAGCCGATGATGATACTTAGTTGAAATCATTGAGCAGAATTAGATACTTTTCGAACTTTTGATATTATTCATCAACAATAATTTCTTTTAGTAACGTATTATCAAACTATAAGAACAAGACTAAGGATGATATTCAGTTGAAATCATTGAGTATGATTAGATATTTTTCAAACTTTTGACACTATTTATCAAGAGTAGCTCATTTTTAGTAACATATCATCAAACTACAAGAATAAGGCCAATGATGATACTCAATTGAAATCAATGACCAGAATCAAATATTTTCCGAACTTTTGATATTATTTATCAATAATAATTTTTTTAGTAACATATCATCAAACAAGAAGAACAAGGCTAATGATGATACTTACTTGAAATCATTGAGTAGAATCAGATACTTTTCAAACTTTTGACACTATTTATCAACAATAAAAGTATCATATTATTATCAAACTACAAGAACAAGGCTAAATGATACTATGTTGAAATCATGGAGCACAATCAGATACTTTTAGGGTGTGTTTATTTGGGGGATTGGATTTTAAATCAACTGTTCATCTCATTTTATCTTCAAAAAAATATTAAATTAAATACATATTTTTAATTTTTTATATTATACTAAAAATCAATATTACATTCAAAACATCACATCAACACCTATTATATCACATCATACCACTACTCAAATTCAAAATTTTCACCATTTAAATCCCAACTCAAAATCCAAACCTCCAAACAAACACACCCACACCCACACATGGATACTATCTATCATCACTAACTTCTTTTAACATATTGAATATTTATTTTTTTTTATAAAATATCATATCAAATACTAACCTGAGAGAAGAGGAGTGATCAAGTCTAATCTCTCCCGACTTCGCATACTCCTCAAAGCTCATCTCGTGCAACTCCTTGGGATCATTAGGCGTTGCGGCTCCCCTTTTCCTAGCTGCGGCGACGATGACTCTAGCCATTCTCGACAGCGGGCTCCCTGTTGGGGGCTTGTGTCTGTAATAAGGTGTCCCGATGATGAAAACGACGACGGACACAACTAGACCGGCGGTAGGAAGGGCGTAGCCAATGGCCCAGCCAACGTGGTCTTGAATGTAGATGAGAAAAGTGTTCGAGAAGAGGGTGCCAAGGAAGATGCTGAACATCCACCAGTTGAAGAAGGAGAGCTTTTGGAGCCTCTCTTTCGGCTCAAAATCGTCGAATTGGTCCGCTCCCATCGTTGAAATGTTCGGCTTTGTGCCACCTGTTCCTACCGCAATCACGTAAAGCGCGCCGTAGAACACGGCTATCTGAAGCGTCGAGGCTCTTTTATCGCAGTCGATTTCCTTTACGCCGCCCCCGCAAGAAGGCGGCCTCAGCGCCGGCAGCGAAACCGCCAGCGTCAGTAGACACATTCCCTGTAAGAAATAGAGACGGTTACTATCAAATTATGGGGCGACAACTAATAATATAATAACAAACAACATGCTCCATCATTCATGTAAAATTATGTTGATATGATCGGATACGAATTTTAAAAAAATGGATAAAAATAAACGCTCTTTTCTTTTTTTTTAAAGAAAAAGTAAAAAAAGTGGTACTCCCTCCTTTCCAACTAAAAATACAATTTTTATCATTTTCGTCCGTCTTACTCTAAAGTATTCATGTATTCATTTAAAAGTAATCATATACCAATACCAAAATATCCTTTATTTTTACCCAAATTTAAACATACCATCACACATATAATTACTTATATAAGTCAAAATACAAAAATGTCAATATGATAATTGTCTACATATTACATACTACTCTCGATTTCAATATGTCGGCACATAGTTTCAACTAACTTAATATGTTGTGTTAATTGAAATTCTATACCGTCCGCCCTTTTTATGATATGCTGATCGAAAAAATTAGCACTATACTGATTTGACATCAATTATCACAAATTTAGCACACATGCTGATAGTATAGTATATGACAATTGTTATAGCATTAATTTCAATATATCTTAAAAATAGAACTGTCAGTACACAGTTTCAACTAACACATCATATCTTGTGCTAATTCAAACTATGTACTAATATTATCCGCCTATCTACTACGATATATTGATTGAAAAAATCAGCACTATACTGATTTAACCCCAATTAAGTGCGACCACTCCCCAAAAAATGGTTAAGTGGGACTAAAAAAACAAAGATATTCACCGCAAGGTAAACTGCAGATGCGATGACGAAAGTCCAGTATCGGCCGAGAAAAGCGTCAGCGATGTATGCGCCTAGGAGCGGCGTCATCCAAACCGTGCCGATCCAGTTGGTGACGTTGTTGGCCGACGTCACGGTGCCCTCGTGCAGCTTGTTTGTTAGGTATATCACAAGGTTTGATGCAATCCCATAGTATGCCATCCTCTCAAAGGTCTCATACCCTGTTTAAAAATTACAACAACATATACATATGTATATATAAAGTGTTATTACAACAATTTAGTATGCCATTATTACTTTTTGTTCTGTATTTATTTGTCTGGCAAAATATATCTCACATATTTGCAAAAGCCGCTATTTGCAAATGACATAAATAACGATTTTTGTAAACATGCGGGATATATTTTGCCAGCGAGATAAATAAAGGACAAAAGTGATAATAGACACGAAATAAAACTCCGGCGGCGGTCGCTTACCGACGATGAAGTAACAGGCCTTCCATCTTCCGGTGAGCGATCTAAGAACGGGTCTTCCTTTGAGGTCCAAAGTGCCATCCTGTGTGTAATCATCTGCTCCAGGTAGACTTCCTCTTTCTTCCACATTGGCTGTTGACATCGATCAGAAGAGAATTGAAGACAGGTTTGATGATGTCTGGAATCCAAACTGCTATGGATGATCTTAACTAACTGGTAAGATTTATAATTTATCCCCCTTTTGATGCCATTTCATGAATTTGGATTTTGTTAATAATGATTGGATAGACTATGGTTAGGATGTTGAATGGTATTATTCGTTATTATATTTACAATAAGGACAATATGTGAGTCAGATATTGTCCGCTTTGGGCTGAACTCTTACGAATTTATTTTTGAATATTTTCAAAAAGCCTCGTACCAGTGGAATTTACTTGAAAGAGACTTCAGATGTAGGACTTCGGTTTGCACCCCCAACAATATGCAACAATTGGTTTCAATACATACCAAAATACCATTTTAACTTTTATATAAATTATTAGCATAATATATACATAAAAAAAAAAAAAAATTGCAAAAATATTAAAATCATCTTACATATTTTTACTAATAAATAAATATATTAATATTATTTTTTAATCTATTATAAAAATTCAAATGTATCCGAGGAAGTATATTACTATTATAATGTGTAATCAATATAACCAGCCCGCTCAATTGATTCCATGCATTACAGTCGGCAGATAAGTTTGTTTTGTAGATTAAAACAATGTCCCTTTTGATGCTGCTGAGGAAAAAACAATTGCAAGAAATTGACAGGTAAATAAAAAATATGTCCTAAAATAAGATTGTTGCTTTGTCATTGAAAATACAGATTTTGTAATTTTGTGGGCTCTGATGATATTCCGAACATAAGTTAGGAGTCATTATATGATAAAATGATAACTTATTGAACGACATGTACTTTAATCTAAAAAATACAGTGTGTTTATATAATAAAATTATATTATATATTTTTTTTTTGATTATATGATATAATAATATCGTTTTATAATTTTATTATAAATTATAATAATTTATTTTATACAAATTTATTATTATTATTATTATTATTTTCATTCTAATTATAACAATATGCTTCCGTTCCATTGAAATGTTACTATTTTTTATCTCCGGCCGCCCCAAAACAAGGTTACTATTTTTTAATTTAATAATTGTACTATCTACTTAACATAATAAATATTCTTTCAATTTACAATATATTACACAAATGTTATTACTTTTATATTACACCAGGGGTATTTTTGTCTTTTTTACTATAATCCAATATAATACTAATATTCAAAAATCTACGTGCAAAAGACAAACGCCACCAATATCTCTATTATATGATGTAAAAGTTATGATATTTGTAAGAATATTAGTTATGTTAGGTAGATGATACAATTACTAAATAAAAAAATGATATCCTTGATTTGGGACAAAAAAAAAAATAAAAAAAATGGTATCCTTCACGGAGGGAATATTTTTTATTATTTATTGAATATATTTAATTTTAACCTCAAAATTATAAATTCAAATTAGCAATATCATTTTTTACCACTTTATATTTTATTAATTAAAAAATTTAAAAATAAATAAGATTTCACATGAAATCAAAAATTTATTAAACAAGTCCCGTAAGGGATGGCCTGGTGGTGTAGGGGTTGGATTTGTGACCGTGAAGTCACGGGTTTTCAAACCCCTGACGCCTCAGGTCACCTGCCACACATGGTTCGCCTAGTGTGATTTTCCCGTCGAGCTTAGTTTGCAGGGTATTAGGTTCGACCGGAAGTTTATCCGGTGCAAAAAATATATATTAAACAAAAAGTTATTATTATATTTATATAAAAAAATACTTCTAAGTTTCTTAAAAGAAAATTAATTTAAATATTTTATTAAGTATGATTAAATAATACTTAGATGTTAGATAAATTATTATTATTATTATTATTATTATTACAATGTTCATATACATAAATAAATATAAAATTAAATCGGATAAAATAATATTATTCATCAAATATTCATTCACTCATAATATATGGATGTTACAATCAATCTCAATAGATGCATACTAACACATCACAATATATAACAGTATTATATAAATAAACAGGACATATTAGCAATTGACAAAGTTCATATTGATTAATTTTAAGTCATATTTGAAAATTAATTATTTATATTAATTAGAATTGACAAGTGGTGTGCTCTAATTACCCCTGAAAATAGTATTTCCTTCGTTCCGGTTAAAAATTGTCGTTTATTTTTTTCACGTAAATTTTTTAATATTAGTATTATAATGAGTTATAGTAAAAATGACTAAAATACCCCTATTAGTATTGTGAAATATAAAATTAATGATATTTATGTAATATAGTGTAAGTTGGAAGGGTATTTATTATGTTAAGTAGGTAGTACAATTACTAAATTAGGAAATAGTAACCTTGTTTTGAGATAGACGAAAATAAAAAATGACAACATTTCAATTGGACGGATGGAGTAATATGTTTGTGGAATTTTACCTTAAACTCCTATTATTCAAAAATATATATTTTTATACTCCTCCTATTACTTCTATCGTTTACCTATTTTTATTATGGTTTATTCGATTTAAATGTTTATATATTCTTTTTAAAGTAATTATGATATTACCATTAACTATTAATATTTTTTTTACATTTATTTATTATTTTATCCTTATTTTATTATACATTTTTATCTGAAAGTAATAACAATTTAATCTTCATAGTATTATATTTATCGATTACTATTAAAATACTAATATTTTTTAATTTATTTACAAAAACTAAATGTCAACATTAAGTTGGACTAAGAAAGTATTTACTCCCTCCTTTTCAGATAATTTGACCGCGTTACCGTAGATACGAGAATTTAGGAGGGATATAATTAGTAAATAATTAAAAATGTATTAGTAAAAATAATTATAGATTAAAATAAAGATAATTGATTAGCATAATTAAAATTTAAAAAATTAAAAATTAAATTTTTTAAAATAAAATTAAAGTGTATAATTATTTTCCAAAAAAGGAAAATAACAAAATAAGTGAGACGGACGAAAATGGAAAGATGTACATGAGAAGTGGGACGGAGAGAGTAATATCAAACTAATACAATAATTTAAAATTTTACTACCCCAACTCTAACTCGACTCTATACCAACAAGGAACAAACCTACTTTTAGGGTGTGTTTGTTTGAGTGTTTGAATAATAAAAATTTTGAATTTAAATAATTGTATGATGCTATATAAATAAGTATTGATGCGATTTTTAAATATAAATTTTGTTTTTAGTATAATACACAAAATAAAAAATATATGTTTGATTTGATATTTTTGAAACAAAAAATTAATCGCTAAGTAAAAATTGAGTAAAGTTCTATAAAAGAACACATTGAACATCCATAATTTTAATACTTTGATATTCTTAAAATAAAATTAATATACTACTATATGATTTAAAAAATATATATATATTTAAATATTATATCTTAATAAAATATATATACATTTGAATATCCATAATTTTTATTATCTTAAATATTGTATACTAAATCAAAAGTATTATCATTTACCATGTAACAAAAAGAGTTTATTAATATATATATATTTTTTTTTATGTTAACAATAATTTCTTCGTAATTAATATAAAAAGAATTTAAAAAATAACTTCGATATCAATATAAAAAATATTTCAAATTAAATTCACTCATAAACACACTTGGGTCTTTTTAATTTATATATTTCTTTCGTTCGCATTTTAGGGTTACAATTATCTTTTGCATTATTGTATTTAACATTGAAATATTCTTATGTAGATTTTTTTATATATAAATATATTATAAGACATAATAAAAGTATTTTTGCAATTTTTTCTTATACTACATTAGGATAATAATTAATATTAAAAAATCAACACGCAAAAAATAAATAGCACTATTTGAGCCGAACCAATGTAGTATATTTTTAGAATTTTAAGACTATTTAGTTTTATAAAAAATATCACATTAAATACATATATATATATTTTAAAAAATAATACTCCCTTCGTCCCAAAACTATGATCTTATTTGAGTTGAACATGAATTTAAGGAATATTGATATTATATTAATAGTTGGTAAAAAGTATGAATAAAAGAACCCTTATGATTGTTTTAATGTAAAAAATAGTGGCAGTAAAAATAATTTTACGGTGATACTAGTATTTATGAAAATGAGACGGTTGTTTTGGGACGAACAAAAATAATAAACAAGAGTATTGTATTGAAAAAAAAAAAAAGAGTACACTATTATCATATCACTATTAGTACTTATTAACTATTCCAATCTTTTTCAAAATCTTAAAATTCCAAAATCTTAAAATTCTAAAATCCTCTTTATAAATGCTAGCCGAAATACAACGAAATAAATTAAATAAATTATTATTATTGTTATTATTATTATTATTATTTTAAATAAAGAGTAAAGCAGAGTGTTTTTTATGACGACTAGAAACCACAACGGTCAGGTCACTCGCCATCTAAAAAAAAAAACAACAACAAACAAAGCCCCACCAAAATTCGACCGTTTCGGCGTCTCCCCTTTCGCCCTTTCCCACGCTCTCTTTTTCCTTTTCTCTGCGCAGAAGAAATAAGAATGGAGTTCTTCTTCCCATGACTGTTTCTGTCCGTACTTCTTCGAAATCAGGGGGAAAGTGAATAAGGATAATTGCAGCGGTCGCGTCTGAGTGTTTTGTTCTAAGATGGGGTGTTTTCTCGGCTGCTTTGGTGGTGCGAAGGAACACAGACGACGCAGCGACAAAGGAAGCCCCCAGAGACATGTAATGATCTCTTTACCTTATCATCTGGTTGTTTTTTGAACAATTGCTCGGTTTGGTTGTGGTGGAAATTTTGATTGATCGATCTGGAATTATCGTCGTTTTAGGGTTCCTAGAAATAGTTTTTCATTCTGTGAAGTTATCCTTCGATTCCTTCCTTGTTCGTACTCCATAACTACTGAGTTCTATTATCTTTTGTTGAATGAAGTATAATTCTATTCAATTTTTTGCTCCTTTTTGTCGTTGCTGTTAGTGATGATGATAAACATGAAACCTTTTTGTCTTCCTTTTCTGCTCTGTTTATTGTCTATTTCCTGCAATGAACTGAACTAAATTTCGAATTTCTTTATGCAGAGAAACCGTATTCAGAATGTGCTGCAGGAAAGTGAAATTACTGCAGAACACTTCATCACTGAATCAAAATCCATTGCCTTGGACTCAGAGTTGAGGTAATCTCGTGATCATTTCCTAACTTCTTGTGTTGCAGTATGAAATCTATAATGAATACTCTTTTATTTTCCGAATCATTAGTCGTTCTCGATATTTATTTTTGTTCCAATTTGTAAGTAGTGAAGTTCACGTTTTTCCCTAGCAATATTTCCTTGTATTCTCCTGTTTATTCCCTATTTATGTCCTTATTTCGAATAGAAATACTTGCACACAGTTTATTTGAATAAAAGTGATGGTGATTCTTATCATTTTGCAACCTGTAAATATTTTCAAAATTGAGTTACAATTTGGGAATGACTACGGAAAAGCGATATAATAATGAATGCATTTTGAAATGATATACTCCCTCCATCAACGTAATAAGTATACTATGTTTTTTGTGCGGAGATTTAGTATTTAATTGATGTTTGGCGGCACTTTTTGTGTGTAAAGCCTTGTTTTCTCTTGTGTTTTAATTTGATGTAATGATATTGCTTTAGATAAGTGTAAGTTTGAGGATATTTATAATGTGTAGTATGATCAAATTTATGAAAAAAATGAAATGTATACCTTTCGGGATGTTTTTGGCTGTGCCGTATGTAATCTTCACATGATGATTACTTGTTATTTGATAATGAAAATCCAATCATCTCCTGTGTATTCCATTTTAATCTTTTGCTTTATGCTATTAATGGAGAAATATTTGATTTTTTCGGTTATAGAAATAAACCCGAAGGAGTTGAGCAACTGAGTCCAAGCCCCAAAAGGAGAGTAACTTTTAACTCCAATGTTACGGCATACGATCATGTTCCAGTCCATGAAAGTATTGATTCTCAACCAGATTATGCTACAAATGCTGATAAAGAAATGCCCAAAGATCTGAAAATGTCGCAGCGATCACATTCTTTTTCAGAAGACAACGATAACTCTGCTACATCCAGTGTTAGATTGTATCCTCCGAATCACAGGTACCATAACGCCAGAGACAGTGATGATGAATTCGATGAATACGGAGACAGCGACCTGGATGAATTGGACGATGAAGTTCAATACGAAGAAGATTCTGTGTCATCCGAGAATCATTCAGCCACGAAATCCCAGCTCAGTGATTCGCAAGAACACATTAAATTTGGATTGAAAACTAACCCCAGAGATAGAAACGATTATCTTCATTCAGTGCTCGACCCTGTCGAGAATGTCACTCAATGGAAAGCTGCAAAGTCGAAAGGGTCGTCATTTTCATTAAAGCCACAAAAGGAGAACACCAGCGCCAATTTTGACGCTCGTCATATACCTTTGGAGCAGCCTCAGTTCAGTTTGAAAAAAGGATCTGATCAATTGAAGAATCCGAATCAAGAAAGTGCAGTCGATGCAAGTTTATCGAATTGGTTGGCATGTCCTGAGCCCGTCGTGTCCAAACAGATCCTGTCAGAATCACGTAGTTCAGATATGAGCTACGAAGAAAGGCCAATTTTAGGCGCTTTGACAGTCGATGAGCTCAAACGAATATCATTGTCATTGCCGCCTAGTCGAAGCCCCGATGAGATGCAAATTATCGGCACCGTCGGGAACTATTGGAGCCATTCAGATTGGTCTAAGCATCATCGAATTTCAGCCTCTTCTTTTCAGAGCAGAGGTGTTTGAAAGCATAAAGTTTGCAGGTACTTTTACTGTTTTGGTTATATTTCGAATTTGTGATGAGTTTTGTGTGAATTGTGTGTTGATATTTGCCATCATGTGTTTGTTGTATTCTGTTGTGTGTGGTCGGTCTGGAGGTATTGTAGTAGTCTAAGAATACCTTTGCCTGTGAAATGGAATGTGGACTGATGTGTTTTTTACAAACCAATGTGTTTACTTCTGCCATAAAAGAATTACTCTAGTTAGTTTTGTTGTTTGCCATAGTTCGAATATTTAGATGATATTGTTGAAAATGAGTTCTTAAAAATTCAAATCATATATACTCGAATGGAATAATGTAAAAAATAGATTAGAGTCGAATAAAAATATCATTTAAAATTCAATATCAGTCTAATTGAATAATTTGAAAAAAATTTAGAATCGAATTATACTCCTGTCCGTCCCTAATCTAATATGGTGATAGTGTGTTACATGGAGATTTAGAAGGTGTATGATTAGTAAATAATTAAAAATATATTAGTAAAATTAATTATAATATAATATAAATAATTATATATTAAAATATAAAATACTTTTTCAAAAAAAAAAGTTACATAATATTTGCAACCGACGAAAATAAGAAAAATATGACATCATATATGGCATTGAAGTGATATAATATCTGTGACGGAAGAAAATAAGAAAAGTATAACATCATATATGGGACGGATGAGAGTATCATTTAAAATTCAAAATGGAATAATTTGAAAATTACAACAAATATCAATTTGTGTACAACCCTACTACCAAGAACTGAATTGCAATTGAATCTTATTCTCATACATACTTGCATACATACCAACACTTAAAAGTTTCCCTACTCTTTTCTCAAAACTTCAAAAAAAAGAAAAAATCTCTTTGCACATCACACTACCACACAAGAAGTGTACTTAGCCAAAATGGGGGAAAGGGAAAATGCTTAGGATGCCAAGAACAAGAATAGGTAAGAGTGGATATATGATCAACACTCCACACCACATTGTTTGAGAATAGGGCCAGTCTGTTTAGGCAAGAAAGGATCAATTCTAACCCAAACCAGCGAAAAGATAGAAGCCAAAAGAATAGACCAAAGAACAACAATGGTAGGAGTCCTATTTTGCCTTCCCATAAGCCCCTTAAGAAAAGGATAGAGATGAACAATAACCCAAAATGCAAAAAACAGCTTACCGAATAGCGGCCCCCATGACCCGTACCCGTTATTGATAGCGTCGGCAACGCCGGCGACAACGCCGACCATGTTGAGTATGATCAACGTTGTCGGAGGAATCAGCAGCGTCGTCCATTTGAATAGGTAGAGCTCCCCAAACTCGGCGTCGTCTGCTGCTTTCGCCGTAACGGTGAAGTTTGTGTCGACACCACCGAGCACTTTTAGAAGGCCTTGAAAAACCGCGAAAAGATGCGCGGAGACGCCGCCGATCACCCAGAATTGCTCGTTGCGCCACCAGTCCTCGATGCTGACGCCGCTCCACCGGAGCTCGAGAACTCCGGTGGCTATAATGGAGAGGAACAGGGCCATGAACCATATGCTCGCAAGGTTATTCAGCTGCATTTAGAAAAATGAGGTTAGTAAGAGCTCTTAACAACATTACAATATACTCCCTCTGTCCGCAAAAATTTAAATATTCAGTTGAGGGTATTTTCGGAAAGTAAGTTAGAAATTGAAAAAATGAGGAGAAATAATGTAATAAAAGTAGTGATATTTGTTGTAAATAAGTGATGAATGGAGAATAATAGTTAGATGTGTTTGACTTTGCCAAAATTAATAATGGGGTAAATTTAGCGGACTGGGTAAAAAAGAAAGTTTTAGTAAATTTGGACTATATATATATTTTGTTTTAGGTAACTTACTGACGGGACGATGAACTTTCCGGTGAGGAGACAGACGGCTGGGAGCATGCAGTAGGCGAGAAGTGCGATGGAGGTGAAGGGGTAGACGACGGTGTTGATATAAGCCAGTCGTTCGAGCCATTTGAGCTTTCCGCCGTAGGCGTACCAGAGGGGGCAGTGTCGACTGAGGAAGATTTCGACAGAGCCAAGAGCCCATCGCAGAACTTGGTGCAACCTGTCGGATAGATTGATCGGAGCTGATCCTTTGAAAGCAGCTCTTTTCGGTGTGCAGTAGACAGATCTCCATCCTCGACAATGCATCTTGAAGCCTGTTAAAATGTCTTCGGTGACTGATCCGTAGATCCATCCAATCTGCGCGGGGAATGAATTCGAAGCGTCATGGAAAAAGATCAAAAAAGACGTGTGTGTGTATATATATATAGATGATGGTAATGTGTTAAGTTTAACCTCTCTGCCCCATTCTGTTTTTTCTTCATAGCCACAGCTGATGACATGAATGGCTTCTTTGATGAGCGATGTTGGATTAGTGCCTTCGGGTAGACCGCCGTCTTCCTTGAGAGTCGACGCGATGAAAACGGGCGACATCCCGAATCTTTTCTCGAAATTCTTTTGAGACATGAGGGACGATTTTTCCAGCTCGTCGTATCCTTCGAGGCCCTCTTCGATTTCCTCAAGATCGAAAGCTGGGCCGGAGGTTTTCCTGGTGTACTGCTTGCCCATCATTTTCTTCTTCTTGCCGTATAATCCTCCGAGCCCGAGTAAAGACTTGAGTCCTTTCTTCTTCGCCTTCTTCGACTTTTTTTTCCCGCCGCAGCAGCAGCAGCAGCACCACTTGGGCCAGCAGTCGCAGGTCATTTTAGGCCGTTTCTCCGATGCGGGTGGATCATAGCCGTATAATGCCTGCCTGTTGAATACACAACCGGTGCCGACATAGACAGGGCCTTGAATACCATCCAGGCCTTTCATGTTGATCTGGTATGTATGCAAACAATTTCAATTTCGATTTCAGATCAAGTGTTGTGTATGATGATGCTGTGCATACTTACGTCGAAGAACACGACGTTTCGATTAGCGTATCTGTCGTGGCGATCGATCCCGTCGAATCTCTGTGGAAACTGAACATAACAGAGCTTCTTCCCTATCTGGGGATCCATGAGGAAGCACATAGCTTCTCTAACAGCCTTGCTGTTGTTGAGGTAATGATCACAATCCAGATTCAATATGAATGGTGCATTGGTAAGAACAGCAGAAACTCTAACCTGCAGATTGTCGAAACATCGAAGATTCTCAAATTTGAGGGCCACGAAAACTAGAGCTGGCAGAACTGACACGACACGGCAATATGACACGAAACCGAGGCGAAATAATTGGGTCCCGGTCAAAGATTTTAACCCGATTACATATACGGGGTTGACACGAATATTAAGTTCAATTTTAAATAATTGTAACATAATTTATTGTACACGTTACACTAAAATCAATAAAAACTAACATAATACAATGACAAACAATAATTGAGTTTGAATTAAGGATTTCGACTTAATAACCGGTCAAATGAACCCGACACAATAATAAATTAATAGGGTTAGAATTTAGTAATTTAGACCGTTTAAAAGCATTTAACCTTATACGAATCAACCCATTGCCAGCTCTAACGAAAACAACAATCCGAACAGTTCTGAAATAGCTAGAAGGTTCTTACCAGTGAATTCATGGCGCCGGCTTTCTTGTGGTGCTGATAGCCGGGTCGTTTCTCACGAGAGACGTACACTAACCGCGGTAACTCCTTACCTTCAACATCCAGTGCACCTTCACTCCCCAAATACACCTGCAGGACAAGAATTTCAGCAACAAGAATTATACAAGAACACGAATCATTTGCTTGAGTAGTAGTGATGATGTTTTGGTTGCCTGAATCATGCCGGGGTGATCGCGGGTGTTGTTGCCTGGCCATGGAGTTCCGTCCTGCATAATCCATCCTTCTTCAGGCTTCTTCTGAGCTTTGGCAACTAAAGCATTTATCCTCACTTTGAATTCTTCATATTCTCTCTGCAAAATGAATTGGATTGATGATTCAATGATGGATTGATTTATACAAAAACAGTAAGGATTTGCTATATATATATATATATATATATATACTGACCTTCATTGCTCTTCTATCCTTGACGAATGTAGGCTGCACTTTATCTTTGAGGTAATCGATCTTCTCCGAGAAGTAGAATTCCGGCGCACGAGGCTCAACGCTGTACTTTTTGCAGAACGGCACCCACCGCCGGGCAAACTCTGCCGTCTCCGACAATGTATCGAACAGAAGCATGGAGGCGCCGTCGTCGGAGACATAGCAACTGACCTTGTCCACTGGATAATCGACGGCGAGGATTGAGAGAACTGTGTTGGCTGTGATTATCGGAGGTTCCTTGAGGGGATCCACAGTGCTCACGAAGAAATCGATTGGCGCTAACTGGTTTGATTCTCCGTCACGCTCGAACCTCAAGGAGAGGCGATCGAGGTAGGTTTCGCGAGTGATTGGTAGCCATTTGGGGAATTGATCGAGAATCCAGGAGAGTCCGAACCAGATCTCGCAGATGACGGATATGATCCATAGAGGATAAGCGTCGTACGCGGGGGCTAGGATTCGGAAGTGGAAGAAGAAGCAGAGGACGATGAACCGAATGACGATGACGATGCGGTAAGGGTTTATGAGACGCGAAGGGATTGGAACTTTCCGCCATAGAGGTTGTCGCGCTTCGGCGATGCTGGAGAAATCGAAGCACGGATTTCTTCAATTCCGGGTGTCGATCGCAAAATGTTTTTAGAAAACTTGAAGCTGAAATGGTGCTTACAGGAAATCGTCGTCGTCGTCGTCTTTCTCATGTCCTCCTCCTCCATCTGATTTGGTAATGAGGCCTCGTTTCTCCTGCCTGCTCTTCCACTTCTCCATTCGTTCCTTCCATTCCTCGTTGCTGTAGGTCTCCTTCTCGGCTTCGAAATCTTTGCCTGCAACTGCACATGATCTGTGAGCAGGAACTTGACGACTTCGGCTTATGGCGGGAAAAGTATGAAGAAATTGGAATAGGGGAGATACCACTTCCAGCGACAGGAGGCGTGCTGGCGCCGCCATTGATGTGGTGTTGAGGATCAGTGTTATAGTCTTCGTGTTCCTGCGCATATACATACACAACACTGAGAATTTGATGCTTCCCTAGTTTTCGAGAACAATTAGTGCAGTAGAGGCGAATAATCACCAAATGACGAGGTTCATGAGGAGGCGGGGTAAGGATACGGCGATTCTTCAGCTGGAACTCATCCTCGAAGTCATCTTCGTAGTGTTGATCCTCATCATCTCCTTCAACCCGAGGAGAACCTTAAAAAAAAAAGAGTGCAATCCGCATTCAAACAACAATTCAAACACAACAAAAACAGGTGCGCGAATCCAAACACCAGCACATGTATTATATGCATATATATTAACACATAGAACGGATTAGGAGGAGGATGGCAGCCATTGCAGCAGACCTTTGTGGCGCTTGTAGCGAGCGTGGCACTGCGGACAGGTCTGGTGGCCTTCGCTCCTCTCATACTCGTAGCAAGGCCTGCAAACTGGAAATCCGCACTCGTGGCAAGCCACAAACACCTCACCACTTTCTAGCACCTCGATCTCGTCTCCACAAACACGGCATGTTTTGGCGGTTGTCGATTCATGTGCTGCTGGAGGAGGTCGATGCTGCTGCTGCTGTATTCATCAAAAAAAACAAACAAAAATTACGTGTTACAGATCACAACAACATATACTCAGTACATACAAATATGTATATCAGTATATATATGTATATATAATATATAGATTTTTTATTTATTATGTACCTCGTCGGAGGTGTAGAGTTCGCTGCGGGCGTAAGACCCGGCGTAGAAACCAGACATGGGAGGAGCAATGGGGAGAGTGAGGAGCAAAGAATGAAGTGAGGATGTGAAAGGCGTGAAGGTTGGGGGCTGTTCTTAAGAATCGATCCATATGTGGTGTGGTATGGTATGGCGAGAGGGAACCTGCAACAACAGCAGATAGCAGACAGCAGATAGCAGGTGAGGGGTCGATTTGAAGGTAGGTTTAGGTTTAGGTTTGATTGGAAGACAAGTTTGATCGGTGAGGTGAGAGAGAAAGCTCTCCTTTCCTTTCCTTTCCTTTCCTTGCTGCTTCTCTTCTACTCTTTGCCACTGTGTCAAGGGAGGGATCCATCACACCTGCAAATCATATCAAATACATATATTTATATACTTGTTCCCTTTGAGTGATGTTTTATGTAAAAAATTTTGATATATATTACCTCAATATTATAGAAATAATTAAAATTATATATAATATATATCCATAGAGTTTGTTTACCTGTGATTTTTATTGATACCATTCTTAATATATAATATATTTTATTTTCTCAATTTTTTATATTTTATATAAAAAAATTTACATCAAGACACTGAACAAACAAATGCATAATCTTTTGACAAATATTTTTAATTATTATTATTTCTAAAAATAATAAAAGATTTGTTTAAAACACACAATGAAATACAATATAAATGTATATAAGATTCTGCCGCCCGTCAGACTCTAAAGTCTCGTTTACCTTTTGTGTCATTATTTGTATAATTTTCTTTTACAAATATCATTATAATAACATTATAAGTATTTTTTTGTCATTTTCCTCTACTTTATACTATATTTTCATATAGTAATTAATATTCAAATGTCAGTATAATTTATTTACATATCATTTAGGATATGTTTGTTTGAGATTTGAATTTTGAATTGAAATTTTAATATTAAAAATTTTGAATTAAAATAATTGTACGATGGATTGATACAATATTTTGCATGTAAAATTAATTTTTAGTATAATATAAAAAAAATTATAAATTATAAATTTTGAGAAGAACCTCCAAACAAACGCACCCTTTGGATGTATTCAAGTCCAAAACAACCTGTATAATTAGGGCATAGAAATGCATGAGCAAGAGAAAAATCTAAGGTGTACCTTCTCCTTATGAAATTTTTTGTACACAAACTATTACTCAGTCCGTTCCATATCTTTGTCCACTATTTTTATTTTTGTCTGTCTCACTTTATTTATCATTTTGTTTTTAAAAAATATAATTATAAATTTTAATTAAATTTTAAATTTTATAATTTATAATTTATTTTAAATTTAAATTATATTATTTTTTATTTTAATTTATATTTATATTTAATTTTATTATATAATAATTATTTTTATTAATATATTTTTTAATTATTTATTAATTATATTTTACTAAAATTCTAGTACCTACAGTAAACAAGACACAATAGGTAAGACTGCTGAAATAAAAAATATGAATATACAAAAATAATATATTATGTTCTTATTAACTTTTTGTATCATTACAAATTATTACCCGTCTACTCATAAAATATACATATTTTTATTTTAAATTGTCTAATTATAAAATAATAATTTAAAAATACTCCAATTTTTTAGAAATACTCATACTTTATCATTACTTTTACATTAAAAAAAATAACCGCAAAATTTTATACTTACAATTTAAATATTATTATTTTTAACTAAACAGCGTGAGTATTTATTTTATTAATATAATTTTTAATTTTATAAAAATATATTCTGTGTTCCTTTTTAATCAGACATATTTTTTATTTTTTGTTTTTCAATAATAATTGACATATTTCTATTTTAAGTAAAATATACTAAACAAAATCATACTTAATAAATATAAATTAAGTATTTAATTACATACATCTCAAAATCATTTTATTTCTATCTTTCTTTTAAAATAACTAACGATGTTTTTGTTTGTGGGTTTGGGTTGATGGAAGACTGTAGTAATATTTAAAATAAAATTAAAAATGAGATTAAAAAAAGGGAAAATAAAAAACAAGAAAAAAAAAATAGTGCAGAATGTAAGTAATATTTAAGATAAAAACATCTGATTTTATTTTTATGGACAGTTTTGTAATTTTTTGTACAAATCATAAATAATGAAAAAAATAAATTCAAGAAACTTGCCATCAAATACCAATTTTGTTACTACAATTATTTTTTAACATTCCAAAACATTTATACAGGGTGTGTTTGTTTGAAGGATTTGTGTGGATTTCTACTATTCACACAAATTTTTTCCCTCCCAAAACATCAAATTAAACACATATTTTTTATTTTTTATATTATACTAAAAATTAACTTTACATTCAAAACATCACATCAATACATATTTATATCACATCATACAACTATTCAAATTCAAATTTTTTACTATTCAAATCTCAATCCAAAATTCAAATCCTCAAACAAACACACCCATAGTATATTTATAATAAAATTATTATAAATTAAAATAGAGAATATAATAAATTTAAATTGGAGGGGGGAATCACTATATATAATTATTAATAATAACAAATTACACTTAATAAAAAATTTATTTTTCAAAAGTTTGGGGTCAATTGAATTTACATCTTTAACGTGCTTACGTTCTGTGTATATAAAGGAGGTAATTGGTAGATGGTAAAACATTCCAGTGACTAATCTTAGTCATTAGATCGATTCGATTTTGACCGATCATTTTACAATGGACTTCTATAAATAGGTGATTGTAGCTCATTTGTAAATCATCAAGAATAATAAAAAAAAAAAAAAAAAAAAGTAGCGAAATATATATCACCGTAAAAAGTCGGTGAACATAGGCGTCTAAATATAACAATCCATGTTAGAACCAAAAAACAAGAATTATACGTCCAAATATAACAATATATGTTAGAATAAGAAAACAGAACTAAGAAGTCTTATATAGATTTATGCATACATTATATAACTTCTATATATCTTGATTGACGAATTAGGCGTATCAATCTATGCTAGAAGAGATAAATATAAACTAAATTAGAATAAGGTAAATAAAGGTTTTGAGCATGGCGCCCGGATAGGCAGCCATATCTCCCCAGGCAACATGGCCACAATTTGGCGATACGACGAATTATTTATTATAATTTTTTAATATTTATATAATGCAAAATTATAACTTTAAATTACTAGTTTCAAATAAAATTCTAATACAATACAAAATATAAAATTATAACCTTAAATTACCAAGATCTCCATCCAAAATACCAAATACCAACATATCAATATTAGATTTTTTAATAAACCTAAACCTGTATGTATGTATGAATTCTGGATTGATGCAATGAAAAAGGACAGTAGGTACATATCCAAATCTAAATTCCAAAAAAAGTTCATGTGCCCAAGCAAGCATTCAACATCGAAACAAGAAAATCACTACTCTTTCGGCAGATTGGAGATAGGAAACAAAGTCGCTGTCGAATAATTTATCTATTCATTCTAGAAGTAACAGTTATCTAAGTGAAGATGTATCTACCAGCATGTGAGCTTACTCTTAGAAGCTACTCATCAAGGGGCTACTGGTCCACTTTTGCACGCTTTGTGGGGGGAGAGTCGGGCTGAGGATTCTCAACAACTCGGTCTTCAAGTGTTTTCTGCTTCTCACTGACTGCCTCTGAAGTTTCTGTCGATGTTTTGGCTGCTGCTTGACCTTGTATTTCTTTATTCTTGTTGTTTTCTACTACTGCTGCATGGGTTGAATCTTTACCAGGGTTATCACTTGTCGAGGATTCCCCTTTGGCCATTCCCGCCTTGCACTGTTTCTCGAACATCATTTGGAGATACCTCCCCTGCTCCTCAATTCGAAGTTGTAGGTTTCGCTGAATCTGCAGGATGATTCATGACAGTTACTGTTATGATTATGATTATTATTACTCTTCGTTAGCATATGAAAGTGAAGATTCAATGTGCTGTCGAGGTTGCAACACTTTACATTAAATACTCAACTAGGCCCCATTTGATTGGAGGAATTTGAGTTAACAGCATTTCAAATGTCTCAATCAATTTTATTAGTTTCGTTCGGCACTGTGATGGATTTCAAATCTTCAAAGTTGCTTGCGGATTTCAAATCTATCCCTTTAATATTTCAAGTACTCTTTATTATTGTTATCATTCAAATAATTCATGCATCCAAATGGTAGCATTTTAAATTTGAAAGTAATTAAAATCCATTCATTTAAAATGGACAATCAAACTCAAATTCATCCAACTAAATGGAGACCTTAGTATTTAGAATGTAGAGATTTTAAATGTAGAAGTCAATGTAAATTACGAGTATATTTGTTATGTACAGGATAAAAAAAAAAAAAAACTCATTGCCATCCTTCGGGACGTGTTTGTTTCGAAGTTTGGATTTTAAATTGGGATTTGAATAGTAAAATTTTTGAATTGAGATAGTTTAATGATGTGATATAAATAGGTGTTGATGTGATCTTTTGAATATAAAATTAATTTTTATAATAGCATAGAAAATAAAAAATAGGTGTTTGATGTGAATATTTTTGGAGGAAAAATGTTGGATGAATAGTGAAATTTTGGCAAAATCCCTCGAACAAACACACTGATTGGAATATTTTAAAAGCACAAAGTGGTACCTCAAGTTGTTCGTGAAGGCGCTTTTGGACTTCCATCTGCAACCGCAGCGCTTCAGTAATCTCAATGCCCCTGTTATACACATCCCAATCAGACAACAGTGGATAACAATGCAAATCATCAAGGAATTGGAGGTGAGCTTTTGTGTTTTTTTATCTTTTTTTTCTTTTACTATTCAAGTTCTCAATTTCCCTCAAAAGATATCATATCTAACCCCCCATTTTCAATAACAAAACATCAAATCCAACTATTTCACCTAAAAAAACCATTAAGTAAAAATACCCTATTATTCCGATGTTCAACATTCCATATCTTGCATCGCATACACTTATTTATGATTTTCCCCTAGACTTGTCATACCAGTTAAATAAAATCCAAAACATGCCTGTGTAGCTTTAGAGTAAAAATATATACTCCCTCCAACATGTAAAACTATGCTCATTTGATTTGGGAGTGTCTTGTACTTTTTGCCTTTTATAGTAAAAAAAAGTAGAAAATCGGTTAAAAATGTAAAAATATAATGATTTTTTCTAATAAAGGAAATAAGCATATTCTTTATCGACAAACTAATAAGAAAAGTGAATATATCTTTTTATGACATCGGGAGTACAAAAAAGAGAGATTAAAACTCTTCAAAAAGCTATAGGGTTTCTCCTTATGGTTTCAATATGTTAATGAAGTACCAATATTTCGCAATTGCAAGAAAATTCAATCTTTGTAATGGTCAAAACCATTCTTCTTTGCATGATTTATAAGTGGATTAGCTACGAAATTTATGCCAACATATTCCATAGTTGTGAAAAGCTATCGAGCATCAAGCAACAGAAAAGCTGCAAAACAGTTCACGATTGAGAGTAACTAAACTTACGTTTTTAAGTCAAGGGATGACAATTCCTCAATTGATGCAGCTTTTTTCTCAGATGATTCTACAAAACAAAACATCTTATCTTAGAGGACAGTCTATAGGCACACTAAAAAAACGAAAAGCATTAAAATAAGTAGAGAAACATTAAAGAAAAAAAAAAAAAAAAAAAAGAATAAAAGGATATGTGAATTAAAAAGGAAATTTCTCCCATATCATGAAATCGGAAAAATATGTAACATATTTGCATTGGCATGAGTTTTTCATACGCAAAAAAAGGAAAAATGAAAGCACTTATGTGATCCAAACCATGAAGAATAGCGAAACAACTTAAATGCAAAATACTGGGCAAATGTTGTTGCACCTTCTGTTGTTTCTGGTTTGTATCTGGCAGTTCGATATTTCTGCAGTTTATAAAACAAATATTTAGAACAGTGAGAGGTTACTTACATTACGAATTTTTCTTCGCTGCAGAATATATTACCTGTAAGTGGCTTTTTACATGATAAATGGTCAACCCTTCAACCTTCATGAGTTTCAGCACACCCTTTGGAGTAGCTTCTGTATAAAACACAAGTGTTGATGTAAGTAAATGCTAACGATTTTCCGCTCAATGATGTCTGAGAATTGAAACAGGAAAACAATATTACTTTCACTGCCACCAAGTTTGTTGACAGCTTCCACAAAAGCTTCATGAAGTTCTGGAGTCCAACGCATGCGCTGCTTTGCTGGAGCAGCATTCGCAGATGAGGATTGACCACCACTCGAACAAACTTCTCCAGGAGTACTTGGGAGCTGTTGGGATATATGTGCATGTTGAGTCGAGATACCTGCAGATTGTGCAGGCTGTTGGGATATAGGAGCATGTTGAGTGGAGATACTCGCAGACTGTTGGGATATGTGATATGATGATGCCTGCAATAACTGAAGATCATAGTACATTTTAACATTTGACTCTTAAGAGATGAGGAAACAGAAAAACCATGCAACAGAATTAGGGCATGTGGATATAAAATCTTCACCTTAGGTCCCTGATCTGTAGCTCTTGTTTCGGCTAGAATCCCACTCCAATCATTATCAGTAATAAGCTGATCGGCCCAGTCTTGCCAATCGTTAGGCTTACTGAGATCCTCGGATGGAATGGCAATACCATTTAGTTCGCCATTGTGGAGTGGACCAGTCATTGGGAAATCAAGCAAATCTGACAACGTATCATTGCACCAGGAGTCATCATTTTCTTGATTGAATTGACTCACTGCAGATGGCTGAAAGACTCCAGAATCAATATCTGATAAGATAACTGATTTCCCTCCAGTAGTTGACTGAGAAATGAATGGGGATTGCGTTGGATTATTTTCCTGTTCTTGGATGGATGAGTGGTGTAGATCGGTTGATAATCTGGAAGACGAAGAATATATGTGTCTGACGACGCCACTGTTGGAAGATAATGATGAGACTGGGCAATGCACAGTTTCCTGTGTTAAGGAACCTTGCTGGGAGGCAGAAAATTGGGGATATGTTTGTTCCATGGAATTTGGAACGACAGAACATGAAGAAGCTACAGCTGTGGAGACCCCACAGTTGCTAATTTCTCTTGCACCTGATCTTTGAATGTATAAAGCCTGTTTTGCTTCCATTGTTGGAATTCGACTATTTGTTTAAATACCAACAACTTCAAAGCAACTTATCAGAAACCAGTTAGAAATCTTCTGTCACCAGATCAGCTGACAGGATTAGTTCTTACCCCAGGGAGGCAAAAAATGAACATCTTAAGAAATTTTGAAGACTGCAAATATGTAACACCAATCGGAATGTTAGACTATAAATTTTAGGTTATGAATTTTCTTCATTGCAGAACAGTAACTCAGCAACAACTCAATCACAGAAAAATCCATCTTGATAGAAGAGTTTGAGAATCTCATACTTCCCAAGTGAAAATTCTTTAATCTTAGCTATGACATGCAATTTCTTGGAATCAAATAGAGTTGCCAATGCATGCATTTACCATCAAGAAAGCAATTACTAAGCCCTACCTACCCAATCGGGGATTATAGAATATCAACATCTTTAATCATCAAACATCTCGCACTTATTTTTCTAATATCCAAGAAACCATATTATATGTGTAAAAATCTGATTTACTCACGACTCCATCAAAACCAGTTCAAATCCCTAAAACCAAGAAATTATTGAACACGAACAAAATTAACAATAACAGAAACCTAGATTAACACGATACACAAAAGCAAACAAACACCACCAAAAAGATTCACATAAAAAAAACACTGTAAAACAAAGAAGAATGGGCGTTTCAAGATAAAGATTCAAATATTGACGCCGCCGATCGAAATGGAGTGGCAACTCAAAAATCAAGACAACATTACATCCAATTAAACGATAACAAAGAAACAATTCAATTCCATCAAATTCATACCTAAAAACCGCAGAAGCAACCGCAATTGACATGGTAACTCCTCGCCATCAAATTCGAGACAATCAAAGATCTACCGCCACAATCCCCCCGTCCTCCACTGACACGTGTGGATTGGAATGGCAGCTGTGGTGATGCGCTCCGTCACCGGCGACTGGCGGCCTGAAGAAACGGACGGCGATGAGTGCGCCTCCTCTTTGCTGACTCCTATTAGAGTTCGCCTTCTTCCATTAAAATAATCTGCAAGTACTATTTTATACCCAGCGCCAGGTCTGCATCTTATACCACGCGCGTCCCTTAGCGATTGTAACCCACGCGCCTACCTCCGCTCATTATTATTATTTATTTTTTTATTTTGACACTGGAAAATTGAAACTTAATTCCCTAATTAGTTGACTCAAAGTCACTATTCAAAATTATTTCCCGTAATTAAAAATATAAATTTGTTTTATTTGTCTAATTAATTATTTAATTAAAAATTGATGCCCTGTGTTGGCCCCACTTTAATAGTGGAATCTGATTGGGCGGTGACAGTACTTCCATGCATGTGCGTGGCATTTGAGGAAGAAAATTTTTGGAACATCAATAATTATTTAACAAGTTTTTATTTTAATTTCATTTATATATATATATACATATTATCAATATATAAATAAAATAAATACAATGTTGCTTCATCGAGCTCAAAGGGCACTCTAATCATTTGGGACCATCCAAACACGAGGTTTTTTTTTTTTATTAGTTTTAATTAGGTTGGACACGAGATTTAAAAAATATTGATATTATATTGATAGTCGGTAAAAAATATGGGTAAAAGACTTTTTTATCTTTACGAGTGTATTAGTATAAAAAGTAGTGACAATTGTGTAATAAAAATGAAAAAGTACGAACAGTTTTATGGTGATATAGTTATTTATGAAAATAAAACTATTGTTTTGAAACGAACAAAAATGATAAATAAAGTTATTGCATTGGGAATAAAGGTATATATACGTAAATGTGTGTGATCAAAATTCAAAGGTCATTCTTGAGTTTTTAATTTTATTTTTTGCTACTTAGAATTTCATTGTATTTGGTTTGTGGTTTTTAGGTTTTAGGTGTATTTACAATAAAATATTTATTTAAAGCAATAATTTCTTATTAAGAACGGATGAAAGTCCATGAATAAAAAAATAAAGACAAAAAAAAAATTACTCTTATTGTTTCGGTCTAATTTTTTTTTTTTTCTGGAGTTTTTGAAATAAATTAAAAAATAATATTTTTTTCGTTCCATAACAAAGTATTCATTTTTTTATTTTAGTGTATCCATTTTCTTTTTTTAGTAACTGTATTATCTACCTAACATTACAAATATCCTTACAACTTATAATATATTACACAGATGTGATTACATTTATATCACACATACTAATAAGATTATTTTAGTCATTTCTACTTTATTCCTACTATATTCCAATATAATACTAATATTTCTAAAACTATATGTAAAAAAACAAATGAATATTTACTTATGGACAGGGGAAGTAGCATTTTATTTATTAGTGTAAATATATAAGATGGTTTCATATTTTTGTTTTGTTTTTTTTTTACTTATATATAAATTAATACTGTATTTGTAATTTATATAAAAATTAAGAATATTTTAGTAGTAATGTTCGATTAATATTACTATGATAAAAAATAAAGACTTCTAAATGAAATGTATTAAAATAATAAAAATGATGTCAGAGATGTAGGGGTGGGCAAAAAAAATGAATCGAACTGAATTTTCGGTTAACCGAGCAAATTTAGTTCGAATACAAATACTGCATATTTGATATTTGCTCGGTTCGGTTCGGTTTTGGTTTTTGATATTTTTTTCGGTTCGGTTAACCGAACCGAATATATTTATATATTTATGCTATTATATTTTAAAATTTATATTAATAATTATATTTGGTTCGGTTACAGTTCGGTTTCGATTCAAATATTTGAAATATTTGCAAATATTTTGATTTAATTAGAGTTTTAATTAATTTTTTAATATATTATTTTTTAATTTCGGTTCGGTTCAAATTATTTGCGAATATTGAAAGTATTTTCGGTTAACCAAAATTTTCGGTTCGAATATTTGAAATATTTTCAAATATTTTGATTTAAATAGAGTTTTAATTAATTTTTTAATATATTATTTTTTAATTTTGGTTCGGTTCAAATTATTTGCGAATATTGCAAATATTTTCGATTAATCGAAAATTCGGTTAACCGAAATTTTCGGTTCGGATACGGTTCGCAGTTTCGAGTATTTGTTCGATTCGATTCGGATACGGTTTACAGTTTCGAGTATTTGTTCGATTCGATTCGGATATCAAATACCTGCATATTTACAAATATCCGAATGGGACCCACCCCTACGAAATGGTTATAAACTTTGAGTTTTAATTTTAAAGTGACATACAAAATTTCTTCATAAATTTTTATATGTCAAGTAATTTATTACAACAAAATATCACGAATTTACATCAAAGATACACACAACAGTATGGAATATGCTCTCATTGACAGGTAATATTTAAGCAGATATATATATATATATATATATATTGTGCGAATTTCCATAGGTGTGTAATTTACAAATTTGGATAAGATGAAATGTGATATGCAGTTTTAATGATTAAAAAGGAAAGAAAGAAATTGAGACTGAAAAGTGTGTTTGCGTTTGGATTCTGAGTTGGGATTTGAATAGTAAAAATTTTGAATTAAAATAGTTGTACGATATGATATAAATAGGTGTTGATGTGATGTTTTGAATGTAAAATTGACTTTTAGTATAATATAAAAAAATAAAAAATAAATATTTAATTTGATATTTTCGAGGAGAAAAAATTGAATAAATAGTGAAAATTAAATCCAATCACGGGTGTTATTAAAAAGTGTTATAAAAGATTTTGAATTTAAAATATTTTAAACGAAAGTAAGAATTTGTTTGACTTTTTTTTCTTTTTTTTTTACGGATATTATAGTTTAAATAATATTTTGGTATATATATTTTATACTCCTTCCGTTTTAATACAATAATTTTATTTATCATTTTTGTTTGTCCCAAAATAATAGTCTTATTTCTATAAATAATTATATCACCGTTAAACTACCCTTATTTTTTCATTTTTATTACACAATTGTCACTACTTTTTACTCTAATACACTCGTATGGACAAAAAAATCTTTTATCTATACTTTTTACCAACTAAATTTTGTGTTCAACCCAATTACGACTATAGTTCTGAGACGAAAGGAGTATAAAATAAAAAAAAAAAGAAATAATAATAATAATAATAATAATAATAGTAATATTTCATTTGTATACTAATAAAATTTGCACTTTTCATTTTTTTTATATTCAAGTTTATTTTTTTATTTTTTTCAAAAAAATAAATTTAATCACATTATAAATATTAAAATTCATAAAATTCTCTCATATAATTTGTTTTTAATTAAAATACAAAAAATAGGAATGAATTTGCATCCATTGTGTAATGGATAGGACAGAGGTTTTGTAAACATTTATTATATTAAAATAGAAGAACAAAAAAGTTTTTATATTCCAAAACTACGGTCTTATTTGAGTAGGATGCAAAAATTGATATTATATTAATAGTTGGTAAAAAGTACGAATAAAAGACTTTTTTGCACGAGTGTATTAGTGTAAAAAGTAGTTACATTTGTGTAATAATAATGAAAATGTAGGGATAATTTAACGGTGAGACGAATGTTTATGAAAATGAGACTATTATTTTGAGACGACAAAAATAATAAACAAAACTATTATATTAGGATGACAGAGAGAGTACAGAAATACCACGTGCTACCAAATATTTTAAAATATGATTACAATATATAATTATATTTTAGAAAAAAAAAATGACAAAATAAAAAACAAACATAAATAAAAAATATAATATTATATGTTAAAAGAAAATGAATAATTCTTTAACAATTACTCCATCCATTCAAAATCAACAGTCCTACTTTATAATTTGTCCTTCTCAATCAATGATTTCATTAACAATAACAATAATAGAACCTAGGAACCCGTACTCTGTAAACTATGCTCGTGGACCTGAACCATGACCTCATGATCACAATGTGAGATCACATATCCAACCCCTACACTGACAGATCCATCTCTTACGAACCATTATATATGTCTTTTGTTACTACACAAACAAATTATTTTTTCCTTATAAAGCATACATACACTTATCTTTTAAATGCAATAGAAAACAAAACACCCTCAATTTTGAAGATATAATATACAATTACAAATAGGGTTTGGAGAAGAGGTGAGCCATATATCACAATCACAATTCACATACACCAATATCTATCGACCCATTTTAGATCTTTCTTGGTAACATTACACCATCCAAATGCCAATTAATGTCACATACAAGAAAGCCAAGAACAAACTCAAGTGGTGATTGAAGCACATCAAATTTTAAAAGATATAAGAACCTATAGCCATGGAATAGCAAACTACTACCCAAATATCAAAGACAAAACTCAGAACACCGCGAGCACAACAAGAATACGAATCTGCAGTTAACACGACATTCTCGAACATAGATCTCAATCCACGCTTCAATTACCAACAACTACGTAATCGGGAGAAAGAGAACCAAAAGAACACAAAGGCATCATAGCTCAAAATAGGCATCATATGATGAGTAAGAAATAGGCATCATAGCTCAAAACAAAATTAGATTCCCAAACACATGTATTCAAAAGGGTTAAGGCACTCGGGGAACCAAAGGCGAGGGGTTGTCATCCAAGCAACCATTATCGAAATTCTGGTAGTAACTCTCTGGATCATAATTATAGCTTGTGATGTTGCTGTGCCAGCTCATAAGTTGCTTTAACTCCGAGCTGAACTTCAAAAGCAGAAGCCTTGCAACATGCAATCCTAGGCAGCAATTTCCTGGGAGACTCCAACGACCACTGTTAACAAGAGGGGAAGCACTTGTAGAGCATATATAAATCTTTCTTCCCCAATTCAACAAAGGAATCTTCTTCTTCCGGTCAACTACAGTTTGTATTTTCATAACTTTTTGCTTCCGGGGATGATTATATTTATCAACACTCAACAGGGTAGTAAGAAATACCAGGAAATGTAGTAGTCTCTGATTGATATTCCATCAGATAGCATCCAAGGGACTTTTGTCGTGTGGCAATCGCGCATTTGCTGAAGGTGGGAAGTGTTCTGATAATGGAGAATCAGTCAATTTTGGCATTGATACCTGTAGGCCCTCCTGGTCCTTTCTGAAAAGAAAACATCAATGTGGTGAGGTACCAATCGGTTTGCAATCACTCCAGCCTCAAATTGCACACAGAATATACGGTGTCTGTGAAATACTCCTACTTTTGTGAAGAAAGTAAATGTTTTCTTCAAACAATATCAAGAAACAAAATTGAACAGCATAGCCAGCATAGTTACCTTAAATATCAGACAGAGTAAGGTCTATCGAAAAAACCATGTCAATGAAATAAACTCCCAAATTCAAAGCCTATGAAATAGTTTCACTTCAGGAAGTCCACAATACCGACTCTTTTTCACTGTTTTCAATCAATTTCAATGGCAAATTGAGGGCCAGTCCAGTAGCTCACCATAAATGGCGGTAGCTTCGTAAAAGGAAGAAAAAAGAGTAATATTCAACAGATAGATAAAAGAATGCTATCATACAGTCAGTACAATGCTATGTTAGAACCAACAAACGTTTGCGTATTACTGCTGCAAGATAATACAAAGGCAAGCAAAGTCTCTATAATCACAGTGAAACAGTGCGAAGATTGTTGGAGATTTGCCATAAGACAATCCAGGGACATTCATTCGAAGATCATGCAGCATAAAAATGAAATGTTATTGCACAAGGAAGGGTCATAAGGCCATTACATACAATTCCTACAAATAGATTGCGGAGAACATATTCAAGCTCCCCAATACAACTAGTAAAGGTTCGGTCAGAGATTAGGAGACAAAGGACATTCTATGTCAATATATGCAAATAAATGATAATATAACTCCCCTTGTACAAAACTTCACGAGTAATAAATCACACAAGAAAGTATTAGAGAAGCACATTCATACTACAAGGTATCAAGTCTCACTATAGCCCACAATGCAATAATTGCACATACTCAATTCAGAAAAGTAAATATTCCCCACATAACAATAACAGATTTTCCATTGCTAAAAACACCAATTTAAAGATTTTGTATCAAAGAAACACATAAACATATTCAAAAAACAACGCTCCTATTTTTAAACAATGGCGTTTGCAGCACTAGCAATCCTGGGCCACAAATCAGCACATTCTTTTCCAATTGGACCAGTGATGGCAGACCCTTCAAACACGAAAACAGAAAATGTATAAGACATTTAGGTTAAACAAGTTAAGCTAACAAATATATGAAAAGCTTACAGAACATAGAAGCCAATATACCTTTCATTTCACCTTTGGGATTCACGATGACCCCAGCATTATCTGCATCAATTAAGATACAATAATTAGGTGAGATTGTTTTGTTAAGGTAAAAATCATGACGTGAAACAAATTCTTTCAGAAATCATTGATGCAAGTAATCAATCGCTGGTATATTACACACACACAATCACATTGGCGAAAAAATAACAAAGCATCGAAATAAAAACCAGCAATGATAGATTAAGGAAGATTATTCAATTAGGATTTTATTAGATTTTAAAGCAATGATAGATTAAGGAAGATTATTCAATTAGGATTTTATTAGATTTTAAAAAGTCTTAGATTTAGAAAATTCACATACTCTCTGCAAAGTTTGACTGAACTTTTGTGTTGATTTATATGAATTTTCATAAACTTGACACCATTGTGGAATACAAATATATGGATTTACATAGACTCCAACACTGGAATCATTGATGCAAAATACCAAATATATATTAGTTCCAAAAAACACATTATTACTTATATACAAAATTATATATAAAAAAAAAAAAAAACATGTCTAAATAAAATCAAATTTGCAATTCGTAGGGTTTGTTTTTTTAACAAAACTTTTTAAACACATTTTCTCAAAAAAATTAATATATTATATACACTCATTATTTTTATATTATTTATGCAATTTCTTATATAACTCACATAAAAAAAAAATTCTTCAAACCAAAACACAAAATAAACACACTCGTAGCTTTAGAATAAAATTAAAATTAGGAAAAAGAAATAAAAAATAATAATACTCCCTCCATCCACCAAGAGTCCGAGATTGTTTACTTAGTATTTTTGAACTGATCGGTTTTCCATAAATATTACTTCCTATATCCGCCAGATCTATTGTCATTTTCCTTTTTCGTCAGTCACTCAAATTTACCACATTATTATATTTGAAAAAGTCAAAAAGTCAAAATTTAATTATTAGATTTCATTTAACAATTATTTACCATATATATGGCTCACTTTATTACATTTAATTTCTAATTAAGTTTTCAAAAATATCCCAATTACCTTTTTTACTTTTTCTATTTTTCAATAAAATATCTTTTTTTTTAATCAGCCTGCCGGACGGAGGGAGTATTAAAAATATAAACTATATATATATTAATGCAATACATGCAGTATATTTCATTCACTAACGGAAAAAAATCAACAATTTAAAACAATATATATTTTTTTTATAATAAATATAAAACTTAAAAGGTTCAATTTTGATTTTAAACCAACGTTTCAATTTGAACCATTAAGCCAATCTAATTTGTTTGGTTTAATTTTTGAGAAGTCTAGGTAAGTTAAGTGTTCTACTGCAGAGATAGATCCAAACAGCTTAAAGTTAAGATTGAAGCCTGTCAACTACTCCAATGCCAAACTAATTTTGACGTCGAATAACAAGGTCTAACTTAACAAATTATCAGTATGGAATACCAGTACCTTCGAAGTACATGTAAACTCCATCCTTTCTGCGCCACGGCTTGCGCTGCCGGACGATGACCGCGGGGAGGACCTTCTTACGGAGATCGGGCTTACCCTTCTTCACGGTGGCCATCACCATGTCACCCACGCAAGCAGAGGGAAGCCTGTTTAGACGACCCTTGATCCCCTTCACCGATATGATATACAGATTCTTCGCGCCGGTGTTGTCCGCGCAGTTTACCGTCGCCGCCACCGGCAGACCCAGCGACATCCTGAACTTGTTCCCCGCCGATCCTCCACGCCCTGCACGTTCACAAAAATCATGCATAAAAACATCCTGATTCCCAGAAAACAATCAAAATACACAAAATAATTCCACTCCTGAGCAGCAAAAATTACCGCGCTTAGACATCTTTCCCTGATTGCTCTCCTCCCCTTCGTCTCCTCCGCCCTGATTGCCCTAATTCGCTAGGGTTTTATCAGAGGCTATTTGGGTCCATAAAGAAGCCCAGTCTTGCACATTCAATTGATTCATTAAAGCCCAGCGCCATTATTTTCAAATTTTGGGCCACTTTTTAGCGGTGCTACATAGAACGTCAATTTGGTGTCAATTTGGTGTCCACTGTAGCAAAGCAAAAAATGGCTTTGCTCCGTATCATCTTTTTTATGAAATTTTTTAAATTTTTAAAAAAATTATTTTAAATTATAAAAATAAAAAAATTGTTTAAAATAATAAAAAAAAATTAAATATTTGAAGAATAATTGTGAAAAATGGAGTTATGATTGAAATAAAATTAACAATTGCATATTTTATAATTAAAATTAGATAAATAGAATTGACGGGTTGAAAATGGTCTTAAGGCCAAACTCATTTTTTCTTACAAAATTTCTTTATTAAACTTCATCAAATTTATGCTAAATTAAATATTTATTTTATTATTATTATATTATATTAAAAATTAATTTTATATTTAAAACATCCATATCTATTTAGATCAAATTATATAATATCATTTTTTATAATCATTTTGTCATTCATACCTACTCCAAATTCGTTCATCTATGAATCTTTTCTATTGAATACTTTGAAATATATATTTTTTTAAAATATTAAAAATAGTAAATATAAAAAATAATATTTTATATTAAATATTTATTATTTATAAAATATAATATAATATATATATGAGCAAAAATTATTTGTCTCATTCAATAACATAATTATCAATTTTAGTTTTTTATCAATCTTGGTCCTACTGGAATGAAAAATTATAGTCCAGTTGACTGCAATCGAACATGACCGTGTTGACTTGAACACAATAATTTTCATTTAAATTGCACCAAAATTGATAAAATAATTTAAATTTGACCAAATTTAATAATTATGATATTCAGCGTGACAAAAATTATTTTTGCTATATATATTAGATTAGAAATCATGCTTGATATAAACTTAATTGAGAAACAAATCCTATACTTCTCTGATATCTTTTTTAGGGAAACTCTGCACTCAACCAAACAAAGAATCAGTTTTTTCTTTCTCATCAATTTCATTGCTATTATCATTTCTTTACTATCTATTCTTTGCACCAAATGAACCCTAGCTACTCAACCAGCAAAAGAACCCTAACTACTGAACCGAAGCAACCAAGCTATCATTATAGGAACTACCAAAGAAACACCGCAGAAGGTCTGCTACATACATTCTACCATCAACAATTCATAGCTACATTACTAACGACCATACAGCACAACACACACTCAGTAGTAATACGATAGAACAAAGAAACTGGAATAGAGGACTCAGGACTATAATGGTTTCTCATTCAGGGATTGGATTGACCATATATGTATGTATGCCTGATTGACAGTTGCCATCCCTAGTACCTAACAAAGTAGAGAAAAATTAACGGCCACGGCCACGGAGATCATTGCCTGCCAGCCCGAGATCCTGCAATTGGTGCCAAATGTATGATAAGAATGTGGTGCAGTTAAATTGTAGATTGTGATGCAACAGATGTGCTTACTGCTGTAACGTTTAATGTTGCGACAGAACTTGCTGCCGCATTGGCAATGGAAGGCCTTCACGGGGTGTTCGTGGTCATCGAAATCAATGCCGTAATCCTGCCAGGGAATAAAGTCCACAAACTGAATGACACTTAAGGAAAATGCGCTGTATACAAATCTTTACAACTAGGGGCGGGCACGGTTCGGATATTTGCAAATAGGCAAGTATTTGATATTCAAACCGAATGGAACATATACCCGAAACCGCAAACTATATCCGAACCGGTTATACGAAAATATTTGTAATATTTGCAAATAATTTGAATCGAACCGAAACTAAAAAATATATATATATTGAAAATTAACTAAAATTCTAATTAAATAAAAAAAATTGCAAATATTTAAAATATTCGAACCGAATATAATTATTAATATAAATTTTAAAAATAATAATATAAATATGTTCAGTTTGGTTAACCGAACCGAAATAAATATAAGAAACTGAAACCGAACAGGACAGAACAAATATCAAACAAGCAGTATTTGTATTCAAACTGAATTTGTTCGATTAATCGAAAATTCAGTTAAGCAGTTCAGCAGTTCGATTTTTTTGCCCACACTTATTTGCAACTGCTATTGCCAATTAAGCAGTAAAACAAGTAGACAATGAGCATGAGCAAAACTATGAGCATCACTTCGATTTCAGGCTTGAAAGATGGTACTCGGGTAGCTGATTCTTGGTTTAGATTTTAAGACAATTGATACAAAGGCGAATGCAATTCAGGTACCTGACAAGAATTAAATCCAACTTACCCATGTGAGTTCTTCCATGGCTTTCACTTCTCTTGTAGTAAAGAAGGCAACCTGAGAGACAAGATTCAACGTGATTTTGCAGACAACCAACTTTGAAAAGTCAATAAGGTAAAACTTTATGGAAATGGAACTTTTGATTTTATACATGATAGTAGGAATGATCGGGAGTCTCCACTTCCACAGGTATCTCCACTAAGCTTGCGTCAAAACATCTATCATGATTAGATTTTAAAGAGAAACAATGCATTAAAAATTGTGCATTGAAATCAAACAATAGACCGGAACTTCGAGAAGAAAACTTTCTTGGGTCAGATGACAAGATAATTAACTGAAAATTGCTTCACATACATGATTTAACAGAGCCACAATATATATATATATATATAGGAATGCACAAAATGTTAAATATATAGGAATTTACCTGTGATTTATAAACCTTGCTACATTTCCATAATATGTAGCATCCAAACAAAGAGCCTCTTCATCTTTCAGCACTTCTTTTGCAGACCAGTGAGCATCAAGAAGCACTGGATACGAATGTTTCTCTGCTTCGGGACTTTTAAGAACTCGCTCAAATAGCTCCGCATTGGTTAAAACTTCTCCGACATACTCACAGACAAATGCACCTTTGGGCAGGTCTTGCACAGTACGTAGACCCCAGCCTTTTCCTTCAGGAGTCATAAACACCTGACGGCACACAATGTGGGAAACAATGTGCAAATATGACTCAAAAAATTTGCGATTGTTTGAGGATACAAAGATGAAGACTAGAGGGTGGAGTATAACCTGTAAATTGCACTTTATTCCTCTCTGAACCACTCGATTGCCACACTGCTTATTACAGCCACATTTCCGCCAGCATTCTTTTATGAACTTCTTCGTGACATGCCCTTTGCAATGTTCGATGATGTCCTCACATTTTGATCTTTCCAAAGGGCATTGCTTACAAAAGAATTGGCATTGTCGTGTGGGATTACGTTTAAGGGAAATAAATTCCTCAAGAAGCTCCTCCTTAACAAGGCCATCGCCGGTGTATGCAAACTCGCCTCCATTCTCATGCGCACATGCACAAGGTATAGATGACGACATGCAATCCCCGTCACAAGTAGCACAGCAATTATTATCCCTAATTTGAGCCAGAGAGAAATTCAGATATGCATTTTGGAATGCTGCATTTTGGGATATGTAGTAGAAAGACGGCGGAAGTTCGTCACTGACTTCATTTACTATAGAAATTATGATTCTTTCTCGTCCCTTTGCAATGTCAACATCATGAAGTGATTTGATGGCTTCATTAGGCAGTGTAGGTTTCTGAACAACATTCAGTCCTGGGGCATTTGTGACGTGATCACAGTTCTTTTTGGTTTCTCTATCTGCAGCATTCATGTTGTTCGGCTGAGGAACAACGCCTGTACCATTGCAAGATGACGCTGGCACAGATGTCTGGGAATCAGTTAACTTGGCAACAGACTGAGTATCAACCAGACCATTGAGAGAACTACCGCACAAATCCCCACCTTCGAGAGTATCTATACCAGAAGTTTTACTCACTGGATCTAAAGTCAGGCCCATGCCTATGGTCTTTGGTGACTGGCTGTTGCAATCAGCTCCTAACTTCAAAAAGCATTCGCAAATTTCTTCCATAATCCTCATTACTGTAGTATTAGGATCCGCACTTTTGGCTGATATGAGATGGTTATCTTTAACATAATTCAGAACTTCTTCAAGACTAGGCATATGGAAGTCGGACCTTCCAGGATCCAATTTGCAGCTCAACATGAGTTTCACCTCTCCAGAAGGTGAGGAAGCAATCTCTACATTAGAAGAGCACTCCTGTGCAGTCAGTGCCATCTCACTATTGTTTATTGGTTGATTTAATGTGGGAATTTCATCCATTGGCTCTTTTCCACTGATGGATTCCAATGCCAAAGGTTCAGCGACACAATGTTCTACAGGCATGCTATGCCTGCTTGAGGAATCTCCTCTATTTGGTGTGTCTGTAAATTACAGTACAGAATTGTGAGAATAAAAATTATAATATAAGACTGCACAGCAAGTTGCAGCAGCATTATGGGAAATATAAGATGGATGAAAATTAAACCACATAACTGAGAGTGGTTCCTAGAATCTTGCGTCAAGATATTCAACAAATAATATAGCTGCATGCTGGAAATCTGACCAATCTAGAAAGGCATACCTGAATGATTGACCACACTAGGAGGCACAGAACATGGAGTGTCGTAGGTGAGTGGCTCATCTTTTGGCTTGATTAAAGAATTATTTTCTGTGTTCTCCTTTTCAGGAGACACGTGAATGCTGGTTTTGTCCTTGGGCTCTTTCTGACATCCAGTTCGAGCAGAATTCTCGGGTACTGGCCCTTCCTCAGTAGGTGAAATTTGAAGGGAGGCAGCTCCTGTCCCTCGGTCTCTAAGTCTCGTTGCATGAGAATGAGATCTTGAATAAGTTCTTAACTGGGTATTCTGTTGACTTCTACTTGTGGTACTTGGGTGGCCGGGATCACCACCCTCGGTAATCAAGGGTCCGGGGTAAACAGGCTGTTTTCCCTTATTTTTGGCCGGGGATTGGCTTGTTCCAACATTGGACTTAGGTTGAGGTGACTCTGCTGTGGCTTTTGAAGCATTTGGTTGGGGAACAATGGCTTCAGGTAGATCTGTTGGTTCTTCTTTAGGTATGATCAATGGAGTTTTAGGCATGTCATCAATGGTTGTATTGGAGGAAGGTTGACCATTTCGTAGCCCACGACGCAACCTTTTTAGCGGCCGCTCTGGTTCTTCATTTACACGAGTTTCTTCATCGGGGTAGTCCTTCGTCTATTCAGAAGCATTAGACCGTCATGCAGCATAATAAAGAGGTTCAAGATGAACAAGAAATTCATCATCCAAGAATGATAACAATAATAAAGTCATCAAAACTAGCTTATAAAGCAGATCCCGAACCTGAGCGTCATTGGTCTTCTTTGACTGCTCTACTGCCTGAAAACCGTATATTAGTCAAAATTAGCACTAAAATCATCTCTATCTAAAATGATGATTGTATAAGAAAAGGAGGAGAATAGATCAAGCATTTTGGGTTAAGCTACTAAATAAAATCATGGGCAGCTTATACAGTTTATAATTTACAATCTTCTTGAAATACTATTACTATACAATTCAAGATACCGGATTGATGAGAAATAACTACACTCGATTTTAAAATATTGCAATTGGCACAAATACCAACTAAAAAGAAATGTCAATATATAACAAGAAGAAATAGAACTTGAAAGGAGAAAAACTCTTGGGAATAGAGATACATATTGTTTGTTTACCCAGCGCACTTACCTCTGATTCCTGTCTCTCAAATATAGCATCAGCAAGTGCTCTGTAATTTTCCTCTTCAATAAGGATCCAGTTTTTGTCATACAACTTCAGCAAACTCTTCAATACTGGCTTCACCTTGTCTTCAGTAATCCCAATGGCCTTCATAGCACGAAAGGCATTTGCAACTCGAGTTTTTGTTTCCTTGTTGCTCATTTCCAAAGATTTTTTGTAACAAAAATCTGAATTTCCCAAAAAGCCAGAAATTCATAATTTTGTAACCAGCAGAATAATGTAAGTAAAAGTATTTAGAGACACAGATTCTCGTGAATGTGAAAATACAGTTATACTTATTTCTGCTTAGTATCTAGTACAATGCAACCAACCCAAGATAGCAGAAGTGATCAAATAATCATTAAGATGTAAAGCTAATTATGGCAAAAATTAGTCACCAATTCAGATCCATTGAGCCATATTAATGACAAGCCATCAAGAGCCAAAGCTATCAGACAGATCTGGGTGCATTTCAACTCACTGATAAGAAATTAAAGAGATGCATACTCCTTTCCCCACACAGTTTTATAAATAGACAAGGCAGAAATGAATCTTAAAGACGAATGTGTGCATAATTTTAAAACACAAGTCTACTGCAGAGAATTGATCAAAAGTTTCACATCCACATGCCCCTTCCAAAAATATGTACATAAAAATAAGAGAATCAAATAATAGATTCAATTTGTGCATATACACATAGAAACTGTAAATCAAACATTTCATGTTGCCACTTAAAAAGGCAAACAACAGAATGAATACATTTGTTGCAGAAGATATTATCAGAAAGAGGCCAAACAAAGATTATTCTTCCAGCCATAAAAGTAAAGAAAACTGGAGAAGATAAATTGCAAGCTATTCGCGGAAATGAAGACCCACAAACCTGTACGGCTAAGTCTAAACATATCAATATAACATACAAGAACTTAAATGATAAGGATTTTCCACTGAAAACATAAGGAGTCAGACAACATTTCACAAATTTCAAATAAAAAAGCTGATTCCATTGGTACGTATGGCAAGATTCCTACACGTGAAAATACTTGTTAATAAGAAGAAAATAGTACACCATCCTACTTCATTAAGATTCCATTGCAGCCTTATGTCCCCAAAGTTGGAATAGCAGCTTGCAAACTGCAAGTTGCCACTAATATGTGTTTCCTTTGGCCACCAAATCAACCACATTATCATTAAACTTTATATTCAAAGGATGTGTTTCAAAATATATATTTCACTGCCAGTGGGTGATCCAATTTACCATGCGTGCCCAAAATTTACAGCCGCTTGAGTTAGAATTTCAGTAACACTCAGAGAACATTTGTTAATGGCTCCGATTCTTTGAACAGTGGATAAAGAGAATGGATTCAAGCAGGTCATTATGAATATTCATCCAAAAGCGAACAAATTAGGACTTCTATGCATTCATATTAATTTTTTGAAATACCGAAGTTCCCGGTCAAACGGATGTCTCCTCTTCACACAATCGCCGATTCAGTTATTAGCTCAGTCGTAAGGCTGGTCGTATAAACCCTAGAAAATTCAACAAATTTGGAAAACACTCAAACTTTCTGAGACAAGCAAGCTAGAAGAATATATACAAATGAATTAGATAAACAAATTGAACACCAAAAAAGCTACCACTGCTGCTCGTATCGTCGACGAAATATGGACACGAAATCTTCGGACGAACTAATAACACAAAGTAAATGAGAAAACACAACAAAAACGAAGAAGAAGAAGAGGAATCAGTTAAAGGCAGAGGCGAACCAGCCAAAGAAAACTGAGAATCTTTTTACAAATGCAACAGCTTCAGACACGCAAATTGCAGAAACGGAAACGGCAACAAAAGAATTTCTCACCTGCATTCCCGAGGTGCTTCGCCTGTGTGTGAGCTGCGAGAGAAGAGAGAAGTAGCGTAGCCCCTGCAAATTGCAATGTTACAAGGAGGCAAATTGTAGAGCGAGAGTGAATGGAAAATGAGGGTATGTGGCACGCGCGGCAAGACGCGTGGCACCTTTTGTCAATGAGCCTCTCGTTCTATTAAAGTAGTCAATTAAGACATATGCTGAGACCATCCACGACCAAAATAACAAATACGGTATTTAGGGTGTTTTTGTTTTATCTTTTATTTTCTATTTTTCAAATCGAAATCAAGTAAGAAATATACTCCTATGTCCCGGTGTGATCCATGTACTTCGTTTACACCGTATTAAAAAATAATACTTCCTCCCGTACCACACATCGTGTCTGTTAGAATATAGATAAGGTATTTTAAAAAGAATGTAATTAATAAATAATTAATAATATACTAATAAAAATAATTATTTTATAATATAAATTATTATAAATTAGGATTAATATAACTAATTAATTTAATTAAAAAAATTTAAAAACAAATAAAAAGTTTAAAATAAAATTAAAATATGTAACTATTTTCCAAAAAATAAAATAATATAGAATATGAGAGGGACAAAATAATATTTTAATAATGTGGTATATGAGACATGGAGTAATATTTTAATTAGTTAATAATAATAGATTAATATATTAATTTTTTATATAATTAATAATATTGATGATTTTAAAATAACTTTAATATATAAAAAATTAAAATATATATTTAAATTTGTTAAGGGTGTGTTTGTTTGGGGTTTGGATTTTGAGTTGGGATTTGAATAGTAAAAATTTTGAATTTGAACATATGATGTGATATAAATAGGTGTTTGATTTGATATTTTGAATGTAAAATTGATTTTTAGTATAATATAAAAAATGAAAAATAGGTGTTTGATTTGATGTTTTTTGGGGGGAAATTTTGAATGAATAGTAGAATTTTGATAAAATTATTCAAACGAACAAACCCTAACTAAATTTAGGGTGTGTTTGTTTGGGAGATTGGATAGATTTCCACTATTCATTCCATTTTTTTCCCCAAAAAAACATCAAATCAAACATCTATTTTTCATTTTTTATATTATACTAAAAATCAATTTTACATTCAAAACATCATATCAACACTTATTTATATCACATCATACAACTATTCAAATTTAAAATTTTTACTATTCAAATCCCAAATCAAAATCTAAACTCCCAAACAAACACACCCTAGTAGATTTCAGCCAAAAAGAAATAAAACAAAAAATGATAAAACAAATGAAATACTATTTTTTTATAATATTATATTATTACATTCTTCCATATTACAATATAAAGATTAATAAAAATATATTACCTACATATATTTATACAATATAATATATATTATTCACTTGAATAAACTAAAATTGGATTTAAAATATTATTCCCTTGTTTCAAAATAAGTTGTATATATTATTTTATATAAAAAATTCAAATAAAATATAATTAGTAAATAATTTTAAAATAGTATATTAATAACAATAATTATTATATAATAAAAATAATTATGAATTAATATTAACATAATTAAATTATTTAATAAAAATTATAAAATATAAATTATGAATTTAAAAATGATATTAAAAAATATAATCATATTTAATAAAAAAATTACAAAATATATAGGAGCAACAAAATAGTCCATCCCTCCTTGCTAATTTCTCTACTTGATATGAAGTAAGGAGTTTAGGTAGTATGTAAACTTTAGCTGAGCAGATATTATTAATTAAAAAATATATTAGTAAAATTAATTATAAATTAAAATTAAAATAATTAAAAATTATAATTATATTTTAAAAAAAAAGACAATTTATGTGAAATATATAGATATGAGAATAGTAGACAAATTAAGTGAGACAGATAAATAAAAAAATATGAATATTTTATGTGAAATAAAAATTATATATTTTTAATAATATTATTTACGAAAATTTTTATATTTCAAAAAAAATAAAATTGCATACATCTAACACAATGAACAAAACTAAGAGCAAAAATTATTTTAGATTTCATTCAATATAATAATTATCAATTTTGGTCGCATTTAAATAAAAATTTACTTAATATGATGATTGACTGAGACTGAATATGAACGTTTTGGATGAACACGGCCGTATTTGATGACTCATAAAGGTGAATGGACGCCCCAAACGACCAATATGCTGTGTTGATTGCCTTGCACTGAAAATGTCGCGTTCATACCCTGTTCTGTTTTAAACACGGCCGTAGTCATCTTGTCCAAGTTCATGACTTTGTTGTCAATACAATGATGTTCTGGATCATGTTTTCATATTTATTATTATTTTTATTTATTTTTAAAAATTATTTGATATATATTTATAATTTAACAAAAATATCATTTAAATGATTATAATATAAAAAATAATTAATTTTTATATTTTAAAAAATAATTATAAAAAAGTCGTGAATGCCACGAATAATGCGGCTTTTTGCAGAGTTTTGCCACCAGGGTCAGACATTGGGTTGCATGTGGAGACAGCCCATCAACGCAGCCCAAAAACGGCACAGCGCTTAGCTTACGATTGAAGCCCTAATTTCCCCTCTCTTGCTATCGACCCAAACCTGACCTGCGATTATCCCTTTTGATTCTGAGACTTTGGGGAAGACGGTAATCGCAGTTCGCCTCCGGAAACTTCGGCGTCGTCAACGTCGTCGCTCCTCTGTTTCTCGGGTGTGAGTATAGTTTTGCATTACGTGCCTCATCATGCATGATTCGCTGGCTTATGCGTGCTTTCTTTTGTTTTTGATTTTTGATATATATATATATATATATTTTTGCAATTTCGTGTTTGGAGTTACTCTAAATTGCGATGTATGTTATTGAGAATGCTTGTTCCCGAACTGAAGATTTTTTTATTTGTGTTGCAAGCAAATTTTTGAGGCAATTTAGGGTCTAGGGCTTTGTGCCATGAAACCCTAATTATGAAGCCTTGTCGAGGTCTACTGGTTTCCTAGATTCTTCTGGTTTAGTCTGGAACCCCGCTGGGCTTACTTTGGTTTACTCTGGCTAATTGGACATGTAATTGTGAATTTTTTACTTTTGGTTCGTAGTGTAATATAGCATTCAAGCTTCTTCTGTTAAAATTTTATTAACCCCAACTACTTTTTCAGCCGTATGGATATTGCTGATAGCACTCTGTACATTAATGAAACTCAACTTTACAGTAACGAGCTTCACCTTATACCGAATCTTGAAAGACTTGAATTCGCTGTGGCTATATTTATATATATATATATATAAATAACAGCTCTAATTTATTCTTTTAGGCATGTATGTGCTTGTAAAAGTAAACCCTTTTAAGGCAGGGATAACATATTTATATTCATATACATTGGTTTATCTTTTGTTGACTTATATTTAACTACCCTTTGAAATTGAAATCTGTTTGCTGAAAAGGTATTCATAGTGAAGTAAATATTAACAGGTAGCTTAATATGATTGTAAGTTGAATGTTATCTTTAAACCATGTAGCTTGATGAACAATTTATTGATCTCTTTGCTGGTAATTATGGGTTTTGTAACTGGTAGTCTCTTGGTTTTACAGGAGACAGTGACATCATCATGGCACATGCATCTGCTGTAGATTACAAGGACGTAAATGCCACTTCTGGTTCAGACATTGTTGCCTCCATTGGCCAAACTACTGAAGGTACAGCTGCTCTTGCTTCCGCAGCTGTGTTTAAAACAGCAGAGATGGTTTCTTCAGCTGCTAGTGTTGTTGCAGCTGATTCAGTGGCTGATACCGCAAATGTAGACACTGGATATGCGTATGATGCATCAGTAAATTCTTCCCAGCATGCTTCTTCCGCAATGGCTTATGATGCTAATGAAAATTCTACTATTTCCGGAAATGCCCCTCTTGATTCAATTCAAGTTGCTGGGTATGGTTCTGCACTGATTAGTAATGGTGTTAGAGAAACAGGGGATGAAGCATCAGGCAATATATCAGAAAATGGGCCTTCTCCAGCTGACGGCCCTGAATCTGTTTCTATGCACCAGCCCTTGGACTCTGGTATATATTTTGCCTTCTATATACTTGAAATGGATATTAACAGTCTCTGGTATATTGTTAGTGTTTTTTGTTTGTGGTTTCAAAACTGGTCTCATTCTATTTATCACTTTTTCCCCTCCTCAAAACCACCAAATTACAAATGAAATTCTGAATGTATTTGACCAAAAATAAATAATTGACACACTGTAACTAGAATTGTGCAATCATGTATTTTTCTCTAAAATACATCAGAATCCATTTTTTATTCAAAATATCACAACAAACACTTGTTTGAAATAGCATCACAAAATCTACTTCGATTTAATATTTTACTATCTCCAAACCCCAAAGCTCCCTCCAAACAAACAATTAGATTTTTTAGTGTAAATAAACCCCTTTAATTGTTCTATGGGTGCGCATGCCACTTTTTTCTGATCACTTCTGAAAAGGTTTCTACCAGATCAGGTATTGATGTCAACCAATAGAAGCCACAAATTTAGATGCACCTAATTACATGGTGGATTATGCATGGGAACCACTATTAATTTTGAACACCAATTTCTTTTAAATTTTATCTGAACAGATGTATGATATATCACTTTAGTGCTTTATGTGAATGAATTGATTTACAGACTCTTTTATTGAAGTTTGATATAGAAGTATAGAAGGATGGCTGTGATTGTCTATTATGATGTGTCGTTTCACTTTATTGTGCTTCATTGTTGGAATGCATGAGTATTTTGTTGATAATGAGTTTATAAAATTATGCAAGCACCACGAGTGTCACATCTAAAAATGGAAGTAATTGTTAATCAATGCAAAGTCAAAACATTATTGTCTCCCTGATAATTTGGCATGCATTTCAAGGCCTTTTACTTTCAAAAATATTTTCTCATTCATTACAGCAGCCAAAAAATTTTCTTAGGAATGCTGACTCATTAGAATATGATATACAGGACTTAGTGCAGAAGAAGAAAGATTGTGGAGCATAGTGACAGCTAATTCTCTGGACTTCACTGCATGGACATCATTGATTGAGGAAACAGAGAGAACATCGGAGGTATGATTGATGAATTTAAACTTGTTTGTCTTAGTCTTACACTTATTTGGTTTTGTTTGCCTTTGGTCCATGCTTGGAGCTTGAGTGTGCTAAATGTTCATGTTTTTTTGAATTGGTGCAACCTAGAACGCTTTAAGATAGCATTTTTTTTTTCGATAATTCTGTATATATCTATGTCGATCTCTCTTTATTCTTCATTTTTATGACTAACTGGGCTTGAATTATATATATTTTCAGAAACCAGAATATCTTTGTGGTTCTCTCTTTATTTTTCATTTGATGACTAACTGGGTTTGAATTATATATATCCCTTCCATTTTTAGGGTAACATTTTAAAAATCCGAAAAGTTTATGATACTTTTCTGGCCGAGTTCCCCCTGTGCTATGGCTACTGGAAGAAGTACGCTGATCACGAGGCACGGCTCAGTTCAGTGGACAAAGTTGCAGAGGTTTATGAAAAAGCCGTCCAAGGAGTTACCTACTCTGTTGACATGTGGTTGCATTACTGTGTTTTTGCTATTGGCACATATGGACTCCCTGATACCATCAGAAGGTAATTTCATTTGTTTTATGTTTACTTAATTTACCTTGTTTAGTAGGTGGTCCCCCATTCTATTATTTTTATCTTAAGATGGTGAAGGGTCTCTTATTGTTCTCTACCACTCCAGCCATCCACAAGAGTGGCTGCTGAAATTAAGGTATGATGGTATCTAGGGAATGCGCTCTAAATGAACAAGTGCTCTTTTTTGCCAACCCCTGCTTTATCAGCCCAACAGCAACTATAGTTAGTAGGGTGCTTTAACAAGGTTAACAACTCACAATCTCATCGTTGTTTAGGTTACGCTTTTCCTTAGAGCTTGTAATATAACTACATAAAATGTCACTGTATTCTAACCTAGTACATGGCATCCTTCAAAACGTCGTAGCTGCTCTGAAGATGTCACACAATAAGGCTAAGATAGCCTGTGCGACTGCTACCCTGATGAGCAGTGTATGGTTCATTTCAGGGAGATAATACTGTTTAATAACTCAATGTTCTTGATGTGCTCTTCATATGAACATTTCCTCTTCTATAGCAGTCCTTTATATGCTTTTGTGAACGACTTAATTGAACTTCATCCTGAATAGATGCAACAACTGTATATGATGATGTTTCAGGCTATTTGAGAGAGCATTGGCATATGTTGGCTCTGATTACTTATGTTTCCCAATTTGGGACAAATACATTGAGTATGAAATTTCCCAGCAAGATTGGCCTCGTGTTGCTACCATCTATACTCGAGTATTGGAAATTCCGAATCAGCAGCTGGACCGTTATTTTGAAGGGTAATTTTTATATTTAACCGTGCTTCTTTATATCCTCTGCTAGAATGGTTTTGTCTTAATTGTGCTATTACACTTTAATTTTATGTTTCACAAAGCAAAATTCCCATCCCTCACCTCATCCTTTTTGCATTTATTCCTTGACTGTGATTACTGGGAGTGCGCATTTTATGAATTTTAATTTACTATCCAATTAATGAGTTATTTGAGGATGTTGGAGATTGTGCAAAAGCCCCTTTTCTGATCCTGTTTGATTGCAGTTGCTTTCATTGTTCATGTTTTTACAGTACCGTGTATTGGTCAAGGGGAATGTGTTTGAACATTTATCCGCTTTAGCAGTGGATTTATGTTTTGGATATATGTGTTTGTGATTGACTTATAGTTCACTTCTTTATCCTACTTGTTAAAGTTGTATTAGTGTTGTGCATAATATTACAGATTCAAAGAATTAGTTGCTAGTCGTCCCCTGTCTGAGCTGCAAACAGCTGAGGAAGCTGCTGCTGCAAATTCTGAAGCTGCTAGTCATGAAAATGAGGGAGAGGCTACGGAACAGCCAACTAAGGCTGTAAGTGCAAGCTTAAAAGATGCGGAGGAGTTGGAGAAGTATATTGCTGTTAGGGAAGAGATATATAAGAAAGCCAAAGACTTCGATTCTAAGATAGTTGGTTTTGAAACTGCTATTAGGAGGCCCTACTTTCATGTGCGTCCCCTAAATGCCACAGAACTTGATAATTGGCATAACTATCTTGACTTCATTGAAGGTGGAGGCGACTTCAATAAGGTATCCAAGTTTGTTTGTTCTAGATATTTCTAACTTTATCTTTCCATGTAGCTTTAGTTGTACTTTTTATACACTGACTTACAGTTAAGTAATATCTGCCGCGTCATATGCTTTTTTGGCTAAACCATTGGAGAAGCATCTTTTAAAAAGGGATATTGAACTTGGACTAAAGCATGGGCCTTCCATTTGCTTTCCATAAGGCTAAGTACTTCAACCTCTCATTTGAGTCCAAAGTTCTGGGTTCATGGTGCTAGTACAACAATATATTTGTTTTAAAGTTCCAATGTTATGCATGCAGGTGTGTTGTTATCTTCCTAACCATCTATCTATCACTCAAGGAGGGTCCCTCCTTTCGTATTTGAGGGGCCTCCCTGTTCTGCCAGCGGAGTATACCTTGTGCATTTTCTCCTTAGTACCTTCTATTATTCTACATTCACAAAATCTTGTAATGGGATATGTTTATCAATATCTAATCTACATGTTCAGGTTGTTAAGCTGTATGAAAGATGTTTAATTGCGTGTGCAAATTATCCTGAGTACTGGATGCGGTATGTTTTATGCATGGAAGCTAGTGGCAGTATGGAACTTGCTGAAAATGCACTTGCTCGAGCCACTCAAGTTTTTGTGAAGGTATGGTTTTAGAAAGGTACATATGTGTATGTTTTGACTTGTGAATTTTGATTAATTCTTATTTCTTTGCGCTTTAATAATATATGTTTCTATAGCAATTTGAATTATGTGCTTGTTGCATGATAGAAATTATGAAGGTCCACCTTCACGCTATAGACTGATTGGCTCATGGCTCTGAAATTTAGAGTGCATTGCAGTTGATACAACTTAGGACTAGGAGAGCCTAGTTGGAGACAGAATATTGAAACTTGAAATTTGGTTTCGGTAATAAAAAAGATTGTAATATTAATGAATTCAAGTATTGGTAATTTGTTGGCCTAATTTGAACTTGATGTTGTAGCGTGCATTGGAAGAGGCCAAAGAATTTTTGTTGAAGTAGAAGTTATAATATAGGTGTAAAAAATTGCTCCAAGTACATGAAGAGGACATTGGTAGATAACTAGTTCCACTGAATATTGTAGAGATTGTAAATTCTTCAGTCATTACTGTTACTGGCTGAAGTTTTGATTGCCTTTCCACCGTCTCCTTGCCTGGAGATTGAAATTCTGTATATGCCTTTGATCCTATGACCAGTTATCTATATTCCTATATTGATTTGAGGTGGAGTTTACTTTGGTTTGAGGGAATTTTTCTGAAAATTGCCGATTATCATTACAGAGACAACCAGAGATTCATCTTTTTGCTGCCCGATTTAAAGAGCAACATGGTGATGCTTCTGGAGCTCAAGCGGCTTATCAACTTGTGCACACTGGAATTTCACCTGGACTTCTAGAAGCGATAATCAAGCATGCAAACATGGAACACCGACTTGTAGGAACATGAACATGCTGCTTCTATTTGAATTAGCTAGCTTATTATAAATTTGTGATTGGAGTTCAAATTTTCGTATAGGGAAACCTGGATAATGCCTGTTCCTTGTATGAGCAAGCTATCGCAATTGAGAAAGGAAAGGAGCAGTCACAGACTTTGCCATTGTTGTTTGCACAGTATTCACGCTTCATATACTTGGTATGCTTGATATTTCAAAGTTTTATTTGCTCTTTTCCTTAATATTAGATTCCAAGTAGCTATATGCAGTGATGATTACAATGCACAGTATTTTAGCACTATGTACTGCTCTTTTATGTATTGAGTTCTTGTGTTTGAAGAAGTTAGGTCTCACAGTTCTGCATACTGTTAAATTGAAAATAGAGTTTGATTAATGCATATAAATGCTTTTGATTTTAGGTGAATGCAGAGAGGTGTTGATCAACTCTCAAGTCTGTAGTGTCTCTTGTTGGTTTGACACTTTGAATCCCACCCTGGGGAGGCTTACTAATGCTCATTTTCCTTGGTCATATGTCATTAGTTGTCTTGTAATGAACAATGGAGTATTTTTCCTGTTGTTTGGTTTCTGACATACTCGATTTGTTTATGTTGTTATTTGAAGGTTTCTGGAAATGTTGATAAGGCGAGGCAGATTCTTGTTCAAGGTATAGAGAGTGCACAGTTGTCAAAACCCCTTTTAGAGGTATTTTCACACTTCTTTTCTTTTGGATTCCCTATGATACTTGCAATCTTTTTCTTTGTTTCATTTCCTTTGAAAGTTAAATTGATAGAAGGCACTGTGTAAAGAGAATCTCTAAATACATTGTATAAGAGAAAATTGTTTTTCATTGTTTCTTTGTAGTATTTGTATTTGTGATTCATTATTCTGTCGGCTTTGATATATGGCAGGCGATGATCCATCTAGAGTCAATTCAGCCACTTCCAAAGCAAATAGAACATTTAGATTCCTTGATAGAAAAATTCATTGTCCCCAATTCAGAAAACCCCAATGTTACAATTGTTGATGAAAGAGAGGAGATATCAAGCATTTTCTTGGAGGTAATGCTAATACTTATTGCTGCTGCATGTAATTACAAGTCTCCGTCTATGTGTAGTATACCTCGTGTTTTACTCTTTTTGTGATGTCTCTTAATCCATGTTTCAAATCGGCTGCATCTTGTACTCCCTTTATCATCCAAATTTATTTTCACTTTCATTTTTTTTTTTGGTTGTCATCTAAATTTATTCTTATTTTTTTTAGTAAAAAAATACAATATTTCTACTTTTTCTTTACCTTAAAAAGGAAATATTTCTATTTTTACCTACTTTTCCTAAAACGCGTCCCCGGTCAAATGGGCATACATTTTGACAACGGAGGGAATAAGTGTTTAGGTGCTGTTGTCACCTTTTGGAGTGTATAGACAATGATAGCTCTTCACTTATTGTTGAGGGCATGATGTATTTTTTGAGTATTTTTTTTGTTGTAGAATGAGTAAATCTTATGGGCTTGCTGTTTGTTGAATGGATTTTACAGTTCTTGGATCTCTTTGGAGATGCACAGTCTATAAAGAAGGCTGATGATCGGCATGCAAAATTGTTCTTGCGCCGCAAAAGCTTAGGAGAATCTAGAAAGCGTAGTGCAGAGGATTACCTAGCTTCTGACAACGCAAAACAGGCGAAGTCACTCAATTCAACCACTAACCCTGCAGTGGGTGCGTATACCAGCACGCCAAACCAGTGGCCAGCAGGTTACGGCGTCCAGCCCCAAGCTTGGCCTCAAGCCTCACAACCTCAGGCACAACAGTGGACCTCTGGCTATGCTCAACAGGTTCTTTTTCTTCCCAATTAAACATACCATTGAAATTATTTGTCGGCCTGAACTATTTATTGTTAAGATGCCGTTATATTTCCCAGCAAATTAATTCTGCAGATTCTCCTTCAATCCACATTGTTGTTTTTAATATACTCAGCCCATAAATAGCATAATTGTCTTTAACACACGCCATTCTGGTTTATTGTTATTTCTTTCTAGGCTGCATATGGAGCTTATAATTATGGTATGGGCTACGCGCAACCACAGGCACCCACAACTGCTCCCCAAAGCGCTGCCGCATACGGAGCCTACCCTTCAACTTATCCGACACAGGTAGCAGCTACCCCCAATCTTTTGTTTAGTTACTTACGGAAAGTGTTTCGAAAATACTAAAAGGTCAAACCGATGTTTTGAGTAAAAAATAAATATTTTATCTATATTTTAAATTACAAATAGGTGATGGATAAGGAGTTCTTTATAAATAGTGTTAAAACAAAGTTGAAGATATGATTAAACAGAGCCTCTCATCATTCTTTATGCAAGCAATATACATTCTTGATTAGTTCTTTGCTCATTTCGGCAATGCAGCAAGCGTATCCGCAGCAGGGATATGCGCAACCAGCAGCAGGTGCCGCTGCCGCCCCAACTCTTACTCCAGCCCAACAACCTGCTGCAGCGGCTGCGCCTCCCGCTACGTACTACCCTAATTATTATAATAATTAATTCCAAAGCAAGCAGTATTGGTGATGTGTGTGTACTTTGGTGTAACTTAGCTGTAAGAGGGAGGGAGAGAGAGAGAGTGATGTATAGACCAATACCATGAGCTGTGTTTTTTACATGTGCATGGATATGTGGTTTAAGTTGTCATCCCAATTTTAGTTATGTTGCCTTTAGTTTTTAGTGAGGATAGATTTATTTTATTTGCAGAACTTCTATTTCACGTAGTATTCTCTTGTTTTTTTATTTCTTGTTTAGGGTTATCTGATTTATGTCCAATTCTTGATTAAGCTTTTTTTTTTTCTTTAATTAAAGTTGATATACGGCAGGTAAGTGAAAATTAGCACCTTGTTAATTTTGAGATATATGTTTTTTACGTTATATGTAATTTATGGGTGTGCTTGGTTATGATTTTAAATTAATTCTCTCATTATTTTCGTTTTCAATAAAAATATAGTCCAGCTAATATAAATTTACCTTCAAATTCAAAGTAATACTCTTTCCGTCCTTTGTTAGTATTTTTGTCCAAAGAAATAAATATTTTTGATATTTTGGTATTTATATATAAAATTGCTTTACTAAAAGAATATTTTTATTTTAACAGAAAAGAAATATTTTTAATTTTAAAATATTGTAATATATGTTAACGGAGGAATTATTTTATAGTCCGCTAACAATATACTCATTTGTCTTTTTTGCATTATATATATTTATTTTGTTCTACATATAAATATACTATTAATATTCAAAATTTAACAAAAATAGCCACTGCGGGTTCGGAGGTCATAAAAAAAAAAAAAAAAAAAAAAAAAAAAATTAACAAAATCAAAGTATAAAAAATGAGTACTTACTTTGAGTGACTGAAAGAGAGAATATTGCATGGAATGATAGGCGGCAGTGATCTTGTTGGATTCAAGTTTGAAAATACATAACGACCAAAGTGAGTGTCCAAGTCGAAGTTCAAAAGTTCGTCTTCCGTCGTTCACATGCACGTTCCTTACGCTTCCAAGACTTTGAATCTCCTCTCTGAAGCATTCCGATTTTGTTCCTCTTGGATGTTCGAACAAGAATTCGCTGGTCCTGGTTGCGTACTTCTGGTTTTGATCTTTTATTCCAACGAAGAACCTATGAGGACGAAGGCGGCAAGAGACTGAATCAATTCCCGCCATTTTTGAATTGTTTCTTTCTTGGATATTGTCAAACCCTAGCCTAGCCCTCTGGGTTTGATTTCTCTCTAATGTCTCTGATTTACAGTGATCTGACTCGATCCACAGGTCATTTGGTGGGGGTCTCATTTTGCATCTTGATCATCTCTGTTTCTTTTGTATTCTGGAAAAACAGGTCAAGGTCTTTTTACCGGTGTTGAAATGCGATTGTTTTTCCTCTTTGTTTAGGTTGGATTGCGTTTCGTTATTCGTTATTATGAGTTGCTTCGGTCCCAATCGGACCATGTGTTCGAGTTGTACAATCAGACCAGCTCCATGATCCGTGTCGATGGAGGAGTGTTTTCTATGGCAAACGGTAAAGAGGTAGTGACATATTTCTTCATTTCATGATTGACGGAATTAATGATGTTATTATTAGCATATATATATATATATCTTACAAGAACATACTTGCTGATCAAATGATCAATACTGATGTTGAATGTGTGGATTCTAAATATCATGTGATATAAATGTTAGATGTTTAGTTGCTTTGTTTTTTCTCAGAATATCCGTCGACTACTCTCGTCGGTGAATTCCCCTGATGTAGTTGAAATCAAGACAATAGACACTCTTGCCTCAATAGAGGGAGGGGTTCTTGTGACTTTCTCTGGTGTCATAAAAGCTTTCGATAGATCAAGGCCGTTTAGGCAAATCTTTATCATCTCTCCATATGGGATGGGAGAGGACGACTATCTCCTAGAAAACGACGTGTTCTTATATCTTGATAGTGAGATGCTTGAACTTTCTCAGCCAGCAGAGCAACATAACTTTGTTCTTCAGCCTTCTACATCGCGCCATCATTCACCAATTATATTTGGCCAGCGGGTTAATCCCCAGTCTCTTGCTTGGCACCATCCTTTACCAGGTATCATTGGCCATGGGTTGGATACTCAACCTTCTACGTCACAAAGTGGTTCACCAGGTATAATTAGCCAGGGGGTTGATGCTCAGCCTTCTACCCCGCACCATGATTCACCAGATGTAATTGGACAGGGGGTTCAGCCTTCTACTTTGATCCATGGTTCATCAAGTATAATTAACCAGACTGTCGGTTCTCAGCCTTCTACTCCACACCATGATTCACCAGATGTAATTGGACAGGGGGTTGATTTTCAGACTTTTACTTTGATCCATGGTTCATCAAGTATAATTGACCAGACTGTTGGTTCTCAGCCTTCTACTTTTTCCCATGGTTCATCGGGTGTAATATCCCAGGGGGTTGATTTTGAGCCTTCTACTTTGCCACCAGATATAACTGACCAGAGGGTTGATTTTTTGCCTTCTACATTTTCCCATGGTTCATCAAGTATAATTGACGGGACGATTGATTCTCAGCTTTCTACTTTGCCTCATGGTTCACCAAGTGTAATGGGCCAGGGGGTTGATTTTCAGCTATCTACTTTGCCCCATGGTTCACCGGTTATAATTGGGCAGAGGGTTTATTCTCAGCCTTCTACTTCGCCTCGCTGTTCACTAGATATAGTTCTCCAGAGGGTTGACTCTCAGCCTTCTACATCATCTTGTCATTCACCAAGTATCATCGACCAGAGGGTTGATTCTCCATTTTCTACTTTGCGCCGTCCTTTTGAGGCACCAGGTATAGTTTGCTGGTTTGGTGAATTTTTGAATGCTCAATATACTATCATTGTTTCTATAAGCACTTTGGTGTTAGCATTATCCTATGGAATGGTTAACATTTGGTTTCGATATGCTGTTAAAAGATTTATGTTCTTGTCATTGAATAAATCTGCTTCAAAGCAAAATCACAACTTTTCCAACCTTTCTATGGGGACACTAGGAGCACAAGATTTTACAATTTCAGGTTGTCAATTTCCTCAGCCGAAATTAATGTAGAATCATGTAATTGTTTATGGTGGTTGCCTCGCATTCATTTAAATATTTTGGCCTAACTATGATATTTATGTCATTCTTTATTGAAAACTCGAGATTTCTGGTGATAATTGGTTTATTGTGCTGCTAATAGTTTTTCCGGTCTTGAAGTAAGTGGTTTTGGCTAAGATATTGTAACATCTTGTTACACGAATGCTTCAGTCTTCGAATTATATATATATATATATCTCAACTCAGCCTGAAATTGATCTATTTTGCAACAGATACCGACTCTCAGGAGTATCACCCGGAGGTGCCTGAGCTCCACCCTCCATCAGATGAGTTCCAAGAGCCAATTGATAATAAAAATTTACATGACTATCTCTTCATGGATGCATTGGAAAAACTCGAAAAGGCACAGTTACATGACTATCTTCCCAAAGATAGATTGGAAGAACCCGGAACGCCGACTTATGCTTCTGTAGTAAGCATCATATACTCATAGAGCTGATATCATGGTTGTGTCCTATCATGAATTTTTGTCAAAGTGGAAAGCAATTTGGCTGAATATATGCACAATGTGTGATTATTGTTGATTATAGCTTAACAATATCTTGGTGAAGATTAAGGGAATGTAAGAAGAAGAAATTGGAAGTTCTAATTTTCTTTGCAGCTAGCTTACATAGTATAATCAGATCTGTCTGTGGTTGTTTTTTTTTTTAAACGTTTTGCAGCTGAACATTACAACTTTGATTTTAGAATCATCTTGCTTCTTCCTCTTGGTTTTCTTTCAAGATTGCTGTTATAAACTGTTTTCCTTGCTAATTGTATTTTCTGATTTAATGCTTCTAATTCTCCTACTTTGGAAATTTAAAGTTGCGGCATGGAGCAAAATCCACAAGTGCACTGCAATACGCAGCCCCCAGTCGGCCACAGTCCCGAGTTGTCTCCAAGCAAGAAACATGGCCGCCTAAAGGTATTAATTTAACTGTGTTTTTGAAAAATAGTGTGTTTTGCAGCTGCTGTGTTCCAACTGTTGGCTGAAATTTATGTAAAATGGATATCATTTCGTGATATATATATAAGTTTCATATGGCCGCCTAAAGGTATTAATTTAACTGTGTTAAGGAAAAATAGTGTATTTTGAAGCTACTGTATTCTAACTGTTGGCTGAAGTTCATGTAAAATGGATATCATTTTATATATATATATAAGTTTCATATAGCCGCCTAAAGGTATTAATTTAACTGTTTTTTGGAAAAATAGTGTGTTTTGCAGCTGGAGTATTCCAGCTGTTGGCTGAAATTTATGTAAAATGGATATCATTTCGTAATATATATATATATATACAAGTTTCATATGTCATGAGGAGTAAAATTTCCATTGATTTTTGTTTTGTTTCTTCCATCACCATGGTTCTATGTTGTTTTCTCAGAAGTAAAGGCTGTCTGTCTGAAAAACTTGCCTCATACAGCCACGTTCGCTAAAATTTATCAAACATTTAAGAAGTTTGGGAAGATCAAGGCTGATGGAGTCGTCTATAGGAACCAGCCGGTCAGCTCCTTTCCAACTATGTTCATTCAATGCTGTATTTTGTTTGTGGTTGATGAGTTTCTGAATTTGTATGTCTTAAACAGGAATCTGGAAGTTGCTATGCGTTTGTTGAGTATGAAGATCGTCAGAGTGCTTGGAATGCAATCCAGGTCTGATCATCAAAAGACTATTTCGCTTTCATATATGCATCGATCAAAATCTACCATTTATTGTCCATTTTCTTATCGATTTAATGAATGTCTCTCTGCTCTGCTCCGTTTAGGCGTATTCGGTTAAATTAGATGGACAAGACGTTTTCATACATGAGAGAAGAGAAAGATATTGGTAGAAGTACGTACACTATACAAAATATTTCGATATTAGATGGTTCTAACCACATTTTACAATTATTTTGTTGGTGCAGAGAAGTCTGATAGTGGGGCAAGAGAAGCTTTTCTTGGTTGCATTTTTACCAAACAATCGAAGAGGTTCGGACACCATTCCCATGACAAAATATTGCTGTAATTCGACGACAAACATGAACCTAATGTGGCTACAAACATAGCATTGCTATTCGAAAATATGAAAGAATATATGCTGTGTTGATAAATGCATATCCAATCTTCACAATTTATTCACTCACCTTTAAAATCTTTCAGTTCCTTTTTATTTTCTTCATTGATTGATTAATCATCTAAACATTCATTTTACTCTTAGGCAGATGCCGAGGCGACGAAGCCCTGGTGCAACACCGGCTGCAAGTCCCGGGTAATTCCATCATCTTCTTCCTCCTCGTCTTCCTCTGCATCCCATAAGAAGCTAGCATAGGCTGCGTGTACATGGCTGCACATAATAGACATGATGTAATTACAAGAAGATCAATATATCATTTACTTGTGTCCATTACAAATGGTTTTTGTTTCTCTAACCTGTCGTCTGATGATGCCTGAATTGCTCTTTCGAAATAATCGGCTGCTCTTTTGTTGTCATGGTGAAGCTCCCATATTAACTTGGCATATTTGGACAGGATTTCTCCATCTTTTGGATCTGCTAAGATTGCCCTTGAATAATACTCTTCTGCTGTTTGTAGATCTCCCTTTTCCTGCTCACAGATTAGAAATTAGAACACCATTGTTACAATGATTTTGGAAATTGGTTAGAACAGTGCAAGAAAATGATTGACTTGCCTGATGCAAGAATTGGGCATAGTTTCTAAGGACCATAGGGTTCCCTGGATCTCCCTCTAACATCTTCTTGTAGTGTTCTTCCATTGTTGGCCGGCCGCCATTGCCGCCGCCGCCGCCCTCGGCAACCACCGGAGGCCTGTAACTTCCGCCGCCGCCGCTGTTGCCGCCAATGTCGGCGGTTAAGCTCAGCCCGGACACACCTAGCCCTGTTGCAAGGTACATCCTCCCCTCTTCCATAACTATGTTCGATGATTTAGCGAGAAACCCTTCCAATTCGAATTCTTGATGTTCTTGTTCTTCTTCTGGTTCGTCGTCACTGTCGGAATTAGTTCCCAGGTGAGTCGAGAAGGATGGAATAGCCTCCAAGCTTCGAAAATTGGTCTTTCTTGCAGGCTTTTTGGACAGGCTGAACTCATCGGCGCCGGCGCCGGCGACCAAATCCCCCAAATTACCCTCCGACTGCGCCCGCCGGAAGCGACCGCCGTCGACCCCTTTGGCCTCGCCGACAGAAGGGGAATATTGAAACAGTGGCTTCCCGTGAGATCCTCCATTGTTATTATTATTGAGACATGAAATCTTCGATCCTGAGGTGTGTCTGTGTGTGCAGCCATGGAGTTCCGACAGGTGCTGGTGGCTATTGCTGCTCGGACTGTCGGAGAATGACGCAAGAAGAGACCCGAGAATCGGCGTCGACGAGCTTCTCAACATCATATTTGTTTTCCGGTGAACTTCTTCTTCCCCAATGAAATCAATTGAGATCTGAATTGAAGAAAAAAAAAACTAAACTTGGCTGCTACAATGGCGTATAATATATATATATGTGTGTGTATATATATAGGAGTTGGGGTTTCTGAGAAGGAAGAAGAGGAGAATTGCAAGAAGAAGTATTCCAGACAGAGTGAACAGCCAAACAAACAGGTCAGGTAAGTAATCGACACACAATTATGTGGTAGAGAATATCTCATGGCAGCTGTTTTATTACATGATAATTATAATAATTGGTTGCCATCTTGGAAGGTTCGTAATAATTAATGATTGGGATATTAATAAAAGGGATGGGCTTTTTAATTTTAGAAATACATTTATTATTATTTCCCAATAAATTCATTGACATACAAATTTTGACCTTTCCAAGAATAAAATTTATTTATTTTTTTTTTTTGAGTTTCTTGGTAAATTCGGAATTTGGAAATTGAACGTGTCGAATATAATCGTGAATATACGAAAGAAACTCTACAGTAGACGTGGCTGAAACACGTGATCTTGGTTTACCTCGTGTTAATTATTTTTGGTTGCACAAATGTCCGTACGCGTGTTGTGTGTATGATTCGATATTTACTTGTCCTTATATATACCTCTCGGCGTGATATAATTAGGCAATATAATTAATTTTGGTCCCAATATAATTAGAATTTATCAATTTTGTTTCAATATAAAAATTTGATCAATTTTAATTTCATTATAAATAATTTTAATCAATTTTGGTCCTATCATTAAAAAAATCTAACGAAAATTGTTGATGTGAACATAACGGAAGTGACGTGGCAGTTGACCCGAAAAGTACACGATCATGTACAATTATACACGAGCATATTGTTACACGGTCATGTATATTTCAGTGTATAATTATACATGACCATGTTGTTACAAGGCCATGTATAATTTTACACGGTCGTATACATTTATTTTTTAGTCTAAAATTTTATTTTGTTGTTATATATTTTTTTAAAAAAATTATTTTAAATTTAAAATAGTTGATATAGTTAAAATGTACAAAATCAATAGTAATCATAATATAATTAAAATTTATCAATTTTAATTCAAATATAAAAATTTATAAGATATATTTTTTTGAAAGGTTTTGTGTAAAATTCTATTATTAATAAAAAAAATTTCCTCTTACAAACATCCAATTACACAATTATTTTTTAATTTTGTATATTATAATAATATTAAAAATTAATTTATTATTTCAATACAATAATCAGATGTTTGTAAGAGAAATTTTTTTGATAAATAGTAAAATTTTAAACAAAATCTTCCAAAATAACATACTCGATAAATATTTATATTTAAACTAAAATTGAAACATTTTAATTATAAAATAAATTTTATTGATTTTTTTTTTCATTTTAAATATATCAACTATTCTAAATTAAAAAATATAGCAAAAAAATAAAATTTTAGACCGAAACAGAAATATACGGCCGTGTAGAATTATACATGGCCGTATAACAACATGGTCATGTATAAATACATTGAAATATACATAGTCATGTAACAACATGACCGTGTAGCAACATGGTTATGTATAATTATACATTGAAATATACATAGCTATGTAACAACAGGGCTGTGTATAATTGTACATGGCCGTATACTTTTCAGCTCAGCTGCCACATCACTTCCGTTATGTCAACGCAAAAAATTTTCGTTAGTTTTTTAACGGTGAGACCAAAATTGATTGAAATTGTTTATAATTGGACCAAAATTGATTAAAATTGTTTATATTAGAACTAAAATTGATGAGTTATATATTGGAACCAAAATTAATAAATTTTAGTTATATTGAGACCAATTTTTTTCTCTTTTCTTTTTGTATCCCTAAATTATATATTCATTTCAAAATATTATTCATTTATTTTTACTATCTTCCTTAGTATTTTTAAAAAATAAAAGTAATTATACAGTAGTAATAGAGCCGTCAAAATAGGTTAAGTTCGTCGGGTTGGTCCGCACCGCCTCACTTTTTAGTAAAATTGGGTTGTGATTTTGTAAGTCCGTTAAAACGCGTGAGCTGTGGATTGAGAGTAAGTTAGTCCGCAGTGAGATGGGTTAGCCCGCAGACCAAATAAATATAATAATTAGTATTCATTCGTATCAATTAAATATATATATATTTTTAATTATTTTTTACTGTCACATTTAAAAATTATAATAAAAGTAATCAAATATTAATATAAGAATATATTTAAATTTTATGTAAATTACAAATATACCATTATAAATATAATTAATTTATAAATAGCGTACAAAGAGAAAAAAAATCAAAATCATCTTGTATAGTTTATTTAATAAATAATGTATATTATTAATTTTAATCTACTGAAAATATATATTTTTAGTTAAAACGAATAAAATTAACTTAAATAAATTAATTAATATTGGTTACACGTTGCTTTTATTTTCTATTATTAATGTCACTCTTATTTATTTCGATTTTTCTTCAGTTGTTTGTTCGTTTTCCATGTTATTGTTTTATAATATTTTTTAATTCTAAAATCTAAAAATTCATAAAATTAATTATGATTTATTTGTAAAATATTTTTTATTATTAATTTTTTTTTAAAAATACACTAACTAATAATATTTAGAATTGAGTTTTTTTTTATAGTTTTTATATTTATTTTAAAATATTTATTATTTAAATTCTAAAATAAAACTATTTTAGTTATTTTTAAATATTAATTACGAAAATATTTATAATATTACTCCCCCGTCCCACATAATTTGTCCCTATTTTCTATTTTCGGCCGTCCCACATAACTTGTCATTTCTATTTTTGGAAATATAATTATGCACTTTAATCGCATTTTAAATTTTCTTAATTTTAATTAAACTATTTACTTATGTTAATCTTAATCTATAATTATTTTTATTAAATAATAATTATTTTTAATACACTTTTTAATTACTTACTAATTATACTTTACCTAAATTCTCGTGTCTACAGTAATACATCTATATTACATGGGACGGACGGAGTAATATTTTTAAAAAGTCAATGTACTAGTCCGCTTAGCTCGCCACCCGTAGATGGGTTTGATTGGGTTGATGAAATTTTGATCTGCCTCGCCGCGGATTAGCCCGTAAACAATCTGCTTCTTTGCGGGATATGGTGTATTGTGGACCAATCCGCACCGCTAGCCCGTTTTGACAGATCTATACAGTAATACTAAAATATCTTTTAAATTATAAATATATCATTATACATATAATATAATAACAAATTTAAAAAAGAGAGATTACAATTTATTAAAACAATTTTTTATTATATATATTTTAACAAATAATAATTAATTTGTCATTATTTTTTTAATTTATCAACTTTTTTTTTATTATTAAATTTTAATAAATCTCTTATAATATTCCTATTTTATTATATTTGCCATATTTTTATATTAAAACATCCGCGCTCAAATTGATTGCATAATTAACTAGGACGAATGAGGTATTTTTATCCCATATATATACATATATATTTTATTTTTATTTTAGTATTAGATATGTTATTATTATTATTTTTTAAAATGTTAAATAATTTTTTTGAAATTTTAATATTACTCATTAATTTTATTTTTTTTTAGAAAATATCTTACAAAAATATATTTAAGTTTGTTATAGTTTGGAATTGATTTGATATAGAACATTGATTTTTATGAAAGAAAATAATATTACTTTCTTCAGGCTCTACGAGTCACATTTATTTTTTTGGACATTGATATGTGAATATTAATTACTATATCAAAATATAGTACAAATTAAGATAAAAATAAAAAGTATTTTTATTAGTGTCTTATAATAGAGAAAGATATTTCTACATAAAAATTATACAAATATAAAAAAATTTTAAATATCAAATATAACGACGCAAAAGGTAAATTTATAGACAGACGAATAAAAAATATATTTTTATTAAAAATTGTAAAAGGTGAACAATTTCATATTGAATTTACAATCAAACAACTCTATATAAACAGAGTTTAATTTTTTGTAAAAACGTATTATATTAGATATTTATTCCTTTTTAGAAATTAATAATACCAAATATTTAATTTTTTTTCTATAACTTTCAAATTTTAAAAAAAATATAGTAAAAGAAAATAATAAATTCTCCTGTCTTTTTTAATACTGCACTTGAATTGTGACACATTATTAATGCATGACTTATAGTTTTATTTTTTAAAAAAAATATATGTACTTAGTAACATTAATTTCATTCTTCCATTTTATGTTTTTGCATTAACGGAAAATATATTATATGATGATGATGATACTATTAAGCTTACTCATTTTAAAATTTAATTTAATTCAAATTTGAGTAACACATCTTAGTTTAAAATTTTACCACATTTTATGGTAAGAAATTTATTTGTAATGATCGTAGCATCCATATATGCATGTCTATTTATTTGTTTTACCACATAATTTATTTATTTATTTATTATTATTTATTTTTATATATATACTAAAATATAACATGATGATTGTGATGGAATAAAATGCAATAATATAAAGATCACAAAATTTCAAATATATATTTGAGTGGCTATTTTCTCATTACTTTATTCCTAAGTGAAATAGTCAAAAAAATTGCGGGTTCAAATCTATTCCGGTTTGAATTCGAAACTGGATAATGGATGTGGGTTGGGATCAACCCGACCCGAATAAGGGAACCTGGGTTTGGTGTCCGGATCTCCTTTGCTTTATCTACCTACGTTCGTTATTAGCTTGAAACAACGGGCGCCATGAAAGATGAGGAGATGAATTTAGCTAAACCGGCGCACGGAATTTCATGATGATTATCGTGTTCCTATGCCATGCGAGGGAATTTCAATGCTGCCATCGACATCACAACCGTTTTTTGCCATTACTGCGCCGGACGGAGGACCTGCGGTTGGGGGGAAATGTCGTCGGGATGCAAATGTTTTTGTTGGAGCAGAGTCGCCGATTACGTGCGTCCTTGTTCGGAATACTTCACTCTGCCCGACGCGATCCCGCAATGGCCGCAAGGTAATCCCTCCCTTGCTACGCGTGAGGTTTTTGATCAATATGACAGGAGATTAAGATATTTCGCTCGTGTTGAATTTATGAAATCCTTGTTTGTCCAAGGCATGATAGAATTCATGCGTTTGTATCTCCAAATGTTGAGCGAAAATAGAAAAACGGAAAAGGAGAACGAGAGGAGACATTTAGGGGAATTACCTGTTAGCATTTTGATCATTGCTGATGCATTTTGGTACTTTTTTGGAATTAGGGTTTATAATCGATGCTTCCTTTGAAGAAAGGTCACCTAATTCAGAAATTAGGGCTTTTCACCATACGATTTTCTACTATTCCTGCTATGGATCATCCTTTCAGCTGATTAAATTTCAACATACAGGTTCTGGATTTGCTACCTCTAGGATTAAGTTAGGGGCAATAGAAGTTTGCCAAATAACTAAGTTTGAGTTCATCTGGGGCTACAACTTATCCATGGATGGCAAAAATGGTGTTAGCTTCTACAAGCCTGATGGCATTCCTGATGGATTCTTCTGCCTCGGCCACTACTGCCAATCCAACGAAAAGCCGTTATGCGGATACGTTCTTGTTGCCCGTGATGTCGACATTCAAGAAGACTGCTGCACCCCAGCCCTGTCGAATCCGGTGGATTATTCGTTAGTGTGGAGTTCAGAGGAGGGAGGCGAAGAGAGCTTCGACGGATGTGGTTACTTCTGGCTTCCCCAACCTCCGGAGGGCTACAGAGCAACGGGATTTCTTGTAGGCAACAATCCGAAGAAGCCCGACTTGAATGAGATCAAATGTGTTCGCGCTGATCTAACCGATCCCTGCAAAGTTCAGAGCCAGATATTATGCACACATTCGAAGCTTTCAAAGGCGCCGCTCATTGTTTGCACTACAAAGCCTCTGCACGCCGGAATGCAGGGGAGAGGCGTTAGTGTCGGGACTTTTAATTGCAGCAGCAGCAAAGGGTTGATAGACAACGAGCCGAATGTCGTGTGCTTGAAGAACTTAGATCATTCCCTACACGCAATGCCGAACATGGATCAGATTCACGCACTCGTCAGCCATTACGGGCCTACCATTTTCTTCCATCCAGCTGAGGTTTATCTCGCATCCTCTGTTTCTTGGTTCTTCCAGAACGGCGCGCTTCTGTACAGCGCCAGTAACTCGGCAGGCGAGGCTATCGATGCTGAAGGCTCGAATCTCCCGACAGGAGGCACCAACGACGGGAAGTATTGGCTAGACTTACCCTCGGATAATCGAAGAGCGAAGGTTAAACATGGAAACTTAGAAAGCGCGAAACTATACGTACATGTGAAACCAGCTATAGGCGGAGCTTTTACAGACGTTGTATTGTGGATCTTCGCCCCCTTCAACGGGCCGGGAACTCTCAAGTTAGGCACGATGAACATCGCCTTTACCAAAGTCGGCCAGCACGTCGGCGATTGGGAACATGTGACTCTTCGGATAAGTAACTTCACCGGCGAGCTATGGAGTATGTATTTCTCGCAGCACAGCAGCGGCGAATGGGTGAACGTGACCGATTTGGAGTTCATCAAAGGTAACAAGCCAACCGTTTACGCGTCGAGAAACGGTCACGCGAACTTTCCTCATCCCGGCGACCATATCCAGGGCTCTCCGAAGCTTGGGATTGGCGTTAGGAACGACGCGGCGCACAGTAACTACTCGATCGACTCGAGCAACAAATATGAAATCGTCGCGGCTGAGTATCTCGGCGACGGCGCTGTCGACGAGCCAGTGTGGCTACAATATATGCGGGAATGGGGTCCGAAAGTCGTCTACGGGTCCAAGACTGAGCTGGATAGAATCATCAACAGTTTGCCATTGATGGTTAGATGCTCCCTGGAGAACATTCTTGGGAAGCTGCCATTGGAGCTGTATGGAGAGAGAGGTCCTACGGGGCCTAAGGAGAAAGATAACTGGATCGGAGACGAACGATCGTGACCGTCCATCGGTGTATATTCTTGAAGATCATCTTCATTCCATCCAACGGCTGTAAGCCACCGGAGAGCGTCTCCCTGGATTGCGAAGACATTGGTAACGTATGTTTTCCGCTTTATGGGTTAGAGAGGGCTTCACTGTAAATAGTTAACTAACATTGTATTGATGATTATTTGATTTTAGATTTAGCTACTATATATATATATATCGAATTGATTGTGGTGATGAGAGAATTAGCACTATAATGATTTTTTCAGCCGTTACGATATATAATTTTATAGCACATGTGTTTATTTAATCCAATAAAGATGGTCTTAAATAAAAATATATAGCTGTGTAGGATTGAGGGTGTTTGGTAGAGAATTTTTTAAAAAATTTTTAACTTATTAAACAGTTGAAAGTTGTTTGATTAGTCCAAAAAAACTAATTTAAGTATTTCGTAAATTAATTTTTTTAAAGAGCTTTTTGGACCAAAAAAACTAATTTTTAAAAAGCTAATATATCCAACTTTTTCATTTTAATTTTATTTATTTCTTATTTACTCTTAATATTCATTTATTTATTTCATACATATAAATATATTTTTATTGCAGTATTTATTAATTTTTTAAATATATTTAATTTATTAAATTGCAATTTTATTTTTAAATTTAAAATAATAACTATTATTAATTATTTAGTATAAGTTATTTTATTTATAAAATATATAAATTTATTAAAATTAAATCAAATAAAAAAGACAAATATTACTTTTATTTATATATTTTTCATTATATAAATTTTACATAAAAAATTAATAAACAATAATTAACATAACAAAAATACATATACAAAATATTTATTAATTTATATTTTACACAATTTTAATAAAGAATTATTATTTTTTAATAAAAATATTTTTCTTAGATTTAAAATAAAAAAATAAATACTTTATAATATTTTTACAATTTTTAATAATTAATAAAACAAAATTTAATAAATATTAAAATAAAATGAACAAAATTAAATATTTTAAAAAGTAACATATAAATATCTTTAATTGTCATTTTACGTATAAACAGTTAATGTCAAACCGTTGTTTTACCAAACACTTTAATACAAACAGCTAATTGAATCAGGTAGTCAAACCAACTAATTGAATTAGTTAACAACTAATAACTAATTGAATCAGCTAGTCAAACCAGCTAACTGAATTAGTTAACAACTAACAGCTAATTGAATCAGTTAAAAACTATCAGTTAATTACCAAATGCACCATTGATATATTTTTCGCGTTGAAATTAATTATAATATGTGTTGTGTGAGATTATGCCATATTTTGTTAATTAAGGTGGTGTTGTTGTAATTAACATAATTAATGTATTGTGTATTGTATCATATTTTGTATAGGGCTATGCAGTCGTGTGACGTGTATGTTTATATATATATTGGTTGCTAGTTTATATGTTGTATTTTACGAATATAATTAACAAATTGTCTATTTTATATTAGTTTGTGGTTTACATTGTGCCAAATTTTGTGTATCAATAAATTAATAATAGTTCAAAATTTTGAAGCCTTTAAAATTTATTTATCTATGACTTGTCTTGTCGGGAGCATACTCCCGAAAATTAGTGGCGAAGAATTCTCATGTCATATAAAATAATAATATTTCGTTCGTTCCGGAAAAAGAATATTATTTATTTTTGTAAGTATATTTTTAATATTAATACTCCATTCGTCCCATTAAAGGGTTCCATTTTCTATTTTCGTTCGTCTCAAAACAAGGGTATCATTTTCTAATTTAGTAATTGTACTATTTACTTAACATAATAAATATTCTTTTAACTTACAATATATTACACAAATGTCATCACCTTTATATTACACAATACTAATAAGGATATTTTCGTCTCTTTTTACTACAACTTAATATAATACTAATATTAAAAAATCTACGTGCAAAAAACAAACGTTACTCTTTATATGAGACGGAGGGAATATTATATTAATTTGTAATATTCTCTTCCCATATCTATGTTTTTGCACGTAGTTTTATAAATATTAGTATTATATTGAGATGTAAAAATAAAGGTAAAATAATCTTATTAGTAACATTTGTATAATACTCCATCCGTCCCATAAAAGATGTCTTATTGGGAGTGGACACAGAATTAAAGAATAATAATATTTAATTGAAAGTAGGTATAAAATATAAGATAAAAGACTAAAATACCCTTACTTTTTGAATGATTTTAAAAAGTAAGTCAGAGTAATAATTTGGGATAATTTGAAAAAGTAGGAATAATTTTGTTATAAAGTGAAGACCACGGTTACTAAATAAAAAAACAAGACAATTGTTTCCTATTGAGACGGAGGGAGTATATTGTAAATTGTAAGAGTATTTGTAAGCTTAGGTATGAATAAATATAGATTTTTAAGCAACATAAAAAATCTAAAAATATTTGTAATAATATAAAAATAATAATATTTGTATAATACTCCATTTGTCTCGTTTACTATTTTTGTCAATCCCAAAACAATAGTCTCATTTTCATAAATAATCATATCACTATAAAACTATCTTTACTTTTTCATTATTATTACACAATTGCCATTACTTTTTACACTAATACACTCACAAAAGCAAAAAAAAAATTAATCCATATTTTTTACCCACTATCAATATAATATAAATATTTTTTAAATCTCATGTCAAATACAAATCAAATTATATTTTGGGACGAAAGGAATATATTATATATTATAAAAAAAGTATATATTATATAATAATTTTTACGGATATATGAAACGTGCAGTGAACTGTGCAGAAAACTTGGGTTGGGAGCAAGGGTTTGAATGTTTGTTGGTACGTTAACAATAGGCAGGCAGGGTACCGTTAGTGGGTCCCACTTAAAAGGCATCTGGGAGGAATTTTAAGCTGCATTGCAGCGCACAAAGCCGACACTGTGGGCCCTTCTCGACCTTTCCTCCGCCATTTTTTCTACACTTCACCCTTCTCCACTCTACGTGACCTCAACTGCAAGCAACCGGCCAAACCCTCCTTCAGTTCCGCTCCTCCTCTTTCATGCCTGCCTTCATAATTCTCTGATTTCGTCGTTGATTCTGCGGATTTCGATGAGAGCTGCGGTTCAATTTTGCGCCAGTGGCGGACTGGTTTCGGCGGCGTCGGAAGGGGAGGGTAGTGTGGTGATGTCATCTGAGGAGTCTTCGACGTATCCGGATAGCTCTGGTTTGGATTTGGGGCTGGGATTGAGTCTAGGGTGTGGGGATGGTGGGAAGGGTAAGATAAAGATGGCGGCGGCGGTGATCGGCGGAGATTCTTTGGAGCAGTATGAGAGGATGTTGACTGTTGAGGGTTTTAAGTCCTTGATGCGTGATAGAGCTTCGTCGTTGTCGTCGGAATCATCTTCGTCCTCTTCTTTTAATAAAGTTAATAATAATGGCTGTTGTGGCACCAAAAGAGCTGCTGCGTCACCTTCCTCGCCTCCAGGTCGATCATCGGTTAGGTATGGATATTGTCGATTAGAGATCGCATCTCCATGTCTACTTTACTTTCTTTTCTTTTCTTTTTTCCCCATTGGTAGGGGTTTCTATAATGCCATCTGCACTGCTTGTGTGTTATCTTTTGTTCACACGAAACTTCTCGTTGATCGCTTATTTTCTATTTATTCTGTATTATTTTATTTCTTTGATGAAGAATGTTTCTCCTTATTCTTCTTCGATTGCTTCTTTTCACCAGATTTCAATTTTCATATATTGCAATTGGCACCCCATTGTGCTCTTCTTTCTACGCTCTCTTTAACATCCGCTGTTTGATTATATATATTGTCAAGAATGTGAATCGCATTAACAGCATCTCGATGTAACATTGAACTTTGGAAAACAATGATAAGATGAGTAATGTTATCAACATCAAACGATTGATTGCTGAGTAGCTGTTTAGTTCTCATGTTTTTCAGCGTTTCCGTTTAAAGCAATAACGACTGCTGCTCGAATAGCATAGATTCAGTATCTGGTGGACTCCTCTCTTCCTTCATTCCTTTATTTATAGTATTTATTTACTGATTTAATTTGTTGAAGCAGTCAGGTTGTCGGATGGCCCCCAGTCAGAACAGCATACAGAATGAGCAGCCTGGTGAATCATGCCAAATCACCAGTCACTAAAGATTTTTTCTCAGCTGTTAAAACCAGGACTGATTCCAATCACAATGGCAACACAAATGACACTGTTAAGAAGGAAAAAAGGCCTCATAAAACTTCTTTGTTTGTAAAGGTAAACATGGATGGGATCCCAATTGGAAGAAAAGTGGACCTGAGTGCTCATAGGAATTATGAGACTCTAGTTCATGCACTGGATGACATGTTTAAACTCAGCACAGCAATGGGGTCAAGACGTAAGTTTCTGTTCTTTGAACAATTGCCAAAAATCCTTCTGAAATGTTATACATCTGCATCAACTTATTTGGCTGGTGGCTTATTTTTAGGATCCCATATGGCAGAGCATGCTGTTTTGTCTGGTCGAAGACAATCTTTAAATTTGTTGGATGGCTCATTCGACTTTGTGCTAACCTATGAAGATAAAGATGGAGACTGGATGCTTGTTGGTGATGTTCCATGGAAGTATGTCTTTTCATATCTTTTCTTATTATTATTGTTTCTTATTATTATTATTTATAAGCTGCTTTCCTCGTATCCTTTAGTATTAGGAGTTCCAATGAGCCACATTCCCTGTCTCTAGAATTTTATATTTCTTCATTTCCCATGTTTCAGTTTGTTTCTGAACTCTGTGAGGAGGCTTCAAATCATGAGGACAGCCAAGGCTAATGGACTTGGTATGCACATAACTTTTTGCTGTCTCACAAACTTGATAAGACATTTTTATATCTGTAATTGGCCTTGTACTCATTGTCCATAGTGGGTTCTGCCTCAGGAAGTCATGGAAGAAACAGGACACAGCAACTGTAGTGATGTAGCACGCTTCTGAAACTAGTTCTTGTAGAAGCATAACGCTAAAGAATCGAGACACCATATACCATGTGTGAAGTTTATGGAGCAACAATCAGTATGGGTTCTTGTTGCTTACATCAATTTGTTCCACTTCTTTAACTGACTATACAAACACATCTTATACCTGTCCAAAGGAACACACTTGTGTGAAGATGCCAAAGCTTCTTTTGTTTATGTTTGTTGGATATGTATACATGGTAAGAGCTTTCATTTGATAGACACACTGTAATTATGGGAGTGATTAGCTGTTCACTTTTTGGTTTTTCTGCCCTCATAATATAATCTGGAAAACATCACATCCTTGTTAGAAGGAAGTAGTATATTGTAACAAGCTGCTGGTATGTCTACTACTAGTTTCACGTTTCATTTAATTATCATTTCGATTTAGAATTCTCTTGAATGTTGTTAGAATGTCATCTTGATGATGAATCCCTTGATGCAATACAGTGTATTAGGTGTGATTATGGTGCTTGTATGACTTCTCTAATGAGTCTGAATCTAAATTGCTAAATGCCGAGTGGTTTACTTCGATATGGTCATAAACATAAGTAAACATGCTGTTCTTTAGTGATATGAATAGAAGTGGTTCTTGCATGCTTCATGGCAATGCCATCTTAGGATTTAGGCTGTTTGTAAAAATTTGATCTGTCAAGCATTAGATAGAGAAATTGAGGAAGAAGTTTCAGGGCTCGATTGTCCTAGCATCAGTGTAGTTTCCTTACATGTTGGATGCCATAAGGTTATGTGCATACTCTCCTCTAAATTCTAGACACAAGGTATATCTGAAAGTACACAAACTGAAAGAATTAGTACAAATTCAATTGCGTAGCTAGGTACAGATGAAAAACTTAGAAATACTATCTTGGTGAGGAACAAGAATCCATATTACTGTACTCATAGAAATCCATTCACAGGTGAGGTGCTGAAAACTGGCCTGTCTCTGTTAGGATTACCGTTCCCTCCTTCAGTACTGCTGCTTTTTCTCCGTGGCTTTGCTTCTCCGAGCATAGATAGAACATCCCTCATCGATGGTCTGTCTTTGGGAAGCTTGGCAGTGCAGAGAATAGCAAATCTTAGAACTAAGAGCATCTCTTCTTGGACATGTGTGGTTGTCCCCACGCTTAGGTCTAGAACTTCTACCAAAGACCTGCCATCCCTCATCTTCTTCCGTATCCATTCCACTATGTCGACAGATTCTCCAAACTCAGGTTCCAATGGCCTCTTCCCTGTCAGGAGCTCCATCAGGACTACTCCATAGCTGTAGATGTCACTCTTCTCATCAACTTTCAGTGTGTAACCGTACTCTGTCAGGCAGGTATCAAATAATAACACTTTTAGTACATATAGAATGAAACTGTGGATTGATCTTTGCAGATGAGAAGAACTTACCAGGAGCTATGTATCCGTAAGATCCTGCTACTGCTGAAACTGTTTCATTCTTTTTTAGCATCATTTTTGCCAATCCGAAATCAGCAAGTCTCGCTTCGAGATTGGCATCAAGCAATATGTTATTTGACTTGACATCTCTGTGGATGACAGGTGGATGGCAGTCATGGTGGAGGTAAGCCAGGCCCTGCGCAATTCCAACTGCTATGTTATACCTGGAAACCCAGTCGACGAGCAAAGTTCCTCCCCCTTTTCCATGTAAAGCCTCTCCAAGGCTGCCATTCTGCATAAACTCGTATATGATCATGGCATCTGAGTCATTGTGCAGAAATCCCAGTAGCCTGACGATGTTCCGGTGCCTTAACCTCCCTAACAGGTTAACCTCTCTGACCAGGTAGTCATTAGTTGCTCCCATTTCAATATCATGTTTGGATCTCCACAGTTTCTTTACCGCAACAGTCATGTTCAGCCTCTGTATCACAGCTTTGTACACGGTTCCTGTTGCCCCCATCCCAATCACGTTGAATTCCTTGATACAAGCCAGGATGTCACTGCTGTTGAAACCAAGTCTCTGGAATGCCATCAGTCTCCAAGGCCATTCCCCATTGCCTGTTTCAAATCTTCCATTGAAGCAATGTCCATCCTGCCATTTCTTGTACATATACCGAGCCACAATGGCTGCTATGATCAGGGTAAGTAGAGTTGATATTCCAATTATCCATCCTGTGATGATGTGTTTTGCCTCCAGGCCATGTTGCTTTACTCTGTACGCTGCATTGTGTGAACAAGGTGGGAGTACACCACCGCACAGTCCAGCGTTGCCTGCGAGATCATCAGGATTGATAGTCCTGAGCATGCCATTGGATGGGACAGGACCCTCAAGCCTGTTGTAAGATACATTGAGCATTTCCAGGGCTGGAGAATTTCCAAAATTTTCAGGGATCCCACCTGTCAGAGTGTTGTTTGACAAATCCAGGATTGCCAGTGCCGGCATCATCGCAATTGGCTTTGGGATTGGCCCTTCTAACTGGTTGTTCTTCAGATTCAAAGTCACCAACCTCTCGCAAGAGGCAATACTATTCGGAATACCTCCTGTAAAGTGGTTCGATGAGAGATCAAGCACAGAAAGCGAAGGACAGTCCTGAAACTGATCTGGGATTTCTCCCACCAAGTCATTCCTTGAGGCAATGAAGCTTTGAAGATTCGGAAGCGATAGAATTGAGGAAGGAAGCAATGACTGCAGGTGATTCCTTGACAAATCAATGAACGAAAGAGAAGTTGAAGCAGAAAGATCCTTTGGGATTTGGCCAGTGAGGCTGTTGTTTGCAAGTTCCAGTCTTTGAAGCTTGTTGAGTCTACCAAAACCAACTGGGATTGTGCCAGAGAGGAGATTGTTTTGCATCCTGATCCGAACTAACGAAGTACATGCTGATAAAGTGCTCGGTATTGAACCAGTGAAGGCATTGTTGAACATGATGAGCTTAGTCAGGTTTGATCTACTGCACAATGAGGTTGGAATTGACCCAGAGAATGAATTGGATGAGATATCCAGCCACTGGAGAGGAGAATTCTTGCCAAGATCACCCGGCAAAGGTCCAGACAATGTGTTGTTCCAAAGCTCTAGTACCTCCAGATTAGCCAATCCCCCAATTGCTGCAGGAACTGAACCTGATAGTCGATTACACATTAGATTCAGTAGCTTCAAATTCTTGATATCAGCTATCTGAACTGGAATTTCGCCCGACAGCTTGTTATCAGACAGGTCCAGAAATTCCAGGGAAGTTAGGTTACCAAACTGCATCGGAATCCTTCCCTCGAGATTATTATTGTACAAGAAGACCGTTCGTAGCTGCTTCAGTTTTCCAAGTTCACCTGGAATGGATCCTCCAAGATTGCAGATTGCCAGGTCAAGATACTTGAGATTGGTGAGGTTTCCAAACTCAGGTGGAATCCCACCTTCAAACTCATTGTATCCGAGCACAATAGTCTCCAGGGACGACAATTCCCCAAGCTCTGCCGGTATTCGGCCTGTGAGGTTATTTCCTGACAGACCAAGATACTTCAGTCTCCCCAAGTTCCTGTAAATCCCTGGAATGGGGCCTTCAAAGAAGTTTCCCCTGAGATCCAGGCTCTCAAGCAAAGTAGCATTCCCAAGATCTTCCGGAAGATAACCTGAAAAGTTATTTCCAGAAGCATTCAACGATACCAATCCAGCCACCATTCCAAAACCGGCAGGGAACAGATCAGCAAACAAGTTTTGGCTCAGATCAATGCTCTGAAGTGCAGACAAATTAGCCAAAGATTTTGGCAGTGGCAAGGAGAAACTGTTGCAGCATATGTTGAGAGAAACCAGGTTGTGGAGCCCCTGAATTTCTTCCAACAAACTTCCTGTAAGATTCATGTGGGAAAGATCAAGCCTTTCGACAGCTCCATCCAAGCTGCATTCCACACCAGTCCATCCACAATGTACGGTGGCATTGGCCGCTGCATTGTCCTGCAATTTCCAGTCTTTGATACGTCCCAGCGGATCGATCAAGCTTGATCGTATTGACAGGAGGATCGATTGCTCACTATCCTTGTCAACACTTCCGACTACAGAGCGACATAAAACACTGAAGGAGAACAAGAACAGGAGAAGTAATCTACTTTCCAATTTCATGGTTTGTTGTTCTTCTAACTTTTAGTCCATTTTCCTTTTCCAGTGATGGGGCCGGAAATAGATGACAGCAGGTTATCTGAAAATTGGAGGGGGCGGAGAAGAAGACTTCCGGTTAGTCAGTTTCTGACATGTATAGTACAAATGCTTCGATGCATATCGAAATTCATTGGCTGTTGAATATGATTTCTGCTTGATATTTTCATCAGAAGGGGTTGGGAGATCTTGAATTGTGAAACCAGCTGTGTTTGGATATAAAAATGGCTGGAAAATTTTGGCCTTTTCTTGGAATCTATTCCGACAGAAGACATGGTGAGAATGTGTTGCCATTGCTGTTACTTTAAGTTAGTCTTCTTCTTCTTCTTCTTCCTCTTCTACTTGTCAAATTACTATATGTTCTCTGGTTCTGGGGTCCTGGGAGCTTCCAAGAATGACGGGTTTTGATTTGATTTGCTTAAGTCACAAGCACACCATTAAAAAGTCACTTTAGTAATCTTTTGAGATCAGTATATGTATGCATGTGAAGATAGTTTTGAGGTGTGTGATTCATGAGAATGTTTTGGTTAGAAAGGTTGATTTTCACTCTTTTGTGAGATGAAAGATTGTTACTTTTTTTTTTTTTTTTTTTAACTTTTTAGTGCACTGTCGAGTTTAATAATTTAAATATTATTATATTCATGGGTCAATATTGTTAGTGATTTGGATCATCAGTTTCCTAAAGATCAGTTATTTTCTGATACAGGGCAGCTTCCAAGAACGACGAAAACATCCATGTGCCTTGCAACTCCCGGGATCCCGGGTCCCGGGCGGTTATTCGTGTGAGGGCAAACAGATACTGACACCGTACAGATCATACTGGAGTTCAGTTACCGGGAGCCTCCCATCCGCCGCTTGCTCAGACTTTCAGGTACCACAACAAGACACACATCATTAACAAATAATCAAATGCAAAATAAAGACAAGAAATTAATCAGCAAAGAAAATGGTCATAAGTGGTTTAGTTATTGATAAGAATTCATGACTCACGAATCACTTAAAATGGACAGATTGGTTTGTTTGGAAACATATATCAGAGAATCTTTCCATGTTAAAGAAAGTAAATAACAAATCATCATAACCAAAAATACATGCCATGCTGCTGCTTCTTCTTCTTCTCACAAACATACTAACCCCATTTCTTTATAACATACTAATAAACTTCCAAATTTCACATGCAATACCCTCAAAATAAATAAATAAATAAAATTTGGTGACTTCATTCACATGTAGACATGTGAAGGAAATGATAAATAAATAGGGAGGAGTGGTGTGGCACTCTCACTCACTCACTTTGCTCAACTCTGTTTGCAAATCCTCCCCATGTGAAAACCACTACTACTTCGCCTTCTTCACTTACTATTTTCATTTATTTATTTATTAATCCTTTGCCCCTTTTGCAATTTCTTCTCAATTATTAGAAGGAGAATTTTATTATTAATTTCTAGCTTTTCTTTTTTTTTTTCTCTCTTTGATTATTTTGACGCAGTAGCACTGGCACGTGTGTCCCACGTGGAGGCCTGGAGGGTGGGGGACCAATGCTTCGTGATCTAACATACTCTGTTTGGGCTTCCACAAGCTTATAGTCCATGGGCCTCATAGTTGGAGGATAGGCCCAATTCATAAAAGCCCATTCATCGGCCCAAATATTATGGAAGCGTCACGTGTCTCTTCTCTAGATTTCGCGGGCTACGATAATTCGAGAGAGTGAAACAGTAGTGCGACGAAAATGATCCAATCCTCTCGAATGGCTGTCGTTATTACACACCGCTCACGTTATCATCTCCACTATATATGTACGTATGTATAATCCTCTCTCTCTCTCTCTCTCTCTAAAATATTTTCTTAATCTAAGAATGGCAGCGCTGCAGTATCTGGCTTTCCCTTCTCCAATTTCTCGTTGTTGCAGTTACCCGCGCTCTGTCTCAGGTATCCTACTTTTTTTTTTTTTTTCGTTTTTTTGTTTAGCATTTTGTGAATATTTGCTCTTTGTTTTGAATATGGTGTGTGCGATATTTGGGCAATTGAGAGGAAATGTATGTGTTGCCTATGGATGTACTTTCGTTCAGTGTGTGCTCTTTGCGAATTCAGAGAGTATTAGGGTTTGGAATTTGAGAACTATGTTGAATTATATAGCAATTCTAGAAAACGTTGGCCCAATTCTATTCTAAATTCATAGTTGCCTTTAATTCGGTGATATATGTGAAGTTTCAAATGTGATATTTAGATTTATTATCCAATCCCTAATCATCTCCTTGTTCTATGTTAGGATTTTCGATAGGAGCTATTAACTCTAGCTTGGGTTCATCATTCAATGGTCAATTTTTGTGCCTGCGTCAATCAAATTTGTTGAAACAAACCAGAATAAGGAACACTCCTAGGCTAAGTGTTGTGATGATGAAGCCAACGATTCAGTTTATTCAGGGGACTGACGAGCAAACAATCCCAGAAGTGAAGCTAACCAAATCAAGGGATGGAACCAATGGAATGGCTATTTTCTCATTTACAGAACCATCTGTTTTCGACTCCTCTAGTGTAGTTGGTGACATCACCGGATTCTTCATGATTGACGAGGAAGGAACACTCCAGTCAGTTGATGTGAGCGCCAAGTATATAAATGGAAAGCCAGCTGGTATTGAGGCCAAATATGTAATGCGGTCTCCTAAAGAGTGGGACAGGTTTATGAGATTTATGGAGAGGTATGCCAGTGCAAACGGATTGGCTTTTGTCAAGAAGTGAGGCAGTGCATCTTCTTTCCTTGTACATTTTTCAATTTATTCTCCTTGTTGAATTCCATGAGGCTATAATTTGGTGGAATGCAAGTGTTGGTTAGAGGGATGATTTGTTTGCTGCTTGATTCCTATGTTTGAAGGATTTTTGTTTTCCTTGATGAGCATGATAGACTATTCTATTATACCAGATATGTAGTATAGGAAACACTTTTTACATATTCCCCCAATGTTTAATGAACCTGTGCATACCAGGTAGGAGCTGCATGATTAGGTAGATTCAAAGCGATACCTGATATATTGTTAATAGTGCACTAGCTTGACAAGAATATGTTATTTCGCTTGGTTGATAACCATGTCACAGAAATAGGACTTCGAGCCCTGTGTGAACCAGTTGTTTCCACCCATGTCAGATGCCCTTGTGCGAACCTTGTGTCCTTGACCTTTGATTTTTTCTTTGAAATGAACCAAACTCTGTAGATTAGAGTTTGATAAGTGTGATTGAATATCAGACAGTGCGGTCTGACTGTCACATCAACACCCCGAGGCGCCTCCATTTTTAGTGAGTAAATGGAATTGGGGATACCTACATTTGTTATTTGTCTTCTTAGTCTCTTTCTTGTGTCTCCTGTTGTGAAAATTACAGAAAATGAGGGGTAATTGAGACTGAAACCCCTGTTCTTCTGCAAAATATCGTGACAGCTAACATTTCTTTGAGTAATGCTAAATATGTCTGAACTTGGGTACCGAAGAGAGCATAGATGAGTAATGTAGTCATCTGGTTGGATGTCATATATCAGGCCTGGATTGATGGCTCTTTCTGGGTTTACATGTCCTGCTCCAACTGCAAAGAGCTCGGCAGGTTTGTCTCCATCCATTACAGGTTTACCTTGATTATCACAAACATCTGCAGTTGTCATAAGTGCAGATTTGACGGCTGCTGGACTCCAGTTTGAATGAGCTGAATAGATCAGAGCTGCAAGTCCACTGACATGAGGGCATGCCATGGAAGTCCCCGACATTACGTTGAAGTTCACTCTTCTGGAATCTTCTGTAAGGCGACTGGGGCTGAGGTTTTGTGGCCAGGCGGCAATGATATTGACTCCCGGAGCAATCATATCTGGCTTGAGAATTGAAGGATCAGCAAGATTCGGCCCTCTTGATGAAAATCGAGCTACTGCAGGTGCCCTGTATCTTCCTTTAATTGTGCCTCCAAAGATAATTCTTCCTTTAGGTTTTCTAGATGAGTTTATGAAATTTTTTAGCTGAACTGATTCTTCGAAACCTATTAATGTTGCAGGCAGGACATGGACATCAACCGAATCTTCCTCCATATTCATCTCTGTGTTTGCTAGAATCATTGCAGCACCACCAGCTTCTTTCACCACCTGACCTTTCTCAGCCCTCTGGTTTACGCCCCTATCGCAGACTACCATCTTGCCTCTAACTGTTCGTCTTGGAAGAGATCCTCTCAAGCAAAATGCGCTCCCGGTTTTTCCACCTGTGATGTAAACCAGCTCGAACTCTTTTGCTGCAGCTGCAGGTCCCTTCTCAGGGTACATAGACTCTCCAAAGAGGTACTTCCTGTTGCTTAATCGAACAATGGCTGGAAATCTCCTATCAACTGTGCTGGCACCAATGGTAGCAATCCAGGGAGCTGCATTTGTAACTGAGTTTTGGATCGGGCCGTTGTTTCCTGCTGAGCAGACGACTGATATTCCATGCTCCATTGCCCGGAAACTGCCAATGGCTATGACATCATCATAAAATGGCGCCGGGAATCCACCGAGGGAGAGGGAAAGCACATCTACACCATCTTTGATGGCTGAATCTATTGCCGCAAGGATGTCTGAGCTGTAGCAGCCTCTGGACCAGCAGGCTTTGTAAATTGCAGTACGAGCAGATGGTGCCATTCCTCGAGCCTCACCAGCTCCATTCCTAAGGACACTAGCCGAAGGAACTGGCGCTCCCCCAGCTATGGAAGCTGTATGGGTGCCGTGGCCATGGGAATCACGCGGCGATCCATATTCCAGTCTGGAAAAACCCTGTGAAGCCATACGGTGACCTTTCTTGAAGTATCGAGCGCCAATGAGCTTCCTATTGCATTTCGATGCGCTGAAGCCCTGTCCCTGTTGGCATATCCCTTTCCACTTCCGGGGCACCCGAGGCATTCCCCTGTCCCCAAAGCTTGGGCTCTCCGGCCAAACACCAGTGTCGATAACTCCAATGATCGATCCTCTGCCAAATCTAGATGTGATCCAGGCGGCATGATCATTCTTGGTATTCAGCCCCAGGAACTGGTAAGAGTATGTAGTGTGGATCCCGAGCCTCCTGTCAGGTCTCACTGCCATAACCTCTCTGAGCCTCTCTAACTTCTTAACCTCGGGTTTTGATAGATATGCAGCAAAACCTTCCATGGCGGCGCTGTAAGAATACAAAAGGCGTGAAGATGAATCCCCGTCCTCCTCGAGGAAAGAAAGGTGCCATTGAAGCTTAGAACTGAAATGCAGAGATGATGGATGGAGCTGAACAACATAGGTCTGCGAATTGTGTGCATGCAGGCATAGCAGCAAATGCAGCGAAAAGATGGAGAAGATGTGTGAATTGCTGAGTGCCGCCATGGATACAGACATGCATGGTAATTCTGTTTGTTTATGCTTGAAAGTTGAATCAATTATTATACAGACAGCCTAACACCATAGTAGTTTAACGAGGAGTCTCAATATGGGGATTTTTTTGAAACTGAAGTTGCAGCAGGGCTTGACATTACAATACTTACTGAGACGAGACAGGAATGAAAGGGCAGGAAGGGGATGGTGAGGCCCCCCAGATCCTGGGGGAGGGTCTATTAATTACATAAACTCCTTTTTAGTATAGGGTCATCCTTCATGTTCATTCAACATGTGATGGTCCCAACATGTGATGGTCCCAAGTTTTGTTCAGCATATATGCAGCTGAGCTTTCTAGCCGTTAATGAGCTGAGCCGACCCAAATTTTAAATGTTCGTTAACATTCGCAAACAAGGCTCGTGTTCTTTCGTTAAGCTTTCGAGCTCGGTCCGTTAAGAATTTTTGTTGTTTGAGCTCGTGATCGTGTTCGGCTCGATTAAGTTCGTTCGAGCTCGTTTGTCTTTTTTTTAAAAATTTATATATGAATTAAAAAGAAAATTTAAAATTATTTTATTTATATATTTAAAATTAATATTTTATTTAGTAATAAATTATAATTTTATATGTATATATAATATTTATAATAAATATATTATTTAAACGAACGTTTGCACAAAGCTCGAGTTCGTTCGTTTACCAAACGAGTCTATTTATGTTGTTTGCCTCGGCTCACTAACGTTCACGAACGAGCTTTAACCAAGCTGAATTGAGCCGTCTCAGCTCAATTCGTTCAACAGCTCTATCTCCAGTTGACGTCAGGTCAGGTCCCATTTTCACGGGTTTCTCCATTGCTTTCTAAGGATAGCCTGGTGATATCGATAGTGAACTTGTGACAGTGAAGGTCTTGAATTCAAACCGTAACACCTTTAGATGAAAACGCATGGTTCGCTTAATGTTATTTTTCTTTTCAGATTTAGTTTGCAGAGTATTAAATTCTGCTGGAAATTTACCTAGTGCGCACTTTCGGACAGCGGCTGCGAGTTTCCCGGGGATAACACATTGTGTGTTTGTATGTCATATTTTACTTAATTTCTAATATTCATCAATTTTTTTTGCGTTTAAAAACATCAAAAAATTAAAAAAAATCATTTTCAATATTATACTAAAAGTCAATTCTACACATTTATTTATATCATATTATACAACTATTTAAATTTAAAATTTTTACTATTTAAATTCTAATTCAAACTTCATCTCTCTCCAAACAAACAGACAAATGCTTCAATTATGTTGTTTTAGTTGGCCTTGGACTGAATCATTGAAGGTCATACGATAATGTTTGGTTTCAATTCCAATTTACACCTAACGTGTAGCTGAAGGTTTGTGTTTGGTTGAAAGGTTTGGATTTTGAACAACGGTTCTTTTGATGTGTTTCAAATGTAAGAAATGATTTTTGTACCACAATATAGTAAAAAACAAGAATTTGGTTTAATATTTTAAAAAAAAATTAGGTAAAATATAACCTGCAAAAACAAAATTAAATACGATCCGAATCCGAAAACCAAGTACCATATGAAAAATAAATACTTGGGCAAAAAAATAAGCCCAAAAGATTTTTAGGCCGGGCCAACGACAAGTTATAGCAAAGTAAAGTGATCTTCACAGATCATTTAATCATTTCTACTCTACTAACTTATAAAGTGAGAGTGTCTCTAAGACTAATCCTAGTACTTTCAGTTACCTGATCTAAGTAAAAGCTCAACACTCCAACTATGGTCCGCAAGCAACCAATACAACAAATAATAATAACACAAGAATTGGTCCCGTAAGAGATGGTCTGGTAGCGTGGTTGTTGGATTTGTGACCGTGAGGTCATGGGTTCAAACCCCCACGAAAAAGGCCCAGAATATAAAAGCAGCCCTACATTATTTCCTACATTTTTATTTGGTAGTAAATAATAGTACAGCCAGTGCCTCCTAGTTAAGGCAAGGCTGCCAGGATGGGCATACTGAAACTCACTCTTATGCACTATATGCTACATACACAAATTTGTCAGAATCATATGGCTTTTGTCAGTAAACTAAATATATTAATCCAAATGAGCTGAGCTGAGCTGGGACAGCATGGCCAACAGAATAAGTTAAAAGAAACAAAAAGAAGCCACAGCCATGTTATTTCATGAATTTCACACCCCAAAATGACTTGACCTCAAACCCAAAGATCACAGCTTTTCTAATCAACCCATGATTAAATATCATCAATCAAGTATGTATGTATGTATTACACATATGCATCAAAAGGCCATAGGCATGACGGCCACAAAACACTACCAAACCATTTTTAGAATAGGAAAACATTAAGGACTCTGTGTGAAAAAATATATAAATATATCCAAGGCGCAACAATGAATGACCGGGTTTTAAGCAAAGATTATATGAAGTGGCAAATAATATATACCATTCATACCTCATTGGCATCCAAAACACGTGTGCAACCATTGAAGAATGTTGTCTTTGCTCACTCCGCCATGAGTTTTTAGCTGCTTCTGTTGATAAGCTCTCTGGATTAGACTTGTCGGTCTTTTTTGGGTTTAGAGAAGTATGGATCCCATTCATGAGGTCCCATTGCCTCACCATCCAACAAAGCATATTTCCAACTCAGCTCCTCGATGAAATGATCATCATGGCGCCCATCAATGATATCCTTCCTCAGCTTTGTGACCTTGTCAATAACTGCCTGAACAGCTACATCGAAAGCATCTCTGAACATTTCCAGCTTAGATCTGGGGTCGGCATATATCAGCTGTGGGATCAGATTTATGACTGCATCCCTCATTTCCTTCACTGTCTCTGGCGAAATTCGACTAAGCCTTTGCTCTATGCTAACATTTTTTCGGATTTCATCCTCAGGAATGAACACTGAATACAAGGAATAGTTCTTTGGCAGGTGCCAGGTGTACTGAGTGTAAGCAGAACCCGGATGGAAAAACACTGGAATGCAACCAGCCAGCATGGAATCAAATGCTGATCTTCTCGTGTACGAATCCCCTTGAGGCTGTAAGCAGAAAAGAGAGCTTTGAAACATCTGCATAATACTGCTAGGCGAATGACACTTGCTTTCCCCAAAATCGCACTCCAACAATTTGCACACTTCCGAATTCTTGCATTGATCAATGATCTGACCACGAATAGATTTCACATTGCCTGGACGAGGAGCACCTGCAAAACAGAAAAGATACTTCCGTTCAAGTCTCCTCATCCGGTCCTGCCAATCAGATACTTCACTATCCTTAGCAGGATGAAAGTAGGTTGGGTATGGAATCCCAAAATCATTTGCATTCCAAGGACTTGATTCCACCACAAGCATGGACATGTTCTTGGCAGCCGGTAAGAACAGGAGCTTGTTTCCCCAATCCGTTTCTTGGTCAGTTAATCGCCTGAAATCCCATGTTATCCTACCCGCAACAAGAAAGTGATCCCTTCCCCCCATTATACTCCACTCGGGTCTCTTCATAAGCCAATCGACCAAATCCAAAGAAGCAGCATCTCTAGTCGATGTATTGTGCCCCCAAAGATACCTCGCAATATCAAAACCTGCATAGAACGGCACAAAAATAGCAGCTGCTAGCGACGAATCCTTAGTCAAGCAATCATATTGCTTCATCCTGTTGTTAAATATCACATCCACAGCAAACTGATTCGTAGCATACCACCCAGTATTTGAGAAAACCCCCTCGACATTTTCCAAAGGAGGGCCAAGCCCAGCATTTGTGGTGAACTTACACATGTTGGTCCACAAGCTAAGACTCCTACACTCCTTAAGCATATCCTCATTGAACCTCGGAGGAAGATCATGAACATATATATACCTCCCTCCACAAGGATCACTCTTATTTTCCACAGTTCTCAGTGCCCTCATAAAAGGATAAGTCTGCATCTCCTGACTAGACTTTTCTTTATTGTTCAATCCCTTCGGTAAGGATTCTGCAACTTTTGGCTCAATTTGATCCATGGTTTTGTTTCTAGAAGAAGTATCAGTATGATGAATGCTGGTAGAGTGACTGACTGTGGAGGGATTGGGATCTACAGGCAGTGTGTTTATTGATTGGATCGTAATGGAAGAGAGATCTAATTGAGGCGAAGAATCGACCATTCTATTATCACTGAACACCACAAAATGGAAGAACAGCAAACAAATCCAAAAGAAAGCAGACAATGAGGCCAATAAGCAAACCCTAGAGCACTTACTCTTCGATTGCCCTTTCTCCATGACTTCGCCCGACGGTAGAAGCGCCGACTGGCGGCGTCTCATCAGATTCCGGCACACACTTCAAAAATTCAACAAATTCGCCACAACGACAGGAAAGCCACACTCATTGCGTACAAATATACAGAACATCAAAACTACGAAATCTGCACATAAAATTCTCGCATCGAGCATCCACTACCCGACGAAACCCTAAATCTTCAGCTTAGAGTCGAGAATCCTATAGAAAAACTTCATGCGCGACAAAATTTACAGAAGCAAAACAGCCTCAATCGTATACAACGGAGAAACGAAACATAGAAGTAGTTGGGGATTAACCAACCAGAAGAATCAACTGGCTTCGGTGTGCGACGTCGTCAATCAACATAAGCAAAACGAAACTTCCTTTCATCTTACTCAAATTCCAGAAAAATCAGCGAACCTGGCGTACACCGACATTCCATGTGCGCGTTCCAGACCAAAACAATATACACAGAACGCGCAAATTTAGAGAGAGAGAGAGAAGAGAGGGAGGGGGGCGAGCGGACAACCGCCTACCATCAGCGTCACATAGATGATAGGTGTATGGGGGAAGAAGACGCGCAAGTTAGCAAGGAGATACGCGTATGTTAGAACGGAACCCATCTATGTCGGTTGGAATTCCGCCGCTCGAAACGTGGACAGAATTGCAGTTTCAATTTACTGCATTCGGTGCATGTACTCCACACAATGCCGGCCCAATGGGCAAAAATCTTTATTACACCCATTTTTCAGTATATTGTGTATTTTGGTTGATTTAATTTGAATTTGATATTAAAGTAAATATTTGATGTAATATTGTTTAAGAAATAAAAAAATATATAAATTTTTTAGAAAACTTAAAATAAAATAGTAAATTTTGAAATTTTGATGAAAAAAATACACTTTAAATATACATTGAATAAACATAATATATATATACATATACTTTTTCTTCTATTAAATTTATGTCTATTTCATATATATATATATTATGTTTTTTTTTTTTTTATAATATTCTCTCCGTCCGGCAAGAAGGTTGTCGTTGATTTTTTGCGTGTTGATCTTCGAATATTAATTATTATATCAATACGTGGTACAAATTAAAAAAATAAAACAAAAAATTGTTTATTAGTCTCTTATAATACATATATAATGATATTTTTCCACTAAAATATTCAAATATAAGGATACTTTTAATATTAAGTACAATGAAACAAAAATCAAATAACAATCTTTTTGGGGGACGAAGGAAATAAAATAATTATATACTCTCTTCTGTTGATTCTAAAAATCTCATTATACATTTTTTACAAATGTCATTATAATAATAGTAATAGAATATTTTTGTAATTTTTTTTACAATGTTTCATATAATAATTAATATTAACATATCAATACGAAAGAAAATAAATAAATGAGATCTTAAAAGTGGACGGTAGTATTTGTTTTATATTTATTTAAGAAAATATAATAATTATATATATTCAATTTATTTTAAAAAAATATGTCACTTACTTGATATTTCTTAAAATATTTTTATTTTAGAGAACATTAGTTTTAATACCAATGGTGTGTTTATTTGGGAGTTTGGATTTTGAATTGAGATTTGAATAGTAAAAATTTTGAATTTGAATTATTGTATGATATAATATAAATAGGTGTTGATGTGAAGTTTTGAATGTAAAATTGATTTTTAGTATAATATAAAAAATAAAAAATAGATATTTAATTCGATGTTTTTTGGAGAAAAAAAAAAATAGAATGGACATTGGATTAGAAATCCGATCCCCCGAACAAACACACCCTGTACAATACTTGGAAATCTTATTTAGTAACCTGCACCCTCACCACACGCAAGTATTCCCCACTAAAATTTATATAGATGGGGCACAAGCACGATTAAGCTTGGATTAGTTAATTAATTAATTAATTTAAAAATAAATAGGATCGCCTGAATATACTCTCTATCAATTAATTATATAATTCTCCTAAACCACGATTGAAGTTAATGTCTTGTCGAATCGTTTGCTGTTGCTAAAAGTCAACAGTTAAATTTCCTATACTAAACATGTCAAATTTGTCAACGGATTCATTGGGGGGTGTATTAAGATATGTTTTAAAATAATTAAATATTTAGATTATTAAAAATAATATAACTATAAATAAAACAATCATAATAAAAGATAGTATTTAAAAACAACCCAAATGAATAATGTTAATTCAATTTGTTACAGTGCATGGTCTGATTAATCAATAATGCAACCGACCCAAAATTTATTTATTACTCGTTCCGTCGTGAAAATGCGTGTTCATTCGACCGAGCATAAATTTTAATAAAAATGAGTAATAATTGTTATTTTTTTTACAGTAAATAAAATACAAAAATATAATAATTTTTTACTTAAAAAAAATAAAAATATTTTTCAATGATAATTAAAAAAAATAGTGAGCATAGATTTGAACTACTATTTTCTTAAATTTATAAAAAGATTGGTTTCCAGTGATTAAAGGTGCATTTATTGTTTGTCCCAATTGGCAGTCACTGTATTTGTTTTTAACATTATTATTCATCATAAATTCTATAAATACTATTGCTTGATACATTTGATAGTGTAAGGCAATGGACAATAATATTATAGAGGGGAAAAAAATGTTAAAATCAATTTCCACTATTAAAAATTTATTCTAATCTAAATAATTTTAAGTTATAAGTATATACACACTAAACCAAAAAAAAAAAATTATTATTATTTTTTAAAAAAAAGCCAATAATTTTTTTTTTAAAAAAGCATGTAAATTTTTTTAACATTAAACAGCATTTGTTATATTATAAACAAGCACACATATTTAAAAAAATATATATCAAATTCAACTCTTATTTTATATAAATATATAAGTATATGACATTTAACAGTTATTAAGATTACTTTGAATTATTTTATTACACGATTTTTTATCAAAATTTATAGAATTTTTATTCATAATTATTTCTTTTTAAAAATTAAAATAAAGATTTTGAATGTAAAATTAATTTTTAATATAATATAAAAAATAAAAAATAAATATTTGATATTTTTTTTAAAAAAAAAATTGTATGAATAATATAAATCAACACAAATCCTTCTAACAAAGACACATGAAATGAATGAATCATCCATTCTAAATCAAAATCCAAAACAAAATCAAAACATGAGGTAATGAACAAAAACAGATACAAGCAACATCACAACTGCAGCAACCAATGCATAATAACAACCACAAGAACCTGTCCCCTTAGTTTTGGTCAGCCAACGAACGCCCCTATCCATTTTCAGCCCCTCGAAACTCAGTCGAACTCCGGGATCTCCTAACTTCACGTCGCTCGCGACCAGGACTGAGTTGTTGATACCTTGTATGTCATTGTTTATGTATATGTTGATGCTGCAGCTGCTTCCGGAAGAGGGGTCGGAGGCATTTTCCATTATCAGCGAAGCTCCGACATTCCGGCCGGCCAATCTGATGTTCTCGAAGCTTCCATGGTAGAGTTGGGGTGGCATTGAGGATTTAGGACAGCCTGAGAGGCTTGTTCGATGTACTATGGGTTAGGGAAGATTTTCATTTTATGACTATAATAATAATAATAATAAGGTGGTATAACTTCAAGAAAGATGATATAAAAATGCTTTGCTTTATAAGAGAGGCAAGGAAAGTAGATATTCCCTTAGGAATGACTTAATATGCACTCAATTAAACCTCTATAAATATAAGTCTGATAAAAGATTTACCAAGAGTGTACCAGAGTAACTATTGCAAATTCTCACATTATAAAACAAAATTGAAAAAACTCTATAAATATATATATATATATAGCCTTAATTAGCGTTGTATTGTAGTATTGTATTATTACTTTGTAAGAAAAACAGAGTGTTAGTAATATTCTACTAGTACCAAGCTGTTGTTCCGAGCGCCGCCGGTGAGTGTCCAGGCAGCTTCCGGTGTTCCCCGGAGCTCCGGCGGTGGAGTTGAAAACCGGCCCGTCTCGGGGCTGAGCTGATCAGAGCACTAGCAGCTGCATCGATGGATTGCGTTGCGCGATTTTCTGCGCTGCAAAGATCGTCAATAGTCTGGAACGCCGCTCGACCTTGATGAGTACTCCGAAACGAGCTTGAAGAACATGGAGGTTTTGTTGTCCAGCAGTCTTCCCGGAGTATCAAACTCTGCCACGCGACCTGGGAAAACAGAATTGACGTTGAGTCGAGAGAGGATGAGTAAATAAATGCAAGTAATGACGACAGAGGGTGCAGACCATCGCTGAGGACTAAAACAAGGTCGCTATCGATGACTGTAGGAATACGGTGGGCGATTGTGCAGACGGTGCAATCCCTGAATTCTGATCTTATTATCTTCTGGATGAGGTTATCTGTCGCTGAGTCGACTGATGCTGTGGCTTCATCGAGAACCAAGATTCTTGCCTGTTTGAGTAAGGCTCGGCCGAGGGAGACCAGCTGCCGCTGACCTACACTCCAGTTGTCTCCGTTTTCTAAAACTGGCAAAAAAATATAGTAATGAGTTCTCAGGATGTTCATGGTTTGAATTACTGTCGTGCCATGGCACAACTTTGAGGAAAAGCTTACCCGCCGTATCGAGCTTTTGATCTTTTTGTCGAACTATTTCTCCTAACTGAGACTTGTCTAGTGCCTGCAGCAGTTCAGATAGTCTAATGAATACGATGTAATAGTACACTAGAAAATCAAACGTGAGGACATCTAAACATATTAGAGTTTGCTTCTTTTACCTCCAAACCAGGGGTCTGATTCTTTTGATTTACTTTGGAAAATTTTGGTTTGAGTTTGGTATTAAAATACATATTTTTCTCTTACAAAACATCTCATCATACATTATTATTATTATTATAATATGGATCAAAGCAAAATTTTTTCAAACCCATCAAAAGAAACATTGTATCTAAAAATGGCATGAGATGTCATCGAGGATTTCAGCAATGACAGTTCGTCCTGTGCTAACCGACAATACATGATATAGAGTGTGTTCGTCTATAAAACTTTACATAATTCTTACTATTAAGTAGAAAAAATTCTCCAAAAACATCAAATCAAATATTTATTTTTTATTTTTTATATTATACTAAAAATCAATTTTATATTTAAAATATCACATTAATATCTATTTATGTGACTTTATACTACAATTCAACTTCAAAATTTTTACTATTTAAATCTCAAACCAAAATCCAAAAATCCCCAAACAAACACACCCTATAAACATGTTTCCTGTTTTACCTGACTTGCTCCAAAAGTGCTCGAATGTGGGACTTGAGTTTGCAATCCAATATACTAAATTCCTATAAGATGGATAGAAGAATGGAGGAAAAGGTACCTGCCAAATATCTTGGTCGGAATGCTCTTCGAGGGGGTCTAGGTTGCCTCTAATAGTTCCTTCGAATAATGTTGGATCTTGGGGTATTATACTAAGCCGGTTGCGGAGGTCATGAAGACCAACTGTTGAGATATCTATATTGTCTATGATAATCCTTCCACCTGCTGGCTCAATCAGTCGAAATAGAGCTTGGATCAAGGTGGATTTACCACTTCCTGTACGCCCGACGATTCCAATTTTCTTGCCGCCAGGAAATTTGCAGGAAATGCCACGCAGCACGACAGGGAGATTCTCTTTGTAACGAACCTGTGAAAGGAAAAACAGCCGCCAGTTTATTTGTACTCATCTTGTACCAAATTGCAAACGATTCTTTAAACATGTTTCATCTACTTAAGCTTTATACGGGAGAAAGGGAAAAGAAAACTATTTTCTATGTTGAGAACCTAATATTCTTTGCCATGGACATGGATCACCTATTGATCAGGTCAACCGGATGCTTACGTTGACCAAATCAATTTATGTTACTGGGATGATCAATATAAATTTATATATATCTAATCAAATTAATAATACAATATATAACGCATATAAATATATGATATATATGCTTGTCAAATCAGTACTATGTTAGACTTGTTGGATAGGCACAAAATCCGCATCCCCTTGCTATAATCAACATTAGGGGTGAGTATTAGCCTATTTGGATACATGGTTCAAATTTTTTAATAAATTGAAAATTTCAAAAATCACATAATATATTAAAAAAACTAATTTATTTTTTTTAAAAAAATAGATAACTTCACTTATAAACAAATAATGTCCAACAAATCAAAAAAAAACATAAGACAAATAGTATCTAACATTTAAATAATTTCAAACAAATATTAAATACAAAAGACCCCACAAAATATGCTATACATACACATTTTTATTAGAATATATTAATATATTTTAAATTTCAAATATTTTGTCCCCCTCTACTAACCTACCGCCATCATGTAAGAATCCACAGGTTTTCTAGAAACTGAGCATCTTACATATGGTGCTGTAATGTTTCCGGAGATATGACAAGAATGCCTAGGACAATAATACAAACTACAAAGATGTACAACACCGCAGCATTGGACTTAAAAGTTGAAATATGTAAATCTGGCAAGCTTGGTCTCTATTGATGCGGTGTGGTTACTATGCTGAATGAGAGAAATTAGCACCATACTTATTTTCCATTCAGCACATTTGAAGTATATAAACAACAAGTTTGTGTGTTATGATTTTCCTATTCAGCACATTTGAAGTATAAAAGCAACACAAGCTTGTTTTTAACACAACAAAACATGCAGTCGTGTTGTATGAATGCATAGTTTGTGCTAAATTTTAACTATAGATTGTGTTGTTTTCTACTCTGATGTATTATTTGTGCTGAATTTAACTATAGATTGTGTTGTTTTTTACTATGACATATGTTACATTTGTATATATGTTAACATAAATCGAACAACACATTACAGTTAAAAACAACACAAGTAGTGCACTCATACAACACCAAACCTATGCGCTCTTATTTAACACTTTATGTGCGACTTGTATGTATATTGTGTGCTGAATGTCTCTTTACTTTATATTGTCAACACAATAATCGCCACCTTATTGATGAGATAGGATGGCTTTCTAATCTTAACACAACATATCAGATAACAAGCTAAAACAGGAATAGAGCATAAAAAAGGAGTGATACTAGATCAAAATGCATACCTTCAAATCGATAAGTTCGATTGTGCCATTCTCAGGCCATGATGTTGGTGGTCGTGAATCGTCAATAACTGTAGGTGCTTCACTAGGTATTTGGGAGTATTGGTGAATTCGTTCTATAGATATGACTTTGTTTTCAAGCTTGCAGAAGCTAAGTATCCATCGTGATAGACGTGCATTCAGATTGAGGCCGTACGTCACTGCAAGGCCGGCCATACCTGTTGACAGAAATGAAAAACATTGCCTACACTTTAGCAATGAAATCAAATGATGTAGATTGGCAATGAAGAGAAGTGATTTCTTACTTGGATCTATAGTTCCATGAGGAAAGCTCACAAGCATGACCATGCAAAAAGCAAACACAAATGTCGATAGCAATTCCATGCGCAGACAAAGCCATTCAATGGCTGCAACACTGCAAAAGAACGGACGAGCAAAGCAGTCGAGAAGATAAAGATTTCGCTTCATGAATCTCTTTTCTTGCCCAAAGCCTCTGATGGTAGATGCTCCGGCAATTGATTCAGCAAAAAGATGAATTACAGGGGACTTCTGGATGCTAACAATACGGACTAGTTCTCTAGATGAGGCCATATAGTATTTCTGCATCAGCAATAATATCAGTTCACTTTCAACGGTACAGATTGATCACATTAATAGATGAATCAATGCACAGAAAGTGGAGATGCAACCTTGTTCATTGTATTCTAATTTGATAGAAATTTGACACAGAAAAGGCTATTCAATCACATAATTCCAGAATGTTCATCACAGATCACATAAAGTGAATGAATCAATCGATAAAGCTAAATGGCATGACATAGCATGCTTACCTGCATCCATAAACAAGCAATTGCCATCGGGATAACAAGAAGCAAAATTTGCCAGGTAACTTGAGTCATGACACCGACAATGCCAAGAAGCTGAATAGTTGTTGAAGCAAAGCCACCAAGTCGGAATGGAATATCCAGATCCACAACACTTTGATCAATTGAAACCTGATGATGACAAGTGAGCAAGAAACCATCATATATATGAAGCTCAATCAAGGATTATAAAATAAAATAAGTGGCAGAAAGAGGAGAAAAATAAGTTCATCAGGATCCATGGGAGCATACGCGATTCAATATTCGTCCAGCTGGAGTAGAGTCGAAGAAAGACATAGGTGCTCGAAACACATTTCTTAGCATTTTCAGAAATAACTTCTGTGCAGCAGCAAGGCCAAAAGTAGCAACAAGAACGGCTCTAACAAATACGAAACAGGAGCTTCCAAAAGCAAGTGCCATGTAGACAACGATAAGCATCATGCTGCTGGTTCTAGGCTTGTCGCCATCAGTTTGCGGACTTGCCCAAGCCATCCACCAACTGCTGGCTATTTGAAGGATCTGAAATAGTGATTGTGACAGAATAATCAATGGAATCAATATTCCCTTGTATGCTGCGGTCATATATGACAAATAAACTTTCATGCTGACTCTTCCCCGCTCCCGTTCCTCTTCCTGCACAAGCTGCTTTCTCCTAGAACGCTTAGCTTTCCTCTTCTCTTTGATTGCTTTTTGATCCAAAGATGATACAACTTCTCCGGGATTCCTTTCCAAAGATGATACAATATTATCACTATTATCAATTGAATCACATGTCTGATCAACAGGATCATTTCTGTCCGATTCCTCAGAAGCCGTGTTGCAAAAATCCATAGCTTCAATGGCCTCGTGATGAGCAGAGACCAATGTGCTGAAATCTGTTCCTGCTTGCAAAAGATCATCATATTTTCCAGCTTGAATGATACGGCCTTCCTTTAAAACCTGCAATAAGGTAAAACATGCCCGAAATTGTCCAACATCAAATTACAGCAATGTGATCTGCAGATCATTTATTCATTTCTACTCTACTAACTTATAACGTGAGAATGTCCCTGAGACTAATCCTAGTACTTTTAGTTACCTGATCTCAAGGTAGATCAGATCATACCACTAAAAGCTCAACACTTCAACTATGGTCCGCCAATCAACCAATACAACAAATAATAGTAACACAAGAAGTGGTTCAAAGCAGAGCACAAATTTGATAACATTTTTCCTTGACATGTTAAAAGAGAAGCAAGTCATACCAAAATTAAGTCAGCTGCAGGAAGAAAATCAACTTGATGGGTGACAAAGACAATCGTTTTAGTAGCTAGAGCTCCCAGCATGTACTCCTGCATTCCAAAGAAATAATTTAGCTAGTGTTGAGATGCTTGACCGGTACATATATTTATGAAGATCATGTCCAAACCTGGAATAATTCTGAGCTAGTGTGTGCATCAACAGCACTAAAGGGATCGTCAAGTAAATAAATATCGGCATCTTGATATAATGCGCGGGCAAGTTGTACCCGTTGCTTCTGACCACCACTAAGGTTTATGCCCCTATCACCAATGATGGTTTGATCACCATGTGATAGTAGCTCCAAGTCTTTCTTGAGTGAACAGGCACGGATAACACTCTTGTATCTTGCTTTGTCTTTTGGACTTCCAAAAAGGATATTTTCCTCTATATTTCCCGATTGAATCCAAGCAGACTGCGAGACATAGGCTACAGAACCACATATTCTCACCTACAATATACAAACATAGGCAAGTAACCAGAATTCAACAGCCAAATTCGAAAAACAACATGAGAATCATCAATGTACTGAAAGACAAAGGTTTAAAAAACCAAAGATAGCTTTTACATGGTTAGACTTACTTCACCAGAGATTTTTGGAATCTCACCAAGGATGGAAGAAAGGAAGCTCGATTTTCCAGCACCAACCATCCCACAAATAGCTACGCGCATTCCCTTTTCTACCTTGATCTGTATATCTGACAGCGTCATGGTGGCTGGAGATTTACCCCAACTAAAGTTTCCGTTCTTTATTTCTATGGCCACAGGTGATACGCCCCACGGCAAGGTAATGGTCGCATCTTCCTCCATTTCTTCCTCCTGCAGGAATCCCTCAATTCGATCAAGGGAGACTTTAGTTTGAGCCATCATGGAAACCAAATCAGGGAAATTTCTAAGCGGCTCTTGCAGGATACGGAATGTAGCCAGAGCAGAAAGGACACTACCGGCAGTGAGCTGGCCACCTAGCAAAATGCAAGTTCCAAAAGTAATTGCTGAAACAAATATAGGGGAACTCCAGAATATAAATGTGATGAAAGCTTGTGAGTAAAGAGCTTTCCGAAGGTACTTGAATTCCAAACTCCGCATTTCTTCCAGCATCACCCGGTATCTATCCTCCCAAGCTTGTAATTTGAGAATCCTCATATTCCTGAGGCATTCTGAAGTCTTCCTCATCCTATCATCCTTCGCTGCCATCAACTTATCTTGGTAATCTTCCTGAACCTTTGCAACTGGAACAGTTGCAACAATGGATACAATAGTGGCAACGAGTGTAGCAACCGATGCAATTCCTACATTCTTGTACAAGATCGCCAGTGCAAGGATAATTTGGAGAGGAAGCATCCATATGTCATGCAAATACCAAGAATAGTCCCCAATTCTCTGAACATCAACAGCCATATAATTTACAATCTCACCGCTCGTGCGACTTTGCCTGGCTGCGTTTGAAAGTCTTAGTCCTTTTCGATATACCATAGCCGTGAGACCTGAACGCACGTGCATACCTAAAATGTCAACACCAAGATACCATTGTCGGGCCGTCAAGGTCTCTACCAACTTTGCGCCGAAGAAAATTCCAGCAAGAATGTATCCCTCATGCGGGAAAGTCTCTATCCCGCCTAGATAATCCACAAAATAGCTAATCAAGTATGGTCCTACATAGGAAACTAAAGTGTTCAGACCAGCAAACATTGCGTTCCAGCCAATTTCTTTCCGGAACGTTATGAGAATCGCCCAACCCAACTGGCTCAGGGTACTTTCAGCCTTCAACTTCTCCCAGTTCGAGTTCAACACCTTATAGTTCGTCTTGGAACGGTCTTTTGTTGTGAGCAAAGGAATATCCTTGAGATCAAGTGGCCTCTTTGCCCCAATCGAAAGGAGTGGGTTCAGCCAAGAGAGAGTGAGAAGGCTGAAAAGACCAGCCTCACCATAAGGAGTTACCTTCAGACACCCTGCTTCTTCTTCAACCAGCAGGGGCTCTTGAAGATCATTTCTCCTAAACACCTGGATGCCGGTAGCTCCACGTGCAGCAACAAAACATAGAAAAACAAGTGCAGGAGAAACAAATATGTTCCCCAAAACGTGAGAATTTAAGTGTCCTGATCCTTTTGTCAAAATTCTTCTCCCATCACCATACAAAACCAACAAACAAATTGCAAATGATGCCGCCCACCAAATTCTCAACATCAATGGAAATTTCACAGCAGCTTTGTATTTACAGTAAAGAACTAAAAAGCTTAGCACAAACCATGATAAACTCTGAGCTGAAGGTAACAATACTGCAGTCCAATGTAGCTCTCCACCTCCCCCTTTTGCAGCCTCCCGAATTAAACCAATTCCATCAAACCCTAGCACCAATATCTGGACGAACAAAACATAGAAGCAACAAAGAAGTGAAGCTTTGTACCTTCTACCAATCACAACATTCCCAAGCTCCTCACCTACACCAATGGAGCTCCCCAGCAAGCTGTCCTTCCGAAGAGGGGCCCGACCAAAGCACAAACTCACCTGCCTTGCGGAAACAACGGAGATGAAGGCGAGAAACAGGGTCAAGTTGATGCAAATTGACGCCAAGTCGAGGATCGGTAGAGCTCCGGGGGTACTTTCCAGAGGTCGATTTGAAGTTTCCGAAGCTAACGTTTCAGCCGCCGATTGAAGAATTATATCCATAATAAGAACTGTTGCAGATATCGATCGATCTGGCGATGAGAAATCACGAGAGGAAGAACACACACACCAGCCGCCGTAATTAATGAAATATAGAAATGTCGGCAGCCGATGAGAAATCACGCCGTGCAAACAGCATTTCAACTTCTGGCAAACGAACTAAACCACGCGCAACCTAATAACGAGTCACGGAAATGGAGATGGGGAATCTGCACACGGAATCAGAGACGTCTCGTCTGTATCATCCAACCAACTCTGTACCCTCCAAAAAAAATATACAAAGTACAGAAATCAATGCAAACCAGCACGAACAAAACAACATCAACAGAGCACGAATCAAATTTAACTCTCTCATGTGACGTACATACATACACGGATCTTTGAATACCTAAATAATTTTTTTAGTATTCTCCTCACTAGCGACAACAAAAGTCGGCAGGAAGTGCATCAATTGGCAACCATTACTGAAAATACCAAAAACTGACCTGAGCTCGTGCTCCTCGGCTCTGCTCTGCTCGGGTAATGGTCGGAGCAAGTTTTGCTGCACTATTATACTGTATACATATACAGAAGAGAAGAGAAGACAACTCCGACGCTCCGGAAGAGATGGAATCCGACCACTCCAACAACGCCAGAGCTCTTGCAATGCAATCAGAGAGAAAGAGACACAAATGTAAGGGATACACGCGTATGTATCAGTCAGTATATATATATACATGCATTATTAAATACATCCTTTTATTTTTAATATATGATTTTTAGATACCAAGGTAGCTTCTAGACATAATTTTTAGAAGTCTTCTAATTTTGAAAAAAAATATAATAATAATAACAAAATCCGAAATAATAAAATATTCTATTTTTATTAAAAAAAGTTAAATTCTAGTATATTGAAATAAAATAAAAATTAAATGAGCCGCAAACATTGAGTCAAAATAAGTAGTTGTAACCAATGAGTCTGCGTCGTGACCAAATTGATGTTTGCCATCTTTGTAACATCTCATTTTATGGGAATGGGAATGGTTGGAATGTTGATTATAACTAATGATATTATTTTAGTTTATAAAGCATGATGTCTTATAATATAGTCCATTTATTAACTTAATATTTATTTTAATAATAAAAATTTTAAATTTGAATAACTGTATGATATAAACAGGTGTTTGGTGTGATATTTTAAATATAAAATTAATTTTTAATATAATATAAAAAATAAAAAATAAATATTTTATTTAATATTTTTGAAAAAATATTAATAATATATTTAAAATTCAATTGTCAAACAAACATACCCTAAAAGTAACATTGCGAGACAATGAATGACGCGTGCAATCATCACTCACAGTCACACGAGCGAGGACCGAATGCAGCACAGCCGTTTCTGTTAACCCGGAGCAATCTTAGTTATTGGTGGGGTTTATCTGCTTTTATAATTATCATTTACTCTCTCCTCCTCCTTTTTTTTAAAAAAAAAAATTTTATTTATTTTAAATATATATTAATAAATATAAATCAATTTAATTTTAATTAATTTTTTTTATATAAAATCCATTCAAAATACTTTTATTTTTTTAATAAATAAATAATTAATATATATATTAAAACTCTACTATTTTATAAAATTAATTTATCTTAATTATAAATAAATTAATAAATTTATTTATTTATATTATTTAATATTTTATTTCCTATAAAAATAATATATATAAGGCATATATTTTATTGAGATATAATATTTAAAATATTTAAATACATATTTAAAATTTATTTTAATTATATATTAATTTTATTTTAAAATTACTAATAATATTATATATATTGCATATGTTTTATTGAGATATAATATTTAAATACATATTTAAAATTTATTTTAATTATATATATTAATTTTGTTTTAAAATTATTAATAATACTACTCCTATAGAATATAATAAATAATATCATAACTTATTATCATTTAATTAAACCAAATTACCTTAAAGAATGCATCCTAAATGAAAAAGAAATTCACATGGAAGGAAGGGAGTATAATTGATCATATAAGTAATTTTACCTTAGCTATCTTTGTAGCTTTCACTATCACTATGACTAACTCACGAAACCTGTCCTAACCGTTCGGTGGGCCACTTTATTTGTCAGGCCCAAGGCCCAATAAAATCCAACGCCAAATTTCTTAGGCCCACGGCCCATTAATAACAACATGCCAAATAGTATAAATATATGAACAGACACTCACTCCCCTTAGAAATCATATAATCAAACAATCAATCTATGGAAGCAAAACAACAAACCTTACCATTCTTCATTGCATTGATTTCCTCAGCAGCAGTTCAGAAGCCTTTTCTTGCAGCAACTTCCAGGCTGCAACCACGTGCCTCTCTTCCGTCAACGGAGCCCCGACGGCGAACCGCAGGACGAACTCGCCGGAAAGAACCTGGACGTGCTCATGACCATGTTAGGACAATGCTTATAGAAACAAGTGTTGAAAAGTGTAAGGGAGCTTATGTATTAGTGTATACTGTGTGGGAGATGAAGGCTTCTCCAGTTGAGTTCACGGAATCAAGCAGCTCGCGGTTCAAGCTGTCGGCGGAAACACCGTTGGGCGCCAGGCGAAAACAGACTAGAGCGAATGTACGAGGGGCAACAACCTGCAGTGTTTTGGAAACTGAATTGATTGTTTTTTGTAGCTGAAGATTGTGTGTGTCGAAGGTTTACCTTGAACCGGGGATCCTGTTTCACCAGTTCTTCGAACTTCTTGGCCAAATCGACGTGGTTTCTAATGTAAGCCTGCAGTTTTTCCAGTCCATAGAGTCTCAACACCATCCACAATTTCAGAGATCTGCAAAAGAATAGGCCATTGTTAGATTAACATGTTTTCAAACAACACAAGTCTTTTCTGCATGAATGAATCTTCTTTAATCTCCCTTTAATAATTCAGGTACCTGAACCTTCGTCCTAAGGGGATTTGCCAGTCTTTGTAATCAACAACCATGTTACCTTGGGAAGCCTGAAGAAAGATATATATATATATATATATAACAAGAAATCATAAGAGTTCAAAGTGCAGATGAAATGGTCACACATAGTAAACAAGGAAATATACTCTATCGTGTACATAGCAGGTCATCCTATCGAACATTTGATAACCAAGATTTCAAAAATGTCACCTTTGCACAGCACCAGCAAAGAGTGTATACTTGAAAAAAATTTCATATAAATTAAGGATGGGTTTGGCAAAGATATCAATCTTCTGCTAAAAAATGTGAAGGAAAACATACTTTGTTTTTGAGGTACTCAGGATTCGTCGACAGTGATTGGATAAGTGCGCTTCTATCCTGTAAAGGATGAAAGTGAAAAACTGTAACAGAGTAATCCTCAGAAGGTTGGGATGATTGGAGTAAGAGGAGTAAACTTGAGAGGATACCTTCACCCAAAGAGCTGAGCAGTCGAAGTTTGTCAAAAACCATTTGTGAGCATTCATGTTAAATGAACTGGCTTCTTCTATTCCGTCGAGGTAGGGCCGAAACTCAGGACATATACAGGCACTTCCAGCATAAGCAGCATCCACATGAAACCACAGTCCATGATTCTAAATATTTTCATGAATGGATCAGAAATGGAGTACTTGTTTTGATTTATTCATAAGAAAATTAAATCCAACAGATTAATTGAGGTTAAAGGCAAAGAGTCGAGAGAGTACAAAATTGCTTGCATTACTTCTAAAACTGCTACACCACACCACACCACAAAACAAAAATTATAAGAGGGCTCTAGAGAAACCTACTACAGCTGGTGTTTTCTTACAGCATCAAGAGTGTAAATCACACTGGAAGAAGAAGAAAATAAAAATAAATATATAAAATCGATAATGCAATTGTAAAAAAGCTCACATTTGCAATCTTGCCAAGTGCAGGTAGAGGATCCACAGCTGTTGAAGAGGTAGTACCAACCTACATACAAGTCGACATACTGTTGGATTGACTGAGTACAATTATCTAAGCAAAATGCAAAGCAACCAAAATAATTTTTGCAGCAAGTAACAGATCAATTCTAACAATAGCAACTAGTCTTGCAAGTTAGGTCAGTTAACCACAGCCAAAATCTGTAAGTTCTGGTGATTCAAAGGTCAATCAATGTACAAATATATTTCATACGTAAAAGTAGTGATTCTAAAGTCCTCGGGAACCGAAAAACCAAGACTAAATTAAATTGGTGAAATTACATGAAGGAAGAACAAAGATAACAGGTAAATTGATGGAGGAAGCTCTACTTTTAATTTGTCATTATTTGCTTACAGTAGCACACAAGAAGAAGGGGATTAGACCAGAAGCTGCGTCTTGTGAGATTGCTTCTTTGAGTGATTCAGGAGAAAGTGCATAATTGGTGGAAATATCTGTTTTTAGCACTCGCCAATTTTCAGGGTAAATTCCTGCTATCTGCCAAGAATGAGCAAAATAAAATGGATAATGAATACTAACAACTGATCAAATAAATCCTGCAATGCATCAAGTGATTCAGAAATGCATCTCTAGCATGTACATATACATCTCATTACATGGATGAGCAATCGAATTTCAAGAAACTGCAAAATGAAATTGTGGATTGTATTCAGGATACAAAAACACCTGGCATGCTTTCTGTAGAGCAGCATGTGTTTGATCAGAACTATACACCACAAGTTTTCCAAGGGCATCTTTCCCATCCCTCCTCAGGATTTTATCTCGAGCAGCCAAAAGAACAACTAGCACTGCTTCACTAGCAGTTCCCTGTATTACTCCACCACCCTGTCCTGAAAGACAAAAAAAAGATGTTGCATTTAAGATAAGATCAACAACTTGGTGAACAGGAGGAGCAAGCAGATATCTCTTGGCCAATCAAAAAAGTTAAGTCTTAAATTGAATTTCTGAAGAGACTTTTAATACAAAAATATAGACAGTGCCAGTAAGAAATTAGAATTCTATGATGTAGAAAACATGAAGACTAACACATTCAACCATCACAAATTTGTCCATGAAATTTAATAGATCATTCAAAGGTCTAAGCATTGACTATTTTGCTTTGGCTGGAAAGGGTTTCAGACGAACTTATCTCTGTCTAATTCCATAGTGGCATAAGATAAATAATGCTTGGACAGGGATAACAGTATGACACTGCTAAACTCATCACAGGCAAGCAAAGCAGAATGGATGTTTCATTTTAGTCCATTTCCGACAAAATAATGTGTGTGTGTGTGTGTGTGTGTGTGATATTTCTGGTGCAAGGTAGATGCAATCAGATACAAAAGTAGATGGAGATCTACAACACAATTTAAAAAACAGTTATTCACTTTATGCTTGAGGCAAATGAAAACAACTGCAGTACCTGTCGAAAGGAATTCATCAGGAAGCTTGAGTGCCTTAGCAAGCCAATCCAGAACTATCATTTCAAGTTCCGTTGCAGCTGGAGAAGTTATCCAACTAAACCCCACCATGTTAATACCAGCACTAAGCATTTCCCCCAGAAATCCTGCAACACTACTATTTGAAGGGAAATACGCAAAGTATTCAGGGCTCTGCCAATGTGTTACTCCTGGTAATATTTTTGTCTGAACATCTGAAGAGAAAATGATACAGGAGAATACAACTTCTGTAAATGAATCTTATTTACATAACTCATATGTTCATTCTGATTGATTATTCTTAAAAGATCTGCACAAAAACAGAAATATGAATCTCAACAGTAACTGAAAAGCGAGTCAATCAAATCAGAGAATTATTTACCATCCAACACATCTTGCAATGGTACAGGTAGTACAGGAGCAGTAGAGGGCAGAAGTTCTCGCAGATATCCAGGCTACATACATCAAGAGATCGACGTTATCACATCGTTAATGGAGGAATCAAAAGCTAAACAAAATTTCAACACACTAACAAAAATTAACTATAAAAGAAGCAACTCAATCTCAAAATCTCAGAAGTCACACCAATCCAGTGAAGTTCGGACGCCATGAAACCAGTTTTAAGAAAAAGGAATAGACACCTGAACTTGGCTAAGAACAGGGAAGCTCTCAATGCTCTTGTAATAATCCGCAATGAAATCCACCATCTTGTGCGCACACTCCCTCAATTGCTCAGCGTCCATCGGCTTCAAATCCCCCTCCCTGTCGAGCATTCGTCATACTCACCACAATAACAAACACAATCAGAATTTACTCAAAGAGAATGGAAACAACTTACATTCTGAAAAACAACGCCGGAGGATGAGCCGCCGTGAGAATATCGTGAAGAACGATTAAGGATCGAGTGAGAGTGAGCAGATTGAACGAGAAAAATATCTGTAGCCGGCGAAGGAATCAACCTTACTGTTCCGTATCTAGCATTCGTTTTCAGTACTGTTACATAATAAATGTCATTGATTTGAGCAAAAGTTTTTGGTCCATTCCCATTTAATTTTTTTTTTTTTTTTTTCCAATTTTGATCTGGTTCAATATTGAACACGCCGTGTTGTCTTTGAACACTATAATCCACGGCTGTGTTTATTGTCATGTTCTATAAACAAGGTTATACTATGATGAACACTGCAGGTGTATTCGTTTATTAAAAAACATCGTATTATACAAATATTTTTTACTTTTTTTATTATATTTAAAAAAATAATTTATATTCAAAACAGTGAATTAATATTTATTTATATTTTATTATATATTATTCAAATCTCAAATCAAACCACCGAACAGTATTTTGAACACTTGTTCATTGTTCACGATATTAATACAGCCGTATTCTAACCTCTATTCTATATTAATACGGTAGTTAGATTCAATAGGGGTTTTTATTACCCTTCTCTATTTTTTTAAAAAAATATATATAAATAAACATACATAATATAATTATATAATTAATACTATCTCAGTTTTATTGTGTTTTTTTTTTTTTTTTTTTTTTTTTTGTATTTTGTAAGTATATTGAAGGTGCAAGAATCAATGTCTGGTGCACTTAAGTAGGGTTGCATCCTCAAGTTTTCGGTCATAATCCGTCTCATGTCTCATGTGTGTGAGTCATGTCCTATACGGTTGATTGATAGCATATGTTTTGGTATTGATATGAGTTTCGCATTATTCTCTCATATTGAATAGTATATTTCGAACGTATTGTGCAGAGGACGGCTAGTCTGGACCTCAACGCGAGCGTGATCTAAGCGTCGGAAGGGTCAAGTTCCGGATAATCACATATGCTGTTAGAGCTGTTTGTTTAGCTAAATTAATTTTTTTATGTGTGATACAAAGACTGTGTGTTAATAATATAAAAAAATAATATTTTGTGTTTGAATAGTTGATATACTTTATATTAATATACTTGTATATTTGTAATTTTTTAATAATACTTATAGAAGATCGTTTCATTGAAAAATATTAATAGAGTAACATTTGTACAAAGTGTATTCTTTTTACTATAAATAAAATACTCCCTTCCTCAATTATCTTTATTTCTTTTTTTGTTTGTTAATTTTAATTGGCATATTTTTTATTTTTTTATTTGTAAAATTTATTAAATTATAACATATTTAACAATTTAATTAACTTTAAAATATAATTCACTCAAAACCATTTTATTTCTATCTGTCTTCACTAAACAAATATCTTCATTTATATTTTGGGTTTGAGTTTGGTTTTTATTTGAATTTTGGAGTGAGTTTGAATTTATGTGTTTCTTTTGTGTTTGAATTTGAGTTGGGTGTAGAGAGTTTTGATGTTTATTGATTTGATGCTAATGTATATAATAATATAAATATGTATTAGTTTGTATAATTTGATTATAAATTTATTTTATATATGCATATATATTTATAAATTTTTATTTATATTATAAAAAAATTTATTTGTTATAAAATGACATATATATTATAATTTTATTAAATTATAATATTATAAAATTTTAATTTGAAATTTATAAATAAAAAAAAATAAAATCAAACCATTAGGTCCTTGCAACTGTCTCTCGATCAAGTGAAAAACAGACCCTTTCCCAAAATCGCCAAAGAAAAACAAGTCTTTAAAATTCTATATTTTTGTAAAATTAATTTATCTTAATTATAAATAAATAAATAATTGTTTTATATATTTATATTATTTAAAATTTTATTCTTTAAAAATAATATATATACATATTTTATATTAAAATATAATATTTAAATACATATTATAATTTTATTTTAATTATATATATATTGATTTTTATTTTAAAATGAGTAACGATACTTTTTATAAAAAAAAAATATATTATAAAATAAAATTATAATTCATTATTATTAAAATTCCAATGGGATATAGAGTGTATCAATATTTAAAAAAACAAAAAAATAAATAAATAGGGACGAAAAAAAGTAAATTTTATATAAATAAACCCTAGCAATCAAATATCAAGTTTCAACACTCAAACATCGCCTCTCCTTCCCAGTGTCGTTCGTCCCCTCCCCCGCTGCAGCGTCGTCCTCTCCTTCTCTTTCTCCTGGATTCACCGCCTGCAGAGTTTTCTTCCGCCGCCGCTGCGTGTTCCTCAACAGAGTTGGTCATTCTCATTCGGTAGGCAGTCTTTCTTCCGCCGCCGCTGGGTGTTCCTCTCACTCGTTTATAAATCATACGCGATATTCTCTTTCTCTCTTTTATTCGCGCTATTCGACACTTCAGTGCCTTATTTGATTTCATCATTATGTTCTTTGATTACTATTAGGCTAGCTACTTCAAAATTTTGACTATATAAATCTATTAACTCCATTACGATGATGGAAATTTAATCTTTGACATTTATTTTTTTTTTATGAACCGTATTTGTAAAAATAATTATATAGTATAATCTTTCGTTTTTTACTTGTAAATAAAGCTTATAAGATGTATGATTTGAGTTCGGAGCTGTAAAGTACCTAAATTATCTGTAGAATTTGTAATAGTGAAATTAGCATTAATATTTTAAGAAAGAAATTTGAATCCTGTCCAATTCATAACTTGGAATCGAAGCACAAAAATAAATCATAGTTGCATCTTGCATTATTATATCTACTTAAAGAACATAGATTCCATTGAAGATCTTATAACTAAGTAGATGCCAAATTTGATAATCAAAATTTGTTTAATGGCAATGATCATACTCCATAAAATGAATTGCTGAGGTAACTCAGTTGGCTTCTAATAGATGTTATAGCTAATCAAATGTGGCTAGATTATGAAAATGATCGTGTAGAATAAATAGCATGTAATTTTGCATTTGTTTTTCTGGGCGTGGATTAGGTGCTGACCCAATCGAGTCAACATATCACATAAAAGTATGCAATATATATTTTTGTATAATACAATAAATGTTATGTTATAAGATATCATATGCTGAGCTATAACATAACATATGATATGATTGTATACAATATATGTTTATTAATTTTATGTGATATGCTGATTTGATTGGGTCAGCACTGGATCCGCAACGTGTTGATTTAATTGTTCTTTTGTCTTTTGCTTAACTGTCTTTTTGTTTTAATTGTACTAGTGACATTGAATTCTTTCAGTAATGATTTGCTTGTATTTTATCTTAGTTAATTATTTGACTTGTTTTTTGCCATGGTATACTTTTTCAAATAGCATCATGTCTCCGAAAAAGCAACCATCAATTAATTTTAACTGGACGCGACCTATGGATGATGCTCTTGTTGATGCATTCCTACGTGAGTTCAACAAAGGAAATAAAGTCAATGGTTCATTTACTTCTACGGCATATCAAAATATTGTTGCAAAGTTAAGTGCTATATTTGATCTTAACACTGACAAAGAGAAGATAAAAAGTCGTTAGAAAATGTTGAAGAAGAACTTCTCGGATGCTCACGATATATTTCAAAGTGGTACGAACGGATTTACTTGGAATCCTTCTACTCAATCGTGGAATGCCAAACCGGGAGTTTGGGATGCTTTAATAGAGGTTTGTTTTAAATATTTACCGTTTTCACTACCAATAAGTTCAGTTAAATATGTTTAACGATTGTGTGACTTATTTTTATTCTATTCTATTTTATCTTTTTATAGTCAAAACCTAAAGCTGCATATTGGAGGAATAGATTTTCCCACACTATGAGAAAATGGTGATAATTTATGGTAATGACCGAACAATTGCAGAAGGTGCTGAAACTCCATCAAATATAAGAAAACACCAACAGTCAACTAGTGCAAAAGGCTTTGTTAGCGTCGAAGACTTGAATAATTTATTTGCTCAAAATGAGGCGACTTTGGATGATAGTCATACTTTCGATGACTTCTCTACGGATGATTTGTGTAATTTATCAGCTCACGAAAGCAATTGACAAAATCCGTTACGCGAAGCAACTAGTGGAAGCAAGAGCGAAAAGCAAAAAAAGTTCAAAGGGAAAGGCAATGAAATTAAGGAAATCGGAGAAGGATTGAAAGAAGTGGCAAAAGCAATACAACAAAGTAACACTATAATGGAAAAGATTGCCAATGTTATGGAGAAGAAAGTGAATAGTAATGCACTTTCTGGAGAACAAATTTGGAATTTGATAAAGGGATGCGGAGTTGTTGAGGAATACTTGGTTCGAACTTATTGTTTTCTCATGAACAATCCGAATCAACTTCGTGCAATTATTGAGTGTCCACTTGATGTCCGAAAGTCTGGTGTTTATCTTTTTTCCTATTATTTATATTTATAGAGTTTGATAAAATGTAAATTTGTAGTTTTTTTTTTTTTTAATGAATAGTTCAAAATTTAAGTTTTTTCTTAGTTCTATTAAAACTTTTTCTTTGGTGCTATCTAAATACGCTGATAATCTTATTCAAGAGCGAAATCACAGTGCAAGATTGTCGTTTCCTAGTATAAATAATAATTTTGTTTTGGGATAGAAAAATTAAAAAATGATAATCTTTTCACTGAAACAAATGGAGTATTATTTTTGTTTTTTATTTAAAAAATTTAATCAAAATTAGTATTATTAAAAAAAAATATTTTCATTAATTTTGGCAATCCGAATGGACAACGATGATTCAAATGTAATGGAATGTGGCATGGAAGCTGATTTGGACTAAACACATGTGTGTTTCGGTGCTACATTAAACGGTCAGTTTTTCTGATAATTTTTTAATTATAAAATTAAAATTGATAAATTTAGACCAATAAGTTTTTTTTTTCAAAAATACTTTTATTTTATGTTCATTCTCTTGAACCAAACGCATAAAGCGGCGGCCTTCGAATCCTTCTCTCTTTCTATATCTCTATATATAAATACTCATCCGTTGGATCGACCGGAGGGAATTGTCGCCGGCGAATTCTGCGCAGGCGTAATGGAGGATGAGGCGGAGATATACGATGGGGTCAGAGCGCAGTTCCCTTTGACATTCGGTAAGCAATCCAAGTCTCAAACCCCTCTCGAAGTTATTCACAAGGCAACTCGTCGGAGTGAGGCTGCTGCCGGGAGCTCTAGTGGAGGTTCTGAAAATCGTTTCACATCGAGCTCTGGGGAGAGTACCAATGCGCTTCCTTCTCTATCTGGCTCCTCTAAGGAGTGGCTTGAATCTTTCAAAAACGCTAACCCTAGAAATTCGAATAAGGGTTCGAAAGAGGGTAAATTGATTGGACCTTCGAGGCCGCCTCCCGGAAGTGAAGTAGCGGATGAAGAGGATGAGAAAATGCTTGGGCCGCCGAGGCCAGCTGCCGGCGGCGATCCTGAGGATGCTGATCCCATGGTTGGACCGCCTAGACCTCCTCCTGGCGAAGCTGATGATGAACCAATGATTGGACCGCCTAGACCTCCTCCTCTCGGCGATATTGACGACGAACCGATGATTGGACCGCCTCGACCAGCTCCAGGCCAGGTAGAAACTGATTCTGAGGAAGATATGGATGACGAAGGCGAGGGTTCTGGATATCGAATTCCGTTGAGTAACGAGATTGTCTTGAAGGGGCATACCAAGGTAAGTATCTAACAGCTGATTTATCTGTAATCTTGCTTAGGGTTTAGCATTTGGAATGAAATTCTGTTCTCAATTACAAAGAATTTATGTTTGGAATCGGATTGGCAGGTGGTCTCAGCTCTTGCTGTGGATCAAACAGGTTCTCGTGTGCTGTCCGGAAGCTATGACTATACAGTTCGAATGTATGATTTCCAAGGGATGAATGCTCGTCTTCAATCCTTTAGACAGCTTGAACCGTTTGAAGGTCATCAAATTCGTGGCTTGAGTTGGAGTCCTACTGCAGATCGGTTTCTATGTGTAACTGGCTCGGCTCAGGCTAAGGTCATTAGGCTGTTATTATGTTCCTTTTGTGGTCTCAGGCAAAAACATGTTGAGATTTTGCTGATATTTTTGCTGCCTTGGTGCAGATTTACGATCGTGATGGACTTACACTGGGTGAGTTTGTCAAGGGGGATATGTATATTAGAGACCTTAAGAATACTAAAGGCCACATATCTGGATTAACTTGCGGAGAATGGCACCCTAAGGCTAAAGAGACAATCTTAACGTCGTCTGAGGATGGTTCGCTGCGAATATGGGATGTAAATGATTTCAAGAGTCAAAAGCAGGTCAGTGTTTTATGTTATCATGTTGTTGTTTTATAACACAGCTGTTGATCATCACTTGGAGTCACTAGGGGATTATCGGTATTAGTTGGCATATGTGCATAAACCTTGGCAGTTCACAAGCAATAAAATCCCTATGTACACTATAAGATATGTCAAAGGCAATATATGGTTCATCACTAGGCTTTTGAAAGGAATAAAAGTTCGCCATTATTCAATTTCTTAAGTGGGGAAGGATGAAACATGTATATTAGTGGTTTTCCATGCACCGAGTCAAATAATTATCATATTTATGTTTTCGTTCGCACAAGCACAATATGTTTTCATACGCATGCAATGCAATGAACTATGATCCAATCTATTAATTAGGACTTATCTGCTCCCTGTGTGAGAATTGATACTACCTTTCATTTTCTCTCTTTGGCGAGGTCGTATCCAATTACTATTAAGCTCCCAATTTTTATTTTTATTTTTTATGCAACTTGGAGAAAACTTCCAGTTTTGATTTGTGTTATCCAATGCTTTTTTTTGGGTCACTTAATAGGTTATTAAACCCAAACTTTCAAGACCGGGACGAGTACCTGTCACCACTTGTGCCTGGGATCGTGAAGGAAAACGGTTTGCAGGTGGTATAGGTGATGGCTCTATACAGGTACTTCGACATTTTATGTCATACTTTCTGAGAACAGTCATGGTTGATCCTTTTGAACATTAATTTATAGTTATAATTCCACCGCACTCATAGTTATTGCATTTGCTTTTAGAACACAACTAACTTCAATAACATTTCCCTGCAGTTATGGAACACAAAAGCTGGATGGGGAAGCAGACCAGACACATATATTGGAAACGGTCACACGGATGACATTACAGGACTAAAGTTTTCGAGTGATGGACTAATATTGGTGTCGAGGAGCTTCGATGGTTCGCTCAAGGTGTCTACACTATATTCTCTGCAACCGATCTTTTTCAATATTTTATTTATTACCTTTTAAAGGGGTGGTAGCAATTGACCCTTGTTTAGATGTTTTACGCGACATTACCAATTTTGTGCACTAGGTCTGGGATTTACGTCAAGCAAAGAAGCCTCTTTGTGCATTCAACAATCTTCCAAATAATTATGCACAGACAAATATCGCATTCAGCCCCGATGAACAACTTATCTTAACTGGAACATCGGTTGAGAAAGAAAGCACAACAGGAGGTCTGCTTTGTTTTTATGACAGGGCCAAATTAGAACTTGTCTCGAGAGTTGGAATATCTCCCACATTTAGCGTCGTCCAGTGCGCTTGGCAACCAAGACTAAATCAGGTAAACTAAAACTCGGCAAATATGCTAGCATATACCTTTTTTTGCGCGGTCTGGTTGTTTCTTTATCAACTGCCTTTTGGACCAATCTTGATTTCACATTGTTCTGCAATTTGGCAGATATTCGCAACTGTCGGGGACAGACATGAAGGCGGGACACACATACTCTACGATCCAACAATCAGCGAGAGAGGAGCCCTTGTATGTGTTGCCCGTGCACCAAGGAAGAAGTCAATCGATGATTTTGAGGCACAGCCCGTTATCCACAACCCGCACGCACTGCCTCTATTTAGAGATCTACCCAGCCGGAAACGACAGCGCGAGAAGATACTCAAGGATCCGCTCAAGTCTCACAAACCCGAGCTGCCCATATCAGGGCCAGGCCACGGTGGAAGAGTCGGCACCACCAAGGGTAGCTTGCTGACACAATACCTCCTTAAGGTAACTAACACTCCTAAACTCTCTCGCGTATTTCCCAACTCAACTCGACAACCACGTTGTTGACTGACACGGTTTTTATCAATCCACCTTCAGCAAGGTGGCTTGATCAAGGAAACGTGGATGGACGAAGATCCCCGGGAGGCAATTCTCAAGCATGCGGATGCTGCCGCGAAAGATCCTAAATTCATCGCCCCCGCATATGCATCAACACAACCCGAACCGGTCTTTGCCAAGTCCGACTCAGAGGACGACGAAAAATAAGAGGTAACCGGGGATTGTGAGTATTATTTCTCATCCACACTTCACCTTGCATGACATTACATCTCTTTTTGCTTAAGGACGTAGGAACTATGAATAGGAAGAGGCAAGAAATGCACAGGACATTAGTTTTACACATCATTTTCTTCTTGTTAATTTTGTATGCATTGCTTATCTCTTGATGTTTTCACTTGGTTTATATAATATTCCCCATTCCCCTTACTTTTGTTAGTTTTAGTTCATGTAGTTGTATAATTTTAGTAGTGTTTTTTAATTTTTGAAATGATTTTATAGATTGAATTTGAGATAATTCTATGACACAAGTGGCCAAGGTAAAGGATTTGTTGGATAATCTTAAAGAAACGGTTTTCGTGGGAGGATTATATGTGAATGCCTTCGGGTTTTGAGGCTTCGCAGGGCAGTAAATGTATGTCGTATACAAAAATCTCTTTATGGTCTACGTCAAACACCTTTTCTAATTTATCTATTGTTTTGAAAAGATATGGTTCTCGCCAGTTTTCTTCGGATTATTCTTTACTTACTCTAATTCGTGGTTCTATTTAGCTATCTATTTTGGTTTATGTTGACAACATGGTGATAGGGAGAAACAATGGGCCAGCTATCCAGACATATTTGGGTGTGTTTGTTTAAGGGTTTAGATTTTGGATTGAGATTTGAATAGTAAAAAATTTGAATTGGAATAGTCGTATGATGTGATATAACTATGCATTGATACGATGTTTTGAATGTAAAATTGATTTTTAGTATAATATAAAAAATAAAAATTAAGTATTTGATTTGATATTTTTGGGGGAAAATTTTTGCATGAATAGTGTAAATTCCCTCAAATTCTTCAAACAAACACCCCCTAAAGACTATCCACACGAAGGATTTTGGCGTTCTTTGCTATTTTTTTGGAGTTGAGGTTGCCCGAAATAAAAGGGTAAGTTTTCTCGCCCTCGGCATTATAAGTGAAATAAGTGTGTTGGGGGCCAAATTGTCTAGTGTTCATCATCATTTGACAACAGTCGCATTTACTGCTCTAATGCACAATTCGGAGAAATATCGGCGGCTAGTTGGCAGATTGATTTATTTGTCTCTTACTCATCTAGAACTAACCCTACGGTGTGCATGTGCTTGTCCGGTTCATGCATGCACCTATAGAAAGATCACCGGAATACTGCCTTGAACATGGTGCTATACTCAAGGTACAGTGCATTTCTTTTTGGTTCTAATAGTGATTTTTGCTTTCTGTGCTTGTGATTTCGATTATGACGGGTGCCCATTCATATGTTGTTTAGTCGCTAGTCTTCTATTATGATTCCGATTGTGCTGGATGCCCACTCATAAGTCGTTTAGTCACTAGTCACTTGTTAACACTTTTCCAATTGTTTGGAAAACAAAGAAGCATCGTATAGCTTGATAGATATGTCAAGTATGACTATGTGTGAATTAAAATGGCTCTAGGGATTTGCTACCCCGTTTTGGTATATTTTATGTTTCCTTTTTGCTATAGTCAAATTAGTTCTTCATGAACTTAAAAAATACATTGAAAAAGACTCATTTCATTTGTGATGCCTTCTTTGATAGTTTTCTCTCTCTCTTGTCAATTTGAACCTTTGGGATCTTCATGCACGATACCATGCACCAATTTGAGGGTAATAATTTGGAAAATATTTTGTAGGACATTTGGAGTGTGTTTATTGTGTTTTTGGATAAATTTATTTTTTTTAGATACAAAGAATCCGCTATAGTTATTAAAGAAATAGTATGTATATATTGTATTTTTTGTAATACTTATGAAAAAAAAAAATAGGTGTACAAACTGTACCTACTTTTAGGGGTGGGCATGGGTCAGAGTATTTGCAAATATGCAGATATTTGATAACCGAACCGAAAAAAAATATCTGAAATTGTAAATCGTATTCAAATCAAAAATTTCGGATAATCGAAAATATTTGTAATATTTACAAATAATTCAAACTGAAATTAAAAAGTAATTAAAATTTTAATTAAATCAAAATATTTCAAAAGTTCGAATCGGTTTTTTGCCTACCCCTACTTACTTTGCATTAATAAGTGGTATATTTATCTATTGTATTTTTTGTTATTTTGTAGGATAATTGGTATACTTTGCATATTGTTGTATATTTTCTATATGTATGTATATATATGTATATATGTTTTGTAGGATATTTCCTTGCAAAGATTTAAGATATCTGTCTTTTAACATGTATATATATAAATTATAAAATTATTTTCAATCATTTCAATATAGACATTTGTTTCCAATTAAATATATTTTGATTATATATTATAAGTAAATTTGAATTTATGTTTACTTATATTAATTTGAATATTAGGTTAAAATAATTTTTTTATATATTATATAAAAAAATATTGTTAATTATTATAAAATATAATATTTTTTTAAAAAATAATTATAGAATGGTGAACAATCTCGTGCAAAATTATATTAGATTAAATCTAATACTCCCTCCGTCCAATTAGAAAGTATATATGTTTTTATTTTGGGACGTCCAATTACAAAGTAAACATTTCATTAAATACCTTACTTTTTTCCACAAATATCTCTACTTTACATCACATCATTACTTTTACACCAAAAAACAAGAGCAAAAATATCATTACACTACTTTTAACTACCCACTATAATTAAAATACTATTATTTCTTAAATATTGCGCCAAAAGTAATTGTATACTTTTTTTGTGGACGGAGGGAATATTAAATAAAAAAACGAAATAATTAAGAAATTAGAAAGAAATAATAGTATATATAATCTTACAATTTACAAGGGGATGAGTATAATTTATAAAAATATTTCAAATAAAATATAAATTATATACTTATTATTTAAATACCATAATTTTCTATTTTTTTAAATAAATAAATATAAATTAATTATATATTAAAATGAAAATAGAAGAATTAACATTAATAATAAAATTTCTCCGTATTTATAGAGATTTTTTATGTGGTTGGTCCCTTTGTCTTTACCCTCCCTTAGGATGAGGGTCTTGTATAGAAACGATCAAAATGGTTCGTCTAGCGTCATTTTTTCGTCGGGCTTGGTTTGCAGGATATTAGGTTCGATCGGGGTTTACCCAGTGCACACTTTTGGATAGCGACTGCGGATTTTCACGTCATAAAAAAAATATGCATATTATTTACATAACTAATTTAATTATTTTATTGTGATTTTAAATTAATTTAAAATAAATGAGTGGATTGACTGGCAGCTGCTAATGCAACAAAAAAATGTGCATATTATTCCCATAACTAATCTAATCATTTTAATATGGTTTTAGTAATATAAAAGATAAATTCAATACCAACAGAAATTTTTCTAATTTAGTAATATAAAAGATAATCCGTTGAAATTTTAAAATATATATTTTTTTAACGCTAAAAAATAATAATATTTTAATTATAGTAGATAAAAAAAATTAATGTAAAAATAATTTTGTTGTTCATAAAAATAAGTGAAATACATAAGTATTAAAAAAACAAATTATTACTTTAAAATTAAATAATCTAAAATACAAATGTACATGTGAATTGATGGAGAGAATAGTATTTTATGTTGAATTTTTTTTTTTTATGAATTAATAGAATATATATTGTGCTTATGTAAATATATATTATGTAGCACATATGTCGAAAATACATGGATGCTGCTGAATTATTTTAGTGGCAAATATGCACCTATACATATATATATATGAATCGATGAAATAAAAAGCGAAGAATTCATCAATTAATTTTCATACTTTCTTTAACTCTTTTTCTTTCTCCGTAGTATTTATCTCTCTGTATCAAGCATATATACATATCTTATAATATATGTAATTACTAATTACTATTATAATATTTATATCATATATAAATATATACAATTATATACCATTATATAAGCATATATATATATATAAAATATGCGCATATGTATATTATATATATAATATATTATTAGTGGTTGACGGTAGAGATAATTAATATTTCTATTGCCTAATTATATTGTAATATTACTAACACTCCTATGTATTTTTGTAATATTTATAAGCGTTGGTCGCACGAGAATTAAAAAAATGAATATTTTATTAAAAGAGTGATAGGTAGTTTGGAGTATTTTCAAAAATTTAATTAAAAGTAAAGTAAATAAAAAGATAATGTAATAAAATTAAAATGATTTATTGTAAATAAGTATTGAGTAAAGAATAAGAATTAAATATTAATTTATTGATTTAGGGGCAAACTAAAAAAAAGTGAAAATAAAGTGGAAGAAGTATTTTAGAATGGCATTATGCCTCTCGGCCTTTAAGAAGCAGTGTTTATTTTAGAATGGGCTTTTTGGGCCTTTAAAATATTGGCAATAACAATGGTTATTTTAGAATTTTAGAATGGGCTTTTTGCGTTTAAAAAGCAAGACGAACAGTTATAATGGTCAGGATAATAAAAAATGAAAAAGAGAGTCGAAACTGCTCTCAACGCTTATTCCGATGGAGTCGGTGGTTGATTCGGTTCAAGGCGCTGAGAAAAGGTATGCAAAGTCAAGTATCAACGCCTTCATATGTTAGGGTTTTTTCATAGCAATTTGCAGTTTTAGTTTTACTTTTCTCTTTGCAAGCAGTTAGCCGCTCGTCGTCTCGTTTTGTACGCAGGTTTGTGCTATAGCTGCTGTTGTTGTTGTTTAAACATATCTTGTTGTTTGTTAAGCTGGAGGCACGATAATCTGCTCTGTTGTAATATTGTGATTCGAGAAATTACTGGAATTTCGTTAGGTATGTAGCCGATTACAGTTTCTGATGTGTTTATTTCGCTATTATTCTGCAGAATTGGGGATTTTTAGGCATTTTAGCTACTCTATGTGGAGTAGCAAGTGTAATTTACTGAAGGAATTTGTGAGAGTGAGTTTTGATGGAAAATCCTTATCCTTTGATACTTGATATAAGCTCCGATGAGGAATCAGGTTTCGGTAGAGGCGGTAAAGGCGTGGGATGTGATATTGGAAGGGAAGAATTGACAGAGGACGAAGATTGTTATTGGCTGGCTCGGCTGTTGGGTGAGGTGGATGGGAATAAGGATGATGAATCTGATGAAGTGGTGGTGTTAAATGAAGTTTTACCGAAGCTGTCGAAAAAGGCGAGGATCGAATCGGCGATACCGTCGAGGATAGTTGGGGATGGGAGCAATGATGATGATGATGATGATTGTGTGGTTTTGGATGCGGATCCGGATCTGGATCTGGATCCGGCGAATGGCAAGGTCGGGAATGATGAGAATGGCGGAAATGACGAGGGCGATGATTCCGATGACGTAGAGATTGTCGGCGAGAAGGGTGAGGTAATGATTATTGATTGATGTTGATAATTGTCTGTTTTTTTGGTATGTTTTGAAATATGATTGTGTTCGCTAATCTTTGATTGTCCCTAAATGAATTTTAGGTCTTTGAGTTAGTGGTGTGTTTGTATTCGTTTTGGATATTGATGATTGATTGATGTCGATTGTGTAGTGTAGTAGTTGAGGTTAATCTATATGATAATCGCCCTTTTTTGATATGCCTCGACATAAGATTGTGTTTGCTAATCTTTGATTGTTCTTCGATGAATTTTCCATTGTATTGTTTAAGTGGGCGAGGATCTCTTAGTTAGTAATGTGTTATTCATTTTCGATATTGATGATTGATTTATGTCGATTTTGTAGTGTAGATTGCTAGTTTTTGGTATGCGTCGACATAAGATTGTGTTTGCTAATCTTTGATTGTTCTTGGATGAATTTTTTCCATTGAATTGTTTAAGTGGGCGAGGATCTCTTAGTTAGTAATGCTTTATTCATTTTCAATATTGGTGATTGTTTTATGTCGATTGTGTAGTGTAGATTGCCCTTTTTTGGTATGCCTCGACATAAAATTGTGTTTGCTAATCCTCGACTGTTCCTTAATGATTTTTCCATTGTATTGTTTAAGCGGGCGAGGGTCTCGTGTATGCTTCCGAATAAATGCAGCTTTGTGCCCGTTTTCAAGATTGAAAAAGACAGATTTTAAGGGAAGTTGTGTGGTGTGGTTTTTTCATTCTTTTATATGCACTTCCATGTTTCTATTGCACATGTTTTGTAAGTCTTTATAGGTCGGAATGTGTCTGTATATGTCGACGTCCAAAGACTAGATGTTTTTGGCGGGCTTGTTTTGTTAGAACACTTCTACCATTCTGATTCAATAGGCTTCACTCTTCAATAAACGATTTTGTAGTTTATCGATACTTTGTGATACAACGGAATAATTTTCCTAAGTTTATACAGGCTATCTGTTGATGTGAGTTATATCCTTCTCGACTGATCTTTTGTCCCGACTTTGTAGGTTGCGTGCAGAGACTTCCCTCATGCACGGCATCTTTGTGCAAAATTTCCCTTCGCTTCTACTCCACATGAGGTCCATTGCATTCAGGTGATTTTTTTCGAATTTTATCCTCGTGAGTCAGCAGGTTTGTTTCTGAATCATTTTCTTTCACAATTTTCAGTGCCACTGTTACGTTTGCGACTCTTTGGCTCCATGTTCCCACTGGGGCACTGGCGTATCGACTTTCAACCATTGTCACGCTAACGATAAAGAGGATTACTGGATATCCGAGCGGAAAAGGATAAAGCAAGGCGGAAGCGTTCCCCCGTCAGCTAAAGTTACGCCAACTACACAAACTTCCGGCGAAAACTCTCTTCTAGAAGCAATGTACGAAATCCCTCAAGTTCCAGACGTACCCGAGTACAACACCTCTATGCCGAACCCATGTTGGAGTCCAATCCGAATCCGCCCTTGTTCATCCAGTGCTGGTGCGGCAACTGCCGTCAATCGAGCCAGATTAAATCCATCAGGACATGCCCCCTTGCCTCAATCGAACATGGTCTCATTGCAGTCGCATTGTATGCGTAATAACAGTGGAAGCCAAAGTGTTCAGTCCTTCACCCCACATGCACCTTTAAAGCGGCCCGGATCGTCGTCTTTTCCGAATCATCGGCATGTGTCGGGCCTACGATATCATCGAAACCCATATACAAGGAGGTATCATCCTATCCAGACTCCCATGGCTAATGTACGCCACGGTTCTAATCCCGTCGGTATAAGAAGACAAGCTGCAGCTGCTCCGATTTTGCCCCCGATCTTGAGTTCTCTGCCCGGCCCGGCTATTGGGAATGCAAATTATTTACCTTCTCCACCTCAGATGCACTCTAGGCCGTACTCAAGCTACCCGGCTAGAGATACGGTACATTTCTGCCCTCAGATTACACCTCAGTCGAAGTTACCGTCTCAACTCAGTGTGGCAAACTTGGAGAATTTGGTTTTCCGTCAATCTCATGATATGTTCGAGCCGAGCACTCTTGTCCCTTCTCCGAAAACGACTCCTGCTTTCAACCGATTCGATGGGATCACTGATATTGGAAAGCAACTGCATTCGATATCCATGATATCGTCGTCTTCGACTGTGGCGGGAAATAGCTTTGAGAACCAACTTTCCCAGCCAGAAACGCTCCCATCTGTAGTGATGGATGAACGCAATTATACCCGGCAAGGAAATCTGAACCCGACCCGTAATGATTTAGCGAGTCCTACTACTGATTTTGGCAACAAGTCTTTATCCTCTTTCAGCTTTGGCAACCAGGACATCGATGCAGAGGTCTCACAATTTCGAGCTGTGGCGTCGGGTGATATTTCGCAGCAGCAATATTTAACTGAAAATGATGATCGACGTGGAACGGCGGCGGAGGGTTCCTGTCCGCAAGTTGCAGCGCCGGCGGATAATTCCTCCCAAGTAAATGGTACATTCTCGATTGATAACTGGATGTTTGAGAACGATTCTTTTCCAGGAGCTTTTGAAGTTCCTTTATCTCCGTGGAATGAATATTATCCGGATCCTGCTTCTGTAGGCGTAGGCGCAGGTACTCTGTTTGATATTTAAGTATTTCGTAATTGACATGAAAGTCAAAAAGCTCGGATTGAAATCCAAGCTGCTGTGATTGTACAGTAATTGTTATTATTCTTAGACGAAAAAAGGAGTGCCTGCCATCGAGGTTCTTCTTGGTACAGAAGAAAGTCTGTCAAAAGATTTTCTTTTGGAGAATATAACTGCAGAGGATTTAGATTTCTTGTTATCTTATTTACTGTGTTTTAGTTTAGACTTTAAATTCATTTTGCTGTTTTATGTCAGCGCTCGGTAGCGAGCAGAACTCTGAGTCTTACATTGTCACTGCAGGACGGGTAAAAGTCTATTTAGTAACTTGAACTTTGTTATCTTTTCATCTGTTGTTGAATCAATTTCTTGCAGGGCAGATTATGCCGTCAGTTACTTGCCATACCGTTTCCGGGTTTTTTTACATTTTTATTCTCATTGCGGTATCTTAAGTTCGGTGTTGGCATTTTTGATGTTGTGTATCAGGAGCTTTAAGGGCTATCTGAATTTCCGGGTCAGATTTCAGCTCTTTACAAGCTCGCTCATTTAGCCGCAGGTACTCTTTGTTTGTGAGTTATTTCTTGAAGTTCCGCTTTGGCGGGTTTTTGATGATTCCTTTGTTGTTAAGATATGGTGTAACTGCTGGTTGCTAATTATCAGTTGTTGGGAACAGTTATTGAACTGAAAGTTCATTAGCTTTGTTTCAGGCTTATTGAAAGAGATTATTTGGGTGATGCAGCACATGATTTCAATTATCAGATTTGCTTGTTGCGATGATTGAAATTATGTGTTGATAGTTCACACTTAACATGATGTGTGAACTATATGTTATGTGATGTCAGTTAATGTGATTAGTATTTTATCTACCATACGTATATAAATTGCAAAAAATGTATGATAGGTAAGTCCTATTATCATTTTTAGTTTTTCTTTTTTTTTTTTTTTTTTTTTTTTGTATTTTTTCAATAAAAGACAATAGGTCTATCTGAAGCTTTAAAATTATTCTACAGCGTCGGAAAAAGGCACGTGTGCTTCACGTGGCCTCGCCAGAGCCGATGTGGTAGGTGATGTGGCCTTGCCTCCACATCAGCAGCCGAAGGCGAGGCCATGTCACCTGCCACATCGGCTACGGAAAGTTTCACGCGAGTGCTGGCGAGACTATGTCCGCTCATGTGAGGCTCACGTGCCTTGTGACAGGACTATTTTAAGACCTCATAGAGATTTATTGTCCTTTATTGAAAAGATACAAAAATCAAAAATCAAAGAAATGATAATGAGAACTACTTGCAATTTTTCCTATTTGGTATACTATCGGCAGCATTGTGCTGAATTAGAAGTACTGTGCTGAAAGTGTTAATTCAGCATAGAACCGCAACCCACTGAGAGAGTAGAGAGTTGGTCATCCGGTCTGGAAAAACTTTATATAGCACAAGCGCTTCCCAAATATAAGAACAATCTAAACTCCAGTCGAGGCTGGAGCTTATTGAAAGAGCAGAAACTAACTTAAAGACAAACAATCAAGATTCTTACAGCAATCAACCTCGGCGACGAGTCGAGTGCAGGCGAGAGTGAATCACACAGATGGCGGTGGCGCACCAAAAGGCCTGAAGACATTAAACACTGGAATGAATTTTACCGAATGTACGGACAAAAGGAATTGAGTACGGAAAGAAACCAGCTCTGAAGCCAAACCTGCCACCGGTTCAGTTTACACTGTATTGCGCATCATGTGTGCATGTTGAGCACAACCCGGAGACATCCTCCTTCGTGCATCAGGTCGAAGGCCTTGTTTATCTCTGGTAGGGTCGAGTTGTGGGTGATGTACTCGTCGACTTTTACTTCCTGGGATGGCAAAACATACGATCGTTGCGAAAAGGTTTATTATATAAATAACAGCAGAAGTGTGTACAGAGTGGTGCCGAGGTATTTTTGCACTCACTTTCTTCATATACTTGTCGACGAGCCAAGGCACTTGTGTACGGCTTTTGAAACCGCCGAATGCTGTCCCCTTCCAGACCCGGCCCGTCACCAACTGAAACGGGCGGGTGGAGATTTCTTGGCCGGAGGCTGCAACTCCGACAATGACGGATGTTCCCCACCCCTACAGGACTATCAATGTTAGGGACTGAAATCTGGTGCCATTCACACCTTCACTTGTTTACATAACAATTCTATACGATAAGATGAGTATATATACATATATTGTTTACATTTTTCAGAATTTCAAAAGGGTATATTATTAATAATGAAATCGTGGAAATACATGGTGCTCGGCCAGAGAAATATATGGCAATCGTGAGCATCAATAAGTAGGTTTCAGATCTAAGTGGTGGCATTAAATCCGAAAAGAACTCGTGGCATTGTAAAATAGTCAAAATCAAATTAAAGTTAAGCTTTTAATAGAATTAGAGTCGAAAATTACTTTTAACATAGTTAAAATCAAGGCATTTAAAAATTATCAACACCTTTAGAGTCAAAATAGTTAGAGTCAACAGCAAAACTCTTAAGGTCGTTGGTAAATCGTAAACATAGTTAGAGCTCTGAGCGCTATTATATCGGAAGCCAGGCTATGGATATAGTTAGATGCAAATACAAGACTTATTAGAATTATAAACAGATTTGACAGAAAAAAATAAACCAGGCTATGAATACAGTTAGATGCAAAATATAAGACTTATTAAAACCATAAACAAATTTGACTGAAAAAATATAGCAACGAGAATCTCAAATTCAAGAAGCTTCAGAGTATATTCCAGGGGTTGGGTGTACGAATAGAAGTGTGGCTAAGGAATATCATATAGACAGGATAAACTGTATTTATAACACACTATCTAAGATAATAGAAATATAATCTAAACAAAATCTGTGTAGGGTATTTATATTTATATATGTTTAGTAAGTTATTATTAGTTCGAATTTAGTTTTCCATATTTAGGTACTTTTCTATCTTAGCAGTTTTCAATTTACTTTGTATATTATTTTAGCATGTCATCTGTGTGTACTGTTCCAAGTTTACCTTGTGGCAACATTCGAGAGCAGCTCTCATCACAGAGACGTTCCCGATGCACTCGAAACTATAGTCAACACCGCCATCGGTCTCATCCGCAATGACTTGCTGTATTGGTTTGTCGTGATCTCTTGGGTTGATGAATTCCGTCACACCGAAATTCTTTGCTGTATATCAAACAGGATTCAGGTCCAGTGGAACCAAGAAGATGAAGTTATAATATTACTCAGTCCCACACGCCATAAAGAAAGAAAATACATAAAGAACGAGAAATGGCATCTACTTAAGCTTTACAGAACAACTGGCAGAGGAAAGTTAGTCTACATCTATTAACCTAGGGCATGGATCCAGTCGATATATATCTAAATATATTTATAATACTAACATATGTTATATTATGATTCTATCATATATTATATTATGATGTATCATGTGTGACTTGGCCGATTTAGCACAACACACGATCCGCAGTTCAGGAAATAATAACTAACTACACTGCCAAAATACAGGTAATAATTGCCTAAATATGCATTGATTTCATGAGGATTGATTTGTATAATAATAAGAATTCATGCGAGGGGCTTGGAGGAGTTACCAACATCAAACCTTTTGCTGTCAATGTCGACGCCTATAATTCGTGAAGCGCCAGCAGATTTTGCACCCTCTGCAACCTGAATTTAAGCATCGATCAACGCTCAAACTTGATAGCTACAAGAACCATACATACTACATAAAACTCACAGCAAGTCCAACAGTGCCGAGGCCAAAAACAGCAACTACGGAACCTGGTTCTACTTTAGCCGTATTCCAAACAGCCCCGAGACCTACAGCAATGGATGTCGAATGACCAAACAAAAACATTCACAGGATTAAGACCGACAAAGCTTCTTAAATAAAGAACAAGACTACTTAAGCAGTGTGACTCGCCTGTCGGAACACCACAGCCAAGCAGGCACACCTTATCCAATGGTGCAGCAGGATCAATCTTCGCTATGCTGACATTGTGTACAACAGTATACTGACTGAAAGTCGATGTTCCCATGAAATGATAAATAGGTTTTCCGTTGATTGAAAACCGACTCTTACGATCATTCAGCATTACACCAACTCCAGTGGCTGACCTCACTTTTGCACATAGGTTTGTCTTTGCAGATTTGCAAAACTTGCATTCTCGGCATTCTGCCTGGTAGCAGGGGATGACATGATCCCCTGGCTGAACTTCAGTCACATCTTCACCAACACTTTCTACAACTCTGAAATTCAATCAGATGACGATAATGAGCACCAGAAACACACATTTGTATAGAAAGTCAGTTTCAATTGGGGAAACTTACCCGGCAGCCTCGTGTCCCAGAATACAAGGGAAGAGACCTTCAGGATCCTTCAACCATTATAAACCATAGATCAGAACATAAAAAGATACAGTCGATTGTTCGTAATTTTTTTCAAGTTGTACTAGTTTTTCCCATCCTCTCTTCCTCACAAATTTGACAATTATCCAGAGCTACAACTAATCACGAGAATAGATATAAAAAAGGAGACAATATGCAATTCACTGGAGGATATCAAAATTTCCGAAATAGAAAGCATATATAGATTCTCCAGATGTTCTCATTCACAAAAAATAAGCCACAGTTTCAATTCAATGAACCGAAGCTATAGAATTCCTCAAATCAATTTTGAGATTCTACAGTAACAAAGCTCACTCCAATTATCACTGAATCACCTTTCCGCTCCAGGTGTATGCATCGGTATGGCAGAGAGCAGTGAAGAGAACCTTAACTCTGACCTCCCCAGCTTGCGGCGGCGCCACCTGCACTTCCTCGATCACCAGCGGCTTGTTCGGTTCCCAGGCCACCGCCGCTGCGAAAAATCGTCGAAATCCGAATCTATCAAGCACTCGAAACGCGAACAAAGCAAAAATGAAAACAACAGAACCGATCCATACCTTTGCAACTGATTACTTCACCTTGAGTAGCCATCGCCGCGAAGAAGAACGCACGGACAGATTATTGGAGCGAAGACTGTGTGCAGTCAAGATCAATGCGCACCAAATGACTGAACGTGTCTCTCTCAGCTCGTATTTATACCCTCATGTGGATCGCAGTGCATCATTCAAATTATCTACCTCATCAACACTCTACAGTTCCGATGATACTATATTTTACAGTTTGACTATTAACATCGGAATTTGAACTCATTCACGGTCAGTCGAAATTCAAACTTAATAATCTCATGATTATAATTACAAGTTCACCCTCCATGCTACCAAACCGTCCCGCAAGAATTATTATAAATTTATTATGTGGAGTAAGAATATCATTACAATAATTTCCTTGTAGTATAGTAACTATTTTGGTGAGAATTATTATAAATTTATTGTGTGGAGTAAGAATATCATTACAATAATTTCCTTGCAGTATAGTAGCTATTTTGAAACGTCACTGCGGTCGATGTTTGCTTGCAGTACAAAACAACAAGTTAAGTTCTATTGGTGCGTGCAGCACACGTGCTGGTATGGAGCGTGGAAATACAAGCTCCGTTCATCTGCAGGATGGGCCAGTGTGGTGGTGGTCCGACCGCCATTAAAGCCTCTCCACCACGTCTTCAGTAATCTCTCTCTCCGACGACCACATTTCCGGCTGAAGCTGCCGAATATCCTCTCTCTGATCTCTCCAAGATCCATTTCGCATCTCTCACGCTTTTCCTCCGCCGTACGGTGGAGGATTGCACTCAGACCACGCGCATATTTCTGGATCTTCCGCGTGTCGCGTGGATTACCCGCATTGTGGTTATTGAATTAGGGTTTTGGCATTTAGTATGGTTTAAACTGCGCGGAATTGCTTCGTTGGTGCTCTGGGATCGATATGCGAACCTTGTGGTTCTCGAGAGCAGTTAATCGGAGCTGCCGTGCGCGGGAATTGCATCGCCGGAATACTGAGCTCGTCCGCCGTCCTTTCGTCGTCGTCTAAGAAAAAATGTTTGCGAATTTCATCCCGGAGAAAGACGATGATTCTTTTGATTCTGCCTTTGCTCATCTCGCTTCCTGTCAATTTCGGTAATTCCCTCATTTCTTTCGACTGCTTATCTTGAATTTTTTGCTTCGGATTCTTCGCTACAAGTTAAAATGTCAGATGAATTTGGGGATGCTTTTACAAATACTTTAATTAAACGTGATCATCAAATAACCATCCAGCACTTTTTCCTCAGAATAAAATATTGTTATCTCCCAGTAGAATAATCCAAAATTATGTTTGTTTAAGGTTTTATCCACCTTTTCCTACGAACAATTGCAACATACTTTTTAATCATTAAGGTTTTATCATCAATTTGTGTTTGACCTAATCTGCCGCTCTGCTTACTTCGTAAATTTCAGATGATCTATTGCTGCAATAGTTATAAATACTCTATTTCATTTCTACTCTTATTCTATTGAAGAACTTCATTATGCAGGGACTGCTCTGCAAGAGTTCCATTCATCTCCACCTCCATCGCCCTGGCCACTTCTTGCCACAGAGAATCATCCAGAACATGGTAAGTTTCTATCTCAATTTTATTTTGGGGGGTTTAATTCTTTCATATAAATTGCTCTTTTGATAGGCACTGATTAGATGTATGCATAATAGAGTGAATGGGTAAAATATGGCAATGACAGTCACTGGTTGGATTTTAATTTAGATTTATCTTTTCTTTAGTTTGTTTGATGCATTTTATGCCATAGCATAGTGCAGCAATCTTTGAATGTGACTAATGTGGAAGATGCATGACTGCTGAGTTGCAGTGACCACGACATTGATGAGTGCATGGCTGGCTCATTTCATTGCTGCCCGAAAGCTCCATGTTAAGTATTTATCATCTTCACCAGCTCCAAGTCCAGTTTCACAAGGTATTTGAGATGTTATTGTTATATCTAAAATTTCAGAATACTATACATATATATATTTATATTTTTATTGCCTTAAGTTATTAATTCAAATAAGTTCCTGGATATCCGACAAATTTCTTGAAGATTTAGGGTGTGACATTAAAGTTTGGATATGGGATAGTAAAAAATTAAATTGAAAAAGTGTTTGATGTAATGTTTTTTGATGAAACTTTGATTTATCTTTTTTTTATGTAATACATTAAATTAAAAATAGATGTTTGATTTTATGATTTTGGGGGGAAGAAAAATTGATTAATAGTACGAGAACAAAACCAGACCTTAAAGAATAAATTAGAAGTCATGCATTGTTAATTGCCCTCAGAGTCACTCGTGACCGTGAGATCATGGGTTCAAATGCTCGGTCTTCAGATCTTGTCTGCCACACATGAGTTCCCTAGTGTGACTTGGTTTGTCGCCTTATTTTGCAGGCTATTAGGTTCGATCGGAGTTTACCCATCCTACCTCATAAAAAAATAAATAAAACAAAAAAAAAAAAAAAAATAGAGCTGTTACTATTTCATACATATATATGAAGTCACATCAATGGGCACACAATCTGCAAAAGTCCCCCATATTTTCCTAAACCTTATAAGTTATCACACTTTCATGCTTGATGTACAAAGACAGAGGCATTTGAGACTGTTATTACTCTGCAGATTGCAGTCATACTTGTGCACTGCCGCTTACGGCAACCCCATTTGGTTCGCCATGTTTCTGTGTGGTTCCAATGAGAGTCAAACTTCTGCTAGGGGTGCCCCTTTATTCTATCTTTCCAGTTGTCACCGAGTTAGAGATTGAAGTTGCAGCGGGAACCTATCTCATGCAAAGTCAAGTGAGGATAATGGGTGCTATTTCTGATCAACAAGATCCGCAAAGAGCTGTGGTCGATTTGAATTTAGTTCCTCTTGGGGAGAAGTTTGATAATACAACTGCTATACTCACTTACCAAAGATTTTTCTATAAGAAGGTGGTCCTCAATCGAACCCTTTTTGGTGATTATGATGTAATATACATCGACTATCCAGGTAACCCTGCTTTATCTGTATTTGACATAGTAGCATCACTTGATTTTCATTGCAAATAGTGAGTTTACTTTTCACAGGGCTGCCTTCTTTACCAGTGTCTGGTGGTGGTTCATCTGGAAGCCCTGGAAATGTGCTGGACCCTGTCTCCGTAAATCTTCCTAGCAAACGTCACAAAAAGAACATAGGAATAATCCTTGTCATTGCTTTCTCTACAATTGCGTTCTTGGCTGCTTGCGTTGCTGCTGCTGCTGCTTTATTAAAGTGCAGGAAAGTGCAGAGACCTTCCAAGACTGCCGGTCTCGTTTTAACATCTTTGAACAGAAGATCAGGTATGCCTACTCTAGTTGAATTTATCCAGAATTACCTACAATTAACATATGCTTTAGTAATGTGTTAGGGACTGAAATAGAAGTACATTCTTGATACTTTTGAGCATGCCGAGCTTTTCCATGTTTATTAGTGCCTGAAGCTAAAATAGAAATCTATGTTACGGTGATGTACCCGACTTGGAATTTAGGAATTGATCGTATCCATGATTGGCAATGAATTCATGTAGGAAATGAAGTTTATCAGGTGTTGTTCCCTACAATCTTCTTATCCATCCATGGTTTATTCGCAAAACAATAAAAGAAAACAAACTTCTACATTTAATCGACCATAAGTTGAGATTGCCTTTCATATGTTGTCAAAACATGCGCTGTTTATTTTCATAAGTGTTTTGATCTACTTTTCTGTTGTTTCAAATTTCATTTTGCAGCGGTAGAGTCAATGTTATCAAGTAGCCCGGCCAATTCACCATCAGCTGCCATTGATTCTGCTCTGCCTCCATCAATTCTCTCTGTTAAAATGTTTACCCTGGCAGAGCTCAAAATAGCTACCGAAAACTTCAGCTCGAGAAAGTTATTAGGTGAAGGAGGGTTTGGCCGGGTTTTTGAGGGGACCATGCAAGGCGGTAATACGGTTGCTGTAAAATTACTGAAAAGGGACGATCAAAATGGAGACCGTGAATTCATTGCTGAGATTGAGATGCTAAGTCGGTTACATCATCGTAACCTTGTAAAATTAATTGGAATGTGCATTGATAAATCCGCACGTTGCCTGGTCTACGAGCTAGTTCACAATGGCAGCGTCGAGTCCCATTTACACGGTGTACTTTCCTTACATCTTGCTCGGTTTTCTTTCAAATGTGCATGATATTCCCAGATTATAATCCTGTGGCTGATTTATTTTTTTCTCAGGTGCTGACCGGAGCAAGGGCATTCTTGGCTGGGATGCACGGCTGAAGATTGCTCTAGGTGCCGCAAGAGGATTGGCTTATCTTCATGAAGATTCCAACCCTCGAGTCATTCATAGAGACTTCAAAGCTAGTAACGTGTTACTAGAAGATGACTTCACCCCTAAGGTTTCGGATTTCGGTTTGGCCCGCGAAGCTACGGAGGGAAGCCGGCATATATCTACCCAAGTCATGGGAACTTTCGGGTACGTTTCTTTCACGCAAAGCTCTATTACGCTTAACATTAAGGGTGGATACGGTTCGGTTATTTGCAAATATGCAGGTATTTGATATTCGAACTAAACCGAACTAATATCCGAAACCGTGAACCGTATCTGAATCGAAAATTTCGGTTAACCGAAAATATTTGTAATATTTGCAAATAACTCGAACTGAACCGAATTAATAAAATATATATTAAAAATAATTAAAATTATAATTAAATAAAAATATTTGCAAATATTTCAAATATCCGAATCGAATAGAATATAATTATTAGTATAAATTTTAAATATAATAATATAAACATATGCGATTCGGTTAAAAAAATATCAAAAATTGAAACTGAACTGAATCAAACAAATATCAAATAAGCGGTATTTATATTCGAATCAAATTTGTTCAGTCCAGTCCGGTTCGATTTTTTTGTCCACCCCTACTTAACATTATTTTGATTTTTTTTCTCAATAGATTGTTACATTACGACTCGAAAATGTGACCTGCAGATATGTTGCTCCTGAATATGCGATGACGGGACATTTGCTAGTCAAAAGTGATGTATACAGTTACGGCGTTGTGCTACTGGAGCTGCTCTCCGGCAGAAAACCCGTCGACATGTCTCAACCTCCGGGACAAGAAAACCTCGTCACTTGGGCTCGACCGCTGCTCACTAATCCGGTCGGGATCGAGCAATTAGTGGATCCCACCTTGGCTAGGACATTTGATTTTGATGATCTTGCAAAGGTTGCTGCGATTGCCACGATGTGTGTCCACCCGGAGGTGTCTGAACGACCGTTCATGGGAGAAGTCGTGCAGGCGCTCAAGCTCATATACAATGACACGGACAAGACAGGCGACGACGAGTGTAGTCCGCAGGTATCGGGTGTCGATGATTTGGAGCTCAGAGGTAATCTCGATTTATCCGAAAGTAGTTGGTGGAATGCGGGCGATCTTATTCCTTGTCGACAAGCCTCGACTTTTACGACGATGGAGTACTGTTTGGATGTGGTCGACAGCCTGATGTTCCCGACGATGAACGGCAGCCAAACCGATCCTCCGGGAACGATGAGGTGCAATCCGATATTTTCTGGGTCGACGAGAAGTATTTCGTCGTCGTTTTAAGGGGCGCGGAAAAGCTATGTACAGCATCGAAGCACGAACCGGATGCGCGACGATGTCATCGATATAATCTTTATTTGACGTCGTGTTGATGATCGTTTGTCTGAGGATCAAGATCTTCTGTAGTCGATTCAAGTTGAAATGGCCATTTCAATGACAATAGCCAAACTGATTTTTTATCTGACTGAATGTAGTTAGCAAAGCTCAATTTTGATGAATCCATTCCTAGTAGGATTTTTCTTTCGTCCCGCTAGAATTGAATCACCGTTCCAACCCAAAAACTTTTCTTAAAACGGACCCCAATGCCTTAAATCAAGTCCATTCATGACCTTGATACATTTATTAAGGTTGAAAAGAAACTACTTTATATATATATATATATAAAATGTGAAAATCCGTGTGCTCTCGTAAATTTTTTCGGCCGAATCTAATAATATACAAATTAGATTTAACAAAACAAATCACATTAAACGAACTATGTATGACGGAGCCGGTCGAATAAATTTGTATATGTGGGACATTCTATCTTTTCCACTTCTTTAGTGTCTATGATTAAGTTACCCTATCCTCAATGTATTGTGCCCCTCGTATTCCCGACCGATCATCATCCGCCGCCATGTGTATTTTTAAAACAAAAAACTTAATAAAATAAAAAATTTAAATACACATGAGAGTGACGCAATAAACATAATAAGACATTTTTATCAGTCATTTGCAGTTGACTTATGTCCACCAAAGTCGATGCACACTCCCTTTCCACCCAACATTCCAACAAACACAAAATAACCTTAAACTTAAAAACCAAACCGCCCATCACAACACTACACAGACAACAAACAATACACAAGACAAGACAACCAACAACAACAACAATAAAAAACACTCTAACCACAAAATGTCAAAAGTCCCAACCCAACAAATCCCAAATTCCCAATTCCCAATCACAACATACTGTCCGCATTCGTCGGCAATCTCTTGAAAAAGCTCACGGCGCTCGACGGCATCTTGTTCCTGAACTTCGGCGGCCTCAGATAATACAGCCCCGCCGCCGCCGCCGCCCACCGTATCGGCACCAAATAAAACCCGAACGCCGCCAACAAACACGCCACCACGAACAAGAACGTTGCCCTCGGGTCTCGCCAGCTCAGCAGCGCCTGAAACCGCTCCCCCTGCGTCGCCATATCCCCGACCACCGTCTGAATCCTCCCGGCCACGCTCCTCAGCCGGTCGTACCGCATCCGAATCAGCTCCGCGTTCCGCGTGCTCGGGAACGAGTCGAACTCCTCGTCCAGCTCGTCGGGATGGACGCTCTCCGCGTATGACAGCCGCGTGTCCATGTGCGGCGGGTGTCGCGACCGCGATTTGTACCGCCACAGCCCTGTCGCGGCGAGAGCGAGAAACCCGCACGGGATGATCAGCTCTGGGACGAGGACGAGGACGACGAACGATGTCGAGAATAGCGCCGAGTAGACGGGACGGTTCCACGTCCTCAGCGACTCAACCGATCGGTTTGTTGCGATGAACCACGATAGCACGTTCGTTAGCCGCAGGAAGTTCGCCTTGCTCTTCCGCATGCTCCACATGTGCGAGTCGTGGTCGAGCATGTACTCGACGACTTCCCGGCCAAGCGGCGGCTCCGCCCGGCTAAGCCGCATCGCCACCACGCTCATCGCCTGGAAACGGAGCGTCTCGAGCTGGCTCACCGACAACGGCTGCACGTAGTGCATCTTCGGGAGCAACGGAGCGGCGTACATGTGCAGGACATTGAAGATGTTCGCGCACGACAGCCGGACCGCTAAGTGAAGCTCGCCCATCTTCTTGACGCCCGACGGATGCAGCATCAGCAGCGGGTACGCGTGGGTGTAGACGCGATCCGTTTCGAGCGTGGAGAGACGGATTCGGACTTTTCCGATTCTCGTGTCGCGATTCGGGCTTCCCGACACCGCGCTCTTGTCGATGCGGGAATTGTCGAATAGACCAATCGAGATGACTGTGCACGGGTCGAAGACTTCCCACGTGTACTGCTCGTTCCATTTCGGCGAGAGGCTGTCGACAACGGTCCTCGTCCGAACCCATTTCTGTCCGTACTTTGCGACGCAGTAGGCGTCGGTTGTGCCGCCTTTGCCTTCCTTGATCTTCATCGGGACGAGGTTGCTTGCGCCTAAAATCCCGACTTCGAGGACTCCGATGTGCGGCTTCCATAGCTGCTTCGCCGTCGGACGGACGTCGCTGCTGTACATCGTCGCCTCGTCGAGAACATGGTACCCTCCTTCGAGCGCAGTGCGGAGGTGGATTCGCGACGCGAATCGTACGATGGCTTTCGAGTCATTCTGGGTGCTGAAATGTGTGTCAAGGCTGTACCATCTCGACACGATTGGTCGATCGTCGAATCGACGTTCAATGGTCGTGATCGGGAGGATTACTCTCGCGACAACCTCGTCACGGTTCGGAGCGAGACGATCTTCGACGGTGATCATCAGATAATCCTCCAATGGCTCGGGCACAACGAAGATCAAATCGTCGTTCCAAAATGGATTCGACAGGCTTCGACTAGCCGTTGGCGATGCGATTCTCGTCCTTAAAACCTGGTTTCCCACTTGAACTTTCGCGAAGAGCTCCGGATACCTCATCATGTTCATCGAAGCTCCTTTGTCGCCGAGGACGACATCCTGAGCTTCAATTACGCCGACGCGGAGGTACCATAGCTTCGGAGATAAATAAACCTTCGATTTGATCGAAGACAGGCCGTCGAGATGAACGTTAGCAGCCTTGGAATGCCATGCCTCCGCGAAAGCCTCGTCGGCCTGAGTTCCGAACCAGATTGCGACCATAACCTCGCCGGATTTGGATCTATCGCCTTTTTTATCCTCCATTCTGTACCACTGCGGCGCCAGCTGGCTGTCCGGCGGAACACGTTTCGGAACTTCGTTGAGGTCGAACCAGACGCGACCTATGAAGTCGTCCTTGTTGCTTTCCTTGACGAAAATCTCCACCGCCGACGACTGTATGGAGTCCTTCGAGAAGGCGAAGATTTGGTCCCAATCCGCAGCTCCAGACGCAACTCTCTTCGTGATTCCTTTGTAGTTCCCGAGCTTCACCTCCGCTACGACGTCGTTTCCGCCGAACACAGAAATCTCCCGCGCCTTCAAAACCCTAACGTACAGATACTGCATCTGCTCCACCAAATCGTACGTCGAGCTCGTTTTGTCCTTCCTCAGTCCGCCGAGGTCAGGTCTCATTTCTCTCAAGGAGTAGTCGTTCAGCGCGCCGGCCGGAGGGGCGCCGCCGCCGCCGCCGCCGCCGGGGAGAACCGGGCCCGGACCGGCGGTTATAACAACCGGCTTGATTTCCCTCGGGCCAGGCTCGTTGGGCTTTAAATGTGTCGGGTTTTGTAAACCTAGGCCCAATTTATTATTCCCGTTGTTATTCTCTGGGCCCAATCCGAGGCCCATTTGCTTCGGCACGACCATGTTGCCGCCTTGCGGTTTCATTTTCTTATTTTTCTTCGAGATGACGCCTCCGCCGGTAACCGTCGCCGCCGCCGCCGCGGCGGCGGCGGTGTTAATCACCTGCTTGACCTCCTCCTTGGTGGAGAGATAGAGCTTCAGACTGATCTCTCCGCGCACGTGCGAGAAGAGGCTCCTTTTGTCCAGCGTGTAAAGCTGCGGCACCTCCTCCCCCTCCCGCGCGATGCTCGAGCCGGAAACCCTAACTTTTCCGAGGAAATTCCGACTGTTGTTCGACCGCTTCTCGTTGAACACGTTCACCTCGATCGTACGGTACGGAAGGTCGGCGACGTCGTTCACGTGGAAAACGAGCTTCTCGTTCCACACAGGATTTAGGTCGCGGTACTTCACCTGCGTCCTCTGCCGCTGGTTCTCGAACTCAACCTCAACGAACGGCGACGACGAGCCCTCGCCGTCCTTAGGCATCAGATTGTGCGCCGCCACAACTTCCACCACCAGCTTCTCCTTCCCTCCGCCGTGCATTCTCCCTACAATCCACCTCTACAGTTAAAAATCAAATCGAAACCCTTACCTCTCCCACCGGAAAGTTGCTGAGCTAAAACTCCACGCGAGAATGGTGACAGAAGACGATTCAGAGATTGGAGAGTTGGATTTTGTGCGTAGGCAGTGAAGAAGACATAGATACATACATACACAGAGCTCAGTTACCTAATGCTCTCAATGGCGGTGAGTCCCAATCGCCATTAATGCTTTCTTTCAATTTTTAGCATTTTATTTTTATTTTGTGTTTCTCAAAAATTCGAATTTTTTTTTATTTAAAATAATATACAAGTCAGCCTTTTAATGCACTTAATAAATTCCAATTTATCTATCTGCTTTTTTATTCTCTACCGGATTTATTTATTGTGTGGTTATTTTTTCCATTTTTGTCCGGAGCTCCTCTGACTGGGAATCACTACGTTGATCTGCACCGTCCGTTGTAAATGTCGCGGTCCTATCAATGGCTCCGATTTGTCTGGCTTTTTGGTCCTGGAGTTTCTTTGTGAGTATATAATTCATTCCCTTTTTATCTCTCTATGTTTAAAAATATTTTTTTTTTACTAGTATGTTATGTATGTTTATGTTATTGTTTGATCTAATATTTAAAATGAAATTATGTAATGTATGATAATATAAATTGAAATACATATTAAATATTTTACTATAATTTACGTATTATTGAAATAGTTTTTGGAACAAGAACAATCAGTCCCTTAAACCTTTGCTTTTATTTTGTTATGCTTTTTGAATTTTAAAAATTATTAATATCAAATATTGAATATTTTCAACAAGTATAATTGCATCTAATTTGTTTGAATGAAAATTTAAAATATATGTTGAAAATGTAGACTTCACTAATAAATACAGACAGCTTTATTACCAAGTATTTAATTAAATATTTAGGTAAATATTTAACATGTTTGGTAAATTTATTATTATTTCAGTAAGTCCAACTGTAAATTTCTTCTTATAATTGCCATGGCAATTCCTTATTCTACAAAATACACTTTCCTTTTTCCTAATTCAAATAAAAAATATATAACTTTTTTATAAAAAGAAACAAATAGGAAATACATATAATGGTGGTTACTGTTAATGTGTACAATATATTTCAAATTTGTAAATAAAAACAATATAACGGTGAGTAACAATATTTCCATATTATATAGTATCAAAATTAATACTCCCTCCGTCCATTTTCTATTGTCCTAAAGTATATTTGCACGATTTTTTTTAGATGATTGTCTTTTTGTTATGAATAGACAAATTTGCCCTTAAGTGTATGGTAGAGATTAAAAGTAATAAATGAATGAATGGTAAAATTGTAAAATTTGTGTTTAAAAAAATAAATAAAACAATAGTTGTTGGACGTCCCAAATAAAAAAATAGGACATTAGTTTGTGGACGGATAGTGTATTAATTTACAATATTATTTATATTAAATTTTAATACTGAAATTCAAACTCATCGATTTTTAAATTGGGTCTAATCATAATATCCTGTTCTACTTTAGTCGTCTCTTTCAATTAAATATATATATATATATATATTATTTTCCTGTTTATATAATATTTAAAAAATATAGTTACATAATTATACAATGTAACATTATTATAAATTTTATGCCAATCATAATCACATAATACTGTCATCATAATACCTTTTTCTAAGTAATTATACTATTAAAATTTTGTTAATTTTATCATAATACTTTTGTTATAGTGTATGTTAAAATATTACTCCCTCCGTCCCACATACCATGTCCATATTGTCGTTTATGTCCGTCTCACATGCCATGTCACTTTTTTTTTTGGAAAATGATTACACACTTTAATTTTATTTTAAACATTTTAATTTTTTTTAAATTTTAATTAAACTAATTAGTTATTTTAATCTTAATTTATAATTATTTATATTATCAGATAATTATTTTCACTAATACATTTTTAAGTATCTACTAATTACACCCCTCCTAAAATACCGTGTCTACAGTATAGTAGATACGGTATGTGGGACGGAGGGAGTACAGTTTTTTATACTCTCTTCGTGTCAAAAGTATAGTTTTATTATGTTGAGCATGAGAATTAAAAAATATTGATATTATATTGGTAGTTGAAAAAAAATAAGGATAGATGACTTTTTTGCCCTTGTGAGTATATTAGTGTAAAAAGGAGTAACAATTGTGTAATAATAATGAAAAATAAGGATAATTTTATGGTGATATGGTTATTTATGAAAATGAGACTATTATTTTGAGACGGACAAAAATGATAAACAAAATTATTGTATTGGGAAGGAGGGGAGGGAGTATATTGTTGTGTATGCATTATTTTATGATTTCACTTTTTATATGCATGTTATAGAAATAGTTTAAAGAAATATGATTTCACCTTTTATATGTATGTTATAAAAATAGTAAGAAAAAGTTGTTTAAAATATATTTCACCTGTTTCTCGTAATTTGTTTATTTTTTTTTTTATTTATGTTTGTTCTATATAATTTGTTATTATTTTTTTTAAAAAAATATAATTATACATTTTAATCATAATTTATAATTTATAATATTTTAAAATTTTAATTAAATTAATTAATTATTTTAATTTTAATTTATAATTATTTTTTCTAGTATATTTTTTAATTGCTTACTAATTATATAATAGTTAAGACTCTATGCCTCAACTAAAGTGAACAAATTAACTGAAATGAAAATAATATATATTGATAAACTATTTTAATTAATAGAGTCAGCACACATATATTAATACTTATATAAATATATATTATATACAATATGTAGTACTACATATGTCCCACGTACCGTGTCTGCTACACTGTAGGCACGGTATTTTAGGAGAGATGTAATTAGTAGATAATTAATAATGTATTAGTAAAAATAATTATCCGAAAATATAAATATTTATAAATTAAAATTAAGATAACTAATTAGTTTAATTAAAATAAAAAAAATAAATTAAAAAGTTTAAAATAAGATTAAAGTGTGTAATCATTTTCCAAAAAAGAAAAGTGACATGATATGTGGGACGAACAGAAACAACAACGTGGACATAGTATGTGGGACGGATGGAGTATAAAATAGTGGTTAATTGTATAAATACTCTTTGTCCCATTTAATTTGTCTACTATTTCCATTTTCAGTTCCACATAATTTGACATTTTCTTTTTTAGAAATACAATTATACATTTTAATCACATTTAAAAATTCAAAATTTATATATATTGTTAATTAAACTATTTAGTCATCTTAATCTAAAATTATTTAATTTAAATTATAATTATTTTTTATTAATACACTTCTTAATTATTCATTAATTACACAATTTTTAAAGCTCCGTATCTAAGCTAAATGGGACAAATTTTCTGAGACGAGTAATATTTATATTAACTAATTCTATAATAATATCACAACAATATATATAAATATTCTTAAATTCCATTCATAGACTATATTGTTCTTAATGCATGTGCGTTTTTTTTTTTTTTTTTTTACAGGTTATTTTTTTTAGTATGCTCTTTACATTCCAATTAAATTGTCCCATTTAGTTTAGATACTGGATTTTAGTTATTGTGTAATTAGTGAATAATTAAGAAATATACTTGTAAAAATAATTATGATTTAATAAAAATAATTTTTGTTTAAGATAACTAAACAATTTAATTAAAATTTTAAAAAATTATAAGTTATGAATTTAAAATGAGATTAAAGTGTATAATTATATTTTTAGGACGAATTGAAATAGAAATAGTTGACAAATTAAATGGGAGATAGGGAATATTAATTTGCTAGTAAATCATATCATTAATATAACCTTCAATAATTTCTTTTTTTTTCCTTAAAAATACATCAATCTATTATGCATCTTATTTTAAATAATAATAATAATAAAGGTATTGAAGGCTTTCAAATTAATTATCTAACAAAAAAAAATAATCATTTTTTACCAAAACATTGCATTCAAATATATGAGTATATTTAGTTTTAATTTAAATGGAATTTGAAGAATATTTTGTAAGAATAATATAATATTTTTATGAAAAATTGTGCAGTCTATGTAATGGTAGACTTGAGTGCATTTATTGGAAAGATTTTGGTGTTATTGTACAAATAATATTAAATTAAATATTTATTATTAATTTATTATATTAACTACTAAATTTTAATTTAAATTAAACAAATCACGTCAATAAATATTTATTTCACACTAAATAATTATTTCAATTCCGAATTGATTACTCAAAGGTACGTAAGTTGTAACAATAACACATGCATAAGAAAAACGTGCAAACATAACACCTGCAAACATGCTACCTACCACTTAACTAAAAAACATGTCCAGCAAGGGATTGCCTGGTAGGGTAAAGAAGGAATATGTGACTGTGAGGTAATATGTTCAAATTCTGACATCATCAAGTTACATATTACAGATGGTTCGGCTAGTATGACTTGTCTTTTTAGTTTAATTTTGCAAAATATTATTATGTTCAGTCAAGGATTTTTAGAGACAAATTATTACCTTATTTATATAAAAACAATAAAAATAAATGATTGATCAGTATTTTGTGCATAAATTCAAGAAATTGTTATACTTCCTCCGTCCCTTAACTATAGTCTTGGATGTGTTGGGCACGAGATTTAAGGAATATTAATATTATATTGATAGTGGGTAAAAAATATGGGTAAAAGATATTTTTGTCCTTGTGAGTGTATTAGTGTAAAAGGTAGTGACAATTGTGTAATAATAATAAAAGTGTAAGGGTAGTTTTATAGTGATATGATTATTTATGGATTTAAGGCTATTGTTTGGAATAGACAAAAATAGTAAACAAAATTATTTTATTAGGAGGGACGGAGTATAATTTACCCTTTTAAAAAACCAAGATAAAAATACTGGAGATAGTTTGTGTTTTCATATTTATTTAAGTATTTTTAGGTAATAGTAATAAATATTTAATTATACATTTCAATTTTATTTTATTTTAATTTTATTTTTTGGATAAATTGCACAAAATATATTTATAGTTTTATGAAATTGTGCCAAATCTCATGTGCTTCTAAAACTGTGTCAAAGTCTCGCGTGGTTTCTTAAACTCAGCGTCTAAACCTCTTGAAGATCCATATTTAATGTTATTTAATCTAAATGTGTTCAAACTGTGAATAAATTTTATAATTTCAATTTATTAACCTCT